GACTTAACTCCTGTCCAGTTTAATAAATTATGTAGTCTTAACTCCTGTCCAGTTCAACACTCTATATATCTGAATATCCAGTTCAGATTTAACTCCTGTCCAGTTTACTTTATTATTTCCTTTGTCAATTGTCTATTTAAACTGTTATGTTCGCTGTCATATATTTAGAAACCAAGCAATAATTTAAGTATCAATCTGTATTCACACTAGTACATTACTCTTACCTTGTGACATTTGTGTATTACCTTGATATCACGACTAGTCCGTATACGATTTCTTACACCTTTAAAGAAACTCCAAATAAAAATCATCTTTCAACACCACAACTCCCCCACTCATAACCACTTAAAAATAAATCATACTCAAAAATTTTTGACAAAATCATATTACTAACCTAACATAAGAAAATATATTGAAGAATACATCAAAACTTGCGATATATACTATCGAAATAAGTTTAATCGACATAAGCCCTACAAAACTCTCCAACCCCACGACATACCCTGTGCACCTTTTAAAATTATTACCTATGACTTTATTCAAAAAATACAACCCTCACAAGACCCATTTATTAATTTTATTTTTAACGAAATTCTAATTATTATCTGTAAATTTTTGAAAACTGCTATTTTTATATTATGGCATGAAAAGTTTGGAATAATCGAATTTTAACATATCTACTTTTAATATATCTTTTCTAAATACAAAATCTAATATAAACATATCTGCGATTGAGATTGATTCTTTTAGAGCAAGTATTGGTAATCAATCATAAACCAAACTGGTACCAAATTAAATATTACTTTTAAGGTATATTTTTAGATGGATGGTGCTTTAGAACATTTGATTTAGACTTTTGAAATATATCTCCGATGTTTTGTAAATTATGTGTAGATAAATTGGATATTTTTCCTTTTTTTTGTTGAATTTGTATATAATATTTTGTAATATTTAATTATGAAGTTATTGTTATATGAAGTCTTACATGGATAGACTTCAAAAGTTTTTTTATTTTTTTTCCGATTTAAAGAAATTGTGCCTGATGTTGAAGAATATATGGAAAAAATAAAGAATTTTTATAGTATCCTTAAGAAAGATCTTCAATTTTTTTAAGAATGAATGGCTTATTACTATGATAAAAAGCATCTAGAAGCTCCTTTATTAAAAGAAGGAGATAAAACATATCTGTTTGTGCGAAATTTGAAAACTAAGTGCCCTAAAAAACTTAATTTTTAGAAATATGGCTCTTATATAATTAAAAAACAATTGGGTAAATACCAATACAAATTAGATATACTTGGATCTTTATGAATTTATTGCATATTTCATATTTCTCTCTTAGAACCTGTTTCACCTAAACTACAAGAAGACCTAGAAGATATGGAAATCAAATACGACGACTACACTGAATATGATGTCAAAAAGATCCTTGAAGGATTTAATAAAAATAACGAATATCTTATTTAATGGTTTCTATCCTATAGCCCAAAAGACAACTTTTGGTAGTTAGAAGAAAATATCTCCCCAAAACTCATCCAATCCTATTTAAAGTAATTTGGGATGCTTGCTCAGTAGGGCAACACAACACCAAAAAGAAGATGTGGACAACCTAAAAAGAATATCGATTAACAAAAAGCAAAAATTATAATAATATTTATAGCTTACACATACCTAACAGCATCTTTCACCATAAATACACCTCCTTATGTATTATTGATGCAACTAGTCTAAATCAGCTTTTTTAGCCTTTTAGCATCGAAGAAGCTCACCTAGAATTTCTTATTGAGCAAACCACGCTAACAAAAAGGCATGCAATGAACAAATCCCCCTAGATAAAGAAACGATATTAGGAGTCAGAGATTCTGTAAACACAAGAAAAAATTTTCGACAAGGCATTTTGTTTAAAATTGAAAAGAGTTACGAATACAAAAAAGAATCAAACAAGATTGTTTTGAACATCCCTATAAATACCCTCCATAAAATTTTTTATCGAAAATTCTTCCCCCCTTCGAAAAAATGCGAAAGGATTTCCTATGTCCATAGAACCCACAAAATAACTCAAAAATTCCATGGCAACTCCTAGGACCTCCTTTGGAATTGTTTTTTCATTATCTACCCACTTAGGACCTAAATCCCACACATCGCCCCTAAGATAATTCAATTGTTTTTGTATACCTGAATCCCCCCCATCAATTTTTTTTAATAGATCTTCTTCTATGAGTAAAGCTTCTGTATGCACTAAGTTTTTACAATGTTTTTCAGTAATAATAGACAACTCTTATTAACAATGCTTCAATTCTGTTGCCATCTTATAGAATTTGGCAAGAGATATTGATAACTTATTTTGATTTTCTGCTAATTTGTTTTGATTATTTTGGATTGTTTGCTGGATATTTTCGAGTTTTTTTATGATTTTATGAAGTTGTTAAATTTTCGAAACTCTTATTTTAGAAATCTGTGTTATTGGCAAATATATTAGCATGTATTTGTAGAAGGATCTATGATAAAAACACTTATATGAAATTGTATTGCATTTTTTCTTCCTATACTTGACATATATGGAATAACTTTTAAAGTTTTCTATTATTTCACACAAATGATCGCCTTGCTTACAAAACGAATATGCTTTTGCTGCTATAATGTCGAAATGTTCGAAATCTTCAAAAACTCGACAAACCCACTCCTTTTGGGATTTGTTGGTTGTTTTATTTTTTTTTCAATGTTTCTGAACTTCTTTTCTAAATATAGTAAATATAAAAGATATATTGATTGTGTATTTTGAAGAATGTTTAATAATTTAAATTTAATTTCGTTCTTACTACTTCAAATTGATATTCTTATACATGTACCTGTTTATATAATCATGTATGGTATAAAATTATATTATAATTTTTGTTTTCATAAAAAACCAACAAAACTATAACAATAATATTCCCTTGTAGAAATTTCTGTATCAAAAAATCCCCTGTTTAATTCTTTTGTATAATATTTTTCCCGTATATTATTTTGTCTTACACAAAATTCCCCTTATAAACCTAACACCCCATATGGACTATTTCCCCATCTACAAGAAGATCCCATACGAGAATTTTATATGACGAAGTTTTTTTTGAAGAAGGAGATAATATCACAACCTAGCTATATTAACTAACTTGATTAGGAAATATATTTTGGCGCGATAAACATGCTTCTTATTTTTGCTTTTCTTTATCTCACAAAAATGTTTTTAATTATAATTATTCAGATTCTTCAAATTAAAAATTTATACGCCTGTTTTCTACCTTATGTACAAATGTATTGTGGAACAACATATTTCTTATTTTAATTGATAGGCAGAAATATTTGATATTGGCCCGTCATGCAATATTTGATGCTAAGTTTTTTCTTTATCAAACATATCAACTAGTCGATTGTTGATAATATTGATAAGTCAACCAAATATTTATTATATATCTAATCACTTATTTATAGGAAACTTTATCATATATTTAAAAACTTTTAAACAATGGTAGTTTTTAGTTTATCTTAAAACTTTATCGGTTAACTTATTAATTTAGTTTATAATTTATTTGAATAATATTTAATCTTATAGCTAATTATTGTGTTATACTTTTTATTTATATAATTTTATATCTTTATTCTGAATATTATATTATCTTCTGAGAGATCTGAACATATAGAGTTGAGAAACATAGTAGAGTGCTAAGCTATTTTAGGAAACCTTGCCAAGGAATCCTGGGACAGGTGTAACATAGGTATTCATTTAACATTTCGTCAATATAGTATTAACTATTAATTGTTTGCTCTACTATATAGATTAGGCTTTTAACACTACTTGCAAATATAGCTCAAATTATTATTTTGACATTAAACCTCTTCTATTTAGTATTAATACAATCCTAAGCCTATTTCTCAATTACTATTCTAAAAATCTAACAAGTCTTAGAATCCTTACTTTTCTTAATCTAGCACTCGTCACTCCATATAATTTTTTGCCACTATTCCGCAATTTAGTTTTTATGAGCCCAAGCCCAGACTAGCTGCTGGGTGGCATATTTCTAAATAAGCTTGGGCCGTTATTTCACAATCTATTTCTTAATGCCAGCTTCGCCAAAGCGCCTTTAAACAATTTTCTTGTTTAGTTTGTTATAAACGATTTTAACGTTAAATTCACCAAATAGCTACCGCCAATTCTGCTTAGCTGTGCGCCTCAGCAACCTGTCAATCCACTCACTAATAACCCTAAGTGCCCCGGGAAAGGTATTAACCTCAAAACTATTCTGCTAAGTAGCAATTTTATAAATAGAATAGGTAGTACTCCTATGAAAGTTGAGCAGACACACCATAGCATTGTTATTATTTCCCTGAAACTTTAACATTATGATAGTTGCATGTTACATAGAATTAAGCGTTTAGCAAGGTTACCTAGGTCCCAGTAAGTCGATTAATGGTTGTTTCGAGGCCATGGGGATAACATTGGTAGTAATGGCTTAATTTTCGTGGGAGAGGGGGTGAAGATTATGAATGTGTAAATTGATTTTTTTTGTGTTTGTCCGAATCTTTATGGCCTAGTACTGTATATGGGACATTGGTATAGAACATTATAGATTGGGGACCTGTATCCCGTTTTTTTTTTTTTTTTTAACTTTCGCTCGTGCTTTCAAGCTTTAGTTTTAAGTTTTCATTTATGAATTTGTATTCTTTTCTCCTCTTCCGCCGTCGTATAGTTAAGTAATTTTGTCTGTAAGAATGAATATCTTTGTCTTTACACACATTGATAATGCGCACGAGCCTTGTGCGAAGTAGCAATGCCAACCAACCGCTCTCCCATTCTCTAGTAGGTAAATACATATATGCACGTAATACGCATGAAAAAATGATAGGGAAAGAAAAGAAAAAGAACCCTGTTGAAACGAATTCATCCTATAATTACAAGTCGCAACAATGATGAAGACTTTTTTCCCCCTCCAAATAGTGTAAAGTATGCAAATTTATAAAATTTAGTTATATCCTGGAGCATCGTCGTCATCGTCGTTGCCCCATGCCCCAGGCGTCTTCGCGCTGCTATAGCCACCACCCTGAGGAGTCGGTGCATCAAAGTAACGTCTATTATCACCGCCAGATGCGCCTGGAGTAGCAGCAGAGGCCGGGCCGCCTGGGGTAGGAGCATCCCAAGTGTTTGCGCGCGGCGTAGGGGCCGAGACTGGAGGGGTTGGAGCACTGAGGCCACCGGGGGTGGGAGCGGACAAGCCACTAGCACCAGGGGTAGCTGCAGTATAACCGCCAGAAAACTCAGGACTGGTAGCACTATAACCAGCTGGAGTTCTCGCAGTGGTCGAAGAATTATTTCCATATGAATCGTTCCATTGGTCGTTGACACTTGACAGAGAACGAGCTGGTGTCTTGGAACCACTATCCCAAGCGGTGCCGCTGTCTCTCGGCCCTGGCTCTCCGGATCCGTAGTGTGGGGTTCTGTTACCTGGATTCCACGCTGGTGTACGACCACCAGACGCTCCAGACGCTCCAACAGGTTGGCCGTAGGATGTTCGTGACCCGTCATTATCACCTCGGTATGGGTCCGAGGTTCGACTTCCATCTCTGTACGGATTCGAAGTGCGGCTTCCATCCTTGTAAGGATCCGAAGTGCGACTTCCATCATTGGCGCCGTAGGCTGGAGTCTTTGAACCACTTGCCCAAGCTGGAGTCCTGCCGCCATCTCCAGCACCGCCGGCCCAAGCGGGGGTTCGTCCGCCGCCACCACTACCTCCGTGGGCACCCGCTGGTGTCCTCGAACCGGCCCATGCGCTTGAACCGGCAGGTGTTCTACTTCCGGACCAACTATTACCCCCAGCGCTACTATTGCCGGAGCTGTAGGAAGTATTACTACCGCGATCACCGAAGCCCTTCTTTGGTTGTACAAATTCTGCGTAGCTAAGGATTCTACCCGTAGCACCCCTGGGAAAAACAAAACTGGTTAGCGGGTATATCAATTGAGGGTAAAACAAAGAGAACATACTCTTTGAAACCAAGCTTCATCTTTTCAATTGTGATAGTTTTATTCTTGGAATGAAGTTCGATACGAGCGGTCGTGTCGGTTGCATCCTTTACTATACCTAACAAACCCTTGTATGGACCTTGCCTGACATGAACTGTCTGTCCAAGAATTCTATCACGTCCACCCTGGCGGGGGATGATGGGTGGCGCCATATTTCCACCAGGCTTCTTTGACATCTCTGGCATTTTGGAAAGATCTGGGCCGGAACTAGCAACCCGACCTCCCTTGGCAATCATTGTGGCTAGATTGTTAGTCCTAGCCACGAAGATACCGCCTGTCTCGCCTTGCAACTCTTTGCTGTGGATAAAAGCAAATCCTCTGTACAGGTGATGAATGACACCAGAGCGGTTCTCTCCGCCTGCAATCTCCTTCACGGTATCTTCAACGCGAATATCGGAACCGTTTCTATCGGTAGCGACAGCGTCTTTTCGTCGTGGAGGAATTTTGGCAGCTACCTGTGACGGTAGGATTGTCCGGGTCGCACCCTCTTGATCTAGGACTTTAAGGGATTCTCGGTCGATCTTGATAACGCAGGCGACAGTTGTGGCACTGCATAACAATTAGCCAAGTTCCACTCAATAAGCGCTGTTTTGGATGACATACTTAAGCTGAATGAGATCCCACAAATCGTATTTTCCTGCAGCTGTGCCCATGCCGCCGCTGTCGGATGCCTCTCTCAAATCCCTCGAGAAGACTGTAATCTCACCCATGGAAAGATCACTCAAAAATGTAACCCGATCGTCGACAATCTTCACAACCATACCGACTTCATCCCTATACCTACTACCACCCATAACTTTCACGTGGTCACCTTCCTTGAACCTTTTACGGAGGCCTTTGAAAGGAACGTCAATATCTTTTCCTTTGAGAGGTCCTTCTTGTACATTCATCGAGACGATGTCCGCTCTGACACGTGTGACCTTTCCAACCATACCAGCCTGTTCACCAGCGTATACTTCGACCATATCACCAGGTTGATAGGGTGCATATTTGTCCGTAGAGGCCTTTAGTGATTGCGACAGGGCCTGCAGGTCAAGGCTTTCATTTCCATCTCCAGTACTGGCGAATTTGGTCACCTCCTCAAGCTTTGGGTTGACATTCTCCAGTTGTAAGGCTGTAACACGAACATCTTTGACCAAATATCCACCCTCATACGTATCGCCTTGGAAGTTGAAAATACCACGTCGGGTCGAAGTAAGATCCCTCTCGTGGTACTTTCTGGCTTCTGCTTCGGAGAATAGTCTTTGCGGCGGTCTAACTGCACCCACTGATCGCTTTCGCTTTCCAGATGCATCAGTTCCGTCATCCCTGGCGCCATAGTCGATACGAGGAACAGCACGAATATTGAGGATCTGCCCGCTTTGTTCGACGTCCACAACCTGTGCCAAATCTCCCTGATATTTGCCACGTTTGAACCGAACGAACGTACCGGGCGTGATCTCGGCTTTCTTTTGTACGCGCAAGAGATCCGGCATTTCGTCAACAGGAACCAAGATCATTCCGGATCTGGCATAGACATTTGGGATGTTGGTGAGCGCAGTCAACACGTCTGCCTGCCGGCGAGCTTCGACGTAGATGAACCCTTGCATTGATTGTCCTCTCTCGAGAACGGAGATAATGTTGAGTGCATTCCTAGTGCCTTTCATGTCCTGGACCTTCTTCATAATAGTAAAGACAGCCTCCTTTTCCTTGCCTGGCTTACATTTGACACCCCAGATCGATGGATCGTTGACAGATGGTAGAAGTAGTCGTTTGGGTGTTACTGTTGATGCATCTCCAAGGCGGTGTCCTCGTCGCCCTCCGTGACGATCACGCATTTCGGCGGCGACCTTCTCAAGGTCTTCGGCGAAATCAGCTTGATTTTGACGATCGAGTTGACGATGGAGCCGGTCGTCTCCTGCCCTGTGGCGCAAAGCGTCGTCGTCGTCACCAGGAGCGATGAAGTCTGCCTCCATCTCATCATCTTCCTCATCATCGACCTCGTCATCTTCGTCGACCTCGGCCATGGTATCAAGGAAAGGATTGTGTGCTCGTCTTTGACCTCTTCGTCGGCGCTATTGTGAAGCATTGTGTTAGCATACAATAGGGATTTTGACGAAGAAAAGGGATCAGCGTACTGGTCCTTCATCGTCCTCGTCCTCATCATCGTCCTCATCGTCGTCGTCGTCTTCATCCTCTTCTAGCTCCTCAATTTCATCATCTTCATTCGCGCCATTGCTTTTATTTCGCGACTTGTCCCGTCCTGAAGGTTTCGGCGCGTCTTCATCGTCATCGTCTTCATCATCCTCGTCGTCACTTGGTGCTCGCCTCTGTCGCTTCTCGGGACGCGGATCTTCTTCCTCGCCGAAATCATCGTCTTCCTCCTCGTCCGAGTGAAGATTTGCATCTCGTATGTTTGACATTGCTGTGTTTGGTGTGAAGCGTAGTAGTAGTAATGCTAAATGGTCGTGTCAGAGGGAGGCTGGTTGAGGTTCGTGGTGGCGACCTGGTCGTGTATATAGGAAGGAAAGAAAGAAGAAAGAAGAGCTGGAACCGAGAGTTCGAGTAGTTATACAGTCCTAGAGCACCGAAAGGATCCAATTGATGAGTAATTAAAGCATACAATGGCTTTATAGGAGGAACAGCAGGACAGAGGTGCTGTTTGCCGCGATGCGATGGACGGGCTTGATGCTGCTGAGGAGGTCGGAAGGAGAGAAAGCGAGAGGTTGTCGGGAAGAAGGCCAGCTGGTGTTGCGGCGAAGCGATGATCACAACCCAGACTGCCCAACGCTGCCAAGCATGGCCATCAGCAATCCATATCAATGCAAACTCTCCATCTTGAATGCTCAAAGGCTAACTTGTTCTCGCATCGACATTACAAGTCTGTACTTATTCGACTATCAGGAGTCTAGCAGGTTGGTACCCCATATTCCATATTCCAGCTACTGGAAAGCAGTTTTTCATAGTTACTAAAATCAACTCACCACCCAGATCTTGATTTGTTTCGATTCAGCAAACGCTAGTTTAGAGGTTACGACGTGGAGCCAGGACAGACCGTATAAGGTCTTTGTGATGTTTCTTTTGCATTGATCAAAACTTTAAACGGTATTTAGTGGTTCGATAATAACGATATCGGCTCCAGCTAACTTATAAATCCTATAGGATTAATTACATCTAATTCTAGCTTGAAGCTAGCTTAAAATTACATCCATTGCCTTGCATTTGGAGATATCCATTTCATTGCGGCAATGGCGTCCTCATCCCAAAAGCATAGATCGATGATACCCAGCTCCCAGAGGGGATCAACTAGTGCAAGACAAGAAAAAAACTTTGATGAAGAAGAAGAGCCTAAGAGGCTTGACAGGTTCCAGGTTGAAGAACATGTCCAGCTTCTACAATCTTTGGATGAAAAATTGAGAGGGGATTTGGCCCACCACCTCCTTATGACCTTCCATACCAATAAACACTACCAGCAACATCCAAAGATTTCTCCAGCTGGTCCAGATATTACAAGCACACAGGAAGATAGTGATATTGAGGATGTCGCTCCGGTTTTAAATGAGGATAGCGGCAAGGTAGTTAAACCGACGACTCTTCTACGACGGTGGCGGGCTTGGCCACTGCCTCTAGAGCAGACCCCACGGCCAGAGCCAGGATATATATCCTCTGGCTCTCTTCAGGACTCTTTACTTGCAACGATGCTACGTTATGCGTCAGCGCAAATGAGGCTGAGTCAAAGTCTAGCTGAATTTTCAGCTGACGATACCGTCTCTGAAACTCTCTGCAGACCAGCAATCGAGCGTATCGTGGCGTCTTTTGATCGGATACTCGCTGGCATCTATCGGAGTCGAGAAGGTTATGCTGCCGATCAAACGATCCAGAATCTAAATTCATTGCTACGTAGGAGGAAAAAAAGGCATCGCACATCCTGCGAGCCCCTGCATGCAGATGACATGGTCATCAAGAAACAGAAAACAGACACCATGGGACGAACGACATCTCAAGTCTACCGACAGGGGTCTCAGCGACTTTTGTCCGCAACAGATGTGTTCCAACATGCTTTGGTTCAATCTTTCCCACGTGGGGTGCTGGAGAGAGCGAGTGAAAGATTGGGACGTTTACTGAAACTGCCTCGAAATGCGGATCACGCCAGCTTTATCACGCTCGTTGAAGCGAAGCAACAGTTGCCCCAGCCTGGCTCTTTGGACGATGTATCCACCGTTGACGTAGACGGAATGGGATTTTTAACCCCCATGTTCCTTGGAACCGACACGGAGCGAGTGCACATGGGGGGCAAATATATTACTCGGACAATGTGGGAGACTTGGGATGAACGTAAAACTCAGGTCGCCGAGGAAGGCTGTTTTGGTCGTAACGGGTTTCTGGAAGAGATACAAGGGCAGGGGAGGACCAAGGAGAACCGTCGACGAATGCGCAAAGAAAAGGTTCTTCAGGAGCTGGAGGCTCATGTTGCTTGATCTTCGTGGCGGCATCGATTCGAGCTACAGCTGCACATAATCTATCTGCGTGGGGTAGATGCCTCCCCACATCGGTCACTTTCTTGCCTGCAGCAGCGAAGGCGCCATGCCAGCTCTAAATTTATTTTCGCCTCATGCATCGAAGTTTGGGGGTTTGGAATGAGCAAATACCCGGATATGAGCTTCGTAAGAATCTGAATTATAACGCTCCTTTTGCCGTGCCGAGGGAACTGCGAGTAAGGCGCGAAATTAGAAACAGCACGATACCTCGATGCACGATTCCTGCAGCGACACATGGCATCTGCGCTTTCCTTGCCGTACCCGTCCCGGTCCACCGAAGTGCAATTCAGACAGGGTCGAGCCAGATCCTTTGCCCTACGAATTTACTGAATCGGAGACACGGGCAGGGGTGGTTGAGCCCTGGATCCCCATTAAAAGAACAATGGACGTAATGCGATAAGGCCCCTTCTTTGGCTAGGCTGGAGTCTCGGTTTGCGAAACATTTGATTAAGCGGCGCGAGCACTGGTCATGATGAAAAATTACCGATGAATCCAACTTTATCTTCCGCATCCTCGTATATCCCGCATATCCTTCCTCCCTTCGACCAGTTCGAACCTTCTCGTCATTTTGGTCGGTTTGGCCCTCTGAGTTGGCGGCCTACTTTGCATCAGAATTGATGCACCCGACATGCATTTTGGCCAGGATAAAACTTGGACTCCTCCACAACATCTTACTCCCTTTCTGGTTTATTCTGGGGCGGGCTGATCTCAGATACAATTCGAGATTCTAGCTACCTAAACTTACCACTCGGCCTGGCGTGAGATTACGGTGGCCGTTCTGCACAGCCAGGGATCTCACAGCGACTGCCTCTGAGCTTGCCTATGTGGCGACGCAGGAGGGAAGGAGCATAGGCATATTACCGAAGCAAACGTCTGCGGAGTCCCAACCATCTTTTTGACCGAAACGTTCCACAACAGCATGATGAACTACTCGCATGGCACTTGAAGTTTCTAGCCAGATGCAGCTTGCCTATGATACGATTTCGGAGGTGAGTTTTTGGTCCTCAAACCGTCCGTAGCACTTGAAACTTCGGAATGCTTACTGTGTACCCTTTTAGCCTCCGGCCCCGCGTATTTTCTCTTAATCTTCTTTACTTAACCCCAAGTACCTCGCCTGGCTCAATGAGCGGTAAATTTCGTTATGCGCACGCAATAAGTAGAGAACCACATACTTAAATGCGGGAAAGGGTGGCCTCGTGCACATATATATTCCTCTTGCACCTCGGGTTCTTCAGCAGTCGGTCATTCCGAAACCTTTTTTTCCAGCACTAGCTGTAGCCGTGACTACTGTTCGCCCCCTCGAGCGCAGTCGATACTAAATTTATTCTTCAAGTCTCTCCTTCAGACGCCTGTTCAAATACCCTTTAGCTTCTTCGCCACAAACCTTTCAGCTCGAGATTCATCAACCTGTCTCTCGCTAAGCCGACCACAGACCCTTTCATTGGCCGTTCTTTGGTTCTGGAGTCCAGTAGCCGCAGAGCTTGCTCGCCTATCACTCCGCTCCGCACAGACCCTCCATCGCTTGCTAGGCTGAAAGATCTTGGCTTCTGTCCTTGAATTGAAGCCAGTCTGCTGCTTCAGATTTACCTCAGATTCGACGGGTAACAGCGTTTCTCCGTGCCCGGCTGGGTGCTCCTTTGGCATTTATATCATCGTTCGGAACATCCTTCCCCTAGATCTACTTTAATCCGACTACATCCCATCTTTCACCCTATTCCGGGGCGGCTCACCGTACATCGATATCTTGCCCGGCCAATACTTCCCTCCGACAATGAATAGGCTACCCACAGATGTTTTGCGGGAGGTCTTAGACCAACTCGACCCCGAGTACACCGACGTCACCTCCCGGATGAAATTCTGGACACCCCGGAAGCATGATGTCGGAAGCCAAACTGTTATAGCGGACCTTCGGCAGTTTCGGCTTGTTTGTAAACGCTTCGCAGACCTGGGGGCACAGTATCTATTCCGCACGATAGCGCACCGATATAACAGCAAGAGCTTCAAACGTCTGAGCGATCTTGCAGACCATCCAGTTTTTGCGGCCCATGTTAAGAAATTTATATACCTCATGCCATACTTCTATGTTCAAGGTAGGCCCAAGCATCCCACTAATTTCATGTGCTATCGTCCTGCACTTTTGGTCAGCGGCTAAGAATGTGTTGTAGGTGCAAAGGATTTCACTGAGTTCAAACGTGACTTCGACGACTTCGGTATGCAAGTTGGGTCGTATTCGGCTATATTCCAAGAACCACTACACTGCCTTGAGGTTTTCGAAGAGCAGCGACACCTGATGAACACTGGAGACGACCTGAGAGTTTTAAAGAAGGCTATGAAATCGTTCCGATCTTTGCAGCAAGTTCAAATCTTATCTGTGCTGGGGGAGAAGGACAGCAAGCTTCTGGATTTAGCAGAAAATTACGATGAATGGGATTACGTTGATTGCAAATGGATACCTGCTTGCCAGCATGCTGTTGACACGATGTTACAGGCTTTGGACTACGGTCGACCGCCGGTGTATTCCTTTGTATCGCCCAGGATGAATCCTCAGAGCCTACTATCTTTGAGCCCCGAAGTTCAAGAGCTCGGCCTGTCAACCTGGAGTCAGCTTACTTATCTCAAACTCAACTTTAACCACATGTCCGATAGAGACTGGTACCATACTCAATTGGAAAACAAGATCCATATGCTCTCCCAATTCTTTAAAAATCTTTTTCTCGCTGCGCAGAATCTAACAGAACTGCATATCGGGTTCTTCCCAGCTTCACCCTTACGGTTACAACTGGAGGAGGTTTTCCACGGTGCTGTCTGGCCAAAACTACGAATATTCGGGATTGAGAGCTGGAGGTTGACATCGGAAGAGATTATCCATAAAGTCAACGCACATGCGCATACACTCCGCGGGATCCGATTGGCTAGCATATATCTCAAGGAAGGATCGTATTGGAAGGATATAGTCATCGCCTTGAAGGCCCTTGATCTTGAATGGCTGTCGCTTGATAATGTCGGTTACGAGAAGGAATTCAACTCGCGGACACCGTCGATACAGCAATTCAATTTCCCGGACGGGCACGACGATGCGGATGACGAGGAGAGCCATATGACTGGCATGACGGGCAGATCAGGGGCATCTAGTAGCTTCGACCTAGGATTCAACATTTCATTAGACGGTCAAAGCAACGCTGGCAGCAGAATGGGCGATCACCATAGTTCTGCTGGAGACAGCTCGGCACATTCAAGGAGCACGCATTCTCGTTCTTCGACTAATAGGGGTGGCAGGGGTCATGAAACCAATAGTCCTACCACAAGTCACTCGCTGAACAGCATGGATTTGGCAGGGCCCTCCAGTGCAAACGGATCAAGTAGTCAGAATGGAGACGTGCATTTAATACCTGTTGGGGTGGTAGAACGACCTGGATTGAATGGCATGGGGGTGAAGATTCCTAAAGATCCATTCGAGGATCTCGAGTGGAATTTAGATATTGATTTGGAAGATAATGGAGTTACCGTCAGGGAGCTGCAGATGGTCCATTGGGAGAGGTGGGTTGTTGGAAGAGACGTGTATACTGGGAAGAAGTATTTCCGGGATCTGTGACGAGAACCACTACGACAGGTACAGCGAAAATGACAACAGCAAACCATTTTTTTCCCTTCTGATATTAGTATTATCAAATTTAAAAAATCTTATAATGGCGGCTTTTTGATCTTTTTGCATTTGCATTTTACTGTCTTCGGTTCTTTTTTTGTTATTTCTCGTATTGCTATACTGCGACGCGATTTCTTTTGGCCGGCATCGGTTCTACGAGTTATGCATGACACATGTCCAACATCACCCCCCCTATCCATTACTCTTTCGAATCCCCCCTAAATGACTTACTATACCCTTACTAAACTCCTTTTTACGATACTTGGCGTCCTGTCTTTACCGTGGTACAAGTAATGTTGAGCTCACATTTCCCCCCTTCTTTTTTCAATCTGTCAACTATCTATCATCCAGGTCGCTTGATGCTTCCTTCGAATTTGCCTCATTTCTTCATTCTTTCGCACGGTTCGCAAAATTTTGAATACCGGTGCTCCAAAACCGTTCTTTCGTTATACATATTTTCGATGTCTATCTTTTTCTACTCATAATTTAAATATTATTCTCTAATTTTCTTTGATAAGTTTCGTTCTGCATGGCTGGTTATAGTCTTGTATTAGGCTGGTTATACGTATATATGAGTCGTGCTAGTAAATTTTCTTCTACATGTGAGCTCAGATACTGCAATTTCTATTTCCTTCGTGCTGTGTACATATTTCTATTCTGCATGGTAATATGCTCTTTGTTTGAGGCTTTAGTATCTAGAGGTCTAGATATTGATTCAAATTGATCAGATGTATTGCAGTTCATTTTTAGAAGTCCAGATATTAAAGACGTTAAGACTTTCCCCACCTTGATGATGTAGACGGTACCATCTATATCGATATCGTCAACGCTAGCAGAATACATCTAATACTCATTTAACAAACACTATATGCTGTATGATCTCAAAAATAACAAAAGGGGCCTAAAATATATAACTACACCGAAGAAAACAAAATAGATAAGCAAACTCCCAATTGAAAGCCAATCCCATACGTAAATCACGCACTACTCCTCAACCTCTTCTTCTCCGCTATAACCCTCTTGACCTCTCTGAAAACCCCCAAGACCAGCGGTACGCTTACCGGTCCCAAAAGCGGTAGATAAACTGCTAGCTTATGTTCATCGGGGAAGTACACTTGTGCAACCATGGTTCTTTCAAAGAAAGCCTTTTCGGCTTCTTCCTGTGCTACCCTCCCCATTTCTAATGCTTTTACAAAACTACCCTTTCGGAGTTCTTCACACGCAAGGGATAGGTGGCGAATACTATCTTGAACGCTGTCGCTTACTGTTGTGGGGATTGAGATAGAAGGAAGAGCGTTGACGAGACGTTGTAGAGAGCCTAGGGTGGATGAAGCTGAGACTAGGACTTCAGCTGAACGCTGACGGATTAAGGAATCTAGTCTTATTGGGAGGGATGCGGGATGTGGTGGTGCACCTAATAGTGCAAGAAGGTGGGTTGCAAAGGTTTCAAGAACGGGTTTCAAGGTTGGGTTGGAGAGATGTTCGAGGCCGGATGCCGAGTGGCCGAGGTTTAGGATTGTAACGCCGCCCCATTGTGGAAGGAGGAAGGAGTTTGAATGGGATGCTGAAGGGATTGTTAGAGGTGAGACCGAGGGATGGGGGATGTAGAGAATAAAGTTGAGGTTTGGGTCGTTAGAGATGGAGGCGAGCGGCCATTCGGCAGAGTTGATGAAGCTGGAGAGATCTTCCTTTTTAAGCGTCCAGGATTGGGATTGGCCATCATAGCTTGGAGTTATACCCGAGGACATGGAGGCGTAGTATTGAACCTGGGTGGAGATCGTAAAGTTTGAGATTGGAGAGAGGGCTGAAAGAAGGGGAGTTAGGTATTGAGAGATTGCGGATTCGATGTCCCACGAGGCAGGCAGAGAAGTGGCGGTGAACAGGGAGAAGGTTATATGATAACTTGACGAGTATTTTACGACTCTTGACATGCGACGGGTTATGTCTGCAGTCGCAGCACGGGGCTTTGGGGGTGTCTTCTTGTCCCGGCCTTCATCAGCACTTTGCGAAGAAATGGCATTGAGCGAGCCGGGATTGCTGGTCTGCGGAAGCAACAGATGTTCAATCAATTCCTGTTCCTGTCGGAAAAGAACTTCGAGAGTTTCTGCGACAAATTTGGACAATCCAGCAGAGACACTAGATTGAGAGGACGAAGAAGGAGGCGGATAGTGGATATCGACGATTCTGGACGAGCTTTGAACAATATGGTTGTACCCATTCTGACTGTCAGGTATTAGGCGTAATAGACAAGCCACATTCTCGTCTCTATCAGACTTGGAATCCTCCTCTGATTCTGCTTTCTTTGCGGCCAGTCTTAATCGTAAATGGTGGGGCTTGTGGGCTGCGAAGTCATTCGCGTCGTCCAAGGCATGTTGAACGGTCTTCAATAAGTTTTCGGCATCTGGAAGAGACGGAGCTTCAACTTCCACGAGAAGAGGGAATTCCGTCTTGCACAACTGCGTTCTATAATATTAGCATCCGAATTTTCTATATCATTCATTCCATACCACAGATGATGCTAGTCATCGTATATCGCGTATAGTGGTGGTAGTGGCGATAATATGACAAAGCCGTACCTTTCCTTCAGACCAATTCTGCATCTCCTGCATCGGCAATGGAGCACGGTATATCGTCGTCGTCGCATGCCATAACGGTAGCCCCAGGAATATAGCAATCATCCAAGCTGAAAGCAGCACCCATAACCGTGTCCGCACTGTTTCCGGCCGCTCAGGAGGCGGTTGTTTAAACGTGGCAGCTAAGTCCCCCGTCGAATCGTCGGCGCCCTTGTCCACAAACCCTGCCGGCAGGATAGAGTCGTCATCTTGCAGAAGCTTCGACTGGGACCCGTCCTTGTCCATGGTGATGTTGTGCAGAAGTTCCCGATATCTCCTGCGTCGAGAGTCCGCGTCGTTGGCTTCCATGAATTGTCGTTGGTTGGGTTGTGGTGTATACTGTGTAACTAAATGAAGACGCCCTTTTCGGACATCGAGCCGAGACGTCCGTTTCCAACACAAACACCCCTCCACTTTGGACTACTCTTGAGCCCTTCCACCTCGTCGCGAGCTTCTAATTCGGCCCGAGGTGAATGGATTTATATTATCACGAGAGTGTCAGGTACATTACTTTGGAAAATAGGTCTCTTCGGTGGCATGTTCATTTATGCAGCTCGATAATTAATTTTCCTGCAGGCTGTTCGAATCTTTAATACTTCCCCGTCCAATCGGTCAACATTCTTCCGATATTCTTGAAAAGTGAACCACTTCCAGTGCAGTTCCGTCGAACACAATTCGATTAAATTTCCCCACACCACAGTCCGAGCCTTTGAATCCGTTAAGAAGACCGGGGTGTATACACACACACACACACACACACCATATTAGCGTCTGTTTCGTGTGGGAGGAAGCACTGGAAGAACGAAAGAACCACACGGGCTGGTTGAAGACGGCCGGTGGATAAATTGCAAGTCGTTCGGGTTCATGACGTCCATGCGCACATCCGGCTCCACCCTTCTGCGCCGTTGAATCAACCGACGTTGGTTAGTTCGGCAGGTTGATTCTATTGGTTCTAACTGGAAGGATATAAGGCCCTGTCTATCTCCTCCCCGGATTCTTTCCTGGAGAAACCTCCCCGCCGTTTGTTTCATTTATGGCAGTGTCATGCGGGGTACCATAAAATCGAATAAATCTGTCGCGTTAAATGCAAATCTTGAATCATCGCGAGAATAAAAAATTCAAGCTGTTTCTCGTCGACCGGCTAATCTTACGATCCTGTTTGTCGAAACTAAAATATATACTGGGCGCTAATTTCGAGACTCGGACGGATTAAATATGGCGACCCGGAATCTGTTATATTTACGAACTATCCCAACGTCTCTCGCTGAACTTCAAGCTGCAATTACTCAGGGAATACTCTTTTCATCTTCTTCTATCACATCGATCAAACACCTAGACATCGCTATTACCCTTCCTACATCCTTCGGCGCCAACATATCCAGACGCCATACATTCCATCAGGTGTCAAATATCATCAATAGAGTATACACTCTAACGGAAGGCATCAATGATGATATTGACGTTACTGTTATTATCCTTCACGAAGACTACAATGCCTGCGGTGGGGTTATCAGACACTGGAGTGATCTCAGAAGACTAAACGAAGTTGGGGGGTGGTCAAACATTCTATGGGTTGAAGACGCAGACGATCTTTTTGGACCAAATTGCAAAAATGTGATACCTTTACAGATAGAACACGAAAGTGTGAATGAGAGATGGTGGGAGAATCATTCCCATGCGATGGAGACACTGGCCGAAAGAGAAGAACATAAAATATCTTGTGGTGCGTTATTTTTTGATATCTCTATATCTTCAAGAGAGTCATTTCATCACTAACTATTACAATTACAGTTGGAGGAACTTTCGACTACCTACATGCAGGACATAAACTGCTCCTCACAATGACTGCATATATGATTCCTTCCGGTACGACCTCGCCAAAGATCATAATTGGACTTACCGGCGCCGAACTTCTCAAAAACAAGAAACACAAGGAATACGTCACATCATGGGAAACTAGATGCGAGGCTACGATATCTTTCTTACGTAGCGTTGTTGGCGATACCCGTCCAGTCGCTTTCCATTCAAAAGAAGATACAGAAATGGAATTACAGAGTGATCTGCCCACTTCTTCACGAATAAAGCCATTTGAACTCTCGTCACCGGTGGGGGGAGACCCAATAACGGTTGAGATGCATGAAATCCAAGACGCATTTGGGCCGACTATCACCATGGAGGAAGTCAGTTGTCTAGTGGTTAGCGAAGAGACTAAAGGGGGCGGAAAGCTGATAAATGATAAGAGGCAGGATCTGGGATGGAGTGAATTAGAAGTGTTTACGGTGGGGTTAGTTGGCGGCGATGGAACTGTGGCGACAAAGCTGAGTAGCACCGAGCTGAGGCGGCGGAGGGCCGAGAAAGCTGATGTCCTTAAGGGATTTGGGTCTTAGGGCGACTGTTTTGGGGTACATAACCGGTTGGTCAACCCGTAGGTCTAAGAGCTAGAGCTAGAGGCGTTCATGCGATTACAAGATAATCATTTGTTCTTTGGATACACGTACTTTTTGATAATATCTGATATCTTTTTTTTGTATCTATATCTGTATGTATGTCTTGATACTATCAAAAGAATTCCTTTTGGATGTACCGTGGTACGTGGCTAGACATCTCCCTCTGCTGCGCATTATGCCTGCTGCTGCGCATCAATGACACTATAAGGATAGCTTGACTACATCTAGCTCTCGATTAGACAATTTTTTAGTAATAACATTGGCGGACTAACTAAATAACGTTCGCACCGAAGAGCATTGCATGTAAAGAAACCTACCAATCGGACTATTTTATTCCTCACCCTATAGGACTTCGAGATTCCATGACGAACCCAAACCTGAAACTGGGGACTTCGAGCACGCCGGCGTTACAGATTCCACATGTTTCAACATGCAACATCAGACAACACGACCCCTCTCCTTCAAAGAAAACATCGAATTGATTCCACATGATCTCAGAAATGCAAAATGATGCAAGACGAGGAATATTTTCGAGAAATCACCTGAGGCTTATACGATGGACGAATATAGCTATGAGGCATCGTGCATCGTAGCCGTTTCAAATGATCATTATCGCTTGAATTTCGGTTACCCGGCATCTTGAACTCGAGGTCATCCAATAACCTTCCGTACCATCTCGGAAAATTGTTCCCGGCGCCTGCAGCTTCCTCTAAGCCTCCGCCATGGAAGTCTTTGGATTTTTTTTTCTTGGCTGGTGTGTGGCTGGTATATATATATATATATATATATATAAACCGATTCCTTGCCCTATGATAAAGTCTATAGTAACGAATATTATATCGCGGATCGATCTTCGCAAAACTCTTTTTGGACTGCATTGTCCCTTCGATATCGATACTACCACGCCGGTCGTGATTTTCTATTCTTTCACTCTTTATTTTATTTCTATTCTACTTTCGTTCCTTTTCTATTTTATCGATCTGAAAATTTGAGAAAATTAAACTATTGCTGGCGATAGAATAGCCATATCTAATATTAATAAAGCCCCAAAATGAAGTACTCACTCGTTATCTCGACTTCAATCCTCCTCAGCACATTCACCACAACCCTCGCCGCACCGGTAAACCCATCAACTGCAACTGTACCAGCTGCTTCTTCAGACGAAGGCGATGAATATATCATCGTACTAGCCCCAGCCGAAAAGCGTCCATGGGGCCAAGTATTCACAGACATGGGATACAACATGACCTCCCGTGCCCACGATATTTCAGTAAACAAACACACCTTCGGTACAAACTACGGTGACCTCCGTACATTTGGCAAAGAGTTCCGAGCCTTTACGACTCATATGAAAAGCACAGATGCAGCTAGTTTAGCTTCACTTCCCAATGTTCTATCTATCGAAAAGGATGTGAAGTGGACTGTTAAAGTACAGCGGTATAATGATACATTTGGAACTCATAATGTTAAGGATAACAAATGGAGTTTCCCGATTGTGAAACGACAGGCACAACAAGATCAGTTGAACCAAGTCGTTCAACAAAGCACCGCGCCATGGAATCTTGCCCGTATTTCCACCGCCCAACCATTAACTTCCAATGGCCGAGAGGTGATCGATTTGAAGTTTAATTACCAGTTCGAACGATCCTCTGGCTTGGGAGTCGATGTTTACATGCTTGACTCCGGTATCAATACTCAGCATGTGGACTTTGGTGGCCGTGCAAAGATGGTGTTTACGGCTTTTGGGAATGATATTACGGATGGTCACGGACATGGAACTCATACGGCGGGGACAGTGGGGTCTACTACGTTCGGAGTTGCAAAGAATGTGAATCTCTTGGGGGTTAAGGTGCTTGATTCGCAGAATGCAGGATCTCTGTCTAGTTTTGTCGCTGGAGTGGATTTTGCACTATCTTCGCATTTGCAGAGGAGGACACAGCCGGGGTTTAAAGGTTTGCTTTTATATTCTCCATAAAATCTTCAATTTTTTAGGCTATTATACTAATTTTTTCAACTTTATCGATAGGATCGATTATTAATATGTCCCTCGGCGGCCCCGGTTTCGCACAGCCATTGTTTGATGCCCTCCAAAGAGCCACCCAAGCAGGAATGCACGTAGCAGTAGCCGGTGGTAATGATAACACCGACTCCTGTCAATTCTCTCCAGCCCAATTCTCACAATCACTTCCAATAATCAACGTCGGGGCTACCAACGTTGTTGATCAAAAATGGGAAGGATCAAACTTTGGAAAATGCATTGATATCCACGCACCCGGTGAAGGAATCGTTAGTACTTCTAACAAGGGACCACAAGCTATGGAACCTATGTCTGGAACTTCTATGGCTTGCCCAGCGGTCGCGGGAGCTATGGCGGTGGAATTGTTTAAGAATCCGAGTTTGGATCCAGCGAGTTTGAAGAAGTTGATTGTTAGCAAGGCGTTACCTGGAGTGCTTCAAGGTGTTACTGGTGGGAATGTGTTGTTGAATAATGGATTGAGGGCTGTTGGTTGATCGTCTTTTATATACTATCCTTTCCTTTCCTTTCTTTTCTTTTCTTTTTTTTCTGTACTTTCTTCTTCGGATTTAGCTTGGGATCTCATTGATAGCGATTAATTAATATATCACGAAGTTACGACTAAATGGAGGTCAGAAGTAATGCTGAATGTTCAATGTGGTCTCGAGCGAGTTCTTGCCTTCTCCTGTGCACGTGGAGTTACATTTATATATACCGACCTCAATTGAGGTGGCCTTAAAAACGCTCTTGAACTACCTTTATAGCCATATTATCAATTAGGCCACTTCACCTAATCCGCGAAATGCAAACAAATAGTAAATTAAATAAAACCTTCAAGAGAATTCAGAAGTATGCTTATAGATCTAAGACTGGTTGCATTTGTGAAGATAGTTGGTCTAGCTTTAAGTTTGCATTTGCATTCCTCAGCTTAAGATCTTGGCTTGGCCCGTTTCCTTGACACAGCATCTCGAACCTAAAATCTATAACAGTAAGTGCTATTACCTCCGACATCCTTCGGTTTTCGAATATATATTCCTGTAAGTTTCCGTTTTCTCATGGGAGAAAAGATGAACACGCAATTCCTATTCGATTTGTCAAAAAAAAAATAGGAAGAAGTCAGTCGAATACACAGTTGCAGTTGCGGTTGCAGTTGCGGCGCAAAATGGTCAAATTGGAAAACACCAGCGAGCTAAGCTAAGCTGACATTTCGCGGTCCTATAAAAACCCACAGATAGTTTACAGCCGGAACGATGCCGGCCTTACACGGTCCAACATCAGCTAGCCTGCAGCTTTCGCGGCACTTCCAAAGCAGCAATAGCTTCAATTCGAAACAGTTGATCCTGACATCCATCTTCACCATCTTCCTCCTCTTCGTCACTTCAACAACTTCAATTTCAACAATAGAAAACAAAACCAGCGTTTCAACAATGCATACCCCAGAGACACGAATCCTCTCCACACTGGTGGAATCCCTAGATTGCACAAGCGCAAGAAACGATGACATAAACCTAACGTTCGATTTAAAACCCCGAGCCGATGGGCTCGCTCACGTCGTCGACTGTCAGAGTTGGATCGAACTTAGTATACCCGATAATGTGGGGACAACGGTAGAAATACCGTTTGTTAGACCCAATCAGTTCCCGGGTAATGGCCCACCATCGGTGTTGATGACCATCAACGGCCGGTATGCAGGTAATTCAGGAGTGCAAATGGATACCGGTTCGGTAGGTTAAACAACAACAACACTTTTTTCCTCTTCTTCTTCTTCTTCTTCTTCTTCTTCGTGATTTGTTATGGAAAGAAGCTAATGATTTCTTTGGGGTTTTCTTCTTGTGAGGTTGATGTAGACGGGGATAACGATTGGGAAGGGGACCTGGATTGAGTGGTTTAATGGTAATTGGAGCGAGGCGGTGAAGTACGAACGAGGTTGGAAGTTTCTATCCTCCTCGAAAAAATTATATTCCGGTAAGCTTCACATTCTCCACGGTATGGACTAGTGTATATACTAATTAACGAACAATGGGGAAACTCGAAAAGGTCACTGGGTCCCCACAACATTAATATTCCACGGTAGAGCAGCAAACGGTACCCGAACCGACCTGTTAAAAGCCGTAGTACCGGTTCTGGTCTTCGACACCTACTACATCTGTCCAAAGTTCACAAACGACCAAGGATCGGTCTGTACCGCCCCAACAGACCAAAAATCCGGGAATATAACCGGGTTATACATGGGTGTTGGATTCGGTCGAGAGCAAGATGGGATGATTATGTGTACACCTGATAAAAACCCACTGTTGAACGTGTACGAAGTCAACGGGCAGAATGTCGCGGGACCGAATAATCTTAATAAATATCATCTTGGTTCGTATTAACTCAGTTTATTGATTAATATTCATACCAAAGAGCTAGAGCTAAGTTGATAAACACTTATAAATAGGCTACATCGTTCGATCCGACTCTCTCGTCTGGGGCCTCACCCCAACAAACATAAACGGCTTCAGATGGGTGTCCCTCCAAAAGCAACCGAACGCAACAGACTATCGCGACTGGGCAATGGCCACCCTCCAAGTCTCAATAAACAACGGAAAATTCCGCAGCGGCTCAATATTAGCAGATACAGGTGTCACACAGATGTACCTATCGTCACCAGACGTACCGAAACCCATCCCCCCTTCTTATAAGATAAACTTAAAGATTCCGGATATACAAGGTTCATTGGGAGGATATGTGGTTACGGCGAAGAGAGTGGGGGGGAATGCAACCGCTGGCTCTTCGGTACCAGGAACGGCACCGGCTTATGTTGGAGGTACGAATACGGCGGGGATTGTTAGTGGGCCTGGGGGAGGGGTTTATGAACGAGTATTTGTGAATACGGGGAGTAGATTTTGGAATGGATTCGAGGCGGCGTTTGATGCTGCTGGAGGTCATTGGGGGGTTTTAGAGAAATCAACCTCATGAGTATAATATAATATACATCGGTCATGGGCGTACACATGCACATTATTTTGGGGGTTCATATGGCGATATAAAGTCTAGTTACTTATACTCTAGCTTTTAAGCATATCAGCGGAGGCGTTAGCGTTATCATTATGACAGACTACTATACTAACTAGAGCATCTGGGACTCGATATATATAAATACTTAGTATATATTTAGAACGAATTTATGAAATACTTCGTCGCTTCCAGTCCCTAAGTTTGAAAGTGGATATTTCCCTATCCTCGATAGCTAGTTTCATGCCTATTCTATGTGGATATCTATTCTCGACTGTAATTCCAAAGAATGTATAGCTATCATCGGTGATAAGGTACATACAGTATACTACCAGGAAACCCACCCCGGCCCAACGGCGTGCAGGAATTCTGGGTGTTTAGTGTAACCTTCGCCAGGAACAGCCGTCGATAACCTTGTTTGAGCAATCGCATCCGGGAAAAAACCCTGCAAAGACTCTGTCGCTTTGACTAACAGAATTCAGCCGACATTTAATTACTAACTATAAGCTTATCCCCTGTAAGAAAACACTCCACCGTCGAAACATACCCGCCGGTAAGCCGTTGCCTTTGCTCCGAACTCGCGTCTTAGCTTGGGAAAACAACGTTGGTCGCTGACTCATACCCCGACTTCTCCCCTACTTCTCCCCTTCTTCTTCTTTTTCCATTGGCTTGAAGGTACCATTGATGTTCGTTCCAGCACCTGCAGGGGACAGAAGACCTTCAAGTATAAAGTAAAAAGAGTTCACGATCCTTTTTTTTTTTTGGAACTTTATAGCTTTATTTCTCGGTCGCATTGTTTTCGGTTCGCTTTGTTAGACCCCTCCTTCGGTAACGAACACCCCACCATCAGCAATTGACTTTCTTTCTGGGCCGTTATCGATAACGACAAGAAGATTCGAAGAAGATTCCAGGAAGTGAAGATTGACCGACCAGCAGCTGACAACATTTTAATTGGAATCGAATAGTCACATCATGGCGACTCCTCCGGTACATCTGCCTCTCAGCGAGGCTGCTCGCGGTGCAGCTCGTCTCAGAACTTCATTCGTCGACTCAGCCCGACCCGAAGCCGCAAAGGCCCTGGCAAACGAATGGGCGCCTTCGTCCTGGCAATTGAAGCCAATCAAGCAGGAAGTCATCTATCCAGACCAAACCGCTTTCGAAAAGGCTCTATCGAAACTTGAGTCCTTGCCGATGATCGTCCACCCGACCGAAATCAACAACTTGAAGTCCAGCTTGAAGGATGTCTGCGAGGGCAAGGCCTTCTTACTCCAAGGTGGAGACTGTGCCGAACTGTTCGACTACTGCACCGAATCACAAATTGATGCCAAGATTGCACTTCTATTGCAGATGTCATTAGTTTTGATCCACGGTCTCCGACTTCCGGTTGTTCGTATCGGTCGTATCGCCGGCCAGTTCGCAAAGCCACGGTCTTCACCAACGGAGATCGTAGACGGCAAGGAAATCCCTTCCTTCAGAGGCGATAACATCAACGGCTTCGATCCTAGCGAGCGTACTCCAGAACCTTCACGTCTCGTCCAAGCGTACTTCCACTCCTCGACAACCCTCAACTACATCAGAACCCGTCTTGGCGCTGGATATGCCGACCTACACCATCCGTTCAATTGGTCTCTGTCTCACATCCAAGACTCGGAAGTCAAAGCTAAATACTTAAAGACAGTGGAAGCTCTTACCGATAGTCTCAGCTTTATGAAAACGATTGGTGCTGATACCGCTAGCTCGTTGCGTGGTGTAGACTTTTACACAAGCCATGAAGGTCTGCTTCTCGAGTACGAACAGAGCTTCACGAGGAAATGGGCTCCCACGCCGGGTGTCAATGGCGGCCAGGAAGGATGGTATAATACCTCTGCACACTTCATCTGGATCGGAGATCGAACGAGACAGTTGGATGGTGCGCATGTTGAGTATTTCCGAGGTATTGAGAATCCAATTGGTATCAAAGTCGGGCCATCTTTCAAAGAAGAGGAATTCGGAAGGCTATTGGATATAGTGAATCCTAGGAAAGAGCCTGGGAAGGTTACATTGATCACTAGATATGGATGTGATAAGGTTGAGAATATTCTACCGGGGCATATTGAGGCTGTGAGGAAGACTGGTCATCCTGTTATCTGGTAGGCGGTTTCTCTTACTTTCTCTCTCTCGTTGGAACTGAAAAAGGCTTTGGGAAGAATGTGATGAAAGCGAAACTAGAATTTTGCTGACCAGGTAATGTTTACGACGTACTTAATAGGCAATGCGACCCAATGCACGGAAATACGAGATCATCGCCCGGAACCGGTTTGAAAACACGACAGTACTCGTCGATTATGTCAGAGATCTTATCTGCACTGAAGATTCATAAGGAAAAGGGGACTTGGTTGGGTGGTATCCACCTAGAACTCACCGGTGTAAGTATCTATTTCCCCCTTTCTTTTTTTTTTTAAAAAAAAAAGAGAAACAAAACTGCTTCATACAATATATATTTATGCTAACGGGTGTTATAGGATAACGTTACCGAGTGTGTCGGCGGTTCAGAGGGCTTGACCGATGAGGACCTTTCTACGAATTATCAGACTTACTGCGATCCCAGACTAAACGAGAAACAGGCTTTAGACGTCGCTTTTACGATTTCGGATTACTACAGGAAGAATCCGTTTAACACATGAGTTTACTTTCATTACTTGAATTACGTTCATTTGTAGTCTTGGACGTTCATTGTTTGAATCATGTTCATTCGTTGAATATTCATGAAGAGGGGGTGAAAGGAGTCATTTGTAAATAAGTCAAGTCAGGGCAAGTAGTCAGCCCATAGCTGCTAAAAGTCATTCTGATATTCACAATAGGAAACATGATTATTCTCATTTCCTTGTGCAATACCTCTAAGAATTTCACCGTGAATGAATGAGTATAATGCTGAACATCTCCTACTGCTTTGTACTAATTTTATGAAGGGGTTTTTGCACTCTATATTTATTATATCTACTAGGTCTCTAACTCTACTAAATTACAAGACAAGCTTTGCAGCCGACAAACAAAGGAAACATGACAGGATGAATAAAACTAATAGTAGCTGTTGTAGCCAGCATTGGATTGCTGGTACTCATAAGGGTTGGATTGAGGTTGCTGGTATCCGCTGTTTGACCCATATTGACCCTGATTGCTGGCTTGTTGCTCGTATCCATTGCTGTTGCTTGCTGGCTGTTGGTAACCATTGTTATTGGCCTGTTGGTAACCATTGTTATTGGCCGCAGGAAGTGGAGGCTGTTTTTGACCAAGAGCAGCATAGAGGCAGACCTCCCACTTTTGATAGCAGTATTCAAGTCTGTAGCTTTGATCCTGAGGAGTACGAGCAACGATACTTCCACGCTTGAACTTCTGCTGTCTTCTCGCCTGTTCTTCCCTACAGACTTGAATACCATCGTCACAATGCTTACGGTTTGCATCACCGGCTCTAGAACCCGTTTGTGGAGTTTCCTTAGGTGCGGGAGTACCGTTGTTGTAGTTGCCATTGTTATTGTTATTATTGTTGGTCTGTGGGGTCTCGTAGTTTGGAGCGGTATTTTTATTTTCCGGCTGCTGCCCGTATGTATTCTTCCCGGCTGAGGAATCATAACTTGGCTGTTGTCCGCTAGTGGCGTAGGGGTCCTTGTTGGCGTTCGGATAGATATGCTGTCTACCATTGGAACTAGCACCGGTGTTCACCATGTTATAAGCCGTAGCACCGATATTACCATCGATAGACGGACCGGGCAAGCTATAGCTATAAACGGCCGGATCCCCCCTCTTAGTACCGACGTTCAAACCGGATGCACCACGTTGATAAGCCTGTAGGAGAGATACACCCTGCGGATTCGACTGTCCCGTGCCACCTGTAATCTCCAAGTTGAAACAAGTAGGATAAAACTGCACTCCATCCGCAGAATTTGTACTTTCCAACGAAATCATCTCATGTCTCATGATATAATTCCCTGATTTTATATTCTTTGGTAGTTGAATATTCCAAGCATCACCCTGCTTCATCATCAAATCCGTCGCCCAGGTATTCTGGCCGGCGTCGAGAAGTCCAGCTTCTTCGATTTTAAACCATTTGAGTTGTAGGTTATCCACAGCACTGCAGTCGCCGCCACATTCGGCTAGGTATGTTAAGATGGGACCCTTGTGGGCTTCGGGCCATTGGTTCCAATGGAAGGTTATCTTACTACCCGCGGGGGCAGCGGCAGTTTGTCGAGCGGGTTTGGCACCGTTTTGACATAATAGAGAGTTTTCGAAACGGAGGATGGCAGGACCGTCGGCGTTGGCGCCTTGCTGTGAGGCCCAGGGTTGGGTTATTCCATCGGCGTAGTTGCCGTTGTATGGGTCGAAACCTGGGTAGGATTTGCCGTTGATGAGGACTTCGGTTACGAAACCGTGGGCGGAGACGGAAGTAACGAACGAGATGAGGGTGGCTAGACCCGCTAATGTGGACTTCATTTTATATATTTTTTATAAATATATACTATAGTCTATAGTATATTTGGATGTATATCTTTAGGAGGGTATGATAGTATAGAGAATGGAAATAGCTGCCTGCAGCTTGTGAAGTATCGATATCTCTGATATGGGTTAGGAAATAATAGGTAACCAGACCCTATATAATTATAATTATAAGAGAAGAGAAGAGAAGAGGACTATAGAATGAAGTGCAGATGATGATATCGAATTTAAAAAAAAAGGAACCAGAAACCGGAGGGAACAGATGGTATTTGTATTAGCCATTACATTAGTGGTCCGCTGCACCGTTAACTGCTAACTTAGCTATGGTATAGTCTGGTATTGCATTGTTACTGAACTGTGGCTTGACAAAACACGCCCCTTCTTTACCCCCCCAAGACGTACTAGTTTACTAGGTACCCAACGGTAATACGACAAAAAAATAAAATAAAATAAAAAAAACAATGAGAAAATGGCCATACCAAATTAAGAACCAAGGGCGCATGCCCGGCCGGGAAGGGTTGTCTTTCCCTGAGCTGCAGACTATGCATTGTAGACGTAACTGCCTGCCCGAAAAGGACGAGACTAGTCCGAGTGTGAGTGTGGTCGTGAGACTAAACCAAACTTGTTGTTCAAAATTCTCCAGTTCGATTCGGAACCGCTGTCTGGTGTTTTGTGTAACGCCTTTCTTCTCTTCTTCTCTTCTTTTCTCCTTTTTTTCGTTGTTATTACTACTATTATTCTATATAAAATACTATATATCATGATGATTGAGGAGTGACTATCAATTGTCTATATCATTTATTCAATTGAATTCAATGTTTAGGTGTAGTTATTGAAATGAATGGCGGGCCTGAAGGGCTTGCGCCGGGAACCTGCATTCAAACGCTGGTTACAGGGATCCTGAGACCAAAATTATATAATCCTTGTTACAGAACACGGCTTGGCGCCATTGGCCTCCGTCAGATGTCTTACTTTTTTCTCCCTTGACCGAGATCCAGATCCAAATCTTCGCATAGTTCTCTTCGATGTATTCTTCACCCTTGGTTCAGGGAGAGAGACAAAAAAGAATTAGTGGTCAGAGCTCCCAAAAGCGCGGGGAAATAAGCTTAAAGAAGGTATCCACCCCCGGGAATCGAAGTTTGGAAACCATTGTAACCATATGGCCATGCGCATTCACATGCGTCATGATCAGGAAACACGGAGTACCCACTTTTTTACGAATCTTCTTGCTGTTTTTGTACTTTACCGAAGGGATGGATCGTGGGATCTCCTTTTGAGCCTCTCCATCTTGATCTGAATCAATTCTTTCAGCTGTTCTTTGACAATTCTTTGCCACAATACTTTAATTCTTCCCCCCCGGCGCCCCCCCGGCGCCCCCCTGATCTTTCCTTATTTAAATATCTTATGGTATCCCCATGTCAATCTGTTGCTCGGTAAAGTACATACTTACATGTACTTGCGACGATTAATATTTGAAAGCGGGTAATAGTTACCAGGCCGTCGCTTAGCATGACTTCTATAGGATACGACCAGGGGGGGGGCTTCGATGGCTTATGGAGGGCCTAGAAACGCCAGGCTATTTTCGAATTTTCGAGTTTTCGAATTTTTTTTATCTTAACCCCGGTCAGTACTCGTATGCTTCCTTGGTTTGATTAAATATATTACCTAAGAGCTTTAAGCTCCCAAGCGTCAAGAACCGTGGCACCAGCTTGTGAAGGTTCTGACCGTCCTCTGGGCCTGCAGCGCTGGTATCACTTAACAACTTTTTTCTCGATCGGTCTCTTCGGAATCGTTTCATATGGAAAGGGAGTATTCGAGATGTCAAGTGATGAGTGGATGTATTGCAATTTTAAGACATTGAACCGCCAGGCCAGCCGTGTGTGGCTGCAAGTCTCTGACATTTCCGATGCAAATTGTATCCTTCACTTCCTTTCACCCTGAAATCAAAGCTTTAATGCCCTCCAGATGATTGGATACAGCTCTTAATTAACTTCAATAATTCCACATACATGCATACATACAAGAGAGTCCAATTTACCCCTCCTTCCTCTTCTGTGGTTTATTTTTCTATCGATCGTGAATTGAATATCATGAATCCTAACTCGAGGAAATCGCATGCAATGGTATACCATACGACCAAGTATACCTCAGCAATTGGTCGGAACTTCAATCCGAACGCCCCGCTACCACCTTTACTTTCCTCCCATTACCACCAGGTTTTACATGTTCAAACCGCTTATCCCTTCTCTTACTCCAACTCCCGCTCCTCTCGTCTACCCCTTCATCAGCCCTTAAGCTCAAATCACTCCCATTGATGAATTCACACCCCTTACTACTATAAACCCTTGTAGCATCGACCAATCCCACCTTCCTATTCCTATTCTTCTTATGCTTTAGCTTCTCTTTATCTACACTCTCATTGGTTGTTTCTTTCCCACAACACGGCTTGGTACCATCCCCATCATTAATATTCGGTGGGTCGGTAGAAGTATTGGTAGTATCACTACCCGCCACTGCTCTTGCTGCTCTTGCTGCCCCTGCTGTTGTTGTACGTCCCCCGCGAAGTAGTTGGCCTTTAATCCATTTCCTGGCTCTGATCCTTCTCATAACCTTTTGTAAACCGAATACCACCCCTGCGAAAATTAGGAATGCGGAGAAAAGGGATGCCCAGGTTATTATTGCTGGGTGGGAGAAGATGGCGTTTGTGAGCATTGTTTCGTTGGTCATGGCGTTGGCGGTTAGGTATGGTGAGGATGGGTTTATGCCTGGGACGCTACGGGATAGAGATGGTAGTGATGAGGAGGAGGAGTTGACGGTTAGGGTGGTTGTGACGGTGGCTGTGGATGTTTTTGTGGATATTGATATTAGATATGAGAGTGAAGGTGAGATTGAGAGGTGGACCGCTGGCATTTTTTTTTATGTAATTTTGTGAGTATATAGATTTGAGGTTATGATCATATCGATATGGAGCTGGTTATATTGAAGCTGGTGATAGTTTATCATCATGCGTGTAACCGGTGAGATCTCGAGGCTCAATTGATAAAATGTTTAATCTCGAAGTTTACTTTCCTTTAAGACTGACTTTCGCTTGATATCTTAATGGGTCACCACTCATAAATCCGAATGATACATTTTAATTTCTTTATTTTCAGCATTTTTGGAGTCTTGAGATGATACCGAGACCGCGAGGACAGAGGCCAAGAGTCGTGAGGACGTTGCCTTTGAAGCTCGTGAAAAATACAACAGCTCTCTTGCGTTGCCTGTTAGCCATATTCCTTATTGTTCCAAGGAGGTTTAGTTAGTATTGAGTTCCATACTGAATACTAAGACTTTAAGGTGGTCATGAAGATTTGAGTAGCAATTAAGAAAATATCTTAAAGACACAATTCCGCGAACTTTTAGTATTGTAAATATATTAGTATCAGTATATCGGTAAACATAAACAAAGCTTCAAACAAAACCCCAAATTTAAATTAATAGTCTATATCACCGCCCTTCAGCTAAGTCTTAATATACTCTCAGCATTAAACTCCTCCGAAGGCTGAAGATCAAGACTAGGAGTTTCAAGACTAATACCAGTAGTACCGGCCCCATACGTATTCTCCGTAGCAGGAACATCCTGCCCCCCATTCGCGATCCCAATAGTTTCCTCCGCATCGACAAAATTACCAGTCGAAGTCTGAACTTCAGGTAGCTGCATACCCGGCAAAACAACCGTCATAGGACTAGACGGTGCAACCTCAAGCATAGCAGCTTCAGCCGCAGCATTATTCTGTATCCAAGTCTGGTCGGATATACCCTCAGGAACAGGAGTATGTGAATCACTCCCTCCAGCACAGGATTCACACCCCGTAGAACCATACTGTGCGCAATTCGAACAACCCACGGATCCCGACATTGCAGCTGCGGTTTCGATTGACAATGTAGGATCTGAATTACCCCAAAACCCACCGGTACCGGGGGGCATTAACTCACTTCCCCCAACGTTAATAAACCCCAACTTCTCATCATTGTTAAAACTTTGAGTACGAAAAGCAACTCCAACCGAACTATCCGTAACAAATCCGGTTTGTTCTTGATCGGTATCAGCGCTACGAAAATCCCTAACACTCTCAAGATCAAGATCTTGACTGGAATTATCCTTGATACCCGCACCGTCACGTTTTGTGACTGTGCCAGCGGCAGCAGCGGCAGCAGCTCTCTTTTGTCGGAATTTATTGACGAGGGCGAAGACGGCTAGGGAGACGACTACTAGTCCGATCAGACAGGTTATGATGCCTATTATTAGGTCATCCTTTTTGCCCATATGTTTGCTGCTGTTGCCATGATCGTTGTTGCCGCCGAAGCCGCCGAAAATGCCACTGTTGGGACGGTTGTGGTGTTTTCCGCGTCTGTTGCTGCCACCACCTAGGATTTTGGTTATGTCCTTGAGGGTTTTGGCGGGTTTGTTGAGTTTGGGGTCTTTCATTGTGTCAGATGTTGGTGGTGGTGGTGGTGCTGACGGTGGTGGTAGGTTTGATGGTGGTGCTGATAGTAGTGGGGATGAAGGAGGAGGGGGAGGGGGAGGGCTTGGAGAGAATGAAGAAGATCCAGAGCTGAAGAGGCTTTTGACTCCGGATATTCCAGATTTGATTCCAGATGTGATTTTTGAACCCCAGCCCATGTTTATTGGTAGAAATATATATTTATTTTGAGATGGTTCTAGGAGTATTTTGAGGATTGGTCTATAGTAAAGTAGAGAAAAGCTTAGCAGACTTTGGTAATAATTATTATATCTCTACGGAGTCGATTTGATAACCCAGAAAATCCGGGGAGGGGTATGAGGTAAGGAAGAGAGGTGGGGCGGGTAGTGTAACGGGGTTTGAGAGAGTTCACTTGATTCCATTGATCTTTGGATCTCCGGAGGCGTATGTTTATCGATGCCTTTGAGGATTGGAGTTTGGAAATTTATTGTGATTAATTGGAGAAACTATATAGATCGTGATAATAATGAGCTAGGTCTATTTTGGCTCAGCTTCAACAGCTTTGGGATTTATAAAATCTGGGATACCTTATGGTTCATGTTTTGTATACAGTAGAAATACTCCACAAATGCTTATCCGCGAATTGTTTATGGGTGTTATGTTGGAGAAAACCTTGGATGGGGTTTAAGGAGAACTTGCTCAATTGTTGCTTATAACGCCTCATGGATACAGAATGGCTGTAGGTACAGGTCTTTCTTGTTCCTAGGGGAGTGAAACATCCTTCGGAGAATTTTCTTCTTTAATTCGGCAATTGTGATTGCAGTCGACGGGGCGGTTTGTCAATGATGGTAGTGATTAGGGGCCTATGCTATAGATTAGTCTAGGTGTGCTATAGATATAAGTTTTGAAGATCCTGTTATAATGAAGCAATCGAGGATATTGTGATATCTATATTTTTATATGGCACGTTTGTGAAGAAAGTAGAAAATATTTGTAAGTATTCACAATGTTGAAATATACACAAAAGAAGGGATAACTTTTGATATCTAACCTACACGATCCTGCGCGAGGCCTTGGGTATCGTGATTTGGATCAGTCACCTGCGACTGAATTCCATCTATAACCGGAATCCCGTTCAACTCCTCCTTCTCTTCTACTTCCTCTACGTCCTCATTTATCTTCTCTTCCATGACTACACCCTTTTCATCTTCTTCTTCAACTTCTAAAATCGGCGTGAAGCCTTCTTTTAACGATTTCTTTCGTCTTTGCCATAGTCTTTTTGATTTCGGTGTTGGCATTTTCCCTAATCGAGCTCTTTCCTTCTTCGCCGTGCATCTCGGGTTGCATTTGGTCTTCGGTGTAGATAGTGCTTCGACTATTGAAGAGTGGTATGCTATAGCAAATATTGGTGCCGTGATGATAGTGGTCACCAAGAGAAAATTAAGAAATGGGATTTTGAGGTTTATGGTACCCATCGGATCTTCTCTTTTTCCTGTATTTCTTTCTCTTTTTTCTTTTCTTTATTTCCGTAACTGTGATCAAGGTCACTTGGTAATATCGGTCTTCTTTTCACTGGCCGGAGATGTACTCTCAAAGCACTGTTCTAGATGCTTATTTCCAACCGAAGGCCTTGCACCCACAGCCGGCAGCGGCCTCGGGGCTCGACTCCTCCCTCTTTCTACTACCTCCTCTTTCCCTTCAACCGTATCCCTAGAAACCTCAGACCCAGCTCTACTAATCCCACTCTTTTCACCACCACTCCCACTTCCACTACCACCACTACCACTACCAACCCTAGCCCTCCTCTTTTCCAATACTTCAAGCTCCTCTCTCCTCTTTCTCGTCAAAACCTCTCTTCTATGTCGTATTATCTTCGGTGTAATAACTGCCATAAGCAGTAAGAAAAATAATGCACCGACGGTGATTCCTACGCCGATTATGGCGTCTAAACCTGTGATTTCGGCTGGTGGTGGTGGTGGTGGCGGCGGCGGTACTCCTCTTTCAAGTTGTTGATGCTGTTGTGGGTGGGAGGCTATGGTGGGAGACATGCCTCGGGTTTTTATATCTGGGGAGGGGAAAGTAGGAGGTGTGCTCGTGGGAGGTTTTGGGAATGGGGGTGATGAGGGGCGTAGATATATTTATATATAGAGAGGGAGCTTGGTATGTATGGCAGAGAGGGTGGGACCTTTCTTTTTAGGTACTCATTTTGGTTGAGTGAGTGGGCTTTTTTGATATAAAAAATAGGTATCCCACTGCTAACTAGGTAGTTTCAGGGTATAATTATAATGGGTTTAATCAGGGTATGGCAAGGGTAAGTTGAAGACTTAGACTTGATTTGGTGGTTATATCATGTGGAATTATAAGATTTAGGAAGTGGTATTTCCCTCTCTCTGCAAAAGAAAAAAGCATAGATAGTTTTTTGGGGAGGAAAGACGACAAGATGGCTCGTGAGGATTTGAGAGATCTAGAGAGTGTTTCAGAGAGAGAGGGATAAAGCGAACAACAAGTGAGTGAGTGAGTGGAAAGGGAATGTTGCATATTTTGCGTTGGTCAGAGGTTGTTTTCGGGTTGATATCGATACCGATATATCGACATGTAGCTGGATATTATTCTCATATATGCGATTGGGGGAGACATTGGGATATAGAACCGTGAATTTAAGTAACAATTGATGGATTCTTGAAGAAAATGTTAAGTATTTTATATGAAGTTTTGTGGACCTGTCGGGCCAACTAGGTCGTGGAATGCATGAAATTGATACCTATTTCATTAATTAATTTTATATGACTAAATGCAAGTTAGAATAACCAATTACATATATTATTTTTTGCTCATTGCTTGACTGGAATGGCTGCTGGATCGTTGGATAGTTCGAAAGGAATACGGTGGTGACGAATTATATATAAATAGTTATCCCATTCTATGTTCTATGGATTTGAGCCATACCCGCTAACTACCTAGGTAGGCTGCACCTTTTTACTTGAGGTATACCTTCAGTTAGACTTTACTGTAACTACACCGATATAGTGATATCTCGATCTTTTGTTTCTGAGTGTTAGTACATGTATAGATGTACTGCCACCCCTGCATTTGCTCCTAGTAATATAAATCCAAGAGCTTATATAATTATGATAATATCTATGATTATATCATCCATCTTACATTTCTACACGTATCCATCCCAAGCGGTTTCATATGTCGGCGGCCCAGTATTGCTTCTATAAGAAGGTGGTTTATCCTCAGATTCTGTAATAGAAGGCGCCGGCACTGACGGCGTCTGTGATGGTGGTGGTGATGTTTGTACTGGTGATGTTTGTACCGGTGGTGTTTGTGCCGACGACGACATCCTCCACCTCCTCCACCTCTCCCTTCTAGTACTCCTCATATTCGAAACTCTAGCCACAGGACTCGGCGTCCTAACCATCCCCATCTCCGCATCTTCCGGCATCCTGGGTAAAGTTACCCTAAACATCCTCCCACCCCTGATAACAGTAATCGGTCTTCTCGAACGACTGCGTGGTGACCTATATTGTTGCCAATTTCCATCGTAACTCCCCGGTGGTGGTGTAGGTGGATTCCATTCGTTTCTTCCGTCTGCCCTCTCACCGCGCATTTTTCGAATACACGCTTTTAATATTGCTATCGCGAAGACTAGACCACCCAGTCCGGTTAGGGTGGAGATTACTATAGTGCCCATTCGGGATTCTTCGGCTTGGGATTCTGGGGAGAGGGTTCCTTGAGGAGGGTCCTCGGAGGTTGGGGTCGGGAAGGTTGACTCTATGATATTTGAGAAGAGTGAGGAGCTCATTCTGGATTTGTATTAATATTATATATATTGTGGAGGATTGAGAGTAGTGTCGACTTCAAAGGGGTTTGAGGTTATCGTGTGAAATGAATGAGATTGCGAGGAAGTCTGGTAGTTGATTATGACAGGGTAGATGAATATTACGTGGATACGTAATTAGTTTGTGTACGCGCTATTAGACTTCTATAATCCAAGTCCTTCTTTGCCCCTTTGGAAGTGAGGCCTTTTTTTTACCTTTTTGATTTTGCGGGGACCGGAGGATGAAAGTTGGCTCGATTGTGAGATATGTATGTTTGGCCGATTGGAAGGGAAAGGTTGTTAATATGATGAAGGAAGATGAGCAAGTAAATTTTAAAAGCCAAGCTGACTTTAATATGAGCTTCGATCTTACATATCGTCCCATATATAGAACTTAAAATTTCACTACAGCTAGCGGATGAGTCGTCCCGTATGAAAAGTACCATTCCGCATCAGATAACTTAGTACCGTTGAATTGATAACTTTTGCGTTTGTCTGGGGTGTTAAAGTCTTTAATTTATTAGTTTGGAGTCTGTACATGTAGTACTATAGTTATAAACAGGTTATCTATTTTCCATGGGGTGTTATCCGTAGAGCTTGTATATAGAGCTGGTATTAGCCTTTTAGAAGCAATTGAATTTTTCTGAGATATACGATATTTAATTGTAGAATTACTGTCTACGGTATGAATAGATGGATGCTACGATACATGTTCGATGCATTCGAAATATCGAACAAATGTTGATTTGTGACTTCATCCGATTCTCAAAGGACGTGGTTAGCTAAAGAAATGCAATTTAGTATCTTTATTTAATCCTGGCCTTTAGATACAAAGTTCTTAATCCTTCGAGCCAATAAGGTCTCCATCGCTCTGTAGAGGTGAATGTGGTCAATCCTCAAGACTTCTATAAGATGGCGGTCGACTACGCTCTAAAGTAGCAGTATCACAGCTACTCCCCTTTCCAGCACAACTAACAGCCCCCAACTCTAACGCCGAATCCCCCCTCCATTCTCTTTCTATCCCATCTCGTGTTCTACCCGAGCTCCATTTCTTTACTTCCTTTTGGTGACGATGGCTTCGACATCCCACACATTTGCAACTTCGGATGCACTTTCGGATGAGCAAGGTGCCGACTATAAGGACCACAGGGCCGAGGATTATTGCTAAAACGATTGCTAGCATAGCCTCTGAGCTTAGCTTTTTGATGCTTTCGGGCTGGGAGTACGCGGTGCCCATTGTGTGATATTTGCTGTGTAGCTTGACTGTGAGGAGGCCAAGGACCTGGTTACCTGGAGAAGGCTATAACTATTTCAGTACAAGATGTGAGTACCTTAGGTCCGGACTTATTATATAGAGGAGTATGGAACTTACTATTGTAATAGCCTGGGGGTATGCTATGTATCTGGCACAGCTTTTGGTCGGATCAGTGATTGTTTGAGGGCAGTTTTGTCTGGACTGAAGTGATTCATGGAAAATGCGTCTATAGATATAGGACACATTGCTATATCATTCTCGGCGTATCCAAATTTAGGGACATATTACATCAGATACACATGCTTCTTAGGTATATACATATACATACTATAGATAGAGCAAATGCAAAGAAATACAGTAGCAGCGGCTATAAATATTAATATCAATACGCTTTTTTAGTTTAATAGCTTAGACCGGCTGATAGTTGTAAATTTCACAGATAGTTGTTTGATGGGATCTTTGAATATATATAATTGCCTAAGGATTTCCTATTGAATTCACAATAGCTCTATTACTTTGAGGAGGAATGATTCAATATACATTAGGTACTTAAGTAGATATATAAGTAGTATATAGGCACAGTACATAATTAGCCTTACTTGGATACGCCGTCAGTGCGTTACATACTGAACTAAATGCTCCCCAATTAAATAATGAGTTTCAATTCCCAAGAGTCCATCCCAAAATTTCTCTAGAACTAACCGTGAATTGATGATGAAGTGTACGGGGGCAATTCCTGAAACTGCGAAGAGTACGGTGGTGGCTTCTCACCGTCACCTTCTCTCAGACCCCCCTCCTTATTCTCATTACTCTCACTACCTTCATTATTCACATCATTCACAAATCTGCCCCCAAGTATCCTAAACGTCGCCAACTCATTGACTCCATTCTCCTCATCATTACGCGCCTCCCTCTTCCAAGCTCTTTCCCTCCTGCAGTGGCGAATCGCACATGTGATACACATGAGAAATATGATAACACCCGCACCACAGATTATCCATCCGAAGGTATCAACCGTATCAGATACATTAATTCCAACCGGTATGTCGTTAGGATGTGTGATCGTAACAGAATCCGGAATGTCCACGACCAGATCAACGTGATCTTGGTGGAAGTGTTCGTCGACAGGGAACTCTTGGCCCTTGGCGAGGGCCAGACCGACAAGGATACCGAAGACGGAGCTTAAGAAGCGAGGCTGTAGAGAGTGGGGAATTGGTGTCATATTTGTAAGGCCGAGGGTTTTGGTCTTTGGTCTTTGGTAGGTCTTGGGATTGAAGGATTTGATGATATAACTGGGAGTGAGTGTAGATAGTCGAGGGAGCGGAATGGCTGGTGGTACTAGAATATACTATACTATACTATACTGATTCTTGAGGTCATTTAGTTCCCTTAGATGCGACATCACTACCTCTGATATCCAGGGATCAATTCTCTCTGACTCAGCGCTGAGAATCGTCGCACTGATGTCGAGCTCAGGTATTTAGAGAGACGTGCATCTTCTATATCTAGCTACGATCGAAACTATCGGCGCGATCAGACATAATCAGCACTAGGGCACCTCGAACTAGCTCTTGTTATAATTAAGTTAGCGATAAGCCTATATATCGACGGACATTGAGGAGGAAAATTCCGGAATATCACAACGTGGATCGAGTTTACACGTGCGCACGATTCTTACCCTAAATCTATACCTAGTATTAATTACTATGGTAGAATATCACGTAAATAAATAATTATCTAGGTAAATATTAAATAGAATTCAGGCAACCGACTATGAGGCTTATAGCCTATACTCATACATTTTTTGATGATAATTAAATTTATTTGCGTATTATTGCGCTTTAAATGGGCGTCTGAGTATTATTTAAGCTTAAATACAGCTAGCTAGCTAGCTTCGAAGCTCTACTCAAGGAAATATTATTATCAATTATTAGTATATTATTAAGATCTCTAAATCTAATTCATGATCAACCTACTCGTCGTATAAGTTTATTAGAATCCTCGTGCTAATTTTAATACCAAGCTAATTGAGTATGGCTTGTGAATACATTTTCTAGGTAATTTTGTATTGTATACACGGAACTAAATATAGTAGTAAATTATGTGTCCTTTAAGCTCTGCCGGTAACCCCAAATGCTATTAATCGGTATATACAAACACAATGAATTGATAGGAAGCTATATGTAAAGGTAGGTAGGTAGTAGCTAAGTACTTGTGTCGTTGTAGAGCGGGAGTATCTGAAATGCCAGAGGTAGTGCCGTGATTTGTGTCTGCACGCGGGATAAATATCTAGGATATTTGAATATTTACTATCCCGTAGCCTGCTGAAATACTTTTTATGACTCTAAGGAGTTAGAACATTCGAGCTAGAACCTTCATTAAGTGTAGATTCACCCATATCCTTCATTTCGATCGAATCCCGGATATCCCTCGAATTCGAATTTGCTTCGAGACCTTCTTCTTCATCGCCAGCCTGTGATCTAGATATATAATCAAGCATCTTGACCATCCTCGCCCACAAATAGGTTTCTCCGAAGCGATAGATCCACTTAAAGGCAGAAAAAACCCAATCTCCAATGATTACGCAGCAGAGCAAAGGTGCAAAAAATGCAGTTAACAGGCAGTCTTTGATGCAATGCTCTTTATATTCGGCTAACATCAGAAACCCACCCACAGCAACGAGGGCGAAGAATATAAGCACAGTGGCCAGGCCGGTATCGATCGTGAATTTGGGTGGGCCACTGCCGAGGGCTGAAGGTTGGGGTGATGCACTTGTGCTTGTGTTCATTGTTTCAGTTTAATTTCTCTTTGGTATTCTTCGTATTCTGCGTCTGGTTGCGAATTCGTGAAAGAGGTAGGTTGGATTAAAATTTGATCCGTGGGGTAAATTTTACTGTAGATGCTGACCGTAATTTTAAGGGGGAGAAACTTGGGAGTTAACCGCGGAGGCTCAGGCTGCCAGTTATAGGATAATAAACGTCGACGTAAATTATGAATACCCTAATTGGGACCAATGTTCCGGCGGGTGTAATACGAGAGTCGAGGGAGCAATCAACTCATCTCCGTACTAAAGATAGACCAAATACTAGAAAGTGAGCAAATATTGATCTATAGATGATAGAACGGATGATGAGTGGGCCAACGATCAAAACAATAGGCCAATAGCCAAAACGTACCTAACGGGCAAAATAATAGGCCAACAGACAAAATGTGACGACGCTGTAGAGACACCGGGCTCATAACCTGATAGAAGAGATGATGAGTGGGGAAGGAAGAGAAGCCAAAAGAGTCCTGCAATATATATATATATCTATATATATATATATATATAGATAGATAGATAGATAGATAGATAGAGATCAACAGGAGATCTCTAACATACAGGCGTAACTCAGAGGTATTATAATAGCCTTTGAAAATGAGGACTATAATTAAAATAAACCGGAGGTTGAATCATGATGGAATGGCTGGGATATGACCCGTGTTCTTTCCCATGGATTAATAGGCCTTTGATCGATTCCATCAATCGTTGACGTCCCGGCCGGCCGTCCTGACCAATTCGATATTTAAGTCTTGAGTTTGAATCGCCGATACAAAGTTTTCAAACGATCGTATATCTCGTCACCGTCAAGCCCCAAAACTTTGCGTAACACGCCGTAGAGTAATATACTGGTGACCGTCAGTATAACTAAGATCCAAAATACACCCGTCATGATAGGATGCAAATAAGTTGAAGTAGGATCCAAAGGTGTATTTTGGCTGCGCAGCGTATCCGCTGGAGATGTTGTCATAGATGGTGACAGGGCGGGTATCGTTGCGGATGATGATGATGATGATGATGATGATGATGATAACGACGACGGCGAAGACGATATCAATTGGGTTATGGTTGTCTTGGTTATGGCCGATTGTGAGAGCAGGGTTTGAGATGTGAGCAATAGAGTTGGTGTTGGCTCTAGCCAATTATATGGTAATAGGCCCATCTTTGAATGTTGAGGTCTCTGACTTGGATAGCGGGTACTGGTTTTAAATGGAGAGCTCATGAGAGCCTTGAGGGGAGAGCTAATTTATTAATCACGTTATCTGATTTGAACAGATAATCCTTCCATCCGAAGTGGAATGCTTTACTATTAAGCTAAACGTTCAGGCTGTTGGTTGTGGGAACGGATGGAGGATGTTTCGTCTGGTCAATAAGTAGAGGATATTCCCGACAGAAATCTGTTAGATTTAAATGGCGATCAGCGAATAATTTAGCTCAGATTGGGCTGTTCTCTCAGAATATACGTAGAAAATTTAAAATATTGTGAATTCAAAGCTTACAAATTTATAAACCCCATACCGTATAGGGACTCTACTGATCGGGTGCACATTCCAAACTATTTACAATTGAAGTTAGACTAATTCAATAGCGACATGACTAGGCGGTATACCTTCAAAGATTTAAACAAACTGATTTGGTGTTATACGTGAGCTTGGAGATATTTTGAATTGCAAAGCCTGGCTACACCCTTGAAAATATAGATGCACTTAATGCGATTACGCTATTCTCGATGCTCAGCGTAATACGAACTAGCCCCATTGTCGTAATCAAGCTTTTTTGAGTCCTGTTACTCCGCCCTGGGAGTATAAGCTGGTAGACTCTCTTCTGAGTTCTCTGTACTATTTTCCAACTGATAGAGTACACGGTGGCCCTCAAAGCCTCCTCGGTGAATACTCGGTTGATAGATTTCTTTCGGGGCAGTAATCTCTTCATCAATATCCATACCCTTCACTTTACTTTCGAAGTTTTCACCACCTTCTTCTCCCACCGTGGAGCTAAGCCCAAATCCCACGTCTGCAGGCGACTGTTCATTACTGTTGGCGATAATATTTGTAGCCTCGGTGTCACCTATTCCCCCATCTAGCGCTGTATCCGCAATCTGTTGTTTATTCTTCTTTAACTTTCGGCAACTGCAAATCAATAAGTATAAGCACCAGCATAAAAGAGGTGTAAAAAACAGGACAAGTAATCCATAGGTAACATAAGTCGCTTTCATGCGGTTGAACTTTTTAAAGCCGCCGCAGGTGTCAGAACTGTAGGAGGAAGGTTCTGCATTGGTCTCGTTCCCAGGTGCCAGATACGAAGGCGTGTTTGAATCCGGCGGATTATCGTTTAGAGAACCGGAAGTAGGGTTCAAAGGACTAGAAAGATTGAAGGAGTTGATAGGGCTCAAGGGGCTGATAGGGTTGAGGGGATTGAGAATGCTACTGGTGAAAGAACCCGAACCACTGGATGATCCGAATGATTTGAGTGATCCAAGCCGAGGAATTGGTGGCATTTTAATGTATACGTATAAACGCCCTTGCTTTTCTTTCTTTCTTCTCCTCTTTCTTCGTTTTCCTTGGATGGTGTCGGCGAGCTTTTGATTATGTGTATATATATGTGATGTTTTGGTAGCGATCAATGCTAGTATTTGAAGTATTCCGTATCAGTATTTGTTTAGGGGTCAAATTGTATATAGAAGATCGAGAGCACCGGCGCGGTATTGGATACTGAAGGGAAATTGTGGATTGTATTCAATGGTCTGTAGTGTCTGTACTGTGATGGTCCAATATTCGGGAGATATCTAGATGGTCCAATATTGCAAATTAAAAGCTAAGAATTTATACCAATACATAGTAAATTAGTTTGCACATGTGGGGCCCGGTGATATCAGAATATTGCATATTTTGAGGTAACTAAAGAGACGGTGGTCACCTGGGTGAGCCATTTAGAGGATTTTAATCAAGGTTATCCATAGACCCCTATGTCGCTAGAATCAACTAATTACGAGTGCAAACTCGTTCACGATAAATCTTGAGTGGTGGAGAAGATCTTCCGGTTTAAGGGTTAAGAAAGTAAAATAATGTTTCGGAGCGTAGCCTCCAATCGATGACTTTGGGCTCGATTGTAAATGAACTGCCCGGGGCGGTCGATGATATGGAAAAGTATATTATGTATAATTAATATATATAGCTAGGGAGAATAAGAGGTGCACTTGATACTAGACATATCTCTACCTTTATGCCGAGCCAAATGGGTTCGAGCTGGTATTCATCTTTATCATTATCTTCGTTTTTGTGTTCGTAGTTGCAGTCACAGATGCCATTAAAAAGTTACAGCCGCAAAGGGCGTCGGTAGGGCTCGGAGCGGATCTGGCATTACGGATTACCCGTGGGAGGAGTACAGTATACGTGATGCTGGGATACCTAACTACTACTGCAGGTTTTTATGCCCGTTGCGATTACTATAATTAATATCTATATAGGCTTACAATCTGCTGAGTTTAGGGTATACGATCTCCATGTCCGCTTAACTACTAAGTAGTACAATAGTTAAATTGTGGTTGGAGGTATTTGGAGATGTTTACTAGCTACCCGACCTTAAGGATATTTTAGTAAATAACATGGCTAAGCTAGTCTAGTTCCACCAGAATACCCAAATGCTAATCCAAACCAGTGACATGATAAGTAACGTTATTTTAATCCAATATAGGTATCTAGCGCCATAATAATGCAAGGTATGTAAATAAAAAGAATAAAAAAGTGACCAAATATAACGATATCGCCGTCGCTTTTAAATTTGACTTTTCGTAGGTTTATAAAGTCGGTAATCTCGGCGGTGGTGAATACTCCCTCACATAAGTCTGTTGCTGAACTTGTTCCTCCTGTTCTTCTTCACGTCCAGCACGACTTTGAGACCTTAGTACCTCGGCTAAATCTGCCTGTCCACCTCTTTTTACAAACAAATCCCTCGCTTCTTTCCACCGTCTCATATCTTCGGAGGCGTGGTGGTATGCATCTTGTATTGTCATTCCCTCTTCCCTTCCACTTTCATTATCATTATCGATATCGTTGTTCTGGTATTTCTCTTCCGTAGTATTCGTTGTTGTAGAGTTCATGAATACCCCGTCGCCGTTCTGAGAAACGGGTATACTTGTAACTGGTTGTTTCCCCGTCGTATCGGGGGCGGGAGCGGCGTTGGCAGCAGCGAGTCCTTCTTCCATCTGTTTCAGTTGGTTACGGAATCTTATCCGTTCCATTTGGTTCTTATATAGTTGACATGTGAGCCAGATGAGTAAGAGTAAAAGAGGGATGCCGGCGAGGGAGAGGATTATGTAGAGGACTGAGGTTATCAGGACATCGTTCTGGTCGTCCATTTTATGAGAGGAGCCGAGTAGCTATAGGTCTAAGTATAGCTAGACGAGATCTCGAGACCTAGGTGCGGTAAGGGTACTCCAGAAACCGATGGTTTTTTTTGGAGTGGTAATCCTGCCTCCGGTGCTTTATAAAACGCACGGCCAGCAAGACCGCAGATATATGATCCCAAAACTCTTTACAATGTATACCTAGTGATAGGTAAATGAGTAGGTAAATAGAACAAAGGGTATATTAAAGAGAAGTGAAGAATTAAAGAGAAGGGATGGTATGGAGGGGTCCGGCAAGTGTCGAGGGGATGGATATGAAGGTGAGAGAGTATTTGAAATGGCGGCTTAATAAGTCTCTCGAAGATACATTTGAGAGAACTACACCGCCATATGCATACTAACCGGTACCCTTCCAAGAAAAGAAGTGATACTAGAGTAGTAATAACAGTAGTAGCCGTCGAGAGTCAGAGATATATTTCCCCGCTAGGAAGTAAGTACTTACTACTTAAGTACTTGTAAGTAAGCCTCAGGAGTAACAGCAGGTAATTTATAATATTTATATACCGTCGCCAACAACGCACACGGCGTCGACAACACATTTCTGGGACCGAGAGAATGTGGCATCTCCGAAAGCGGATTAGCCTCGTTTCCGTGCCCATACATTGTCCATACTAATCGACTAGTGAGGAAATGGACAATGGGCGAATTCAAAATGCAAAATGTAATCGACAGGGGCAGGAAAATAAGGCTAAGATGAAGAGAGAAGGAAGCAAGGCTGACCGAAACGAAAGAAAATCGACAACCGAATGGATATTATTAACAATTCAGACGAGACGAGACGAGACGAGATATTCGTACATACATGCATCCGCCGGGTAAATGGCTCGCACGTTCCGAATGTAACACGGTCTTCTTAACTTCTTTCCTCCTCAAATTTCCCGATCTTCTCCTTCTTTCGCAGGAATTCGAATTCGACATATTCTCGGTATTCTTCTAGTTGTTGTTGACAGTCGTTGGGCTTGGTTACTCATGATAGGTACGTGCTTTATATTATATCTCTGTCTTTGTCCGTGCACTTGAAACAATTAATTGGCGGGGGATCTGGGGAACTAATTTACTTGCATATTTATGATCACAGCGGGGAGGCGACACCACCACCACTTCAAGCTCTTCCGTCTCCTCGGCGCTTCTACGTCCTCTCCTCCTCGACATCCCCACCTCCAATCTAACTTCCACTCCCAGGCGGACAATTTTACCTCTGCCCGTCAGCCTCCTAGGCATCGCCCATCGTAAGCAGGCTCACCATTTACACCAAACCAACCCTTCCACCTAAAAAGAGGCTTCTCCAAGAAGTTTGAAAGGCTCGTCGCGAGTCTTTTACGTACATTTTTTGTTGAAACGATGGTCCGGATAATCGCTGATTCCTCCGTCCTGCTCTCCTACTCTCTTCTCGCCTTCTCCAGCTTCATCACTTCTGCCACTTCATGGACAAAACTCACCGATGCTGGTCTCAAAAAGATCCCTTCGCCGGGGGATACTCTCCATCCGGATCTCGGTCCTCTTCTAAAACCACTATTGATCCCTCGAGTTGTAAATACCGAAGGGTCGAGAAAAGCACTAGCTCATTTTACAAGCTTCTTCGGCGACATGGACTGGTCACTTCATTACGATAACTTCTCACAACCAACGGTATTATCCAAAGATCCCGTCCCATTCAGTAATTTTTGGGCAACTTTAGATCCGCCATGGAAGAAAAAGGACAATCAAGAAGGAGAGATTGCCAGATTGGTTTTGGTGGCACATTATGATAGTAAGATAGAACCGAAGGGGTTTATTGGAGCTACGGATAGTGCAGCACCCTGTGCTATGATCATGCATGTTGCCAAATCGATAGATAAGGCAATGAGAAGAAAGTGGGCACAGATGGAGAAGGAAGGTGACGAGTTTGCGATGGCGGATGAACACGGATTTATGGTTTTGTTATTGGATGGAGAGGAAGCATTTAAATGGTGGACTGCTGATGATTCCATTTACGGGGCGAGGTATTTGATTGCTTCCCTTTCCTTTTTATTTTACTGGAAGGTCTAGAGAATTGATTTAGGCTAATTGGTATGGGCGGCGTAGACATCTAGCGGATGTGTGGGAGTCGACAATGCACGCAGCGCACAGCACCTACAAAAACCACCTTTCGTCGATAAACCTTTTCGTTCTACTGGACTTGCTAGGCGGCCCCACGCCTCGTATTCCATCCTATTTCAAAACCACCCATTGGGCCTACCAACACATGGCCGACCTCGAAATCCGTCTACGGGCAATGGATCTTTTACAATCAGGCAAAGACCATGCTCTCTTCCTCCCCGACCGTGATAAGACCGTTTTCCCAGAAGGCTTACAAATTGAAGATGATCACATACCTTTCTTAAGAAGAGGAGTGGATATTTTACATATTATTGCTTCGCCTTTCCCGCCGGTATGGCATACAATGGAGGATGATGGAGCGCATTTGGATAAGGCAGTTGTCAACGATTGGGCTGTTATTGTTAGCGCTTTTGTGGTGGAATGGTATGGGTTAGAACCGTTCCTGAAGGATAATGGCGATGGGATGAGTACGATTTCTGAGAGAGGGAATAAAACGGAGTTATGACGAGGTGGAGAGGAGAAGAAGGAGAAGAAGCCCGAGGATAGCGGTACGGGACGGGGAAACTGGGACCGTAGTGGGGCCGTGATCTTGGGGCTAGGAGCTCTGACGATGATTCTTATGATATCGATGCTAGGTGTTTAGCTACTTCCTCATTGGTAAGTTAGTAGTTTCATAGTTTGCCTGGCGCATGCCTTTTCTTTTGTAGCTTTTTGATAGCAAGCTTCCTTTGGTTGAACATTACGTTTATGTTACCGTAATCGAACCGCAATGCATTATGATGTAGTTTTATGGAATTGTATATATATAGACTCTATTGCATTGGCTTGAAATCATTCCACTGGGATGCTGATGGTTGTTTGGAGAAAATGAGTCCCACAGAGGTCAAAATGCTCTTATCGATTTGCGTCTGCGCAGTCCGTTCATCTACCAATTGAAGAGTAAGAAGGTTTAGGCCTGTGTGACGTTCAATCGACATCTACAGAGTAAGCACCTGGGTAGCTGTGTGGCAATTTTCGTAGTGGTATGTCTATCAGCTGAGTTTGTGTCACCACAGCTTTCACATACACTCAACTGAAGAACCTGATATCCTTTTACTAGAGATTGCAGAATCAAGAATACTAGTATGCACGTACCTATGCTTACTTCTAGCGTCGAAATATCCGATCTTTGGATTGAAAAATTTTCCCCCTCGATTGAATAGAAATGAATCATGGTGAATTCATTGAATATATACTCTAGAATTGGGTAATGAACCACGGATACGAGCGGATAAGGGTTTTTGGGGGTATATAAAGCTGCAGAGGTTGGTTTGAGCGGGCCGCGTTTTTTGACTCATACACAAGTGCACTTCCCAATTGTAGAGCTAGGCTTTTCCGACGGTTAACTCTTTGGATGGCTTATCGATTACGTCGGATTACATTCCTCTTTTTGTTTTTGTTTTTGTTTTTTGTTTTTTGTCCTGCATCAGGGAGCTCTTGGTCCGATATATATCTTCTTTTTTTCTTCTCAAATTGAGTATACCTATAGCTAGATATAGATTCTTGATATAGCTGAGAACTGAATTGAAGAAGGTACTTGGAAGCTGTAGACGAGATACAAACTATTGATCAATGACTCTTTGTGCTCGGTTAACCGCGAAGGGCCTTTGTCAGCTTGTTACCGTTTAGCCCAGTGCGAATAGGGCAGTCCGGCATGAACTTTCATGAATTCATGTAAAAGTCACAATTGCAATTGCACAAGTAACAAAGTGAACTACCGGCATATCGGTATCTTTTTTCGCGCTGGGAATATCTATAATTGTGAGTATTCTTTTTGTTTCAATGGAATATCTGAAAATACTCGCACCTGCCTTATGCGGTGACAAGCTTTTTTGGATACGACATGTTTGTCCTTGGTATCCCCGGTCCTGTGCGATCCACATGTCTCTTTTGTTAATTTTATCGCGGCGGCCTGAGATAAAACACTTGAAATAGCCATGGGAGAGATGAGTCAAAAAACAAATGCAATCGGGGCTGTGGATTGAGGAATCTAGATCTATAGCGGTAAGCAACTACCTAGTTTGGATATTATATACGCATTTAAGTCTGGATACAGAATGCAGGTAAGTTTAACGATAGTTGGTACAGGGTCATGGTAATAAAGAATGTAGTGGGCACGGGTCGGTGGGCAAAGCTTGTGGGTTCAAGGCGGTGGGCATAGTGCCAATGTCTGGTATATTGGGGAAGATCGGATCAGACCATCGGCGCATGTAACGTTAAGCTTTTTGATTTTTCAAGTTCCCTTTCCCTTCTTGAATTGTAACCAGCAATGCATATGCGGGTTTTATTAGTTTATTTTATTTTATGGCTCTTCCGATTTGATTCGTAGGTACCGAGATAGGCTTTTGCTTGACCGCGGGGTATTGATTTTTGGGTTTCTATTAGCGATTTCGACAAGACCCAATGAATATCATATCACGCAGTGATGTCAGGCGGGAAGACCTGGAAAATACGAATGCACAAAATATTAGTACTTAATACAGAATCAGTCCAGGAAGAGGATCTAGGTGGTTAGAGGGATCAGGGGTTTGGATCACAGGGCAGGTTCTGCGCTAACTACTGCATCGGTACTTTGCCTGCATATTCCACCGACATATTCGAGACCCTTGCCTCATGTACCTCGCTGCAAGATGCAGACCAGGGTCTTTTTTGGTCGGGATGATGGTATGATGCTTATTCTACCCGACTGAAAAGGGCCTGGGCGACTTCCTGGCCTGTTCACTTGCGTAGACTCCGGATCCCGGGTGCCCAGTACTCCAGTGGGTCCTGATGGGGGCACGTTTGGAGTATCTAGCGGGTATATAGACCTCGATAGCTACCTCTGTTTTTTTTTTTTTTTTTGTTTTTTTTTGGTATACAACTTTTGATCACGATGCTGGATATTTAGAATCTTTTATATCTTTCTTTCCTTCTTGCTCCGTTTTTCTTTCTCGTATTATCTTTTCTTATACTGTATTCTATTTTGCCTGGCTGCAACTGCGGCCTACGCACATCTGCAAGGTGAGAATTCTATGCATCCAACCTCTTGCTTTATGTCATAGGTCGAACTTACTGATGATAACATCCGGTCCGAATCTAGATTTGCTGTATTATCGTCCCATCCATTCCTTGTTTTTCTGCAAGGAAATATATCCCGAACCGCACTTTTCGCATCTTTTTCCCATTGAATCAGTTAGGCAGGAGCTCTGGGGATCGAGGTTTTTAATATCCCGAGATCTAATCAACTAGGTTTTCTTCTTTCGCGTTCGAATTCTCTCGTTCTGTTTCTTCTTTTTTTTTTTTTCGCATCAACTTTAAACTCCCCGGTATTTCTCAATTTTCTGTAACTTCTTTCTATCATCCTTTTCTCTTCGGTTGAGAAATAAGGAAGAAATAACAGAAGCACAGAAGGAGAGGAGAGGGAACAGTCGCCAAAAATGGAGGACTACGCTTCCCAAAAACACCATCTGACCCTTGGTCAACTGGTCACAATCCTCGCTAGTATCTCCCTCTTCGCTCCGGCAGTATCAACTTTCTTCCTAGCTCCCAACGTCCGAGGCGCTCTCGATAAACGGAAAAGAGAAGGTTCCATCCGACTTACGGACCTATACGAAGACGAAGATGGTGTCGTCACTGAAGATTCCGAGAGGCAGTACTCTGTGCGACTCCAGAAGTCGGTTGTGTTGCTCGCTGCCGCTGCCGGAACTGGATGTTCTTATGCGGCATCATTGAGGAGTATGATGCACAACGATTTCAGTTTTATTATCGGCTGGTGGGGGTATACTGCTGCTTGGGTATGATTTTCTTTCCGTTTTGCTTCGTTGATATTTGCTATAGAAAGGATTATGAAGCTGATGATCATGATAAATTGGTAGACATTGATACTGTTACACTCTCTGTACTTCCAATTCGAACGAGACTACCTCAAAACATTCTCATGTGCGGTCCACCTGCTCACGGCTGCATCCATCATGTTCATTGCTCGTGGCACCGAATTCATTCTATCGTTCACCGATCTACAAGTCTCCTTCAACGCTGCTGATTGGTGGCTTTGGTCCGGCCAAGTCGTTACCGCTACAATCCTCACAATTGCCGCATCATGTGTCCCCCGCCGCCCTAGTGTCGAAAAGGACGGCAAACAAGTCGACGACGCTAATTCTTCTTCCGCCTACTCTCTATTAATGTTCGCCTGGATGTCTGATCTTTTTGCTAAAGGTTGGAAAACAGGACATCTCGAGGAAAGTGATATGAAGCTTCTACCTGCTACTCATCGAACCAAAGAGCTCTATGAGAAATTCAGGGCTCTCAAACAAAGCAATAAACTCTGGTGGACTATTTTTAGTGCTCATAAAAGTTACTTTGCGATTCAGTACCTCTACCAAACGGTTATGTGCCTGACCCAGTTCTTGCCGCATCTCATGATGTTACAGATCTTGAAGGCTTTGGAACACAGCACTAAGAAACCCAATGGGGGTTCTGGAAACGCATGGGTTTGGGTCGTGGGCCTGTTTGCGGCTATGATTGTCAACTCTACCTTTACAAATGCTCTCTTCTGGGTGAGTTTCGGACAGATGAACCTTTTCATCAGAAACGAGCTTGCTTCGCTTATCTTCAATAAGACGATGAGGAAGAAGGATGTCAAGGGTGGACAAAAGGCTGAGGAGAAAGACGGAGAAGCCGATAGCGCTACTGATAGCGGAGCCGAAACCGAGGATTCTACAGCCAAAGACAAGAAAAAGACTAAAGAAGAGTCCGAGGAGGATTCTTTGAAGGGCTTACGACAAGGTGTCGTTAATCTCATCGCTGTTGACTCTGTCAGAGTTGCGGACTTTGGTTGTTGGAGTTTTATCTTCTACGAAGCAGCTTTGAGTATCGGTATTGGTTTTGCATTCTTGTGGCAGATCCTCGGATGGCAGAGCATTTGCTCCGGGTTGGTACTTTACGTTATTTTGACACCTATCAACCAATTTATCGCCAAAATCTACTTGGAAGCTTCCGACAAGGTTATGAAAGTCCGAGATAAAAAGTTAGCCGTGGTATCCGAAGCACTCCAGGGAATTCGACAAATCAAGTTCGCAGCGCTCGAAGACCAATGGCAAAAGAGAATCGAAGACGTCCGAAAAGATGAGATGAACCAAGTCTGGATTACTGTTATTGCCAATACCTGGCTCATGGCTTGCTGGATCTTTGGTCCTATCTTCCTCGCTGCTATCTGTCTTGGAACTTACGCTGTTATTTACGGATCTCTTACTCCAGCTATTGCATTCACTGCTCTTGCCGTCTTCCAGGAGTTGGAATTCGCCATGAGTATTGTTCCCGAGTTGATTGGAGATATGATGGATGCTAAAGTTTCCGCTGAGCGTATCCAGAAACATTTGGATTCAGCTGAAAAGGAAGACTATATTAAGGATTCCTCAAAGATCGCGTTTACAAATGCAACAATCGCTTGGGCCTCCGATTCTGATGAGAAGGAGGAGGACCGATTCGTCATTCGAGACATCAACATCGACTTCCCTGTTGGCGAACTTTCATTGATTACCGGAGCTACCGGAAGCGGAAAGAGTCTTATGCTTGCTGCTCTTCTCGGAGAAGCTGATTTGTTAACTGGATCTTTGGAGATGCCGAGACCACTACCCAAGGCATTGAGATATGATTCAAAGGCTAATGCTGACGGATGGGTACTCTCTGGATCTACCGCTTATGTTTCACAAATTCCATGGATTGAAAATGCAACTATCAAGGATAACATTCTATTCTGCCTTCCATTTGACGAAAAACGTTATAATGAAGTCATCAGAGTTTGTTCATTGAAGAAGGATATGGAAATGCTCGAAGATGGAGATATGACTGCTATCGGCGAGCAAGGCATCAATCTTTCCGGGGGCCAGAAATGGAGAATTTCGCTTGCTAGGGCGGTGTACTCTCGTGCCGGGATACTCATCTTCGACGATATCTTCTCTGCGGTGGACGCTCACGTCGGAAAGGAGATCTTCAATAATTGTTTGACTGGTGAGATTATGAAGGACAGAACGAGAATCTTGGTTACACATCACGTTCAGCTTTGTTTGCCGAAAACGGAGTATATCGTTGAACTTAAGGAAGGGCAGGTTGAGAGAGCGGCGTCGGTTACCGACCTTAAGAGGACGGGAAGCCTGACAAAGATCATTGAACAGGAAGAGGAGGCACAGAAGCACGATCAAGATATGAACGAAGAGTTGGCGATTGAGGTTATTGCAGAAAGCAGTGGCCAAGCTAATGGTAACACCAATGGAACTACCGCGGTCGTCAAGGATGCGAAGAAGCCAAGAACTTTCGTGGAGAAGGAAGCCAGAGAGAAAGGTGCTATTAAATTCTCTGTTTACAATAAATATATCCAATCCAGCGGTGGTATTCCATTCTGGACGATCTGCATCGGCTTCTTCGTTGTCTCGCAGGCTCTTGGTCTTGGACGGCAGTGGTGGATGAAGCTCTGGACCGGATCTGAGGCCACTGCTGCAGCTGTGCACCTTCAAACGACTACTTCTTTCACTCACCACGTTTCTCAACAATTCTTCAAGGTAATGACAGAGGAGAAGAGTTTAACCTATTGGCTCGGTTTCTATGTTCTCATCTGCTTCTTATGCGGTCTGTTCGCAACATTGAAATACTTTATCGTCGCCCTCGGATCGTACCGTGCTAGTATCAACCTCTTCAACAGCATGACCCACACCATCCTCCGCGCTCCAACAAGATGGTTTGATACCACCCCCGTTGGTCGTATCCTCAATCGTTTCAGTGCGGATTTCACTAAGATCGATTCCAATCTGGCTGGTCACATTGCCTTCTTTGGATATTCTGTCCTATCGCTCGTGGGTATTGTTATTGCTGCAGCATTCATTACACCGATTATGTTGGTTTGTGCTGTTGTATTGTTTGGAATTGGATTGGCTATTGCTGTTTATTATTTGAAGACTGCAAGAGAAATCAAGAGAATCGAGAGTGTGAATAAGAGTCCTATCTTTGAGTTGTTCGGAAGTGTTTTGTTGGGTGTTGGGACTATCCGGGCCTTTGGTGAAGGGGAGGCTTATATCGAGAAGATGGACAAGAGGGTATGCTCTATTTCTCTCTTTTCATACCGTATTTGAAGTTACTAACACTGGTAATCTAGATCGACACATACGCTCAAGCAACATACTACACCAACCTTGCAAACCGCTGGATGGGTATCCGAATGACCTACCTCGGGGCCGTATTTAGTACTTTGGTCGGCGGTCTGGTTGTTACCTTACCGAATATGGATGCCGCACTCGCCGGTTTTGCAATGTCGTTCGCTATGGAGTATACCTTCGCCATGATCTGGGCTCTTCGCCGATACGCCGATCTCGAACTTGATTTCAATGCCGCAGAGAGAGTCATTGAATACTCTGTTATTGAAACAGAAGATCAATCCGGTGCCACACCACCTGCTGCCTGGCCACACGAAGGAAAGGTTGAAGTAAAGGATTTGGTAGTTGCTTACGCGGAAGATCTTGACCCGGTTCTTAAGGGAATTTCGTTCGACGTTAAACCCCGCGAGAGGGTTGGTGTCGTCGGCCGTACCGGTGCTGGCAAGAGTTCTTTGACACTTGCTGTTTTCAGGTTTTTGAAGGCAAGAGAAGGAAGTATTGTGATCGATGGATTGGATATTTCAAAAATCACATTGAAAGATCTACGAAGTCGTATTGCAATTATTCCACAGGATCCCGTGCTATTCTCTGGAACAATCAGGTCGAATCTAGACCCCTTCGACGATCACACAGACGAAGAATGCAGGAACGCTCTATCCCGTGTCAACCTTGTCAATACCAATACAACAGCACCAGCATCCGGTACCGCAAGTCCAATACCCCAAGGCACCGCTACCCCCGGCGCCGCATCAACCGCAGGCTCCACAACCAAAAATACAAACATCTTCTCCTCCCTAGACTCAAAAGTCTCGGAAGGAGGACTGAACCTAAGTCAAGGACAACGCCAGCTCCTATGTCTAGCCCGAGTTATTTTAACTGGAGCATCGATATTGGTTATGGATGAGGCGACAAGTAGTATTGATCACGAAACCGATGCGAAGATTCAAGAGGCTATCAGGGAGACGAATTATACAGTTATCACGATTGCGCATCGGTTGAATACTATCATGGATTATGATAGGGTGCTTGTGTTGGAAGGTGGAAGGGTTGTGGAATTTGAGAGTCCGAAGGCTTTGTTGGAGGTTGAAGGGGGTGTTTTTAGAGGGATGTGTGAGCAGACGGGACAGATTGAGGAGTTTGTAAAAGTTGCCGGGAAAGCTTGGGAGGAGAGGAGGGTGTGAAAATAACTATGCTATTTTGTAATTCATTGTTAAATTGTTTTTTTTTTGGATTTTCTTGATAATTTTTCTGTTTTCAAGGGATATAAAAGCTGAAGCGGTCCTTTTTGCCTTTCATCAACGTTAAACTTTTTGTATTTTAAATTTAATTTATCTATTTACCGGAATATAGATGCAAAGGATACATGAATGCATTTTTCAATCGTGCCTAGAATTCATGTTTGTCGATCGCAGTAGGATGATGTTAATTTACACTATTAGTCGTAATTAATATAAAGCTACAAATCCTTCTTTCAAATAGAATGAAACAATAACTATAACTGAAATTATATTCTCTTCTAACCCCAGTGAGGGAGCAGCGCCGCCCATGTGTTCTCAAAAGACACAGGAGAGAGGAATACTAAAGTTCTAAACATAGCGATAAGCAAATAGCTTCTAGCCAATAGATATGGTGTATACAAAACGGCAATCTCGACTACCAAAGTTCTAACTCTCAGCCGACTCCTCGAACTTTTCTCTACAGCTGGTAGTATTTGACCCTGCATGATCGGATTGGCGTCAAACATACGATTGTCGGAATGACGCCGAACGACGAAACTTGACCGTAACATAAGAAATGGCCAGGCTGCCACGACACAAGAACTTGAGAGCCAGATGATGTACTCAAGGAGAACAACATTTGAGGAATCAATTGGTAGAATATGCAAACCACCAAATATTAGTCCACCAAAGGCAGAAGTCAAGAAAACGTAGCTAATTTCATTACTAGGCCCTAATCTCCTTAGAAAGCGTCTCCAGGGCGTGCGAATTTTTGACCCTGAGCCGAATGAAAGTACGGGAATTGCATGATTAGGGATAGGAATCGGGCATTCGTCTAGACTAGTTTGCGGCGGGAGTGAAACTGAAGGGTAGTCGTCCTGGAAAAGGTAGGTGTGACCAAGATCCATCAGCTCGTTTCGTAGTTTATATAGTTTGAAACTTTTTTCGACATCTACATCGTCAATCGTTACTCCTACACCTCCCGGCAGTGGTAATCTGTCAAAATCTAACTTCGATTCGTGGATCACTTCGATACCTTGCGGACGATCCCAGTATGTCACGTATATAACGGCACTTAGTGCGGCGAAAGCGAGTGTACCTATCTCAAGCGGCGTTGATGGCAGGCCAAGGGCCGTGCGGGTAACCAGCTGGGCGATATGGGTCGCAATTTGCAGAACTGCTAGGATTGTTACCGGTGCGCTCTTATGGTCAAGCCTTTCGAGCACTGCAGCTTCTATATTCGGAAGATCCACGTAATCGTTTTCGACTGCTATTTTTTGCCATTGCCGACAATTGAGAGCCCAATAACGGCCCCGAAGGAGTGCTTCGTTGATTTTAAACGGTCTGTCGAGACGTGGAATTGATATTCCCGTATCTAGGACGAAGAAGCCAGCGTTCGCCATATAAACGTGAGCAATTCCCCAAGAAGGCGCTCCTTGTTCTAGCAATCTGCTTAATTCGGGACTAGGCTGTTTTAAATCTAAAATTTGCATATGTTGACGTTAATTCGGCTTCTCAGACGTCTTCTGACACCTACAGCATCACTATTCATAGGTGTATATACATACCCTCCAACTTTTCCCGTAAGGTCATGACCCTGCTACTATAACACTCCTGAAGCTTTCTAACACCATCTTTAGCAGCTTTCCGTTCAGCCATAGCCCTCCCCAGAAGGTACTCCAGTGCTATCAGGGCCAAACCCGCCCATTTAGCTTTCCCTAAGAAGGTGTGAACGTAAACCTTGAACTTGTTCCAAAAACCTTTGACACTCCTCCTTTGCTTGGGAACATTAAGATGTTGGATTGACCATGTGCAAAGGAATAGAATGCCTAGGCATTCCCACAAGATACTAAGTGTACTGCGTACCGTGGGTGCGGACACGTAAATTGTGCCGTAAGGGGGTATAGTACAATTAGGGGTGAATGAGGACGCCTGGGTATAATTGAGTCGAGATAATATGACTATGACGGCGGCTTTGAGGTTGTTAAGCATTTTTTCGCGACTGACGCCAGTGGGAACGAGAGATCGAGGGAGACAGTTTTGTACGATAATTAATCGCTAGTAACGGGCGTCGGGCTAGCGAGCTGCCTTTCTGTTACCTCAGTTTAGCAGTGGGCAAGAAGAGAATAATAGTCTAACTCTGGGATTGCTTGGATTTGAGACCTGATCCGAATGATTAAATATATAATTCTTTGTTTTATTTACAGCAATCATAACTTGCATATTTGTTTTTCGGGAATATATAAGAATTCTGAGCTCACGACCTAAAAGTCGTACAGCCGCGGAGACAAAATTAGTTGAAATCTGCGAAATGTTCTGTCACGCTTGAAATAGCATAACCTAGCTGACACCTAAAGGAATGGATTTGCTATTCGGAATCACAGAAAGAGAAGGTCTCCTGCGTTCTTTATCCCGAATGGGTAGATAAAGAGAGCTACACCCACATAGAGTCTCTCAATTGCAATTCGATAAACAGGGGTGTGCCCTATAGATCTTCCGAAAAATTCGCACATACGTCCCGCGGCCCGAACCGATGGTAATTCTGGAAGTGATCTTCAAAATTAGTTTGCTCTTGACTTAAAAGAATCAGAAAATGGTGTTTTCCCAAGGCAGCAGTTATACGTTTTCGGAGATGTTCGGGACCAAATAGGGAAATACGAAAATCTCGAGACCGGCTAGCTTCTCCGATCTTACTGTTACACAGGCAAAAACCCAATCCATAAGCCTGGGAGAAAACATTACCTATTTCATCTTCGTACTTCTGTTTTAAGTACGCTTGCTAATTAGTTCAATAGATACTCCGCAACGCTAGCTTGCGTCTAGGCGGTCTGGAGTCCTAAGAATGAGCCAAGGCAGAGGTGAGCGTCCCCCAGACTAAAGAATGAGTTACATCAATCTTCTAGAAGCCTCACTCATGGAGCTCCCAAGATTTCCGGATGTCAAAAAAGTCAGTGCCTTGCGTAATCCCCGCAAGTTGCTTCACTGCGAGCGGTAGTAATGCCCTTTGGCCAATCAGAGAAGACTGTGCCGCTGCACCCAGCCGGAATCGTGCAGATTGAGCATTCTTCCCGGCATATCTTTCTCAGCCTCCTTACGTTAGGAAACTTTGTGGTGCACTTCACGTAACACTATAATTGTATGACGCCAGCGTAGCTTCTTAGCCTCAATTGCCAGCATCGATTTATTAAAATTTTCAGCATCTAGGTAGATTATACGTGCCCAGTCTTCGCTCGACGTTTGATAAAACATAACACTTGGGAGCCTTGATAGCTAATATCTTTGCCATACTGAAGGCCGACGCGAAGTTGTTTATTCATTGTTGGTTTTATGGTTCCGTTCCATATGATAACGCCCTGCTAGCTTAGATCGTAGTGAAAGGCATTTAGAAGCTCTGATACAAATGATTGCAAGAGATCCCATCTGATATAATTCGGAACCAGGCAAGCATGTGGATAAAAGAGCTTGCGTGGCTATGGGGGCGCAGGGTTGTTGGAAATTCTCAGCCTTGTGTTGTAATGTGGTCATTCATTGTCCTTGACCAACGTGACCAGGATGCCATGTCACGTGGCACAGAGCCAAGTCTAGCAAACGGACTTTGTGTCACGGGATACCCGCAACACGTTTATTCTTAGGAAAATAGCGAAGTGCTTCGACATTTAAATTTGGGTCGTCTTTGCATTTGCAAATTTGTCTCCGTTCACTCGGAGTAAATGGTACTGAACTCGCACTCGTCTTGCCTCCAGACCACCCAATCGTTTATATGCTGTAATGTGAGAACATTTAACCGCTATATCGCTCTTTGGTCACTAGTCTTTTTTCTCAATCATTGAATCAGCAGCGGTGAAATTGTCTTAGTTCGCATCTGTGAACCGAAGGATATTAATCAATCAATGAAGCAGTATGAACACCAAGGGGCCTCCAAGTTAAACAGTTTTGGTATTCTGTGGGAATAATCAAAAAGAAATACAGAAGTAGAAATTAATGGAAAAGGGAAAAAAGAGGATGACCAATGATGATACACAAAGACCCGCTAGTCTAAAGGACAATTGAAACATGCAAAACAGGCTGGAAGATAATAAAAAAAAAGCCAAATTAATGGAACATGGGGCGGGAAACAATATGAGTGGACAGCCGGAAAATCATCGCCGAATATAAAGTTAAAAGAATGAGGTGGTAAAGTAAGTCGCTTTGTGTAAAGTATATGATCCACTCCCTGATATACCTCATACACAAATGAAGACTCGCCCACGACCTCCGCTTTTTTTCATACCATATGTAATAATAGCTAGGTACCGAGGGTAAGTACCTACTTGCGAAAAACAAAACCCGATTCTCTTCTTTTCATTTGTCTCCTCTTTCGATAAAGTAAGCATTGATAGGCGTTGCAGTTCCGTTATTGTTTAAAAAGTAAGAGCCAAGCTTACTGCGAGAGAATCTCCCTGCCAGTTTCGTCTTCGGCATTGCTTACGATACCCTTTAACGCCTTCAATTTGTTCGAAATCTTCTTTCGACGACTAGTACCCCCTTCGCTATTGCTGCTACGAACCCCGATAAACTCCTTCCAAGTCCTACCACCGCCCTCTCGTGTTTTTTGAATATTGTTATCTGTGTTGCCACTGTTAGTTGCGTTGCCGCCACTGTTCTACTGGGCTTTGGTTTGTGACGACGATGAAGCTTCTGCGGCTTTAGCGTCAGTTGAAGCGCTGGAATTGCTATGTCCGAAGAAGCCACCGCCGCTGCCGCTCTTCTTTCGTTCTTCCTTTCGTTTCCCTTTCTTTTCTTCCTTGTCCCTAGCGGCTTCCGCAACGAGGGATTCAAAGACACCTTCACCAGCTTCGTCGTCGGGATCTCTTTGGGCCTAAAGTTTTGAGTAAAAGGCACTGTTAGTGTCATACGTCCAATAAATGGTTCTAGGGCGTGTAAGCTTGCGATGCATTTCTAACCTCACTAAAGATCTTTCCAATCATCATCAAAGCATGCGCCCTTTGGATACGCTTGTCGTGTGGCACAGTCTTGTCGTAGAGGACACGATCACAGACGTCTCTCAAGACACCTTGAATTTCGAACCGACTACCTCTCCACGCCGCCATGAGGATCTTGCCGGTAACTTTTCGTTCGTATTCCATTTTCTTTTCATCAGTCCAGTCCTCGCCACCAGCTTCCTCGAGTTTAGACATGTTCTCCATTTCTACTTGGGCGTCGATGGCTGAGGATATTGTGTTCCAAGTTTCTTTGACGACAGTGCCGCGATCTTTCATACGGCTGAAGAAACCTTGAATGCCTAAAAACTTTTGGGATTTAAGATAGGTGCTTGCTTTCATAGTGTAGGTTTGACCGATCGCTATGTATATTCCCATTATCAGATCATCTGTTATCAATTAAAGTCTAGAGAAAAATGGCAACTCACAGTGTAGAATTTCAATACCAAAGCTCTCCATCTTCAAATTCTCGGCTTCGTAACGGATCTTCTCTTCGAAGCTCTTAGTCAGATCGGAGTCGGCGTCTGTCTCCGTCCATATGCTGACTTTGTTGATGAGATTGGCAACGAGCGTAGCGACACGCTTTTCACGAATCTCCCGTCGCTCTTTTTCGAATGCTAGAAGTTCATCTCTCTGCTTTTGACGTTGCTCTTTGGTCAAGATATCCTTTTCCTTCCTAGCCTTCTCGTCAGCGAGAACCTGTTGACGGTGGTCTTCATCCGTCTTGTCCATAATAGCTTGGCGTAATGGGACACGGGCCTGGGTAGTAGAGCTCTCGGGGGCTGGAGTGGCTGGTTTGGAGGCTTCCGGAGAAGTCGAGGATGTAGGCGTGTATACAGGCGGTGTATCTAATGGCGATGTCGCGCCAGATTTTTCAGCGGTCGGTTGGGACGGATCACCGGATTGTGCCTGGGCCTGGGCCTGGGCTTGAGCCTGAGCATGAGCTTGTGCGGTCTCCGCTTGCTTCTGAAGAGCTTCGGGGTCTTCTTCATTGAGGTCGACATCTTTCATAGCGATTTCCATGGTCTTAGTAAGGTCTTTCATTAGGGAAATTTCGCCGATCCTATGAGTGCAAGCAAGGTTAGCTTTGCAGCTACCGGAAGCACATATAAACGATGAAACCTTACCAGTATTCGAAAGCGTCGCCGCCGAAGATCATCGAGAAGAATTCATTTGGATCCTCTAGAAGTCAAAGTCATGTTAGGTCACCCGTTACCCCTCTCTGGATACCCTGGGAGCCGCGGGGAAAATTCATCATACCGAATCCAGCGTCTGGCATTGCCTTGTCTCGTCCATACTTGTCATATGCAGCTCGTAAGTCCTTATTGCTCAGCACTACAGTTCCATAATAAAAGGTATCGTCAGCTCCTTTATCCTCTGAACAATCCAAGCTACACTATTTCTATGGTGTTTCGCCCCAACAAAGCCTCCTGGCGCCGTCTAGCGCGATCGGGAGCCGTTTAGGAGAAGATGGTGAATGACATACCCTGGTAAGCCTCGCTGATCCCCGTGAACTTGGCATGGGCGGTCTCATCGCCACGGTTCTTGTCAGGATGATGTGTGACGGCGAGTTTTCGGTAGGCCTTTTTGATTTCGAGTTCGGTCGCCGTCGGCGTGACGCCTAGACGGTCATAGTATTCGGTGTCTGCTACCATCGGAGCAAGTATCGAGGGTTTTCTTTACGGGAGACGTTACAAGAGTAGAGGGAATGTGGTTTCGTTAGGAGGTTGCGGAAGGGAATTTCGGGAGGCTCGGGTTGGTGGGGTTAGCTTGGTTAGCTTTGCGATCAAAGCTTTGCGAGATTGCTGGGTGCCGGGATAAGCTGAGTGGTTTCGGGAGTTAACCAACGGCACAAGAGAGAATTAACACGTTGTCGGTATCTTGGAGCCGACGATAGGAGATTATGAGGCTCTGGGATGTCGGCGATGCTATCGATGAAGTTGTCGATGAAGAGGTTGTAGTGATGGAAGGAGAGGAGGGGTGGAGGAGGAGGGGATTCCTTTTTTTTTTTTTTTTTTTTTTGGTAATGTTGAATCAGGTCGAGTTTATAAGGCAGAAAACTTGAAGGTTGAGAAAAAGTGTTTGCGCAAGCAGCAGCCATAAGCGAGCATCGGCGTCATAGCATAGCAAATGGCTCAGCGCTAACGAATGGCCGGATGCTGACATGTGCCAATTACCAAATTGCTTCTGGCTAACCAGTGATTACGAAAGCTCCCAAGACTTGAACTCGGAACTATTACCGGGAAAAACTAGTTAACTACGTATACAATCGGTAGGAAGTAATTGAATAGTACGAGAGGGCTTGAAAACCCGGTTTTATTAGTTGGGTTTATTACAACTGGTACTTTAAAATCTATTGCTATAGAGCCCCACCACCATGCGGAGAACGTGAGCATGGCGGTGGTGATAGGCAAAGCAGCCACGGGGTGAATGACTAGTATTAGGTATTGCAGTTAAGGAACTTATTTTGTTCCACCGGCGGCCATCCTCTTGAAGCACTCCTCGTAGGCAACGTGGACCTCTGGGATCTCAACGTTGTACTCCTTCAACTTGTTAACCAACTTTGTGGTGTCAAGCTCGCAGTTGCTTCGGCCGGCCTTCAAGATCTTGCTCTGCTCTTCAACAGTGAAGTTGCTGTATGTGAATCCTGGGCGGACATACTTGGCGAACAAGTCCAAAACCTCGTTGTGGGAAATGGCACCGGGGTTGGTGAAATTGTAGACACCAGTTTCATTGTTTTCAGCGAGAACAATGGAGACGGGGAGCATGTCGGTGAGGAGGGTGTTGCTCTAGATGTTTATCGTAATTATTAGGACTCGGAAGGACAATAGAACAGCGAGTACATCATGCATAGGTAAGAGTAGGGGACATACGTTCGGGATGTTAACGACCTTCTCGTACTTGGAGATCTTGGTGACAAAAGATCGTGGGTGGAGGTCATCAGAGACTGGCATACGAAGTCGGAGAACCAAAGCATTGCTGTATTGCTTCATGATCTATACGTGGAATCTTAGTTAACATCACACCAAACATTACCGAACCCATGTAACTGATGGATTAGCAGGTCTGGATGTGGGTGAATATCACATACCTCCTCAACCTTGGACTTGGTAGCAGAGTAGTAGCTGCCGGAGAAGTTGGCAGTATCCTCTTCAGTGAAGGTCTTTCCGCCAATTGGGTGCTCATCGTCGTAATGGTAGATACATCCGGTAGCAAAGTTGGTGATATGGATTCCCTTCAACCAGCAGCAGTCGGCCAAGTTGAGGGTACCGATGACATTGCTTCGGATGGTGGCCTCCTTGTTATCTTCACACCACTATACATACATCCCCACCAAAATTAGTCTCCGTATAGGGAAAAAAAAAAAAAAAAAAAACACGCATCAGAATGACCAATTGGAATGAAAAGGGATGAACTAACATCGACGTTTGGTCGTCCGGTAACACCAGCGCAGTTAAGAACGTGGGTTGGCTTGTACTCCTCGAGTTTTTGAAGCACAGACTCGCGGTTCTCCATACGAATGGTGGTGGTTTCGACCTCCTTACCCTGCTTCTGGAGCAGTTCCTTGAGATGGCTATCGATATTCGAGTATCGTCAATATCTATCGTTCTTACAGCTGCGGACGATGAACAATCGGTCTTACCCAGCAACCTACGGTGGCAATTGGCGTGTTATGTTAGTTTTCCAGACGTGATTATTAAGCTTCATGAATTCAGCTGCGACTTCAACGTACCCAACCTTCTCCACCCCAGATCAAGAACTTATGAGCAGACATTGTGTAGGATTAAGATATTAGAATTTTCGTGATACTCGTAAAATAAATCTTATTTTTGGTAGGAAGGAGGAAAAAAGAAATCGTGATGTTTTAGGAGAGAGAGAGAGAGAGAGATCAAGAGAGTATTTGTAAGGGGCAAGCTTCGAAGGTGTGGTGGAAAGAGGGGGAAAGAGAACACCGCACCCTGATTTTAGCTTACGCGAGCTTATTTGATCCACACAGCCTTATAACTAGTACTTAGTAACTAGCTAAGTAGTTAACATGCATTCACGTTATAGTTCTTAACTAACATGCTCCATGGTGCGGTGTCACTCTGATCTGATTGATAATTGGCCGTCGGTGGCCGCTTGCATTTGCCACTTTCGAATTTCGCTGGGTGAAAATATATCACATTCAATTCACCACATTAGTTACATTGAGGGTCTGGTCAGATTAATTCCTATCTTTTGCACTGTGCTGCGAGTTACGCCGTACTTGAAACCCGACCCCACATTTGGTCAATTCTTCCAATCGATATGGTGATAAGGATATAACTTGGTTAGCGCGTGCGAAGCCAGTTGGACCAGAGAGAGCTCGAGTTCGAGCAGCGCTCCCTGTCCCAGTTGACAACTGCAACTTCGAATTCATGCATGCCCCTGCAGCGTACCACAACTGCACAGGCCAGGACTTGATAGCAATACCTACTATACCGCCAATGCGCAGTCAATGTTTGTTAGATATAGATATGTATGTCGACGCGATAAAGATCTTGTGATAGCCACAAAATATTAGCAACTTCATACGAGTTCAATAGAAGCTATGTCTCTTTCCAAGCAGGGAGGCAGTGCTGACCAAGCGTAGTCTTAGTTGCGTTCCAGTCCGAGCACCGCACACAGCAGGTGGATTATGTAATCAGCCAGCTCAAAAATACCACAGCTACAACACCAGCTTCATCTGCCTGACCAACACACAAATCCTGCCGAATGTGCCCCACCAACTCGTCACCAACCCCCAGCCTCCAAATCCCGTACCCCCCCAGGAAACTGGCAGGAAAACAATGGAAACTTAAGGAGTAAATTAGAAGTGAGCAGTCACCCATGTGCCCTCTCCGAGCAATAGAATCGAGAAATAAATGGTCTACGCCTGATAAATACAAAACTTACATCGATCTGTGCACGTGGCAAAGTTGTAGTTATGGACTAGCTTGGTCTAGTTCCAAGATTAGCTTTGATTCAATCGTTCAAGTTGCAACATGTAACTGTTAGAAGTTTGATACAACTTGTCAAAGCTTATCATTGTTCTGAAGTTTAGCGTTATCTAGTAGGGAACTCGGTGCCTCGGCCAAACGGGTCGCCCTAGAGAGAGTGCTATCTGACGTATACATGCGTTAGGTGGCTGTATACATGCATCCTTTACTTTGCCTTGCTATGGTTCCAGGTCTTGGTACGAAACATGTCGACAATGGTCTATCGATATCAGCCCCTTGACCTTTTACTTTTATTAAGTTAAGTTGAACGTATACATAAAGCGTCTTCAATCCAGGCGCCCAAAACGTTATAATAATTCTTCAACTCTCAACTGTTACTAAATTCTCAAACTAATTTAAGGTGCGTTTCCAGAACAAATATATACAGAACTACAATTACGCTCCACGGTCGGTACAGCCGTACGTTAGAAATGCGTAGAGGGAAGATATCCAAGTTCCATATTTTTTGCTTTTATATTTTGGCCTTCGGTTGTGTGGCTTTGAGCCATGTTATATACGAACGCGGCCAGCCAGTGTACACCAAACAAGGTATTTCCCAGAAAACATTAGGCCCCAGACCAAATAACTCAAAGTTACCTCGTTCGATATGTGGGATACAGTCTAACGCAAAGATTATAGCCGATCGGCTCGAGAGCCGCTCTTCTTCCAATGAAAATGTGGGAGAAACTGTCTCTTCGAATTATTTGCCACGAACCCCCCATTTTGAAAAGGATCTTCTAGCACGAGCTCCATCTGAGCATACACTGCGAGTACGCAATCTTGACCGCGAAATAAAATATAATCTAATACAAGGAAAATCAACTCTTCGATTCGAACACGATGACATGTATATGAAGTTTGGGTCTCTGGAATCTTCTAAGAATGCAGGTGATCATGCCGTCGCTACAACCCAAGTCTCAGAGGTCGCGAAAGAGGGCGTCTTCTGGGAATACTCTAAACAGTACATACAGAAATTCTTTGAGTCAGTCGGGCGATCCGAGGTTCTGACTGACATTAGTCGTACTCGTTCGTTTGATTTGAGGTCATTGCGATCCAATGGCCCGGTAACGATAAGGTGTTTTTATTCTGTAAAAGACAGATACCTTTTCTTCGAGCTGCTGGAAGATGTTACGGGCATTATGACAGGCCTCGATGCTACTATCTACAGCTGTTGGTACGCTGCTTCGAAAGCCGAACCTGGTAATTCGGAGCCATTCGAGAGCCCTCGGTACCTCACGATACAAAACGTTCGCGACCCGTACAGCTTCCAAGCTATTCAGCGACTTGTGAAGCTGTGGTTGAAGAACGGAATGGATGTGATGCCAAATGGGGCTGGGTTTTCTATTTTGCGGGCCGATGTCAGTCCAAACATTGTCGAAAAGGACTTTGTTTCGGGAGATCAATATATTAGTATCCATGATGCCGCTTGGGTCATATTGCATCAACCTTGGCAGATATATGGGATAATTCAACTATTGGGCGACTACCAGTACGGATTATCACGTCTTCAAATTTCGAATATACGCTTCTCTCTGTACAGGCCCGGTGGTAAACTAGTTTCAAAGTCTGATGTCGGTGCTATTGGTGAGCCGAATGCAATCGAGTATGCCGATATATTTTTGGAATTAGAAAAACGTCCGGCAGCACATTCAAGCGGCGACCGCGAAGACGAAAATATGGAGAGTCCTCCCAGGGAAGAAGGTTCTCCCGACGAAATAGTAGGAGGTGTCGATTCGGAAGATGTAGAGCTCCCCATTGACGAAGACATCATTATGAATGAGACTCCATCGCGTGGTAGAAGCCTCACACCTGCATTGCAACTGCAAAATTGGGAGTCTTCACCATTCTCACAGCCATCTATCCATCCGCTAGGTCTACCGTGGATTCTAGGTTTTACCGTTAAGCCCTCTTCTCCTTCTAACGTGGAAAAACGATCCTATATGCCGTTGAACATGCGGTATACGGCGGATGTTTCCTTCCAGGCCTACGCCTCAGTATCTGACGGGCACCTTTTTATATCCCCCCAGATTTCATCGGCGGAGCCTCCCGAAAAAGCGATCCCTCCCCACGTATTTGCGAGTGTTATACGGTCTGCCTGGCTTCACAGTGGTGGGGGATCCAAGTTTGTGGGTCTTACAATTGGGCGCGTGCAACCCAAAACCGAGGACGCCTTGGGGGGTACCAGGAGAAGACGGGGAGCGGGATCCTCAGGTGCCCCTTCAGGGACGACGAAGGATTCTTTCGCTGCCCACTTCGACGATGGAACAAAGCTTGATATGCCTGGCATAGGTATTCGGAAAAGATTCGATGTAATCTTTTCGGAAATAGCAACGACTTGGGAAGGGCAATCAATTCTTCACCTGATTGCGGCTGACGACGGGGTCCTCGGAGTAAACGATATTTTCAGCATTAAATACGGCCTTCCTCTTAAATTACGCCCGGCAATTGACGGAAGATACTTGACATTTAGACTTTCAAAAGAGCTACCACTAGATTCAACTGCGGCAATTTCGTCTGTAGACAACTCTGCGACCAAGGCTGGCCAAGTTAGTCTAGCTGTAGCAAAGCTTCTCGCGGTATCCTTCGAAACCGGTACTCGTTTTCGGGTCGAAGACCAAAGGCCTATTGATTATTCTGGGCCCGAGCTCGAGGCTCCACGTCAAATTAAGGAACGGGTCGGTGGTCTCAAACTCAGATACATTAGGAAGCATCTTAGGGATATAGAAGCAGACACATCAAATGATGTTCCTGGCTTTAGAGAGGCAATTGAAACTTTTAAGTTGATTCAGGATCCGAAGTACCCCGGGCCTAACCTTCTAGCGGATAGAAGTATTAGCCCTGAAAAATTGGCGGTGCTCCGTGATCCATCGAAGCTGGGAAAGAGCACCCACAGGCTGACCATTTTTGGCTCTACAGAGGAGGAAATAGAGACGAATGATAAAAAGCTACCTCGGCTTGCTTGGTCTGAGGAATTAAATCATTTGGCTATTTTACAGCAGCCTAGCTTCGACTCGTCTGACGATCAATCATCTAGTCTCGCAGATATATTTGTGCTGGAGACCTTGGCCACTAAAGAAAGCTCTCAGCTATCGAAATCAGTGGACTCGATAGCTATGGGTGAAGATCCGGGAAGGGGAGATCTGATACGGTTTTTTACTTTTCTAGATGTCCAACCAGCTTCAAGAGCCATATTGTCCTATATAGTTAAGATGTCGGTAGAGTATAGCGAATCACGGCCAGTTGTATTGACGAATCCGTTCTACGAGGTTACGGAGTCCGACCAGGGTACTAAGTCTGGCGAGGGTACTAGAAAGATTACTTTCAAGAATGGGGTCGAGACACGCTTGCTCTGGCTGATCATTTTGGGCTTACCGGAAGTGAGAGCAGTATCACAGTACGCCAAAGATACTTGTTACTTCACAGAGCCGGGTCTTGGCTTGAAAAGACCAGACTTGATAAACGCAATCGTGATTCGATGGATAAGTGACGATACTAAACCCGGTACTTTAGATCTAAAACCGATATTTCATATTCAACTATCTAGCCCCACCGACGAAAACTCTCCGGTAAGGGGGGAAGTGGCGGAAGCCTTTTTTCACGGGAGTCTTGCGGTCCAACAGCACTTGAGGTTAGGGGAGCGACTAGAATTGCAAGAGATATACAGACCCTTCCTGCCGGGAGCTATAAAGCGTGGCGGTTTATCGGAAGAGGGCTGGATTGGTAGAGTAGAAGATAACATGGGTAGTGAGGCATCTTTCAGGTCACACCCAGTTTTGGAAAGGCTCATACCGTTAGCATTTAACGGATTAGATGGCTTACACGAATTCGATTCGGAAGATCATATTCGTTCTTCCGCCGGGAATCGACCGTTAACGGTCCAAGTAACAAACACTAGAGAAGCTTTGTCACTACAACTTCTCGTTGATCGCCGTGGGGGCATCATAGCAATTATGGATGAAATACCTACTCTAGGCGAACCTGAAGAGGCCACCAAAAAGTTTTCCTCGGCTATATATACTGCTTGGCTTGAAGCCGTGAGGTATAATTCCGCTCCCGAGCACGAAGCGGATACTGCCACTCCACTGGGCCGAAAGATCAAAGGAACTCGACCACCTGGATTGGTGCTAATTACAAAACTCTCTATGGAAACAAGGGACCTTCTATGGTCTACACGGGACATAGATAACCCTCATAAAGAAGTTTCTACGAACCACTTTATGAATATGTATGGGAACCAGAAACCCGTTGGTGAGCCCTATCTTAGTCGGACTACTCAAGTTAAACAAAAGGATATAGTTTATACTGTAGTCGCGTTCGAACCAGAACCCGGGATAGGCGGTGTATTCTTCCGTTTGCTACTTGGTACTCCCGAGGTGGCGAGTGTTCTACAAGCGTTCCAAAATTATCAAAGTGAAAGTGAGATGCGTACTTGGCAGTCTTATCTTTCAAGCATATATGTTAGATGGACTCCCTTTGCAATTGTCCTCCTGTTTAAGAGCAGGGACCTGGATTGGACTTATGATATTGTTTAAAATTCCTCCAAACTATAATAATGCTTTAGAAAAATATTTCGATTCTTCTTCAATTCCCCTTCAGGGTTAACTGATGTTTTGAGTGTCGCGTAGTTGTATCTATAGTTTTCAAGTCAAATTTCGTATCATTATAGGTTTATTAATATTAAGCTGGTTGGTATAATCATTAATATATCAAAAATGCGCTCCTTGCATTACAAGCATATACGAGTAACTAAGTATTAATTAGCCGGTTCTGCTTATAGTTCTCTCGGAATATGCCTGTGCTACTAAAAACTCAAAGCCTCCACAATATAACATGTACAAAGTAGTAAAGCGCCTGTATCCCGGTTTTTCTATTTGACGATTGTGTAGAGCAAAATTGCACTTAAAAGTTCTCTTTTATATGAACTTACGTGCTCATGGTTCCCCGTAGTGGCCTTATTTGAACCGGAGGCTTCTACCATTCTAAACTTCCAAAACGAAGGGGGTATTGGAAAAGTATTTAATAAATCAGGAAGGGTCAGGTCGTCTAGATATCGGATACAGCGGAATAGTAGCATAAGAGTTATTAGTTCAATTGAGAAATCTGGCATTGCGCCTTTATACCTGGATGGCCAAATATTTGACTGTACTGCGGGCATGGATATTATATAATTATGGCCAACTCAAAAGTTTTATCTCACCAACTGAGATGTGATGCTATGTGAACGTCATCTTACATTGGTATTATCGGACAACTTGAAATTAACGATAATGTCAGATTTTGAAGGAGAAGGTTTCCTGTAGGTTAGAGTATAGCACTAATGTTGGTATTTTGTATAGATCAATCCAATCGCGTCCCTGATCAGGGTAGAACGACCTGTTGTTAGATTGGTGGCACTGCGGGGCTGTGTAAAGAACTTGTGTAGGGATAGCAGTTTCAGAAATCGCCACTTTATAAATTTTTATCGCTTTTCTAAACGGATAAGGTTGTGGGCGGGTCAAGCTCAATGAAATGAATTTAAAATTTTGGATGCTGCAAATATATCACAGAGTAAGCTAAATTATAAGTATATAATTAATAGCTCCCACTTGGGAAAAATACCAAATTGAAAGGGGGCCTACGTATATTTAGAGATTCGAACTACAGAATCATTATCCTACATTCCCTAAATAATTTTTGTATTTTCATAAAATAGTTCTGACTTGCTTCGTCATTATAGCTTACAAAATAAAAGTCATCTCACGAGGATAATTTAAAACTTTGGACATATTAGCGGTACTTGTGCTACGGGCGAATCGAATAGCTACAATCCTAAATAGGTAAGATATCACAGCGCGCTCAAGCGAGGACTAATTAGACCGTCCACCCCAACATCAACCCTCTAATAACTATTTATGATACGCTTATAATAGCTTGCCGCCGGCGCCAATAGATGCTATCTGGTTGTAACTCCGGTACACAAAACTACCTAAATTCTTCAGGGTAGACGTTGTCTACCCAGTTTACCAAATGGCGCCTTTTAAATCGGTTATAACCTATTTTATCGCCCTCTCCTTCGCCCTTTTACCGTCTGAAGGCCACTTGGTTGGTACGAAGATCCCCAATGAGTCTCCTGGCGCTTGGGATATTTTGGAGGGTCGAGAGGGAGAGCTAGGCTCTTATAGTGAGCCTTTGACACCAATTAATCTTGGTAGTTGGTCTAGGCGTGCAAAATGGAAGCGAAACGATGAGGATATTGATGTGGAGGATGCGGGTGACGATTTCGATGAGGTTATGGAGGATCTAAGCTATGGCGACGATGCCGACTCGGGTGAATTGGTGCCACCGGTGAAGCAGCTTATCATAGAAAGATTTAACAGGGGAAAAATGGTGGAAACGCAGTTCGCGAAAAAGAGCGCGGCCATACCGGCTCAGGATCCAGAATTTGACCCAAGGACATTGGAAAACGCATTTCCTTCTCAAAAACATATAAGGGGAGTGCCGGCTAGCGTCGCTGATATTACACATCGCATGATACCGGAACTTAAAACGGATCGATTCAACTTTGAAAACCGTCGGACTTACGGATTAACCAAGCGAGTTGAAGTAAATACTGGGGGTCAACCAGTAGCTGGAGGTAAACAGCTACTAACATACATATCTAAAAAGAACCAGCACCTCTATTTCAACACCTTGAACGAGAGGTTTCCCGATGACGGAGTACTTCGAGATTGGATTTATCAGTGCTGGGTTAAGGGATCCGACCCAGATGAAGGCGATTCGCAGGTACCCCTTAAATTTATCACTTTTAGGGATTACCACGACAATGACAGCTTCTATACTCTAAAAAGGCTGTCAAAGGAGTGGGGAGGCTTTGGTTACCCAAGGGAAATAGATGCCGGATTTATTGTGTATAAGGACGATCTAGATCCAAGACTTTCCGCTGCCTACCCCGACGGAAATGCAGGTTTTAGGTCCAAAATACTTACTACCTTTCACGGAATTCCAATGGTATCGATAATCGTTGAAATGCTTTCGACTTTTCCCAATGCCTTTCAACGATACCAAGTATCCGCAATAGGGTTTGAAGTTTGGGAAGGTGCGGAACCGGGAGACCTCTCGGAGTCTACAACTTCTCAGAATGTGGACAGTTCTTCGCCAGAGAGCGAGCCACATTTCAATATCGTGATAAAACTGGATCGAAAAGTGGAACCTCTTGAGATTGCACCCGGGGGCGGAGGTGTGAAAATAAAGATTACAAGTGGGGGACTTGCGTCCTTTGCAGACTTGTCGAAACACCCATATCATGCTGATATCAGTCGAACCTCTTACGGTCTGAACGAAAATCCCACGTTCACCAAATTAAAGGTAGCATTTTTCGGGATAGAGTATTCGTTCGCAATATCTCGACTCGAGAAACATATTGTCTTCGATATGATATCAGCTGAAAAACCGCCCGTTGGTGCTATTATCCTTCAACCTAGAGGCCGGAATCAGATTCAAGACTTTGTGGATGTTCTATACTCGACATGGAATAAAGAAGCTGGCCAAACGATACTGATGGACCTAACTTTTGGCCACATCCGGCGTACAGACAAGGATAAAATAATGAACATCCGTAATCAGCGGAAACCCAAAGATGATGACGAAATATCCGTATTTTCTAAAATCGATGACGATTTTAATTCCGTTTATCAGTCTTTAAAACAACTTCGTGAAGGGAAAGTCTTAGAGGAATTAATTCAGCGATACGGCGAAAATCTTGGCGTATCGGGGATATCTAGAATTGAGATCGGAGTTTTCACAAAGCAGACTGCCATCTTGCGAGCGGGAAATCCATTCATTCTTGTGGGGTTTAGACCGGTAGAGAAATACTCTGAGGCAGTCGCCACAAGGGGTCAATCAACATCTTTAGGGTGGTTAGCCAATTCAGGTGATATCGGAATGGCCGAGGTAGATGAAGAGGCAGCGCCGAATATTCCCAGCATCAGGGCTGGTAACAACAAGCCTAAATCCTTCGAGGAACAGCTGTGGGGCGCCTTTCAACGCGGTTGTCAGAATCAAGCTTGGGATGACTTTGTCAGGATCTACCCACTATTACAGTTAGGGCTACCCGCAAATGATAACGTGCCAGATCAAGGCTATAAGTTTACGCTAAAGTCGGATAATATTGATATCGGAGCTAATCGGGTGGTGGAAATACTGGAGTATCTAATGGCCCTTCAAGCTCAAGATAAGCAGGACCGGGACTTAAAGGCCACAAACACCAGACCCAAAACAATTTCAAAAGGATTTAAACAGCCACGTGCCCTGGGGTTTTTCCTACCGACAACCGAACGCTGGTTTCAAAAAGACACAAAAATGGCAAAACGCCCATTTAGAACATATCAGTTATTTGAAGTTGAACGGAAGACGTCTACGCGAAACACGGATAAACTTCGAGTGTTTCGAAGTAAAATAATGGAACATTTAGCGGTGCTTTCACTTTCGGAATGGGTGAGCCAGCTTGATTTTGGGGATGCATTGATTGCGCTGTGGAATGATGCCTCAAGCTTTGAAGAGGTAGGATATAGCTCCCAGAAAACAGATCTAGAGTCGTCCGGGTTTCCGCGAACGGCAGATGGAATTCGTCATGTGTCTTTCTTCTCTATCACACCGTATACTCAAGGGATAATCGAGTATATCTATCAAACGAAGAAATTGGCAAAAGGAGATCCTTTGATACTATGGTGCACATTGGATCCGAGGTTTCTAGGAGGAGTTGGGCCGCATCAACACCGCCAACAAGCTTCTGACTACGCGGCCTACCACCGCTATCCACCAGAAGATAGGATTAGCTGGCTACTTTTGTTGGGGTCACCAGAGCTATTTGGTATTGGACAGATGATTAGGAAATACAGAGGAACTAAGTTACGCTTTATTACTGCGATAGTGGTAAGATGGGTATCTACAGGCAAGGGCGAAAACGATCCAATGAGACCCGAGATGGTGGTTACAATCGACAAACCGTTCCCCGGCAGTATCGGTACGCCAGTATATGATACAGATGAATCCCTGGCTCCGATAGAACTAAGAGAACTTCTACCGGGTGGTGGCAGGCAATTTTTGGTGAATGAGTACCGCGGAATGTTGGCTGCTTTGACCGATGAGAAATTAAACGCTGCCTTTGAGTCGTTGGACCATACGGGGTGGGTGATTTCCCAAAGTAATAGAGAAGAGGTTTCAGCCCCTGGTTGGGCTCGGAATCTTCTCGAAGCAGCAGAGCTCCCAGCAATGAGTTTATCAATTAAGCATAGTCTCAGGACTGTTCATGACATGTACGGGCGAGTGAATAGGGCGGTATATGCAGAATACAATGTTCTTCACACTGCTCAAGCACTGAAGAATTCATTTTTAATACTCATACGGGAGAGCAAAGACACGGGGAGCACCTTGGGTAAGGAAGGTCCTATCAGGGGCCATATAATAGTTCAAGAGGCGATACCAGCAGATTCAGAGCTCCCTAGTATTGAACCGATACTGTCGAAAATATGGTTAGAAGCTTCTTCAATCCCCCCACTATTGATAACCTTCCGGAAATTGAGTAGCATAGCTGAAGCTATTGTATTTATGCTTTGGAAAGATCTTTCTTCTCCAAAATGGCAGTCAAATCCTGAAGACACCGCTTCTACGGTCTCAAGAAGACCAAAGATAAGGGTCACCACTGGGGATGCGTACCCTAAATATGTATCTGGTGATAGAAAGTGGGTGCTTCCTCTGCAAGCGTGGGGGCATACATTTGACATCCTTATGGCAACTCCGGAAGGCTTGCTGGTTTCCCAATTTATACAGCGTCACTTCAACGCAATGAAGAGTAGTAGGATAGTCTCTATCTACGTGGAGTCCGAAGCAGATGGGACCGGTTTGAAAATGCTTTTTGATATTCAACAGCGCGCGGATAGCAAGCCAGATTGGTATTCGAACGAATAGTTAGCAGCCCAATATATATATATATATTTACAGCGTTTATATATTTATATGTCTATTTATGTTGGCGCTCTATTCTAGAGTGGTCTTCCTCCAAAATCTGTACGAGAGATAGTCGGCCTGGAGTGGCAAGGAATAGAAAAAGAAAAGAAGGGAAAAAAAAAAGGGGGGGGGAACAAGAAATATTAGAAATTGTTTCAATTAATTGCAAGCTAGTGAAGGACTATTAAAAATAATATAGAAAAGTAACCAACGAAAACGTTATTGATGCTGCACAATAGCATTAGTTCTTGTTTACGGGATAAAATTGAGGTCACTTTAACATTTTTGTAGCCCGGAACCTTATGCTGCGACAAGAGCTTGGACACTCTGTAGGGTCCCAATATATATATATAGTATAAAGGTATATTATATCGCTAAGAATTTCTATACATCTAACTAGAAAATGCTACTTATTGTAAACAGTAGTATCATCTACCCAGCTACCGGCATGCCTACCGGCCAGTGAACCGTCTGTTAGCTACTATATTGTTTACCCAGCTGCCTGTGTGCTCATACAGAGGTAGCTAGGCAGACGGTTCATTATCTAGATGGGCAGTTTACCAGCCAGTTCACTAGTTATCAATTAAGCGGTTGACTTGGTAGATATGTAGGTAGTTATATACAGCTTACCAGGTAACAAGCGGTTTACCGTGTAAGCACTTAGGCGGCTAGCTGGGTAGGCAGTTCACTAGTTATAGTTGGCATGCGGTGGTTGGGTAGGTGGCTTAGTAGGTGGCTATAGCGCTAGTAGTTTATTGGCTGCTACGCCGGCAACTCAAGAGGCAGTTTATTGGCGGGTATGTTGGCAGCTGCGTAGGTGATTCAGTAGTCAGCAGGCAATTCATCGGTTGGTGTATCAGTAGCTGCAGCTCTGGGTAGGCAGTTTATTGGCAAGCACATCCGTAGCTGGTAGGTAGTTCGGTAGGTGGTGTATCAGCAACCACTTAATTAGGTAGGCAGACCCAGAATCAAAAAACATAATAGCAGTATGAGTAGCTGTAATGATAACATCCCTGCTTAGTATTATAGTTTAAAGATATCGCAGTCGGGTTCAAGTACCACCGCAGGCCTACGTAGCTACTCGTATTAATATTTAACTCTTTTGGGACTATTACTAGCGATTCATAGGTTGGAAATAGCTTTTGAGACCACGCACAGATGGGGGCAGGGGTTTGGAAATTTTGAAACTACAACATGTATGCATGCAACCTTTAAGGCCACAAGATAGGTGTGGAGTAGCAGTAGATATGCTAGCTCAACTTATTATATGTGGCGTAGATCTGTAGAATTTGTGCCGAAAAACTTTTGTTGTGCACATGCATGATCACAGTTAATTTACTCTTGTAAATTTTAATAACTTTATCTAAAGTTGTTTTGTCCTTCAAAAGTTATAATTATCATCAAGCGAAGATAGAAATGTTAATTTGGTATGTGTAAACGAGAGAGCAATTTCTGTCTGAGATTTAACACGATATATAGTGCTATCTCTCCTGGGTTTGGTGGCCTAGTTGTTGGTTTGAATTATGGGACGGTCTACAGGTTGGCCCGTAAATTAGGCTATAGGACATGGCCGATGCTATAGCCTGCGTATATAGTTATGACAATGAATAGTATTAATTTATACTACTCTCTAAGGCAGGCGCAAGCTCATAGCTTGACTGCTAATTATACTATAAGCTAATTAAGATAATTGGTAAACCAGCCAGTAGATTAGCTACCGCGGGGAGGGAATAATTAAGAATAAGGAGATAGCATAAAATCACTTTATAAGCTTTGCAAGTAGCTGCATCCTAAAGCCCAATTCTTTGTAAGTTAGAACTTTTAGGAAAACCGTCCCCTTATTTACAACAGAATATACACGGTTCAGCGTTTGAGATTTATTTACATCACTTGAATTCTCTAACAGACATCCCGTTCTTTCTTTTGTTGCGCTTCAAGCCTGGTGTGATAGCTGGCTGCGCCCAGAGTCACAATTGGACTTTCATTAATGGTAGTCTTGAAACCTCATTGACACATTGAACTCGCGCGCCACATGCACATGCATAGCTCAGATTTCATGTGCTATACCGGTTTGAGATAATGCTTGGTTAGTGTGATAAAGTTGGTGCTGTGCTGAGCTCGCATCCGTCTTGCCTCCAAACCGGTGCTGTGCTATTAATCAATTGATACATCTTCTCGTCGGTGTACAAAATTTAAAATGCCTCGAAATATATAGCACAGTATGCTACAAGGATATCCCCCGTTCAATTTCAGGCAGCGAGTTGGTATTTGCCATATCTAAACGCCTGGGGTATCCTCCATATACATATACAGATTGTGATGGCCATATGGCATACATACCAGTCCCGTTCCCGGGATAGCTTATAATAATTTGACATTCGGTCTAAAAAATCCAGTCTTATCGTGCGCATAGTGCTCAATCTATATTATATTATCTTTAAGTCTTTATGCCTACCGCGTCGGCACCAAAATACGCAGAATCTCAAATCTAGCCCTGTTATTATGGAACCCGGTTTGAATATCTAGTTTATCTCGGTTCGGCTGGTATTTCCATAATTAAATACAATTATATTATCGTATCTCAAAAACATTCCGTTATGAAGCCCTCTATTCTTTTCCATCTTTCGGTATTTCTTTGTGGATTTTCCAGCTGCCGTATCTGGAACATTCATCAGGACCAGGAAAACCAAAAAAGGGAGCTCAGTAATTCGAGGTCTACACAAAGTATCAAAGACCAGAATAGTGAGACAGCGTTTGGCTATCAGGCCGCTCAGGACAAGGCTTTGCCCAAGCCAGGGCTCTCCTTAAAAAATGTTACCCGATCTCTAAGATTCAAGAGGGCGGGAGGGGACTCCGATGTCATAATGATAGATGACGACGGTATCGATCTAGACATTTTACTGAACTTAAACCCTCAGGAGAAAGAACTCGTCAGGAAGTCGTACAAGATCGGTGCTGACCTTCTGAGTAAGGAAGAAGAAGGTTTAAAAAACCCTGTTCACAAAGACCCCGACTTAGACTGGCACAAACTTGATAAATCTGTGGTCATAAGGAGAAACATTCGTGGCCTCCCGCAGAGTGTTGTCAAGGTATTTAAGGACCTGGGGCAAGAATTTCTGGCTGAGGACGTTGGGACCTATACTGCTGTGTTTAGATCCATCCTCAAAGATGATGGTACAGCAGACTATGATTCTACGGTTCTCCGGACATATATATCTAGAGAATACGGCCATATGTTTTTCCCTTGGCCTGGGGAATTACCAGCCGGTGCTCAATATCATGACTGGATCTATCAATGTTGGGCTAGAGGATCGCACGATCTAACCGACGGCCTCCACAGTGACATTCCGCATCCTTTAAAGTATATTACGATAGGGGGTATTACGGAGGAAGAGACCTTGGCTATTCTTCAGGCCGTTGGACGAGAGTGGAGAGGGAGAGATCTCTCTCAGGATCAGTCAGTTATATTTATCACAAGGGAGGATATAGATCTCAGCCTTGCAAAGAATTCTCCAACCAGTGTCTCCTACTTCATTTTCGCTTTATTCAATATCCTTTCAGGAACCAATGAGATCTCTCCCATAATTAAAATGCTTTCAACTTTTCCAAACGAATTTTATTGGCACCGGATATCAGCAATAGGGTTTAACGTGGAAGACGATGGGACAGCCAACTTATTACTTAAACTTGAACCTTCTGGAGGAAGTCAATATGCTGAAGTCGAACCAACAAAATATCGTGTCGAACTTCAGCCTCTTGGGTTAGCCCTTCAAATAGGGGGATCTTCTAGCCTGATCAAACATCCCGCTCAACCGGATATCCAAAGAACATCGTATGGATTGCGTGATGAAAAGAGTAACGACCCGGGATCAACATTTTTTCGATCTGCAGTGCAATACGAGGATGTTGGCTATCGCTTTGCGATGTCAGGACGGGAAAAACACATTGTCTTCGAAGGGTTTCTTACGGGCGCCGCCGCCGCCCCAGTGCTCCAAGATTACGTTGAGAGGGAGGTAGATAAAGAAATGCATCATGTTCTCTACTCTGCCTGGTCGGGCACGGCCGGCCAGGCTTCCCTGCTTGAGATTACATTTGCATCCATACACCCGCAAAGCCGGAATAAAATTAAAGAAATCAAGGACAAGCAGAGGCCGGCCAGTATAACAGCAAATGAATGGGACCATAGGGTAGCCGTTTTTGAGGATCTACAACGAGACTTCATTGAGGTTCTCCAAATTTTTTTCGAAACACGCGAGGGAAGAGTACTGGATAACCTTATCCGGAAGTACGGCGACAATCTCGCGATTTCAAAGATATCAAGGTTGGAAGTGGGGATTTATACAGCCCCTGGGTTCAAAAAGCGAAAGGGAAAGCCTTTTATTTTAGTTGGCTTCAGAAGGCTGCTCAAAGCGGACCTCCAGAAGGGCCTACCCGTTGAGCTAAGTGGTAATGAAGATGACCCGGTCGACCCGAGCACACAGAGTTGGAAAAGTGATATCCCAAAATGGCTCTTTATATCAGATTCACCAGAGTCAACCCAAGAGCTTTCTATTCAAACAATTCAGCTAGGGGTCTATGCGAACTCAGTTGCTGAAATAGAGGCACGATTTCTAGGAATGCAACCTTTTTCATGGACTTATAGTTCGGAATCACTGGCGTTACTAGTGTCCCGGTATATATTTGAACATCGGAAAGATGTCTCATTGCCGGAATCTGTGAAAAACCAATGCGCCTACCTATATAACGCTCAGGAGCTTGATGCTACTATGCGACGTGACAACCCCAAGGAAGCCCGGTACCGGTACCTCCATGACTTTTTCGGCAAAAAGACACAGGCCCAGCTTCGCTATCTAGCGGAAAGGAACAGACAGAGCTCTTATGATCAGGTAACAGTTCGAAGCAGCCCCGCAGTTGGCGGAAATCCAAATAGGGATGATATGGCAAGCTATGGTTTGGTTATAAACTTAGATTTAGGCTTTGTTATAATCACTTTACAGCCTAAAACTATAGATGGCCATGTTATGGAGCTTGAAAATGCCGTTTATGCCGCGTGGCATTCCCTGTACACGACTAGTGATTATGACTACAGAAGCCCACGTGACAAGGAATTCGGCTCTACCGTCAGCTGGTTGGATTTACAAAATGCCTGTTCTCATGGTCCTCGATACTTTTTCATTCAAGATATAAGCTATCCCACACGACTCATCATTGAAGAGATATATAAGAGGAGATCTATGAAAAAATCAGAAGTTCTCATCTTTTCCGAGCCGGGTATCCTAGGTCTCATTGGTTCCCCACTTTCAGCTTATAGACGACTGGGAAAGCATTCGAATACCAAAAGTGATTTAAGATATATGCAAGATCTTTTCGCAATTCTTGGTTCTCCGGATCTCATAGGGATATCGAGGCTCGCCACAAGGTACTTTGGAACGAAGCATATGTTCTGTAGGACTGCTGTAAAGCATATCGTCGTAAAATGGTCAAGCACTCCGGATTTTGAGGAGCCCCGACCTGAATTGTTTGTATCACTACGAGAGCTGACGCATTCCGGAGCTCTTGAGAATGCGCAAGCTACATGGGAAAGTAAAGGAGTAGATATCAGAAAACTAATAGAGCCAGCTATACTAGGAAGAACCACGAGCGTCCTAGAGACACTATATATACAGGCTCCTAAAAACGCAGACTCGGGCTTTGAAGGAAACTTATGGGATGTTTTGGAGCTAGATCCAATTGCTCACTGCCCAAAACGTTCAATTCAATTATTTGACTCAGGTCTTCGCGAATTCAGTTCGGCACTGGGTCTAGGGCTCGATAGAACAGTCCAGGAACCCCATATCCAATTAAACGTGAAAAGTCGAATTAAAGATATCGATTATCTCTTCCTGATTTATCAAAAGGGCAGCAAGAAGGGCAGTTCTAGGCTTATTACTGGTTCAGCCGGCTATGGACACCTTATTGGGCAGGCTTTTCCAATAGCCACTAGTCTACAGAATCAACCCGTTGAAGAGTTCAGCGAAGTGTATCTGCGGGCGTGGGGGGCAGGCTTGCAAAAGTTTTCCCTTGGAAAAAATCTATTACCTTCCTTAGTAACATTTTTAGGACTTACTCCCGAAACCCAATCTATCATTAAGGTGCTCTGGAGCGCCCTTGTACCCACACAGGAGACAAGTGACGAAAATTTGGACCTTAAAATTGGAGTTACAAATGGCCGTAGATATGATATATTTTCCGGCGGAAAAAACACTGAGTCACACAGGTTTTGGCAAAATAGGTCAGGGTATCTTCACAGGTTGGCTTTCGAGGTGTTGATGGGCTTGCCAGAGATACTAGGGCTTTCCCACTCACTCAGGGGGTATGACGGCAACACAGGTCGAGATCAGCGCAGAATTCAAATAGTCTATTGCGAATCTTCTACAGACGATAGTGGTGGCATACAGTGCATATTGAAAATTGCCAGGACACGCCCACCAACACAGGATAGTGACGCTCATATCGATGAGGGGGATGATGAAGACGATGAGAGTGATGCCTCTGAAGTGTGATATGATATTTATTTCATATGTACATAGCCCGGGCCAGTGCTAATTACAAACAAGCTGAATCAAATCGAGTTGCATCTTTCATCTATTGCGATCGCGAGCTGGATATAATAATTTCATATATTAGGTGGGCCCCGACACTAATCATGAATGTATGTAATATATCCCGGGCAATTAAAGAAGTCTGGTTACGAGACTGGGCGATCAAATTGAGACTGAGATTGAGATCGATGTGTTGTTGTATGTTGTATTTCCAGAAGTGGCTAGTGATCAGGCCTCAAATTCGCGCAGTAGAACTCGCTAATTAACCGAATATAGCAACAGAGTTTCCTAAAGAGGCAATTATCTATCTAGCCACAACTTTGGCGGCTCATCGTCGGCTGTCCCTCATATATTTGTCTCGCACCCAATCTGGCTGAGCTCAGCCCACCTTTTACTCATCAACAACCATTATCCCCACGATATCCTCTATCGCCCCATAACTCACATCTTCGAAACTTCCGTAGTAGCTAAGGCGCTAGGTAGAGCGCAGATTCCCGCAAAATGGCTGCTCTCGCCACTGTGAATACCCCACCTCCGACTCCCCAGCGGCAACAGGTGGTCCCAACCACCAGCCCTGGAAAACAGCCGGACTTGGTAAGACGGCCGCTGTCCTTCCGTCCAGTTCGCTTGTTCGAATTTATCATCTCTGACATGATCATGATGTAGCTTCAAAAACTAGCCGTTGCCCGTCTCAAACATACAGTGTCCGAATTGGAAGACCAGGTTGAATTTGACCGGCGCAACAATCCCATTCCTCCTCCCAAGCCAACCACTCTCCATCTTGTCCCAGATTGTTCCGCCCTCACGACATCTATTACCGATATTAAAGCCTATGTTGCTGAGGAATCCGCTAAGGTCACCGTTCCTCTATGCGTCCTCGATGCCCTGGATGCCTTGAAAAGAGGCAGCGAAAACGAAAACGTCAATGCCCGAGAAACCGTTCGCTGGTTCGATCGTACTATTGGCAAAGGAACCGCTGATAAGGGTGTAAAAGTACAAGCGCCGACAGAGATCTATGGAAAGTGGGAAGAGTGTCTCGAGTGGTACAGTCCGTTGACAACTACGACTAGCAGTGGAGAGGAGTTTTCGTTCGCTTCGCCGCTCGCAATGACGGAATCTCAAATGCTCGCCCAGGCGGACGAGGGTCTGAATGGGCTTTCGATTTCTCCATCTCCGCCAGGGAGCCCACCAATTGGCGTCTCTGCTACTCCGTCTATGCCACCCCGTATCCTCAAGTCCGCAAATACCTTCCATTCCGGACCTGGTGTTCCGAAACCTCACATATCCCTTCCGCGATCTACTACTATTCCGCTCCAGGATCCGCCTAGCCCCACTTCGTCACTTCACGCCCCAGAGGTACCAAAAAAGATCCAACCAATCATCAACTGTGCTCTAGAGATCCTTCACTCTGAAAAGACCGAATTTTCGAAGAAATCTGAAGGCGTCTTCTTTCTAGTGACTAACAATCCTGAAACTTCACACTGGGCCAAGTCTTTCGGCATTCCATCCTTGAACACTAAGGAACTCGCTGGAAAGATTGCCGAAGAGAAGCGTTTATACAAATCTAAGAAGCGCGATTGGGAACACGTACATTCGCCAAAGTCGAGCCAACCAGTCCTTGATGCGAACGATTTTAGAAATAGGGACTTGCGCAAAAGTCCAAAGAATACTTTTACTCAACCTTATTTTCAAGGTGGGCGCGGTGACGGGACTCCCGGTGGTCGACAGAACCCTTCCCGGGACGGGACGCCTCACGATAACCAGCAATCACGGCGACGAAACCGAAATAACCAGAATGCGCGAGCAGGAGGAGGAGCAGTAAACGGTAACAATGGAACGAATTCCGCTCGGGGTGGGCGTGGAGGATATCACGGCGGTTTTGGCAGGAACACTCCTGCCTCCATTCTGCAAGAGAAGCCACCAAACGGCAATACCTACAGCACTTCTCCTACTCAATCCCATACCCACAATGGACATCAGAATTCTCGTCGTGCTCCACAGCAAATTCTTGGTAGGGGCCAATCAACTACAGATGCGGAGCATGAGTACGTCCTTGGGAGGGGTGCCAACAGAGGTGTCGCAAGGGGTAAAGGGAAGCTTTGGGTTCCTTGATTCCAAACAACGGATTTACAGGCTTTACATCAATGAAAGCAGCAAAACACGAAATTATTATTACCAAGGGCCTCAGAGACTCTATTGTGCGAGGGAGCCTGGAATTACCCAGCGAAATCCTGTTACACATACCTTTTTTTTGGTCCGATCAATGGGCAACCAGTATGCACGATAATAGCCGGAGGATCTCAAGGTACTTGGATTTGATGAGAATTCCCTTAACAAATTAGACTCCTCTCTAGGAACGACTCTCGATGAAGTGGATGTACAATGCGATCTGGACCCACTTTACTAACTACTCATCGCAGTCGACAAAAAAAACACACAAAGGATAGAAATGATTTTCAGGTTCCTTTTTTTGTTCCGCGGGACAGGGTAGTGCTTTAATGTGGACGATATGTGATGTATCGAAGGGAATAAAGGAGCACTTTACCTCTGGACGAGAGGTTGAATAGTGAATAGGTTGAGACTCTAGCTTGCCTCTCACTAAGGAGCAGAAGACTAACACTACTTGTTTCTGACAAAAAATTAAAATTTTAAAAAAAATTAGAATAAGAAGAAGATTCGATGAAGTAGGGCTGCTTCGTTGCTATTATTTGCTCCTATTGGCTTCTTTTACGTTACAGATTGCTTCTTCTCTTCTTCTCCTTCTTTTCATATCATTTTTGTTGTCGTTTCCAATCAGACAAAACCTTTAAACCAACCAATATTATAGCCGCAAATGGATTCAACCCCATGTTAAATCTAGCCTCGTAAGCTGATGGATTCAAGAGTGCATACTTGTGACTTTCTGAACTACTTACGAAATTTATAAACTGTAGACCTACATATTGTTTCGCCTTCTATGCTTAAAGATGTTTTGAAACTTATACGATGTATACGCATGAAGGCCTGAAGGAAGTCGTGGATGCATCGATGGGTGGGGCTGTCGGATTTAAGGATCGGACCTTCGGGGTTAACGTAGTTTCGGCAGCCGAACAGCCAACCACACACGACAGCCAACAGCTCAATTTGCCTAAGTCGTCGTTCTGCGGCTAAACTAAAATTTCGGATTTGCGATTGCCCTCGACTTTTAGCCACCTCGCTCGATTACAAGGAGATTGTAACTACCGGAAATATCAAGGTAAGTGTCGCTAGCCTTCCAGTCGTCCAATTGACCGCTTTCCAAGTCATCAGGCTTGCCGGTGGCCGGGGCTAATGACAACCTGGGCAAGCCCGCTGGTAGATTAATTCTAAGCTCATGAACAAACCCCTTGGAGGATAACTGAGCTAGCTGCATCCTTCTTCCCCTTACACGTTTAGCTGAAAGTGATACGCCAGATCACCAACTTCAACCTTTCTCAACATCGATGGTTGGTTCATCTTTTCGATAATTCTGTCTACCGCTTAATCGGAAGCCCATCTTTGCAAGCTTGTTGCTACCGACTTTCACCATGCCTCAGGCCGCTACAATATGGCATTACACGACCCACCCGTACCAGCTACGGGCGATGCTCCATTGGAAGTATCTTCGGGACCCACTGCACTTCAGAGTAAGCTTTTCTTCCCTTCACCCTTATTATGTTTCCGTATTTCGGATCTTGCGAGCGTATAGTGATGCTTAATCAACTTGACAATAGAATCCGGAAAAAGAATCAACGGAGCTAAAACGATGTTACGAATTCTTGGAGATGACTAGCCGGAGCTTCGCCGCTGTTATCCTGGAACTACAGCCCGAAATGAGAGTGCCGGTGGCTCTTTTTTATTTAGTATTACGTATGGCATCATTTCCTCAAACTAGACCGTATTTTTGTACTCTCCTGACAGGTAGTGCTCTTTATAGGTGGCTTAGACACGGTCGAAGACGACATGACCATTCATAATGACATCAAAATCCCCCTCCTCCAGAACTTCCATAAAATTCTTGACCAACCTGGCTGGACATTCGATGGAAATGCGCCCACGGAAAAAGACCGGCAGCTTCTTGTCGAATTTGATGTCGTCATAACGGAATTTGCTAAACTCAAAGATGTTTATAAGGAAGTCATTCGTGACATCGCTAAGCAGATGGGGGAGGGGATGGCAGAAACTTGCAGGGGCCCGGCCAAAAATCTTGACGGACTTCCGCTAATAAAAGATTACGACCGGTATTGTTTCTATGTCGCCGGCCTCGTTGGGGAAGGCTTGACACGTCTGTTTGTCCCGGCTGGTTTCGCCAACCCCGGTTTACTAACGCGACGTCGTTTGTACATCTCGATGGGCCTCTTTCTCCAGAAAGTCAATATCATCCGCGATTTCTACGAGGATCTTGAGGATAGCCGAAGCTTTTACCCCAAAGAAATCTGGGGTAAATATGTCGACAAGTACACGGACCTAGGGCTCCCAGAAAATGAGGAGAAGGCTCTAGCATGCCAATCGGAACTGGTACTCAACGCCCTCGACCACGCGGACGACTGCTTGTACTACCTTGCAGGTTTGAGAGACCAGTCTGTGTACAACTTTTGCGCCATCCCCCAGGTTATGGCGATTGCTACGCTAGCGCTTGTTTTCAGGAACCCTGATATGTTCAAGCGTAATCTTAAGATTCCGAAGGGCGAAGCATGCGAGTTGATGATGGATATCGGGAATCTAAGAACGACTTGCGATACCTTCAAAAAGTATATCAAGATCATTAGGAAAAAGAACACACCCAAGGATCCTAACTTTTTGGAGGTGGCAGTCAAGTGTGCCAAGGTATGAATAATAGGTTATTCCTTTTATGGAAGGTAACAGGGTTTTAAAATTAATTTAAAATCTTTGCAGATTGAGCAATTCATCGAAGGCATCTATCCTACCATCACAAAGAAACAAAAAGAAGAGAAGCGTGAGAAGGAATTGAAGACTGGGAAGACGGTTTACATTGAGGAGCCACTGATCCCGAAGGGTGTTGCCACTGTTCTCTTCCTTATCACCTTCTTGAGCTTTATGTTCGTCAACTTTATCGTAAGTACTCATCATACCATATCCCTAAACAACTTTTGCCCTAATCTCACTAACCGCTCGTTTTCGAATGCAGTTCCTCGCAGCTTTTATTATCGGTGCAGAGTTTGACTTCTCTCCTGAAGCCTGGGAGACATGGACTTTCTTCAAACTAAAGGACCAGACAGATATCTTGCAAGACGTTACAGAATCGGTAGTCGAGGCTGTAACAAAAACTCTTACTCATCAAGAGTTGTAATATATTCGACCAAACATCGGCATTGCTGATGAACACTAGGTTGCAGCCTGACCGCATCACTTAACTAATTACGCATCATTAGGCGGATACGATTAGAATAATTGAACAAGCGGAATTACATACTAGAAGGCTATCGCGGCAGTAATAGCGTGGAATAAGAATCCATACCTACTATTACGCCTTCTTTTCTTCTACTCAACAGCGGTTCTTTCATCCAAAAATATTACGAGGCAGACGGGACAGCTTTCTAAATTAGTACTTAATAATTACGGCGCACATATGCATTCTATTATTTTTTTTTCTGTCTTCTACTCCCTAACACTCATAATTGTGACTCCAAAGATTGATTCAAACTCTTAGCTCGGATGTCAAATTACAACCTCTTCTATTATTCATAATTTTACTTTGAATAATGTTTTCTTCAGTGGAAATGGTTGTGCCGAAGATGAGCTTATATAGATGAATGATTTGCTGGTTTTCGTAATCGCATTTCTGCCACTTGCGGATAAGAGACTGAAGGCTTTGCACCTATTATTCTTTCTCTTCGGAGGGGATGATAGAAGGGTGATACGTCGTTCACCGTGGCGTGGAACCGTGGGAGTCTTTTACGGGTGGCTACATACTCCTTTTCTCCTCTTTTCGACGAAGCTATCTTAAGCTAGAGCCTGTAACCATGCATATATTACTAGCATCAACAAAGTTGGTGTAAAGAAATATATCTAGAAGTATACTAATTACACCTGTGTGAGGATATCTACATGGTTTTTAGGGATCACGATTTCATTTGTATATGAGGTATCATATCATCCAATACATTAATTGATCCAACCAAGTAGCCTCTAATCGAGTATAAAACCAACAGAATGTTAAATTAATATAGCCCATAACTTTATATATGCCGCTTTCGCCCCGTCGGAACTAAGTGCAATTAATGATATATATGGTTGAAGGCCTCACAGAATATATTCAAAATCAGGGCTATCATACGCATGTCAGTGTCCATTCTAGTAATTAATTAAATCTCAGGCTTTAAGTATAAGGAAGAAATACCTTTTATCCCCTCTATCTTCTTCTTCCGTCACGCTATTAGGGTCTTTCTGATCGCGAATGCCCTGCTGTAGTTGATGTTGCTTCTCCCTATTCTGATTGCTGAGGTACCACCTCGTAAACACGATGGCAGCAAAATGGAGAAAAGACAATCCCAAGAAGTAGGCACTCCTAGAAACATCATATGACATATTAGAAAGAACAAGAATAAAATAAAGAACCAGTAATGACTCACCCAATCATTTTATAATTACCCTCTTTCTTTGGCATCGTGACTGTTGCCGGGATTGTGAACCCTCCAATCAAATTACCCGTACCAACATTGACACCGATCATAATAGCACGTTTGAATAACCCTTCTACATTATTGGCCATCCAAACCCATGATATTGCTCCACCCGCCCATGTTCCTATCGATCCCAAGAATCCCGCGACGTATTGTAGTGTCACACTTTCAGAGGATACAAAAATTATAAAAGCGGTGATAGAAAACCAGGATGTGACCATTATATAGTATCCTCGCTGGTTGGTCTTATCGGAAAGAATACCGATGTAGATTGTAGTTATCACAGCAAGAAATGCACTGGATATAATATAGTTAGTAGGATATTCAATATCAATGAAAGGGTAGTATTAACGTACGGAGGGACGTATAGAAGTGTTTTAGTAGTATCACTGGGATGAGTGAATAACTTTGCAGCTAGTGCCGATGCATTTTCTCGCTGTCGCTGCGTCAAGCCATCTCGCGCGACTACGGTACTCCTACAAAAAAATGATATGAAAGTTAGAATGCATAGATGCCTGTGGTATTCTGAAATAGTTTCTTGGTACTTTTAAAGCAAAGGGGGATCGATAGGTGTAGAGGTATACGCACATTCTCACGAAGATGAACAATAAAGTTTTCATATCCGTAAACACCTGCTTCCATGCATGCGGCCTGTAATGCTCACTGATATTCCTGGTACTATCAGTTGCAACATACCACTTCTTGAACATTGTATGCTCTGCCTCTGATCTTAGGATTTTGTCATCTTCGTCCGGGAAGTCTGGGATGAAGAAGAACACGACCATCGCCGAAATGACTGTTACAAGTCCCCAGATAATCTATCATGTGAGATTATATCCATCAGCATGAAACTTGAGATGTTGAAGGAGTAGAAAGTGCATAATAGACTTACACAAACCCAATCACTCCCAACTCTGCCACTAACGTTGATCTTCACAAGTGCAGAGTTCAGGAGATTTGCAAGAGACGATCCCATTGCCCCGCCCGCATAAAAGATCGCAACCGGCCGGCCAAGCTTTCGACGAGGGTACCAACAGGTTATGTAGTACTAATTTGTCGATTACGGGTCAATGTTAGAAACTAAGGCAACAACTAGTATGATATAAAAAGTACTTACCATGCATCCGGGAAATAGGGCCTAAGGTACATTAATATGTTAGCCGTTTTATCTCAACGTAAATACTCAAGCACTGTGACACAATATGGCAGGATACTCTTATTTCGTATCAAGTTATACATACCCCTAACGGAAGTCCTATTAGACTATCGAAGTATATTAATCATCATAGACACTTCGGTAAATAAATAAATCAAGGGGCTGGATGAACTTACAATCGAATCGCGGCCAACCCCTGCCAATCCTTTACAACAGCGCAGAAAACAGCCAGAAACCCGGACAACAGAAGAGCCGGGGCTAGCCAGACTCTTGGGCCTAGTCGCCTTAACAGGACGTTCCAGAGGGGCTCTGGAAGGCTGCAAACAAAGATGGCATGCGATCAGCTATATATCTTTTCAATATGTGAGATGTGGATATGGTGCATACGCATATGTAATGGTGAAAAGAAATTGGATAATTGCATATCTATTGTTATCGAGGGGATACCGTTGGTTGCTAGAGTCTATAAGTTTGAGGCGATGGATTAGCTTTTTACGATATTAATAGACACTAGCTTCTGGGCTTCAGAGCTTACATATGAGCTGCACATTCATACGGTTGGTGAACAATAAAAAATAGCAGATAGTCAACTATAAAATTAAATGAAGTTAGTTTAAATTGAACTTTCAGAAGGTTGATAAAAAAAGGCCGAGAAAACATACCGGAGGCAGTATCATCCAATCGATTCTAGTTTGTAGCCGTTTCTGTTTATCTGTTTCCGTAATACTGGCATCCTCACCCGAATCTTCAGCTGCAGGTTGGGGACCAGGGATAGCCCCTAGGACTACAGGTATGGAAGCCTGGGATTGAACCCTGAGACTCCCCGCTCCTGGGGATGCGGTCTGAAGGCGAGATATCGCAAGTTGAGGGTTTAGAGCACTCATACTAGCTATTACGGAAAATAAGCCGTAGATCGATTGAGAATTGATCAATTGAGAATCTAGAATTCCGTGCGGTGCCAATGCTCTCCAGTGATTCCCAACTGAAATGGGAAGCTGGTTAAGAGGAGTCTTGTGCTTACATTTTATTTATTTCCCGTCATGAAGGGTTGGTTGCGCAGCACCTGAACCGGGACTAAAACCCGCTATCAAACGCCAACGCATGCAGAGAATGAGGAATGAAGAAGAAAAAAAAGTAAGTCTCAGCCGTCATATCTAGTCCTTGTCCATTTTCTGGACTTCGATTCGTTTCATGCAGGTCCGCCTCAATATCTCAATAGCCTTGTAGTGCGAGAAGATAAGAATCTCTTAGCTAGTTAGTATCCTCAAGTTGAGGCTCTAACTTTTCGATGTTGTTGCAGTGGCTGGGCATTACCTAAGAAGGATCCCATGACCGCCAACCGGCGGCGGGATCAGAACATGCCAAACCAAAAAGGTGCATCGGCGTCAAGCGACTGCGTTCAGCCGTACATCTCTTGGAATCTTGGTGCTATACACTGCATAAATCAATGCCTCGTCCTGCTAGACGGCGACCCGCTACTGTGGCTGCCAAAGGAATTTGGAATTGAGATTTTGTGAAGTTGTGATTGTTTGACACGGACGCCTGCATGCACATGTTGTGAAATTAACCTCCAAGCCGTCTTTGCATGCGATCGAGAGCTTAGCCAATTACGAATAGCTTCATGAGCGAGGCTCGTAAGTTTAAAATCCGATAACACGGGTGGTTTTGATGCGGAATGTCTCGCATTGATGTCATTAAAAAGAGTCACCTACCCCGCGTTCAAATGCAGTTGCATTTGCCCAGTTTCGAATTTCTGTAGATGCCTTCCTCCCTTTGACATCTAGGCTTGAGCGCGAAAGCTTAAGCTACAGTATATATTAGGATATTTATATTGGCTAGCGCTTGCCTCAAGACACCAGGCACAGGGGAAACTTGAGGGTAGCGAATATCGACACAAACCAAGGATTCTAGGACTGCATGGTTTCGCATGGATTAATATTGTGCAACCCCAACGAGCACACAAGGCCTAATCGGGAATTACCACAATTACAACAACGCTCGCAATGGAGCCTATTCCTGAACTCTTCTCGCCGTCAAACTACCAACCAGAAGCAATCCAGCAATTGAGCCTCGGAAATCTTGCATTGAAAGCATATGCCAAATTCTATCTCATCCCCGGCTCGCCTGGAACCAAAGAGATTGATGAGCTCACATCCGAGTTGATGAATGGACAGTGTTTGTTCAATTACATTGAAAACACTTGGCCGAAATATGCAAATTATGAAGAAGACCCTGAAGTAGAATGGGAAATTGCGAATTTGTTGCAACAGGTTGAATGGATATTAACTGAATTGGATGGGATGGATATATCTGATCCGCTTACGGATGCACAGAAAGCGCTGATATTGGAATATCGAGCGAGACTGTGTGTTTATATCCATATCGCCTGTTTGCAGATTGTCATTAATGCATTCCAAAAGTGAGGATTCTTGGTTATTTGTTTCCTTCGATTTTTTTTCATCGGACGACCTGCTGACACAAAAAACTTCGTAATATATGATAGTGAGAATACCGGGGCTGTTGACCGAGTTGAGAAACTCCTTTGCGCATTCATCGATCGCTTTCATACCCCGGTCTCTCCAAAGGATAATCAACTTCTCGAGTGGCTAAATAGCGGCGTAGTTCAACCTCTTCCAGCTGATGCGCCCGGCGAAAGGAGTACTCCTGGGGCGTCAAAGGGCTTAGAACCAAACAAAAGACCTCCGAGACACAGGGTGCCAGTTGGTGTTCGGAAGTTCGAAAATGCAGCACCAACGCCTGAACAAACCAGCAATGGAGTTACTCAAAGCAATTCAAACGATGAGATTATTCTAAAGATCATCAAAGTCCAAGGTACTGCGAAGGAAGAAGAGGAATACCGATTTCCCCTGCGCAGCGTCCAACCAAATGACAAAGCCATTCTATCCAAGCCCATGGCTCTCGAGCTCTCTGATACCGAGGAGAATTTGGATGCGCGTGAAGCCCTCCGTAGCATCATAAGCAATGTTTTGCAATGGTTAGCTATATTCCCTGGAACTAGTGGTTCCGCGCCTCGAAAATTTTATTCGTTTCCGTTTCAAGGTATTGCTCGCGAACTAGAGGATGTGGGAAGGGAAATGATGAAAATAAATCTTTTCTATAATACGGGAGGGAACTTCAAACCAAACTATAGTGTCATAAATTCACATTACCTAGGGTGGACGGTACGGGAGTGGATGAGACTCGCGAGATGGTGGCTCTCAAGGGTAATTAATTTTGACTGATTACCAATTAACCCCGGCGACATGTATGGATGCTAACTCTCCGTCTACTAATAAAGGGAGTTTTGGAGAGGATGGCGAATGCAAAGACGAAGCAAAGACCGCCTCGGAAACGTCTCAATTCAGATCAAACTCTTGATCAATGGCTCGCTGACCATCCGCGGGGCTCGAATAAACATCTACCCCTCATAAAAGCCATTTTCATCTTTTGTGGCTTAGTCGGCGGCAGCGGAATATGGCATCTGCTAGATGCTACACTATGTGGTGAAATGGAGAAGCTTGATAAAGTATGTTTATTCTATCGGTTTAAATTCATTATGGAGATTCAATACCGCCTGAAAGCCCCAAACTTACATCTTCATCCCATTTTGCGCTTAGGACATTAGATTTGCATGCTCGCAAAACGATATCGATCTAGTAACATTTATAAAGGATATTAACAAAAAGCTTTCCAAAGGGAAGAGTCCCGTCAAAATGGCAGGCCCAAGCAACGGTGCTCATCCCGATACAGCGGACTTAGATGTTCTTATTTTAAGCGATAAAGTACATCGTCATGAGGAAACAGACGGTTTCGGTGCAGATAATGTAGTAGCTCAATTTCAAACGTTTGTGCACCCGAATATCGGTCCAATTTATGGTTACATCAGAAAACTAACAATAATTGCAGACTAGTAGCAGTTGAATTCAATACCCGCCCGAGTGGTCCCATATCAAATCACGATATAACAATATATTCCTTGTTAGAAGTCGGTTACACGGATAGGAAAAGAAACGTTCCGCAACTGAGACTACAAAACTCTCAAGGCGATATAATAAAATCGGCACCTCTGTTGGACTGGACAAAGATAGAGACCGATCAAGTTGGCAGTAAGAGAGAAGTTCATTAACCGCCGAAAATGATATAGATAATGAAGAGCTTCGCTGACTATGAAATTAAAATGTCCCAAAAGATCCCTATGATGTGGAAGTATGGTCTATTAGAGTGCGGGAAATGTATGTCAGTTTCGCAATTTGCGTAGAACAAGGTAAGTACTATCTAGTTGGGATTAAAACCTACTATCCACAACCTGCCTATTTAATAATATAGCCTTTGACAACCTAATGCGGCCGTATAGACCGAGTAGGCTTCAGCGGAACCTGCGAAAAAGTCATCTCCGGCGCGTTCTTGAAGAAGGAAAAGTCTAAATCCTGGTTAGTATCGAAACAACGTGTATGCGTATTCAATATTCCAAACTAATTACTTACGTCGATGATGGGTATGATTATATATTTAGGTCTATCGAAAGCGCAACATACAGAACTCCTTTCCGAGCCCAACCTCTAACATGTAGGGCTGGAGAATTAACTATAAAAGAGCACCTACTACCTGGCGCGGAGGGAAGCAGTCGCAAGAGGTCAATAGTTGTCGAGCCTCGATACCGTGGGCAAGTTGGTTTTACCAGTACGTCAAACTCAAAACGCTTGACCGTCTCAATTTTTACCTTTTACACATGCTGATATATAAATGCCGAAAAGTAGTTGACCACATTCCCCTCCACAAAATCGAAGTCCGAGATGCTGCTCCACGAAATACCTCGAACGGCGCCGCTATCGAGATCTCTTGGCTCGAGCGCGCAGTTCCACAAGATGAATACATGTTCTCACCCTTCAACCAACTTCGGTACCCCAGAATACATCATTATCACCTCGACAGCCAAAACCGTTTGCATCACGCCACGAGGCATACCCACCAGACACAACGACAAACGGGACCTAGGAGACTTCCAGAACGAACAAACATTCCAGTGGAACATGCACAGTCGAGAATGGTTTGCACTTATCAACCAAATGGGTCGTATTTTATGCAGGATGGGGTTGTTGGGGAACATCGATATGAAGGGAGTTCGTGGACTTGCCCGTACAGTGATACGGATTCATCGAGTGACAAGGTGGTTGTTAAGCATTGGCTCACTTTAAATCTTACCAATTGCATTGCCGGTAAAATTTCCTCAATACTATTTACCAAATCCAGGGGATAAGGATACTAACATATTAATCAGATCTTCAAGACTTCTACAGATGGTTGTTCCAGAAGGACCCGGATGAACTCTGTTTGGAGAACCATATTTATTCTTCGTCAGTACATACCTATGCGGAGATATTTGCGCCCAGATGGAAATTTAATTCGAATATGATTAGCTAATATATTTTAGATCCAACACCGCTGGCAATCAAACAAACGAGCTACACGTCTTTGAATCCGAACTTTTCTCTGAACGACGTGTATTAGAAGTGCAAACTTGTGGTTATGAGCAAAGAGTTAAGATGTCCTTCGGTACACTTTCCCTCATGAGTTTTGATTATGCCCAAAGTATCTTACGACTAACAAAGTATCCCGCGGGATAAATAGTAAACACCCTCAGCTCACTTGCCTACGAAACTATCTCACCACGAATTCAAGGATATAGAGTAAAAGACATGCTTAGTCACCCTTATGGTAGTAGACTATTTGACGGCGACGTAGGAAAAGATTGGCAGAATCTTAGTTCGGGACTATCGGATTACGGAGTAGATACCATTCAGCGTAAGTTATCAAATCAATGCTTCAACCAACCAGTTCTAACGTATACACTGGCAACTTCCATCAGGATTCCCAATTATCGATATTTTCTGTCCTCATTGGACTAAAATCCCCGAAGAAAGAGCTCTGTGTAACTTTATGGAATTAACACTTCGACCATCCGGACAGTCAAAATCCATCATGCGACGAGATCCTGATCCGATATTTGTCAGAAAGAATGGAAGGTTCAAGTTTTATCAGGATCCGTTTAGAAGGCTATTCTTGTTATGGGTTTACGGGGAGTCCGGGAACGGGTTTCTTTACTTTTGGAGTAAGCCATCTCTTGTTACTTTGATCTATTACGGTCAAATGACTAATGAAAAACTATAGTCAAAAGTTTTCCTAGCCAGATACTCAAGCTGAATAACAAACTACGACTGTCAGTAATGTATGAACTAAACTCAGTAACAGGAGCACATGCCGCCCCGACAAATATCAAAGAAGGAATAGTTGACATTTCATTCGCCGACTGTGAGTTTCACCTCTAATAAATACTCCGACTTTGTCTTGCGCTGCGTCCTACGGTATTATCACTGACACTTCCATCTCCAGCTTCATCATCTTTCCGTCGGTACTGCCAGGCTCGAATCACAAGTGCTATTACGGGAAGGTATTATGAGGGGTCTCTCAGTGGAGAATCTATGAGTACTCGGTCGAGTGTTTTTCTAGAATCAGCATGAGAGAGATAATTTCTTCGGTATAGCTACCGAAGAGGATCAAAAGCAAAAGTCAGCATAACACTTTCCCGATATCGGAAGATTTCAAGTGTAATAATGTTAATATAATATATCTCAGAATTTTATATAGAGCCCCAAACAACTATGCAATAGTAATACATAATATACAAAATGTTTTTGGAACAAGGGAACACCTTAGTGTCTGGTATCATAGTACGAGGCCAGTTAGAAAAAAAGAAGTGCCACTTCTATACGCCGTACGGGAAAAAAATACCTCCAGTAGAACACCATATGCAATGCAGAATATGAGAAAAAGCAGTAAAAGTATAGTAGAAGTACAGTAGAAGTACAATAAGTCGTAGCAAAGAAGCAGAAACTCAAAAAAATACTAAAATAAGCACACTATCATTCGTGATTGCGTAACAATTCTGGTAATAGTTACGCTTTGCAAAGTCTCCTCCCTCTTGTGTGCGTGTGTGCTTGTAGTAGAAAAGACCAGGGGGAAAAAACAAAGGAAAAAGGAATCAGAACAAATAATGGTACACACTCGAAGAGGAATAAAAAAAGGTTGAAAGCCAGGCGGGGAAGAGGGGGAAAGGGGAATAGTGATACAGAATATTAAAAAAGAAAACCCATAAACGCCAACAAGAAACGCCTCTCAATGCATGAAAACGCCGTACAGAATGACAAAGGAAATTATAACGAAAGACAGAATGACAAAGGAAATGGTAAGAACGACAGAATAACAAAGGAAGTGGTGAGGGCGATAAGAAAGGGAAAGAAAAAACGTGAAAGGGCTTTTGTGGTGTACAGGCTTGCATTTTTCATTAGTCGTTAGACGGTTAGACATCAATAGTAATTTGTACCTCTTCAGTGTATACGTGTATATACGTATAGTGTGTTGCTGGTATTCTTATAAAGCTTGTAGGGCCCTGATCTCTATCGAGGATCTTAGTCGGAGCCTTCAGGGGTGTAGCCAAATCCCGAATAGCTACTCTCTCTTCTCGCGACAATTTCGTAATCTCTATAGACGGGGACAAGAACGATGCTCTTGCGCCTCTCGTCTCTCATAGTTTTGTAGGCATTCAGCTTTTCTCGTCGTTTTTTCTCTGCCCTCTTATCGATCCACTCCCAAGCCTTATCCTTTGCATCATCCATAATGGCGAGGAGTTTCTGTGTACCAGTTAACTTGGCACGATACTCTTTCCATTCCTTCTCTTTACTGAGACGTCGTCTGGTCTCCCGATGTACACGGCCGGATGATGTAAAATTTTCCCATTTCGATTTAATTTTGAATATCTTGTCTCTTCTCTTTGCAGCTTTTTGCCATTTAGCCAAAGGAATCTTCTTGGGAGGCAAGGTATCCTTCTCAGTGAACTTGAAAGTTGAGCGCAGCTGAGGCGGAGATGGGGATGTGGACTTTGAAGATTTTTTGAACAAACGGGATGGAAGGTCACGAGCACCCTTGAAGAAACTTGCAATAGATTCCCGACGGCTCTCTGAGAACGAGGGGAGGAATGAACCAATAGAAGCAAACTTGCTCTTCCGGCGAGTGGACTCAGGAATCGTTGATGAGGTAGTGGTTTCTCCAGTTGATGGGCTTGTGCCTTTGAGATTGGATTCGTCGGTATCTCCAGAAACTACTGGACTAACTTCACGTTCTGGACTGACTTTGCGCTTTGGACTCAATTCAGAACTTGGGACAAGACTTGGTGCCGGAGGAGAAGATTGATCCGGAGAAGGGAGAATCTGTTCGTCAGGTCCCAGGACGGTAGTTGGTGTGGTGGAACCTGAAGTCATGGGACCGACAAACCATGGCTTTTGGACCTCCTTTCGAGGCATATCATCAGGAAAGGCAAAAGATGAGTCGACGGACGGTGGAGGAATGTCCTCATCAGCAAAGAAGACATGAGAACTCTGTAAAGCTGGAGAAATCTGACGGTCGAGAGAAACGTCCGACCCAAGAGCCAAGGGGCCGAAGAAAGACGAAGCAATCGAGAAAATGGACTGGCTGCGGGATGAACGACGGCTCTTGTCCTTAGATTTCTCATTTTTCTTCTTCTTCATTGTACTGGCTGGGGTGGACTGGTTGGAGACCCCCTGTGGCTCCTGCTCTTGCTCTGGGACAGAAGAGACAGTGGGTTTGAAAAGTGATTGGAAAGGTTTAACTTTGTTCTGAGAAGGGGTTCCCGGGCATGAAGCTGCCCTCTTGGGGAAAACCGTAGTCTTTGATCTGATCGTGGACGGAACAGAACGAGGGGTAGCGAAATTTGGATTGTTTTCAAAATCCTTAGATAGGTTTTCGAGGTAGACAACCTGGAGGAAGACCTCCTTGGTGGCTTCGAATGGCCCTCGTTGTTCGTACTGCAAGTTTCCTGCAGGCATTTTGTGTGAATTTGCTTGACGGTCAAGCTAGATCTGCTGGTTGTTGATAGTCGAAAGTGAAAAAGCTGAAGTAATTAATCAAGGTTTGGAAGCAATGTAGATGAATTGGTTGTTTGATAGTGTTTGAAGTAGAGATGAATTAGGAATAGCTGGTGGAGAGTAGGTAGGTATGTGGTGAGGAGGGATGGTGGAGAAGGAAGGGTTCGGGGTGATGATAGAAAGTGGGCTTTTATAGATGGGGGGGAAGTGACGTTGTGTCTGATAGTCGGTCTGAGCGGTGGGATAGTCTGGTGAGGTGCGGTGCTATCAATAGATCTATCTACCAGCTCCGCAGATTAGATCACACCCAAATAACTACAACCACCACAGTGCTCGACGGTGCTCTGCGGACACTATCGTGGTCGACGTCGGTCAGACAGGATATACTCTTTATATATACCGGTCTCTATGTGCCTGGACCCCCCCACATATATACACCTCATCTGTATAAACGAAAAGTTTTCCCCATGCTCTGATCATTGAACATCATTGGCCCGTACGGTGCTCAGGCCAATCAGGTCCAAACGGCATACGAAAAAGATAAAGGGAAAAAGGGAAGGGCGGGTGAATTATCGTTGTCGTCGACATGCCACATACTCCCGCTACGTGGTATATGCACAAGGTGCCGGTTGGACCCTGTCGGACTAATGTACCCCGGCCCCCACTATAACCTATAACCACTAATCAGATATCGAGTATCAGGCTGGCAGGGTAACTAGCGAGAAAACTTAGAGCCCAAAGCTTGCAAAGCGAAGTTAAGCTAGCTGGTTCCTGGTTAGGAAGTATGTACCTAGGCTAATGCAATGGTGTATCGTCGTCGACACTTACGACTCGAGCTCCATGCTCCACCAGCTAAGGCCCAAGGCTAACCTTACCGACTTTTATATATAAAAGTGCCTGAAGGTCAGGCCTTCCTAATCCATGAATTCATTTTAATCTGGCGTAGTCTCGCTGTTTCGTCACATGGATCCTCGAAGTTAGACTAGAACACCACGGAATCCTAGTCCTAGCTAGGAATTCGGATTTCACGACGTCCCGAAGAAAGATCTACACAGTAAAGAGGGGAACCTTCAAAAAAAACTTGACATGCACATACACACATTTAGGCCCGTATGGTTGGACAAGCTGTCCCTCGAAGTGGAGCCGAGAACCTCGTCCCGAGCTGTCTTACAGCGCACTCATGTGCCTGCCATTGGCTGTAGTCTCGAGACCAGATGCCGTTATTGGTTGTCAATGCGTGTAGTGACAGGGGTGACCAAAATGCAACGGCAACGCTTTTCTGATCGTATTTATCGCACAGAAACTCATGGTGAAGATCAGTTAAACGCCATATCTAAACCTTAACGCGTTATAAATGTTAGATATAAGCTATCTCATCCTGGGTGGTATTGACTGGAAGCTTTCTTCCTCAGGGTAGGTATAGCCATCAGAACGCCATTAAACTGATTCAAAGCCCATCTTTTTCCAAATTCTGTCACTGCCATCCGTACTATCCCTGCTTCGCTTATTATGTACACTGAAGCAGGCCAGAGGCGCTCCTTATGAAATTTGGAAATCACGAAGCTTCTCAACTCCCGCAATGGGCAACAAACATAGCAAAGACGTGTATATTGGCAAAGATGCTAGCAAAGGTGCCGGTGAAGACGACGATAAAAACACTGATAAAGACACTAAAAAGGATTCCGCTAAGGGCAACAATAAGAACCCCGGTAAAGACAGTCCATTCCGGTACAAGGAGCCCACATACAAAGAGCGCCGGAGAAATCGTCTGCCGAACTGGTTTTGTATCTCCGACACGATCGGCCAGCCGTATCGACTTGACCTACTACGCTTTTACTTCGACCGCAGTGACCCTCAAAGTCTTGTCAAACAGCTGCAGAAGCATTGGATGGCTGGGCGTAAGCTTGATATACCCTTTAAACCCTCTTCGTACCACAGCTACAGCTCCACTAACCCATTATTTCTAAACAAAAATTATAGTCATCGTCTGGAGATGTCCAAGCGAAGCCCTACATCCGAAGCATGACCGTTTCTATAAAGTACGCCACATGACTGGGAAAATCTACCTGATCGGCTGGGACGAAATGCCAAACGAACTTGTTGACAAAGGTGTATGGTGTGGTGCGATATATCCTACAGAGTTCGCCAATATCGCTCGTTTATATGTTAGGTGTCCTGAGCTATGGGACTACGATTGGAGGCATTCGAGCTTCTGGACCGCGGCTCCACAGCCCCAGTTGGAGAGGGTCCGAAAAAGAATTCAAAACGAAGGGTCTGAAGAAGAGGTGCCACCAGAAAAAAGGAGAGGAATTAATGAGGCATACGCAGGACAACCGGATATCGAAAGAGTTCAGTCATACTTAGATCTTCAAAGAGACGTTCACGAATGGTTAAATAACACAGAAGATCCCAACGATTTCGAGGGCGAAGAGACACCACCCGGATTTTCCGAACCCCTGATAGAGCTTGATAGTGAAGGCTCGCCCTCTGACACAGAATTGGCATCACTCTATGCCGAAGAAATGGCCTCGCCCTGCGGAATAGAAGACCCTTACAGCCATATAACCTATGCAACCCGACCCCCGCGACAAACAGAAGCCGACGAGCTCGAAGAAGGAAATTACATTTCAAATCTAGCTACTTGGAACCTCGAGTACAAATCTGTTCCATACCATAAATGGCCTGAAGAAGTCTTCGCCGCAGACTTAGCTGAAGGCCTCCAACGCGCCGTAGCTAGATTTCGTAATCGGTCATACACCTCCTTCCAAGGTTCCACCTCAAGCATTGACATATATAGTCGCTGTCCTCAAAATCCCGAAACCTCTCCAGCTAAGGGTGCCTATGCGACACCGGCGCATAGTATCTATATACCGCAAATCACGAATATTACATCTGACTGGAGTCTTGAGGTACTCGCGAACCTACCCACAGAAATGGGATTTAGCGACCCGGCCGAAACCGTTCTAGATTACCGCTTACCCAAATCCTACAATGAGATGAAATACCCCGATTGGGAACCGGGATTTGGAACAAAAAGCCCCGGTCCAGATTCAGCCGGGCCACAAGATGTAGACACTACATCCAAAACTGAATCTCACCACCCCATCTCTATTTCACCTACTTCTCCGTCTTCATTCCCTTCATTCGACTCCACATCCAGCGATACCCAACAAGACTCCCAAAAGCAAACTGTAAGATTTGCTATAGAAGAAAAAGAACCCAGTTACGACGAACTCGAAGCCAACACAATCACTAAAGCAGATCTAATACCCACTACCGCTGATGGCTTTTATTCCTATTCTCCAACAGTAGACTGGCTCCATTCCGAGTATAGACATCTCGTACAAACCGGCAATATACCGAAAGAGAACCTAACAGAAATCATGATCTATGGTAGTCGTGGGTTCATTAATTTATTCAGCAGACACATAGATGCCTGTGAGTTCGTCCCTTCACTACCGGAAAAGGAATCGAGAAAGGTGCTTTTGAGGAAAATAAAGGATAGTATTAGAAATAATCCTATTGAAGAGGAGGGCGAAGTTGTTTTTTTGGACTATCTTAATAGGCGTCTAGATGTGGAGATTAACTATAGCGATCCCAAGGGTGCAAGGGTATCATTCTATGAGCCAGAGGAAGATAACAGAGATTTTTCCGAACCGTTACCAGAGGAATTCCTAATTCCGGAACTTTGCCCATATACTTTGGAGAAACGTAGCGGGATTTTAAGATATTTCGATTCGGTAAGCCCTTCCCTACTCTCCCCCACATAACAAAATGCAGGTTGATTAACATGATCCCTAATGTAATACAGATCGTAGACGATTGGTATGACTACGGGCACTACGATTTCTGGGAAGATGAAGGTCAGCGTTTTAGAAATGATTTCCTTTTGAGAGCCCTTGCCGTCCATCCCCGCATAGGGCCTCCGGATAATCCATATTACCACGAATACGAGTCTTTTCTTCAAAACCCACTTATTCGGTACTATGCAAAACTTATGGAAATGGGGTGGCCTTTGCCGAGTGAAGAAGATGAAAAGAAGATGAAAGAAAATTCACCATCAGGGCTGACCGTTTGTATAAATTTGTGGGGTGATGATGAGTATGAATGGGAAAGAGACAACAGAGAGGCAGAGGAGAGGGAAAGGGGGGGACGGGAAACAAGTTACGAAGAACAAGGCGAAGAAGGTAAAAAAACTGAGGATCAAGTGGTAAACAACGAAGGGGAAAAAGACGAGGAGGAGAAGGAAAACTCACCCAAACAACAAGATCGAGAGAAAGGCAAGAAGATAGACTCGGATTTATTAAAGCTCCTACTGTTGCTTCCGCGGCTGAGAAGAAGAAAGCAGTTGCAACTTAGAAAAAGAACTAAGGGAGAATTAGATCAAATGGAAATATCGGGACTGGCCCAATTGCAAGAAGAAAAGGCAATAGAAAGACCCATATGGGCTCGCGACCCGCGATTTCCAGCGCAAGACGAAGAACGAGAACGGTGGCTGTCACCCGAAGAATCGGATATCCTACAGAAAATGAGACGAGATGCAGAGTACGGACGTCTAAGACATTGGAGATGGTGGTACGAAAGAAACCGAAAGAAGCTTTCGATGCTGACGGAATGGTATAAAATGGTCGATTGCTTTTGGCAGGATAGAGCGGCTGCCCAAGGAAGAGCTGACTACAGGAGAAAAAGGAGAGATGAGGAAAGAGCCAAGTGTGATTCAAGACTGTTTAAACCACCACCTCATAGTCCACCTGAGGAACGTGAACAACAACCCCATAGATGGGATACATACGGTTTTGATCAATGTCTTCCCAGTGGGGATGAACACGATACGGACAAAAACCTGGAGCCCGAAGAGGATAACTATGATGAAGACGGCTCTGAAAACAATGGTGAGGGCACCAACGATCAGTACGATGAGTATAATGATGATGATGAGTACGATGGTGAGTATGATAGTGACAACGACGACGAATACGATTCGGATTACGACAGCGACAGTTACAACGATGATGAATACGACTCAGGAGATTGGAATGCCTTCCCTATCCAATATGGCGATGAAATTATTGGCTATAAAACCGTTCCATCATATGCACATCATGGGGAATCTTCCAAAGAAAACGACCCGAATGAAGCAGAATCCTACTCTGGGCCCGGCAAAGAAGAACATTTATCTTGGAACCAAAGTGAAGAACCTAACTACTATTCTCAAGAGAGAGAAGAAAACCCAAGTTGTAGACTCAGAAAGTATGTTCCGGAAATAGAGTGCCATGACCCGGAAATAGAAAAACCAGTATTCTACGACCCGGAGGAATTCAAAAATATCCGCCAATTCCCTGTCTGGAGAGAAAAGGTTTATTACCACTATCCACACAAAACCTATAGCAGCCGACCTCCAGCATCGATAAAAGCACAGGCTAGATATTGGAAATGGCTTTGCAAACTGCATTAATGCATGCATTTACATGCAATTAGAATAGCACCCGGACCTATGTTAACTTGTGGACTACCGTCAGGTTCTTTAAAGTCGTTTCGTTAAACCTTTGTAAACATACTGTCCATTCATGCAAAAAAATCGAGCAAAATCTTCATATACTAAGCGTAAATATCATGTCATGGCATTAAATTTGGTTCGTGAAAATGGATAGGGTTAAGCCCAGTCCATTGATAAGCTAAGCTAACTAATACATGGCAGTAAAGCAAAGGCCTATCTATCATAAAACACCGTATCGGCTAAAGGGGGTACAACAGACCCCCCGGAGCTAGTCAATGTCCTCCCATACTCCCCCAGAAACAAAGGAAATAAAAGATATAAAAAATGATGCTTCACAAAAGCGAACGCAGTAGAAGACGAAGAGAAGAAAAAGAAGCTAACACCGTCGAGATTTTTTCCTTCGAACGAACGAAAAGAAAAAAAAACAATAAATCCCCGCCAACCTGTATAATATAACACCGTCCGATATGGTTGCATAAAAGCCACGCGCAAAAATGAGCGATCGTATGACAAAAGGGGAGGTCGTAAGTAATAGAAAAAGAAGAAAAGGGATCAAGAAAAAGAAGAAGGGAAAGGCTTGTCGCATGAGAGTGTTGAGCAGCCAAAAATAATCCAGTAAAACAGAATTTCGCGAAATGAGGGGGGTGCCTGGCGCTCCGAAACACTTGAACGCCTACGTAAAAAGGAGACCTTATTTTCTTCTCTTGTTCTTCGCTTCCATACCATCTTCGATCTTTTGCCACGCAAGAGCGGTCCTCTCGAACGCCTCACTAGTTTTAACTCCCTGCTTCATCAAGTTTTGGGTATGTTGCCTCGCAACAGCGGGACCAACATTCTTCATAAGGACGTGAGCCTTTTTATCGGCATTGAACCACGCCTTTTGTTGCCTCGTACTTAAAGATCCCAACTGATCCACGACAGTTATGGTTCTGTCACCGGTATCTAAACTCTCATCCTGAGAAGTTGCAGCGGACAGTTTATCCTTCGCGACGGATTTCTATCCCGCCTTGGATTTATCCATCACACCTCCATTCCCATCAGCCCCATTAAAGCCCGATGCAGGGGCCTTACCAGGAGCTTTTTTGCGTGGAGTGACACATTTGTGGAGTTTAGCTACCAGTGAATTGCGCCTCTGGAGAAATAAATGATTAGTATTCAGGCTGGTTGTTAAAGTGAAGACGGGTGAAATTACTTGTTTCTTGACCCCGAAGAGACCCGTTCTCTCAATCACGAAATCGTCGAACTGAACCTTAGCATTCTGCGAAACACATCTACCCAACATTGTTAGTGTACCTAAATAAAACAGGCTGCAAGGGCACAGAGACTTACTCCTTGATCCAAGCAACACCAACACAAGGAACATTAGCTCTCTTTGCCTTTGTAAGGGTCTGCGATATTCCATCCTTGAATACGACAAGATTCACGCCCATTGGATTGATTTCCTTGCTACTGTTTCCAAAAGTATTCAGTCTCCATCGTTTGACGACCTTAGCGCCAAGCTTCTTCAAATCCTCCACGAAGCTTGCGGAAGCATCGGCACCATCAGAGGTACGAACTTCCAAGAAGACAATGATATCTGAGAGTACGCCTGACTCTTCTTCTGCCTTCTCATCTTTAACATCTGCATTTCGGGAAGTAATCTCCTCCATGTCTTCCCCCTCCTCCTCCTCTTCCTCCTCCTCACATCCTTTTAAGGGAACTATCATGGTCTTTCCCTGGACGTACTTCGGGGTTCTGATCTCTCTATCTCTTGCATCCATAGTATCCAAAAAGAAGTTCCCAGTTGGCGTGTTGACGAGATTGACTCCAGAGGTTTCAGTAATCTCCCTCTCATACTCTTTCCTCAATGGTGATAACTTCCCACCTAGACGTTGCGTGAAGGGACCAATAGTAACGGCACGGTCTGGTGATGGAAGAAAGATACCGCTTTCGCGTCTGGTCCCCAACGTCTTAGGTGGAGACTTGGCGAAGACCTGAGCAGTAGTAATGGAGTCCCCAACAAGGTCTTCTTGGTCGTTTTCCTTTTTAGGAGGCACGACGGGTTCGTCGACGAATATGTCAAACTCTGCCTTCGTTGGCTTCTTAGGGGAAGGTGATGATGTAAATGACAGTCTTCGATTAACCGGGCTAGCAGGCTTCGGTGGGGTGTCTAAGTCGCGGTAAATGACTGGCTTGCGTTCGGTTTGGAAGAGACGATTGAGGAATTGTTGGCCTGGAGTCGATGTATTTACTGGCACCTTCCTTGCCGACTTAGCGAGAGGTTCTTTAAACAGAGGTGGGATCTTGCAATCACCCTGCTGCTTCGTTGCAGGAGACTTTCCAAAAATCGAGGGTCTAATAGGGGAGATCTGGTCGATTTTGACTGGAATACGAGAAGGGGACGGCGACCTAGCTACCGACTCTTCCCTCACTTGAAATGGATCGCGTAAAGGCAATGGCGATATAGCATCGTAGGTTGGCGAAGAAGCTTCTTTAATATCTTCCATCGAGATTGTTGATTTGAGCGGTGAAAGGCCCTGTGGTCTTCGTGGCGCTTCTTTCAATGGAGAAGGTCTAGTCGGCGTGGACTTTGCCATGGAAGATGCTGTTGGTTTTGCGAACGAAGCGGCAAAATCTGGTCGCCGAGCTGGCGTCGCAAGAGCACTCGCTTTGACAACAGGCTCATCGTTTTTCGGAGTCTTGGGAGCCATTCCAAAATCGGGTCGCCGAGCAGGAGTCGCAAGATTGCTGTACTTGTGGGTTGGATCTTCTTTCTTTGTAGTTCCCGCTGAGATACCAACATCAGGTCGGCGTGCGGGCGTAGCTAAATCGCTAATCTTCGGGGCTGAGACGGTCTTCTTTGCGACTGGCGTCGAGGGCGAAAGCGGGATAGCTGGTCTCTTTGGTGGGCAGCTCATCAAGCTTCGGGACAAATTCCTGTTTGGCTTGTTGACATTAGCAGTAGATGCTGAGAGCATCCCAGAGGAGACCGGCGGCCTGCGAGCGGGAGTCGCTAGGCTTGTGGTCAGTTGGGAACCTTTGGGCGCCTTCGATGACTTTGGTTCGAAGTCCCATCCTTTGCTAGAAGGCGCAGGACAAACAAATGAATCGGTGGATGCGAAAATATCCTGAGAGGAAGCTCTCTTGACATTGTGCATATTAAAGGCTTCGGAGGCAGCCTTTTTAGCTGATGGATGGAACGGATTTGGATTTTCCTCTGCATGCTCCAAAAGAGCAGAGGCCCGAATGGCCGGAGTACTCTTCACCGGGTTAATGGGTCTCTTTGCCGGAGTTTCATGAAGACCTTGCCTGTGATTGTATACCGGGATGCCAGTTGACGTCACCCTTGGCGTGAAGGTCGGCCCAAAATTCATTGTAGACTTTTCTTTTTTGACTGATAGGGTGGTATTTGCCGAACCCATGTCGAGAGTGTAAGTTCTAAAGTCAAGATGCTTCACAGGGCTATCGGTTTCCTCGTTAAGCTTGATATCATCCAAGCGAGCGATCTTTCTTCGGGATTTCGGCGGAGATGCTTCCGGTGTATACTTTCTCTTCAGATCGGCGGTGGCTTTTTTGAGTAGTGGCCGTGGGGTAGATGCAGTACTGAGTTTGATGCTAGCAGACCTAGGAGTTGTGGCCAACGTGATGGACGATGCCTTCTTTGAAGCTGGTGTAAATGACCTGCTAGGCTTGGGAGTAATGGTTGCAGCGACAAGTTCATCTTCGGAAGGACAGTCATTCTCCTTATCGCACAAAGCAGGAGTCCTCGGTGTGCTAGCAAAGTGCACGCTCTTCTTGAGGATCGACTTCAGCGTCGTTTGTTTCTTAGATCTAGAAGCCAGAGGTCTCAAGTCAGTTGGTTTGTTTACGCCCGCAAGTGCATCACGAGGAGCAACGACATACGGAACAGGAGTCGCAACCACAATGCAGTCCTCAGTTGTGTTGGATTTGGCTTTGACTTTGGCTGTGGCTTTTTGTGCAGATACACGCCGACGCTTAGATAGCAATCGGGCCGTTGACGGCGGATGCTTCCTCGCGGAGCGTCGAGGTGCTGTGGCTTCCATTGTATGTAAATTCTTAGTCGTCTATCGGATATTGATCAATCGATGTTGCAGGTGATGATGATGATAATGATGGTGGTGGTGGTGGTGGTGGTGGTGATGATAGCGGGTAGATGATTGATGATAGAGGTAGATGGTTGATTTGGATGTCAAGTTGGACGTTACACGTTGTACGGGACCGATGTGTTTTGAAACGGATAAAGATGGAAGGATGAAGGGTAAAGGAAGAAAGGACAGAGCGTCTGTCTGTCCCCGCACGTGTTTTGTATAACACAGAACAGGCAGTTGCACTGGTATTAATACAAACCGTCGGATCCAGTGACTTGTCTACTAACTTCTTTTTTCCTCGATACTTGCTGCAGGCTGGAAGGTTTACTGGGATCCTCCTTCATCCATCTCTTCGTTCATTGATTCATGATAGGGCCAAGGGACTTGTTGGTGTGGTGTGGTGGCCCTGTGTTGTGCTGTGTTGTGTTGTGGATGTTGTTGTTGTTGTTGTGGTTGCTAGTCCAACGCGGGTAACCAACAGCAACGGTTTCCCAATTCAGCATTATTTCCCAATCGGAGCTCATCGGCCCCGCAAAGCCCTGGCAATGGGAGCTCGCTTGCAGATGCACCACCTTTTTTGTCCCGCTGCGCTGTCCCGTCTTTGATGTCCGCCACCTGCACACTGCGACCCGCCTCCGATGCATTCCAATGGCAATTCTCGACCTGACTCCAAAGTGGAGATTGACACCGTTGCTTCCGGGATACCATGGCCAGAACACCAATGAACTATACACACATTGTCATATCTGGGTACGATCAGACCACATCTCATCCATCATGGTTATGGTAACGTTCCCGCGCTAGTATGTTATCTAAATACTTTGCTGGCCATTCACCCCACCACCCGATATACATATTACCAGTCTGGCGAACCCCAAACTAACAACCGAAGGGTATATCTCTATGATGCTACTAGCCATTCCTCATGATAGTTCAGTCTCGTAACAAAGCTGATAATCGTTGTGATTAAATACATACAAGAATGCAGAAAAACAAGGTTATATGCCCTTTGTGACATCCAGAAACGGGACCAGCCTGCATCATATATTAATATGCTCTCTGAGAAAATATTCCTCAGGCAGTACATAAGCCTTCCTTATTCGAAAGGCCCCCCATTTGAATTGCCAACCCTTTTTACTTAATATGAGAAATTATCATGCAAACGGGAGTTCTACTATCGCTCGAAGCCAATCTCGATATACGACTTAAAATTAAGCGAGGGTTTGTTTGCAAACTATTCTTCATGAATTCAGTCCGGTAACCAGACTTACTAGGCTGACTGCTCTTGGGGTCTAATACATCGATAAATCGAGAGCTGGTGCCATTAAAGCGCTTTAACCAGCCAGTACTAGCGTGCACGTTGCGTAGAGCTAGCTAAGTTAACTCGTATACACTTTGCTATGTTGTGTGTTAAAATATTTAAATGTTGCCTCGTAGCCGGCCCTAACTAGGCCCCGTTCGAAAAAATAACGGGGTATACGCAAGCGAGACCGGGTATACGTAGTAGCATAGATATAGAGACTTTCCGCAATTTAGTTAATTAAGTAGTAGTTAAGTCCACATACAAACTAGTCCCGATTCCCCTCTATACATTCTATAGATCTAGTAGTATATAGATATCTCAAAACCTCCGGCACCCTGTCATTGTCAAGCTTCTCCTTAAGATGTCTTATACATCGAGCCGTGAGTTGTACTTCGTAATGGTTATTGTCAAAGAATCTCTGCGAGCCAGAGTAAGCCTGCTCAAAGTATGCCAGAGCTTCATCATCATGACCTTGCCTCTCCAATGCTTGACCTAGCCCCCTGATACTTTGGTACACAAAGGGATGATCTTCTCCATACGTATTCTTTACCCTGGAGATTGCCATCTCCAATATCTGCCTAACTTCATCATAATTTCCCTGCCCAAAGAACGCCATAGCTTGACGGTACAAAATATTCAATGTTGGCCAGTCATTTTCACCGTAAATCGTTATCATTATGGGAATGAAATGGTTACAGAGCTCCAATGCTTCTTCATATCTTTCATAAAGTATAAGGAAGTTTATGAGACTGCAAGCAGTATTGGCTGTCGATGGGTCTTCCTCGCCCATAATTTTTACTTCTGTAGCGAGCATTTCCCTATAGAACTCGGTACCTTCACCAGGAGTAATGTGATGGGTAAGCTTAGATACAATGTTACCAATAACTATGAGTATTGATTCCCAGTCTGGACAAGCCATATGGTCTTGATCGCAGTCTATTGCCCTCAGTACGCATTGGCACAACTGAAAGACTTCTATTCCTTTGTTTTCGGCAGAGGCAACGAGATTATTGGTGCTGGCAAATCGGTCACGAGCATACTGTATAAAGTCAGATCCTGCGAGACCGATCAGGACGCAGGTATTCATTTGCAGGCACTCGTCGGTGCTCCCTTGAGCGCCTAAAATTGTGCCGACCTCGGCCATTATTATCAATGATTCTCGATGGCCTTGCCCTAGTGTATCGTTTGTGATTTTGAGCAAGTGTTGAGACCATCGTAAAGATTCACTGATTCTTCCAGAGCAAGAGTAATACTTTCCAATAGATCTCATCGTCAATAGTGTTTCTTTGTTGTGCAGATTGTACTTTTCTAGCAGCATCATCACCTCGAGTGCATGCGGGAGGTAACAACTGCAAATGGCCGACTTGGTATGGAACGATTCGACCGGGAATCCTCGGCCGACGATTTGTGCAGCGTACTGCACGAAAACCTTTCTTTCACTTTCTTCGATCTTGAATTGTAATATCTCCCGAAAAAGGTCATGCACCCAGATCCTCCCGTTCTCTGACCGTCGAACTATTGATGATTTCTCTAAAACTAATATCGCTTTATCGAGTTCCGACTTTGACTGAAGAATGCCTCTCATGTGATTAAAAGCCCGAAGTTTCATGGTGTTTTCATGTTGGGATACCGTAAATTCGGATTTGGTTTTGGACTTCATGAGTCTTAGCCCTGTGAATCGGTTCTGGATCCGCTTCCTCCATATTTTGCTCTCTTTGGTTGGTGCAGCATTGATCCCGCCACTGCTATCATTGGTTTCGTCTCTTGTATGATATTCACCGCGGACGTATGATAAATCAGGGGCACCGTCTGTCAAAAGTGCCAAAGGGAGAGCTTGCGGGCGCATCAATAGGATAAGTTTCAAGATGTCGATATGGGTTGGACCTAATTCCTTGAGAGCTATGTCTAAGGTTGTGATAACATCGGCATGGTGCGAGTTTTCTATCGGATCCTTCACCACCTGTAGTTTGCTTTCCTGTAGATTATCAAAGAGTGTACTGAGATTCCAACATCTCTGCACTGCACACCTTACACTTTGTTCTAACGCAAGTGGAAGGCCACCTAGTTCCTGACTGATTCTTTCTGCAACTTCAGAAGTATCTCCCTCCCGGCTAGATATTTTCAGTACCAATTCTTTGCCTTCGGTTAAATCCATCTCCAGAAGTTGAATACAACATGCTGAAGGGCAAAATTCGTGTGCAATGTGCTTGTCCCTCGTGGATAGGATTACATGGCCGTTGAGGTTCTGAGGCAAAGAGCTTCGGAGCAGCTCTACGACGGATGATGCAGCATCATCAATGATGAGGACCCAATCAGTATTACTAGCAAACCATCTCTTTAAAGCCTGTGTTATTTGGCCTTGGTCGATAGATCCCGCTCCGGGTAGGTTTAAAGCCAGGGCAATATTAGTACAGCTACTGAGCCAATGATCGACGGTTTTGGCTATCGCGTAGAAGCCAAAATTGTATCCATTTCTGTTCTCCATTACATACTTAATGGAAAGCTGAGATTTCCCGACCCCAGGTATACCGAAGATCGAGACGATTGCTCCCCTTTCGCTGGTAGAACCGCGGTGAAGTGCATCATATATTTGTTGTAGATACTTTTGACGTCCGCTAAAATGGGGGTGTAGAATTCTAGGAATATCAAAGATATGTTGTTTCGCGACGTGACGAGGATCTTGCCTCATAGTGCTGCCCGCTTGTGCCGTAATTTGCAAATTAGTATATTGAGGACTACTTGACTCTAGGGATAGTGGAGACGAAATACCTAAAGGAGCAATTTGAGAAACAAGTTCCTTCGTATACGCCGCGGCGGTTAGAGCAGCGTAAGGTTGCCAACGTTTATTCTTGTGACTATCTGAGTAGTCACATATTCCTCGAATGACCAAGCATGGACAGTGATCCATCAAACCGGCGGCTTCCATTTCGAAGCATATAGCCCCGGAATCATCGCCGATGCGGTCCCGAGTTACACCGTGTTTGATCACTTGGTTCCCTGAAGCTATGGTTCCGTAATGAATGACAGGATACATGTTCTTTCGGACTTTGCGCGAGACCACTTCGTCGGTGTTGCAAGATTCGCAGGTAGTATCCCCTTCATGTTCATAATCGGCCTTATACAATACATCGTGCTCCTGGCCTTGGTGTGTGTAGGCCTCTACTAGATTGGGATGCTTTTGGTATGCCTCTGATAAGTAATTTCGAATTTTGTTTATCCCTTTCAGTTCATGACTGGCTTGGAGACCTGCTATCGCAGTAAGTAGAATCTGTGGCGGCTTATTCAAGCTGCCACACCGCTCAAAATGCCCTCTCTTCACGGTTTTTCCAAGGTCATACTGTACGACCCCTCCGAGATTGTTTTCCGGTTTGCTGATAACTATGTCCCCAAGCCTTATGTCGTGAGACGGCTTTGGGATCCCGCCGCCTATTCCGACCATTAGGTAGACTTTTAGCGAACGAAAGGTCGATTTCATTTGTGTTGCGACAACAGCGGCACTTGTCGTGCCATAAGATCCTAGGGGGAGACTGGCGATGACTATGTTGTGTCTCCCAATGCTGCCTAGCTGGTAGGCATTATCATCACCGAGGCTGACCTCAGATGGCCCATCGTGTTCCAGATCGAGCATGGAGCACCCTGCAGCTCTTTCCACTGGAAGGGCGCATATCCAAGCCACGGTATAGTGACTATTAGGTAGTATTGGGCGTACCATATGTGACAATCGCGGTGGCTTTAAGTGTTTAGTTATGTCGGATGTATGTATATTCGTGCGGGGTTGAGGTTATCGCTGCACTAAGCTTCATCATTTACGTATATCATCGCTCGTGGTTCTCTTGCTTGATATTTAAACACATTTAACCTGATTCTAATTGTGCTCTGCCTTGTTTGGACAAGTCCTTCATGTATGCCATCCTGGCATGCATACACGAAGTCTGCGTTGAAATTTGACTGCCTTGTAGAATTCTCAAAACTAGCAAGTTGAGCCGAATAGTTATTCCGGGTTTAAGCTGGCGGGTACATAAGTACTTAAATAGTCTCGTATTGCAGACGCGGTCCACACTTTGTATACCTGTTTCCGAAGTTACGGCTATAGAGAATTCCAATTGCATTCTAGACGCGGCATCATTCCAGGGAGACTTTGGAGCCCTCTGCAGGTCGGATTCGACGTTACGTGATGTAGGATTACTTGCAATGTCGCCGCAACTGGTGCTCGGAGATTCACAAAGCTAGCAAAAAGATCCCTTACGAGATCTCGAGAGTGTCTGGATTCGAAGCAACCTTTTACTTTTAGCAACGGATACTGGTTTTGTTCATTGTATGTATGCGTAATTGTTTGGTTAGCATATTCTGTAGCCTTTGTCTTGTATCATATAGAGTACGTGGGTTACCGCTCGTAGAGAAGGGATCTCATTGAGTGATAGTCTCGTATATATTTCGGACACTGATCACACGATTGAAGGGTAACTCATGAGCTCAAAGAGGTAAATAAAACCACCTAAAGATAACGGCCAACCTACCTATCGGCCGGCCCACAGGATTGATTACTTGACGACATACAATTTCAACCTGCTTAATTACTAACCTGTTCACAATTCTACCTAAAGCTTAAAGGTTGACCTATAAGCCCCTAATAAACTAGCCATGGGTCTACCCACTGGTTTTAATTATTAACATGTAGCTATCTATAAGCTTGCTTCTTATTAGTGTGTCTATAAGCCTAATTCTAAAATTTGCGTACGAACCCATACTTAATCTGCGGCCTTAGCTACAGCCCACTTACAGTTTTGTAATTAAACGCGTAGATAGGCCGCAGGGTAATTAAGCTTGTATCTAGACTAATACATAAACTAGTAGGCAGATGTACAGGAGCCTAGACCCATAAATAGGTTAGTAGGCAGGCTTTAAAGCTTTCTGTAGACCAGTTTGTGCAGACCATTGGACAGGGTAGTAAGCAGGTAGTTATGCAGACAGGCATGCAGATAAGCCTATAGGCGGGCTAATATAATGACTCGGCTTATTTTGTCTCGAGGCGAGGCTATGATTAGGTGTAGAATTAGTAGAATTATCCTATTGGCAACAATAATACCAGAAATATTGTCTGGTTTGAGACAACCAGAAATGTGATTTAAACTCACAGTTTAGGTGCCACCGTAGGCGGCCAAAAGTTTATTGCAGGTCAAACAAACTATTATAGACGGGGCAATGGAAAATTCCTATCCTAGGTACTTATACCAATCGAGATATTCTTCGCAGCGTATAAGCACCATGCATCAATCTGTGTCATTATAGTGTTGCCAGCGTTGTATTTTGAATTCGGTTAGACTTGTAAGTAAGCCTTGTCGGTTAAATTAACAGTCTCTTACCGGACCCCAAATATACAAAGCAGTTTTTCGAACCCACTTGACCACTGCATAACATGCGCATGCACCATTGAAGTACTAAGTGTTTTGAGGGCCTGGGCCGGCTTGCATGAGAGGGCACCTTGACTTGATCGTAAAATTTAGATACGAATGGGCCGGTACCGGTACGCCTACATTGTTATATATTCAGCGACTATTTAAGCTGGTACCAGTTAAGGTTATAAGAGGTCGTAAGATATAGTAATTATAACCTAGTTACACTTGTAAAACAATGATTGCTTGTCTGTTGTCGGTGCTGTAGCATGTAGCCGCGGTTCCTATGCGTCAACATGTTAGTACTGTTATCATGATATCGACTGATATCTAATATTATATAATCAAGGGTTCTAGGATTACACTCTTGGGCTCGGCCCTTCGCGAATTCGGTATACCGGTAGCATACTTCGCCCGTCAATTGCAACCACCGTCTGCCGATTTCCAGTACCGCAGTTGATTAATCATGTATCCCAAAAGGAACAGAGATAATGTAGACATTTTAAGTGAGTCAACGGCTCTCGATCTTAAGATCTATGAACGCCATCCAAAAATATTAATATGGTTCGCTTATCAGAGCTGATATATCCCCGCATCGTTAGCGCCATGAACAGGCAAGGTATATGTACGTAACCCAACACGGAGCGGAGAAGCTTCTGAAAAAGAGGGAAAGGGTTCAGATCCTTTAGATCCTAGATACGATTTAGTACTTTCCTTACGGCGCAGCTAGCATGCAGAGCACAGATATCGATACGGTGGCGATAAGATGGCTGTGCAGCTGCGCCGATAAGAACATGTGCATGCAGAAATATATGTATCCGCAACCATATAGTTCCAGAATAAGGCTAACGGCGGGCGTTTTGTGTGCCCCCGCAATCGATGAGGAGCATTGTCCTCAGTCGCTCTCACGCATAACGACATTGAAATCTTATATATATGTATCCTCAAGCTACGGATTTTTAGTTTTATTCTCCCGAGTTTTAAAATATAGTATTAATAAAGGAGATATTTGAAGGGCGGGGTTACGTACACTATCTAATATACCCTAAGATGCCATCCTGGCAGGAAATTGCCGCTGAACGGCAAGCCCACCGAGAGAGCACCATCGAAGCCCTCGCAAAATTGCCCGATCCAATCATAACCCCAGACTTCGGCGATCCTTCCAAATTACCTCTGAACGTCTACAAAACATGCCAGTACTATCTAACGCCGCGAGAGATCGAAATTACCGAGGCAAATCCTATCATTATACTCGCACAATTGGCGAATAGCACGATTTCCGCCGTTGATGTTACTCGGGCATTCTTAAAACGCGCTGCTATTGCCCAAAAACTCGTACGTATTAATATTTTTATACTTCTTCAGGGTTGATCAATGAATGATATACTAATCTATCATACCCAGACGAATTGTACCACAGAACTCCTCCCCTCGGTCGCTCTGGCCCGCGCCGCAGAACTAGACGCCCACCTAAAAACCCATAGAAAGCCAGTCGGTCCCCTCCATGGCCTTCCAATCTCCATAAAGGAGCACTTGGGCCTCAAAGGCCACGATCTAAACGCCGGTTTCTGCGGCTGGGTCGGAAACACCGCTTTCGAAACGGCGGATATACTAAGACCGTTATATGATGCGGGTTGTATCTTCTATGTTCGAACAACCCAGCCACAAACGTTGATGCATTTGGAGACTTCAAATAATCTTTATGGAGTCACGGTTAATGGATTTAACAGGAATTTGTCGAGTGGAGGCAGTAGTGGTGGTGAAGGGGCGTTGATTGGGTTGAGGGGAAGTTGTTTGGGAGTTGGAACGGATATTGGGGGGAGTATTAGGAGCCCTGCTGCTAATAACGGTATGGACTTGACTCTGATTGCATTTGCAAAACACTTACTAATTGAAACCTTAGGGGTTTATGGACTGAGGCCGACAAGTTATCGACTGCCAATGGGTAAGTATCGCGCCACAAGACATACGGATCATAAAAGTTCAAAATTAATGTTGGATGGGGAATATATAGGCAGTCAATCCGCAACAATGCAAGGCGAGGAACATATCGTCCCGGTCGTGGGCCCCCTTTCTACTCACCTTCCTGCCCTTTCGCTCTTCATGTCCGTAGCTATTGGTTCGAAACCTTGGCTTTCGGACCCAATGCTGGTACCCCTGCCTTGGCGCGAAGAATCGCATTTCCCACTTAATGCTGTTACAGGCAGGATGAAGAAAATGAAAATAGGTGTTATGAGGTGGGATGGTGTTGTGATGCCGCACCCACCGATACTCAGGGCCATCGATGAGGTTGTGAAGAAGCTGCGGGCTTGGAAGGATGAGTTTGAAATTGTGGAGTGGAAGGAGACGAACGCGGCACAGGCTTGGGATATTATTGTAAGTCTTGTCCTTTGCCCTGTAAACTTGCTTGTAGGAAGTATATACTAAACTTAATAATAGTCTGCATTATACTTCGCGGATGGCGGAAAAGAAGAACGGGCAGCAATGGCAGAAACAAACGAACCAGTCCTCCCATTATCAGAATGGATTCTAACGCAACCAAAAGTTCCAAAGCCTCCAGGACACTCTATGAATGACCTTTGGGGATTAACGCTCGAGCGGGACGACTTTAGAAGAGATTTCGTGGCAAGATGGAACGAAAGCGGGATCGATGTTTTGTTATGCCCTGTCGGCCCCGGTGTAGCCCCGAGACTGAATACGGCGAAGTATTGGGGTTATACTAGTTTGTGGAATTTGGTGGATTATCCGGCAGTTGTATTTCCGGTGGGGAAAGTTGGGAAAGAGGACGAAGGGAAATGGGATTACGCGGGTGGGAAGGGGGCGGGAGAAAAGGATAGGCGGAATATGGAGCTTTGTGAGTATGTCCTCTTCTTAGAGAGGCTTCTCTACTAACAAATGTTTAGGGGATCCGGAATATTATAAAGAAGCACCTATTAGCTTACAGTTAGTGGGAAGGAGGTTCGACGATGAGAAGGTTCGTCAGATAATTTATGAGATTAATCTAGTGGCTTCAACTAATTTTGGGACAATAGATTCTCGAGGCATTGAATATTATAGAGGGTAAAGTCGGATTGCCATTTATTGATCCTACGCAATAGTTAAATTATAATAGGGGTTTCAGGAACCAGTTACCTGTTGTATTTAATTAATTAACATGCAAGATTTTAGACATATTAACTAGGCGAAGCTATTGTGCATCGATATATGTTAGGGTTAACTAATGACCTCTCATACTACCTTTCGTCATAAACATATGAAAACCATAGTTGCAATCATCAGTACAACGCCATGTCGAGCGCAAGCGAGTTTCCCTATCTAGACTTTTAAACTTGCGACATTCCGAACAAGTGCCAGCAGGTGCATTACGATAATTATCCCAAGTCCAGTCAGCCCACCCATGGAATATCAAACGGCGAGCTTCTGAAATGTATCTTAGTTTTCGATACCTAGTGTTATAAAGGACGTAGATTAAAATCCTATTGATGATAGGGGAGGGGAGGTTTTGTAAGCCTCTGAGTGTTTTGGGTGGCAAGGGTATGATGGGTTCGTAGCGAATTATAGTGAGAGATTGTTGATGTTTTTCGGGGTTGAGAAGAAGTAACCGTCGCTGTAAATGAGGGGCCGCAGGTCGATTTGTCGGTGTGGGAAGGCGTCTTGAGGAGCTATTTAGTAGTCTCTCTCCTGGATTCAACCGAATACTGCCAATTTGCATCTCTGACGCGAGGACTAGGGAGAAATGAATATGAGAATCGTAAGCCGGGACTGGTGTAAATGCTTCGATTATCGTGAATTTGACACTAACGATACCACAGCCGCTACAACCGGGTTTGGTAATAATTGGATTGTGACTTTGCTCGCCTAGGCGGGACTTAAATGGGCGTTTCTGCGCGCACTCGCAGGTCCTTTTGGACCAGAATATAACTGCAGTGTCGGGGCGTTTGAGGGGGAGGAAACAGTGCCGACAAAGGGTGTCGTAGAAGTATGGTTCGTCGATCGGGTCTTGATCTCGTTCAGAGTCAAAGCTAGGATCGATACCGTTGTTCAGGTTCAACTTATAGAACTTCACAACGTTGTCCAGTGGCTCTAATGTACTCGGCTGACTTGCAGATGGTGGCCGTTCACTACTCCTCTTAGGAGATTCATTCAACGGTGTTTTCCGATACCCCGCTAAAAATTTAGTATGTGGGATTGTGAACTGCGTCCTTCGAGAGTTTTTTGGAGGACCGTTTCTTGCTGTCTCCCAATTCCCATCAGCATAATAGTCTCCGTAAAGTCTATAGACGCCTGTTGGTGCGTCTTCCTTCATGTAGTTATCTTTAAGGAGTGATTCGGGACAGCGGTGGTGTTCGCACCATATGGTTTTGTAAATTGGATTGTCTGGGGGGAATATCGGAGAGTTATTCCATTGGGATTTTAATAGTTTATCACCTGGGACGAAACGTTCGAGACAACCCGATGTTTCTGGAAAGCCGTCTGTGGGTGCAGGGGTGGCGAGGTGGAACGGGTAGAGGGATGCGGGATAGAGTATACCGGTCCGATAGTCTAAGATAAGAGCCGAGGGACAGGTTGGGGGACACAGAGGGTGAAGGCAGTATGAACATTTTCCTTCCCAAGGGCTACAGTTTTCCTGTGTGGGGCCTCGGATTAAAATTGATTTCTTGTAACTCTTGCTACTATCCCTTTGGTAGGGGAGGCATCGTTGATACACTTGGCTTCTGCACTCTGATTCTGGAGAAACTTTTGAAGACGGATGTGGGCAGATATCGCGAAGGGATTTAGTGGTTAGGGAGAGGGATACTATATCTGCGTAGACAAGATGGGTGAGGATTAGGTTAAAGATGTCGAGAGGCAGGTTGAGGAACCCTGAGTCTAAGCAGAAGGGTTCAACCTTTTGGGTCGTTTTGCTTTTGCTAGGCAAGGAAGACTCATCGTCACAAGACCGAACTATATGAAGTTTTCTGAGAGCTCTTTTAAAGATTTTGTTCGGCATCTTAGCCCTAAATTATAAGTTCAGGATCTCGTAACTAGATGGATAGTGGTGTGTAGATTGTGTTGATAGTGTTGTATTTTTATGGCGTAAGAAGAGGAGGAGACACTTGCAATAGCCAGTATCGTTGGGAGTGGCGAATTCGGTCGGAACGAGCAGGATGCATCCTACTTATGCATCAGTCTTTTACCGAATCTATTGTGTCCTTGATGCTCTTGAGGACGACGTCGTCAATCCGCCAATGTCTCTGAAAAGACGGCCCTTGCGAGAGAGATAGCTAGCGATACCCCTAGCAAACGTTGGGCGATGCGCGGTGAGGCTGAATGCTGAAGGATCCTAGCGAAGTCCAACAGCAAGGCACAGACATTTATCTGTACAATTTTTCCAATTTTCTCGTATTCAGGCTTTCTAGGCCTTGTCTATGAAAAATCTGGAGACTTAGTATTTAAGCTTCCAAGTCTGGGTACGAGACAAGTATTTAAGGCTGTTTATGACATCACGTTATCTTTGCTGCCGTATCTAACGATATTAATGAGGCGCGGGGAATTCCGGGGTCCAGATACCTATATTTGGAGATAAGTGGTGCAAAGATGAGACTTGAAAAGCAAAGGAATTAATTCAACAACGTTTTGTTGTTTCAAACTATAAAAATGGCTAACAAGCCCCATACACCGGCCTGTCGTTAGTTATCCTCCGTTTAATCGTAAGAATCCAAAGTCCTCCGATCAATATTGTTACGAATATCAATCTCGATCTGGTCATGAAGGGTCGAACGGAAAGCACACATCTCGAGCCAGCGGGATCTTGGGCTGAGAGCCAGCTTTGACAATTCTTAAATGTTTCTTGAATTTAACCGGATCAACTGGAGCAGCGAGCTTTCTGGCCTTCGCGGTGGTAGTCTGGACGCTGAAAACGTCTACTTCGGATGCAAGAATGAGAGATAAGGAGTTTTCCGCTGAGAATACTTCAAGTGCGTTGAATCTCACAGTAATGCTATAATGGTCTGCTTCCGAGATAACCAACAGGCGCAAGTTTTCCCATACCAGGCGTTTCTTAATATTTCTGGAAGATGGGAAAGAAATAGTGAGAACATAGTTGGCCGTTGAAGGGAGGATGGATATTCTCCATTTTCCTTGGTAAACTTTTGGCCGCTGTTGCATTCCTTGTTATGAAGGTGCTTGTCTGAGATTTTGGAGACGGCGGGAGTATTTGGTTGTGTGATATTCTATAGGCTTTTCTGATAGGGAACCACCTCATACTGGAATAATGATCTCCAGCGGGGGAATAGGCATCTAGTGCCGGGGCTCCCATACCTGGGCTCTCGATCAAAATGGCTCGAGAGCAGCTGCAGCGGTGGTGATCGCACTGGATGATTGTTTGTACTGCTTGCCCAGGGTTTGAGGGTTCTATTCGCTTTTACGAATGTTTGGTGCCAACATACTAGTTGGAAGTGGACTGAGGGCTTTGTTTTGTAGAGAAGAAGATGCTTTCCGCCCAGGGAATTGTTCCCCTGTCACGTTTAGGAGCATTCAGACGATCTTAGGTAGTTTATTATTAGACATAAAGCTCCACCTGGCTTTTTCATCAAGGCTTTGGGTTGGGGCAACTGGAGGTTTGATCAGTGAGTGAAATTCTCATCGCAAGACTAGCTCTGTGGACGGGATAAAGCGGGGCAGGATATAAAACATCTGTAGTAGAATCGAGAAAGAGGGGGGTAGAACAGGTTGGCAAGCAAAGTGGATGGCTATAGTATAAAAAATTTCTTGGTGATCGATGTAGCGGTGCGAGTCTCGTGTAGGAGTAGTTCTCTGTAAATAGTACTTGGCGGCGCGCGTGCGGGTAGCTTTAGGGTGATATACTGAAGGCGTTTAGTTGTTAGAGAGAGTCATACCCGGTCGCAGTATGTCAGGTGTTCTAATACTAAGTTGAATATTTTTAGAGGTAGGTAGGATAGACGATTCTTTGGATTAAGAACGTTGACATTGATTATTCGAAATAGATCTTACGAGGTGGGAAGCTTCGCAAAGGCTGTAAAATTCCGTCTCGCGAAGAATAAAGTCAGTAATCCCGTCAATAATGATTGTCGGAAAGTATTGCAGATTGATTTTGTGTGTGACAAGAAAAGATTTTGCAGGTTCATGGCGAAGAATTTCGAGGTATTTTGGGGTCACCTCGGAATATTTCGGTTTGGGATGAGTTGATTACTCCGGAAGCAAATCCCGCCCCCCTTGAAGTTCAATGATGAACAGTAGACGGAATTCGAGCATTTGAAGGTTACTAGGATTGTGTAGCTACGCTCCCAGGTGGCGCAGCTTTTTGTTCGGAAAGGTCTAGTTCCCCGGCCGTTATAGACTCTGTCTGGTGTTTCTCAATCTTCTCGAGGGCGTTTTTCACCGGTTTTATGGCAAAAGGATTATTATACCTGGATAAACGGTGTTGGTTGTGTGGTATTCTGAAGTGGCTGATATTGTGGCGCAAACAGCGATGTCGGGGAATAACCTGCCATAAAAACGGCTATAATCTTGCGGATCTATAATAATTAACGAGAAGAAAGCCCTTAGACTGCCTCCTCTTATATGTAAAAGAGGGCATTATGTCAAGACCAGACTCCCATTTATCATCGAAATGATATTAGTCTTTGAGGTTGTTCAGATAGTCCGCCACACCGCGAAGGTGTTGGACATGGAATTAACATGTATCAAGCAGGATTTGATATCCTATGGCTGTATGTACGCTAGAAGTTCAGTAGCGATGTCTTGATCCGATATGAACGGGCTAAACTTTTCTTTATAGTTTCTGTGGCATAAACAATGCGGCGCGCCCACTAAATCTCGAGTTATGTGGTCTCTTCGGCGATCAATTGCAGAAGATCTTAAGAAGATACAGCGATAACTTTATATTGCGACCGAACCTATGGCCTGCGCAGACAAAGTGATATCACCGCGAGGTATTCGAAAAGGTTCGATTGGTTAGAACCGACACGACGCGAAAAGGGTTACTCCCATTCGCCTGTTTTTGAGAATTTCAGGGTCCTCCTTGCTCCTCACGCGTAGCTTAGGATTCCTCGCCTCGTCTCGATGACCGGGGACCAAACGGCCGCCGAGTTAATTGTTGAGCGTTACTAATACCTCTCTCTGCCAGCCTCAGTACTAACCAGTCCGGAGCACATTTCGGCGGCATGTAGGCAACGTAACTAGCGGACGTTGAGGGACCGGCCCAAAAAAAAAAGTCGTCATAGAATGCGAGCCAGCGACTTGGCGTGCAGCCTGAGTAGCGGAGAAAACGGAGCGTCGACCTGCCATTTCAAAGGTGATTTCCCAGTTGATCATAGCCCCGCTGAATTGGCTGAATTTATGAATTCCATTGGGAATGGTCTGGTGGAGTTTGGTCTGGTCCGTGCTGACGTTTAGATATCCATCCAAGCAGCTGAAAGGTAGTACTTACTGAGGTACCTCCAGACACACATGTACCTTAAGTAAGAACATAGACCGTATAGATGTATCAAATTAGTTAGAATCAATACTGGTTTTGGGGTGGCAGTAGTGGGTGGTTTTGGTATCAACTAGGTTAATAGTGGTGGTTAAACAGGCATGTTCGGCCCCCCACCAACTTTTGAATTGATTAGGTTTGGTGAGCTCTACTGGACCGACCTTTCCTTTGCTCTCTCACCACCACCACCAACCACCACTGCCAGAACAACCTCTCAGAATATCGCCGATAGCAGCATTCCTTTATCCGCTACAAAAAGGAAAAAACAGAAAGTACCGCTCATTCCAGACAGTTGCTCCAGCTAGTTCTATTTAAACTAGCCAATTGTCCCCTCAAAGGTATCGTTGCTTGTCCATCTTCATCTTTCTCCTACCAGCCCTTTGTTCCAGCCATCACCAACAACCATCATTGGAAGCAGTAAACTTTACCTTCAGAAAACACGTCGAAATGGCTCTCTCCAACGTAAAGACCACCTACGAGTGGACTTCCGCTCTTGATATCAATCATGTTCCCAAGAAGAACTTCCGAAGAACTTCAATCATCTGTACCATTGGTTAGTATGGCCCGTTGTTACGTATTGGCTCACCATGGAGGGGTAATTGGCTGACGGCGGGGTTCTCACCTCCTAACATCGAACTAGGCCCCAAAACGAACTCCGTTGAGAAGATAAACACCTTGCGAAAATGTAGGCTCTCCATCTTTGCCTTGAAATAGTTTAATTGAGATGTCGGTGCTGTTTGTGGATATGATTGGGTAATAGTGGGGGCATGGCGGGGCTAACCAGGATTCCCAAAACAGGTGGTCTGAACATCGTTCGCATGAACTTCTCTCACGGCTCCTATGAGGTATGGCCCGTAAACAGCTCTTCCTCGGTTCTAGGATTCCTTCTAACCGTTGTTCTGATCATAATAGTACCACCAAAGCGTCGTCGACAATGCCAAAGAAGCCGAACGCCAACAGGCAGGCCGCCCCCTGGCCGTTGCTCTTGATACCGTACGATCTCCCCCTAACCGATATAACCACGATACGATACAGGGCTAACCATGTCATAGAAAGGACCTGAGATCAGGACAGGAAACACTGTCGGCGATGCCGATATCCCAATTTCGGCTGGCGATCAGATCACTATCACCACCGATGAACAGTATAAGACTGCTTCCGATAACAAGAACATGTAGGCCACGCCACTTTCAGTTGCAAATTGTAAAAAAAGCGCTAATAAACTTTTTTTTAGGTATGTTGACTACAAGAACATTACCAAGGTTATCGAGGAAGGTCGCATTGTCTACGTCGATGACGGCGTTCTCTCGTTTAAGGTTCTCAAGATCGTCGATGAACAAAACATCCTGTGCGAGTGCTTGAACAACGGCAGGATCTCCTCCAGGAAGGGTGTCAACCTCCCCGGTACCGATGTTGACCTTCCAGCTCTCTCTGAGAAGGATAAGGCAGATCTTCGATTCGGTGTCAAGAATGGCGTCGATATGATTTTTGCCAGTTTCATCCGTCGTGCCGATGACGTCCGTGCTATCCGAGAAGTCCTTGGCGAGGAAGGCAAAGAAATTCAAATCATCTCCAAGATCGAGAATCAACAGGGTGTCAACAACTTTGACGAGATTCTCAAGGAGACTGACGGTGTCATGGTCGCCCGTGGTGACCTCGGTATCGAAATTCCTCCTGCCCAGGTCTTCATGGCCCAGAAGATGATGATCGCCAAGTGCAATCTTGCCGGAAAGCCCGCCGTCTGCGCTACTCAGATGCTTGAATCCATGACATACAATCCCCGCCCAACCCGTGCCGAAGTCTCGGATGTCGGAAACGCCGTTCTCGACGGCGCGGACTGTGTTATGCTTAGCGGTGAGACTGCCAAGGGAAATTATCCTGAAGCGGCCGTTACTATGATGCACGAAACCTGCCTTATCGCGGAAACCGCTATCAACTACGTTTCTCTATTCAATGACCTTCGCAGCTTGACAGTCCGCCCAACCGAGACCAATGAAACCTGTGCTATTGCTGCTGTCAACGCCTCCTTGGAACAACAAGCTGCCGCAATCGTTGTCCTTTCCACTTCGTAAGTATCTATTTTTGCTCTCTTTGTTCAACAATAATTGCAGTACTAACAATGACAATCTAGCGGCAACACCGCCCGTCTGCTTTCCAAGTACCGTCCAACCTGCCCAATCCTCATGGTTACTCGTAATGCCGCTGCGGCCCGTCGTGCCCACCTGTACCGCGGTGTCTACCCATTCCAGTACCCTGAAGCCAAACCCGATTTCAGCGTTATTGTCTGGCAGGAGGATGTCGATAAGCGTTTGAAGTGGGGTATCGAGGACGGTGTCAAGTTGGGACTGTTCGCTAGGGGAGATGTTATCATTGCTGTACAGGGATGGAAGGGTGGTTTGGGTCATACGAATACGTGAGTTTGCCCGCCGTTCACCACTTTTGACGAAATATCTTGCATAAGAGATTGCTAATATTTTCTTATCAATAGCCTTCGTATCGTCACCGCGTAAATTAAAACAAAGAACCCGTTGTTGGTTTTTTACTGTTCTTAACTGTTTTCTTTTACCATTGACGAAAATTCAAATATGAAGAGAAAAAGAATCGTGAAAACACGAAGAAAGAGAACTTCTAACAAGCGAAAGCGTGCTAACTGACTAAATTGCTATGCTTCCACGCTTTGATAAAATTCTAGGTCCTGTGTCGCCTTTGTTTCTTTCTTTCTTTTTTTACTTTGATAAACTAAGCGGGGACTGAAAGGCCTGGGGTTATTGCTGTTCATCCTCTCTTCCTTTCTTTTTCATCCCTCTTTTTTATGTCTAACGTGTCTATTCTTTGTAATGAAGGCTATAAGAAACCTTTAGAAATGGATAAACGGAATCCTCAAACATTCGTCCTGGTGATTTAAGGTTATACAATTGCCCTCGGGCAAAATTAATGTACATTCAAATGGTCAACAGTACAGGCTCGGTGGGTAAAAATAGCCTTGGCGGACAAGGCATACTGCCTCATGTGGACAAAGCTAATTCATCAAAAGAGCCTCGTCGGTGCAACGATGTATACTGCCGCTATGGCTCCACGCAGAATTGCAGCCTGTAACCACATTTGTTTGGAACATGGTAACACAACATATCCTAGCAAGTATGATATCAAACGACGTAATATTCAGATCTGTTATTTTCATGAACCCCAATAGTTTGTTGATGGGCTTCTTGGGGTGTTAATAATAGTTTCAACGAGGAGGCTGAACCCGTTAATTTGGATCGGACCAAGGAACCGAGATCTAATTTGGATCGAAGTTCTGGGAGATTTAGCAAGCAGATTTCGATGGAAGGCTGCGATCTTTTCGTTTTTTTGGCGTTAACAATAGCTATATTTTCGGCATTTCAACCTTGATCGATCGAGGTCGTCGGTAAGCTATAACAGAGGTGCGTTATTCATGGAAGCAAGCCACTGGGTGTGTGTGACACAGAACCAGGGTCCTGGGATGCAAGATCACGGCGTGGAGCGTCTAGGTGTTTGCTAGAGGAGCTTGGCGAATGTATCTTAGGTTTGATTCGTGGGCTTTGCATGCCAGATGGTTGATTTGAGGGTCAAGCTTTCCAAGGACACTTTGAATTTTGGGTGTAGAACTTGTATTCCGATCAAAAATTATCAAATGGAATCTGACGATCTAGTATTTCTCTTGTTTTCAAAGGTCGGGGTAGAGCTAAATTATATCCTCATTCGCATATTTACCGATATATTCTGAACTTTGGGGCTCAACCCCGAGAGTCGACTCTAAATCTATAGATCACACTCATCACCAAGAACTCTAGACCTCTTTGCGCACGAGCTCTTTTTAAGGCACCTTGATAAATGGGTGATGGAGACCCGGCTTAAAAAGAACTATTTTCCAATTTTAAAAAAGAATTTCAATTTTGAAATTTCTTCAGCTCGGGGCTCGTGACAATGCAATAGGTGACCTTGGGATCTCCAATGATCCCAACGATCCCAACTAGGAAATACGCTAGACCTCTTGCCTAACTTGTTGCAAAAAAGACCACTGTTCCTGCATGCACACTTATATATGCAAATTTAGAACGCCGATAGCAGAGAAACTGGTCCTAATGCTGGCGCTGCTCTCTGCCAGGTATCAGGAGCCGAGGAACTCTGCAGGTTGCAGTATGCATAGGCTCTTTGTTTTCAACCAATTCTGGGACCCTCTGTATGACGAGTCCCACTTCTATTTTCATATGTCTCTATAATTTGGCGTAGGTATCCGGCGGCATAGCTTAGACGACTGCCTTCCTTCTAGTTTTAAATTTTTCTCGTTCTAGTTTGCAGCTGCGGCCGAGTAGGTTGAAAGATTTATTCCCTTGAATAGTTTGCGCTGCGTTAGATGGAAGAGACCTTAGAGCTTTTGCTATTGTCAATTTATCGTAAGTGCTAGCCCTGTTCCCAAATATAAACCGCACCAATGGTGCAAAGCCACGGCCTTTGGGCGGTGCTGACCATAACAGTCCGAATCCCATATTCTCAATTTGACTAGCCCTAATTGATATATACCCCCTCTCTTCATTGTCAAGGTTTCCAAACATCAAAACCGATTCAAAGAATCAACATATCAATCCTAAAGTCGTAAAATAGTACGCCAACATTAATATTTCTAGATAGCAGGCTAATAATACTTTGATAATTTGGACAGCGAACTTCTGAGAGGGGTTGGATCTCAAATAACCTAACAGTCAACTTTGGATCTGAGGCTTACGAATTCATTCGGAACACATTCAATGTTTACTATGGGCAACTATGGAACCTGGCATTGGAGGACGCCCCTTTTTGTTTGTGCAATAGTTGGGATTATAATCTTCTACTGTGCGTGGCATGGTCGGGCCGAAGACCTGAGTAGCCAGGATAGTCTTGACCGAAACCCCATTTTACGACCGGCATACTTGGTTCAAAGAGACAATATTAAAATATTCAACGGCGATGAGACGACAATGACAATAACTCCTCGAGCCCAAGGTGGCGAAACTTTACCTAACGGGACTTCTACAGAGCGGGGAGGCACCACAAAGCCAGCACCACCTTTGACAACATCACTCAAACCGACCGTCGCAGTTGGGTCTCTAGTCTCGATAACGACTACACTTTCGGCTCAGATCAGCTCAGCAAACGGCATTTCAAAAACGAAACCCGGTACTTGGGAGAACCCGGGTCCCGATGTGAGGGTTGGGCATGGTTTCCAAATGATGGAAGTGCTCTGGGTACGTGGACTTCCAGTTTTGATTGTATCTAGATCTTGCGTCTGGTTGAAATGGGTCCTTGAAAAGCTGTTTAACTTAAGATTGCTTCTCACCTGCTTTCCTGCCTGTAATGTCGCCGGATCGATGTACAGCTCGCTTTGACCACTTCCCTTATCAAACTTGGAATTAGTGGTCACTTACTAGAGACTATGGGCATACGTATATACGTATGTATAGAATGAGCGTCTACGGAAATACTTCATCGAAGTCAGTATTGGTACGACATACACCCCCGATTCAACCAGTGCTGAGAGGTCAAGCCTTGTGTTTTGCAGCTGCATAGCTACAAGCGATGCTCAGCTCACCTTAAACGTACTGGGGTTGTTTTATCACTGACTCCTTAAATTCTTATCTCTTGATAATATAAAGAAGTAACCGAGATCGAGAACACAGTAATGCAGAAGAAGGATTTAGTACTTGAAACTGGGGATCTTATATATTTTGTGTCAGAAAGGGGCCTTAAAGAAAATAAACGGGCTCGGCCTGCCGGCTGTCCTCCTTGCTCAACGAATACCACAGCCACCCAAGATGACAAAACGATGGGTAAGTGATGGAATCCGGAAGAATGAACTCATGAACCCATCCCTCATTGCAATGGATGATTGAAATTATTGTTCTTTATCTGACCCTTTTGGGGCTCTAGGCTCTGCCGATCACCCCCCTATACCACTTTTTACCTCTGAAGCCTCGTCTAATATTTCTGCCGATACCGCTTCTAATGCGTCTGGTGCAACTGTCGCTAAAACAAGGGAACTGGTAAAGGTATATATAACTCCGTCTCTCACTAGTACTTTGGGGCGTCTGAGAACGCTCGGGCGTTATGTATAAATTAATGAACAAATTGCGGTCTAAATAGACATTGAGTATCATTAACTTCGAAGGCTCCAAGCGGATGCATATGAAAATTCCCGTTGTCAAAAACGCCAAAGATGGAAACACCGATCAGTATTCATCTTTAGGTATAGGTTTGCCAAATTCGACTTTTTTGATAACGCTAATGTCACGGAACATAACAAATACTCCCTCATATGGTTTACATCTTGGGAACGAGCTAAGAAATAACGAGAAAGGTTCCGGGTCTATTATATTTGGTGGTGTGGATATTGCAAAATTCTCAGTCGAAGACCTAACGACACACCAACTCCTCGAGCCCGGCGCCTCGAATGGGTCCATTTCCCAACAATTAAACATCACTATTACTACTACCGGTGCGCCAGTAACCATCGGATCTATAGATACGCCAGTACGATTTGACTTTGGAGACCCGTACGTCAGACCTTACGTAACTGCAGGCTAGTGGTTTCGATTCACTCTTGATATAGTCACTAAAATATTATAGGTTTATCTGTCTTTACAAAGGCTATATTGACAGGATCAAAGCTGCTTTAACGGAAGCTGAAGTTCAAATCAAGACAGAAGGCAATGACATATTTCTGAAGGATTTACCACCGCCAGGATGGGGACTAGATTTAATATTCTACGGAAACCGCACAATATTCGTAGAGTTGATGGATACTCTAGTTTATTCTAGATCCCAACCCGGTGAATACAAATACCAGTTGATGGTTCAAGATTGTTCCTCAATCGTCTTGGGACATCCATTTTTTAGGTAATTAAACTAGCCAGCATGGCCGAATACAAACTATTTTGTGGAGGCAACTCTACATTTTGTGGCATACACTGATTGAAAATCAGAGCAGTTTACGCATTTTTGGATTATGAAAACAATGAAATTAGTTTTGCTCCGATCAGGCGGGGTGTTACAGAGCAACATATACTTGAGGTTTTTGAATCTTTGAGAAACCCTACAACTGTATTAAAGAATATCAATCCCGCGAATACGCCACCTGCAATTCCTACAAAAGCTGAATGTTCAACGGAGAAAAACACTCAGTTAGTCATAAGGAATGCGCTCGCAGTTGTCTTCGGCGGGCTCTGGGTAGGTACAAGTGCCGCTCTTGTACTAATTCTATTGCGGTACCGGCGACTCCGAAAACAAGACGCTTTGACAGCGTCACCACCCCGGCCACGACGAAAAAGGTCCCGCCGTACTGGAAACCTCGCATCCGAACCTTTTCTCCTGGGCTCTTACAGGCGGCGGGTGGGCGATCGTGTTCGAGATTCCGATGGCAACTCAATATAACCGAATTTCAACCTTGAGCAACTGAGGTCTTTGGGATAGATTTGAACCCAGGGCTTCAAATCTGTGGCTACTGAACTCATGGCTCTTTTTAATAAGAAAGAAACACCACAGTTTAATCAATTTGTATCAAGACGCAATGGAGAAATTGATCTCTTCAGTCGATGGGACTGCATTTATGCTTTCTACCTGAAATTTGCTTCCAGTCGTCGGAATTACCAAGCCCGGTATTCATTTACCTAGTTAGAATGCCTTCTTTAGCCTTGCTTATCATTACCTAAATCCCCCAATCGTTCTTCTAAGTTAATTCAGTCCTGTTATATTTTTTATTTCAGATAGGGTTGATTTCTATCATCGTTTATTGACCATTTTGTTCAGAGATCTTTACCCTACTGAAAAGCTGTTTTGGTATAATGGGTAGAATATTTGTACATCTTTGTGATTTGGGGCTGAGGATAAATCAGAAACATGGTTTATAAATTAGACAAAGTTATCATATACCCAGAGTCCAATTCTAGCTCATCTCGTAAACAAAAGTATAAACGGCATTATATTAAATTTAGAAAGTAGTATTGTCCTTGTCTCGCGCTTATCATAGCCTATAAATTATTACTGCCGTATAAGAAGACATAATTTTATAAACCGGGGTCTCTCAAAAAAATAGCTTATGGAAAAGGTTAACTGATCTGTCAACTATACGCCTAAAGAACTTTATGTCATTTTCCAGTATGTGACCAATTTTGATTCTCTCAAGTTTATGACGAGTCTTATCTTGACAATTTCGTCGGGGAAATTTCATTATTTCGGTGGGTTTGGTTTATTTTATGACCAGACTAATCAGCACTCGGTGGTGTATTCTATGATTCAGGCTCGTGACTGTTTCAGCTGATCAGAAGCATCGTCTTCGGACAAACTTGGAGGCCTTCTACTACGGTTTAGGCGGGAAGCTGAAGAGCACTGCTTGAAACCGTTCAATCCTGGGGAGTTCGGGGCTGATTATTTTCCACTTCGGTATGTTTGTTTAAATAAATTTATGAAACCAATACTTATTGTGAGACATTCCGTAGATCTTACATGATGATGTCGAATTAGCTAAAGCAAACCTTTAACAAGGGGTTAGCTAGTTATGAAACTAGTTGTACCGGAAACTGTTAGCTACAAAGGTAGCTGATGTAAATTAAATGCAGCCTATCATTGATACTATATCATCATAGCCGGGACTCTATTCCCCAAGCATATGCAGCTTGCGCTTTGTATCACGAGGGGGCCATTCCTAAATTTAGCGCAATTGCTAGATCAGATTTACATGGTATTAGGCAAACTTGCTAAGCAATAAAATTTAAACCTGAGGTACAGGTAGTCTTGTGTTAGGTACAGGCTAGTGCTATATAATTACGGTGCTAAGGACGGCGATACCTTAACACTTATCTCGGGGCGTTTCTATATCCCTATACTCTATCTCAAAGCAGGTTTAACTTCGCACCCTATACTTTCTATAAAGCATTGACTTTTACTACTTCATTAGTCTAGTTTTCACAATACCTACACTTGGTATTTCCCTTGACTTATTTCAGCTAGAAACTACCGTAGTTAGTTTCAGGTCTAGATCCACGCACTCCGCGTATGGTAGCTTGCAGACGCGTTAAAGCTATATTATACAAGTATATATAAAGGTAAATAAATACCAATCTTATAATATATATAAGATTTTATAAGCAAAGGTATGCTCAAGTAACAAGTGACGAAGTTACATTACACGATTTCTCATTCCTGATACCCATTCAATCGATTGCCATTGAAAGTCCTGCTAGTTGGCACTGCCGGCTTACTCAAAGCCATATCATGCCTGAAACCAAAGACAAGACAGTACGCATGACGGGGTTTCGTCATTCTGATATTTCATGGGTATGACTTCATAAGCCCTTATTTTTGATTATTTATATACTTTACTTAAATTTCTAATAACACTAATGGCTTTAGGACCCTAAAGCCCTCGGTTATTACGTCTTTGCCAGCCTCGGTAGGTCCCCTAGTATTAATATCCCACTAGCTCTCAAAAATAATTTGGCTACATTATCATTTTTTGAATATTCACATGGTAGCTAATATAAAATTGATTATCTCGTCAGACAATCAGAATGTCAAAATGTATCTGAGCCAAGATGCCGGGACATGTGCTCCACGCTCCAAAGGAGAGCATTCATCTAGTAAAGTAAGTATTTATATCCAATATCCCTATTAATCAGCCACGGGATTATCTTATAGTATTGAGGTTTATATTGCGGTACTATTATTTTTTCTTACATCACTATGAGGCCTGACCGAAAGAACCAAGCAGATCATAGAGTCAAAGCTTATTAAAAACAAAACAGCTAACTCAAATGATAGGGAAACTTCCGTCTAGGCCAAATCCACTTGAAAAACTCCAGCTTCATTCGAAGAAATCAAGACCAGCGCAACGGCCACTATTCTCTAGGTCTGGGTTATGGTGGGAAGAGTGATGAATCAGAATCCTTTCTGAAAACGCTAAAGGTTCGAAATGTCATAACAACCCCAAGTGTTGGAATATACTTTCAGCCATTTTCAGAGGGGCGCGATATGATATCGGGGGGTGGAGGCTCAATAGTCTTCGGTGGGATCGATGCGGCAAAGTTCAACACGTCATTACTCAGGACCTACAAGTCCCCAAACATCTTAGATGGGGAATACAAACTACAGCTTCGGAAAGTAGTGGTTGTTCAGGATGAAAAAACAACTAGTTTGGATACATGGGAAGACAAAGATATCCCGGCACCGATGGCGAGGCTCAACTGTAGCTACTCGTAAGTATTCATGATATATAGTTGGCGGTTTAAACGTTTGTAGAGAAGTTTTTGTTCCTGGTAGGTCTTTTGGCTTAAGCGCTTTGGCTAAACAACGGTCTACCATGAATGAACCGCAAAATTCTCGTTCTTTAAAATAAACCGAACAAGACTCTAATTATTTTTCGTAAATCAACAGACAAATTTCGCTACCAAACGAGCTCTTGAAGAAACTGAATGAGAGTAACATAACTTCTGCCAATTTCTCAGATCCAAATGCCCATTTCTCATTCGAATTCGAGAAATCTCTTACGATTATGGTCCCATTACAAGATCTCGGGCCTTCAATCATTGAACAACTCAAAAGGCCTCCAGCATCTTCTAAAAGCTCTAAGCAGCCGGCGGAATATATTCTTGGAGCCCCATTCTTTAGGTACGGGAAATACCAACCTGAATTTGCACACTCTTCTCTGCAAAAGCACCTTTCATCTAGAGCTGCTGGCAGGATTGGTACTAGCCTATATTCTAACTAAGTACGCCATACAATATAGAGCTGCGTATATACATCTCGACTATCATAATAAGCGATTGAATATCGCGCCGACGATATGGAAGGAAAATACGAAGCTCGCCCCCTTTGCAGGTATTGAGCAGCGAATAGTTGAAGACAATGATTTCGAGGTTGCACTTCAAGCCGTAACAGATACATCTGTGCAATCCACCGTAGCTGAGACAAAAGCGCCTACACTAGATTCCGATACTTCGACTAGTGCGGCAAGCATCAATTCGATAGTGATTGCAGCAACTATCCCCGGAGGCTTAGTTCTAATCGCGCTCGGGGTCATATTTTGGCTCTTGTTTCGAGAGCGTCGGCAAAGACCACGCTCGCACGTCAAGCTTCCAGAAAACCGTAGCTCGTGGAATGAATGTTTCAATAGAAGGCATACTACATCGACCTCAGACTCTGTAAGCGACAATCTGTCCATTCACCGGAATTCCGGGAGACCGAGTAGCCGAACCTCAACCATATCGTTCGACTTTGGGTTACGCCCAGAGCGGTCTTCGTATTCCAGTATCAAGTTGGGGCGGATTTAGTATCACCAGGGTACATTCAATCTTTTATTCTTAAGAGGAATCAGGAGTGAAAGATGGAATGTCTGCTTTACGAGACAAGAAATACAAAAAATAAAATCAAAAAATACACTATTATTACACAAGGAAAGACACCCTTGGGGGTGACTGCGCAGGAGAATAACAAAGAAACACATTGTAAATTATTATTATAGTAACTAGAAAGAAAGAGATATACGTCTTGATTCTAAATTTTATGTATGTTGAGTTTGCGCTTGTAAATTTGTGATACGATAGCAATTGTTGCCTGAGATCCTATGTATAATAAAAAATGGCATTGAGAATGTATAACTATCAAACAAGAATCTAAACTAAGGAAGGCAAATTCGCTTTAATATAAGAGATAAAACAGTTGCCCCATGGTGAGCAGTAGCTAGGGGAAATCTGGAAGATGTTAAGAATTGTCAGCTTTCGAGCCACGGCTAGGTTATGGGCGCAAATATTTAATATCACCATCTGTTCTCTCAATCCCCCGCCTCCGCTCGCGGGTGTATCTCAAGATATCACTCGTTTTTTTCGCAAAAGTTTCACGAAGATATTTCCCCAAGTTGAAGCCGTGTGAAATAAAGGAGAAATCCGTATATTAGGGCCTCGAGGACTAGCCTCAGACTGTGCAAAATTTTAATCACAAGGATTATGTTGGATCTAGAACGGATAAAGAATGATAGAGTGCACATTCGGGTTAACCTCTGGGAAGTCAAAAAAATTTAAAACTCTTTCGGAGGGAAAAAAAAACTTTTTTTGGCCTTTTTATAATACAATTTCAAACGTTTCTAAAGCAAAAAATATTGACAGGATCAAGAAAAAAATACGGGAATAACTCGTAGATAGCACTTTCTAACCAATTCACTCTAAAGTCTATATTGCAACCAAAATGCTCAAAAGTCAATGCCCAATCGTGGACTCATATACCATGGTGACGGAGGAGGGGATTTCAAAGTGAAGCGAGCTCGATAAAAATTTCAATACGAGCGATATGAAATCCAACTATCCTTAGTAGAGTCGCAGAAGCCTCATGAAGGACTTAGTCTCGTCGGGCGAGTCTTCGAAGTCCGATCTTGTTAAGGCCCCAGTCGAAGAACTGGGCAACAGGATGAGGACCAAATCCAGGAACACCTTGCAAGTTGTTCAAAGAGTTGGCAATTGGTTGTGGGACGTATTGATTGACCATATCCTGTCCCCACTGCTGGACGCCCGAACCGATGTTGCTGTGGAATTGATTATCGGGTGAAACTTGAAATTGGGGGTTGGCAACAGGTGCCGAGCTGACCATGGCGGTAGCGGAGAGGATGGAAACGATGATCGTAGTGGCCTTCATTTTGTAGATTAGGTAATAGGAGATAGTGTTTATTACTTTGTTATTTCGAGTATTGTAGAATTGTAGGTTATCTTGATGGATTCTCGTCGGAGAGGGCGGAGAGTGTTTTCTAAATTAAACGTTGGGATGGAGGAATTCCGGAAGTGTAGGATAAAAAGTTTTGTAATTGTTATGAAGAAAAATGGAAAGTTGAAAAGTGACCAGCACTATGCTCAGAACCTACCAGAGGTGAGAAGAGAAGAGAAGAGATGATTGATGATTGAGTTGATTGCTTAATTGATCGGTTGATGATGATAAAAAAAAATGGATTTGACGGGGCATCGCCGATGTTTATATACACTTCCAGCACACATTTTGAAGTTTAACCGACAAGCTTTCGATCGACTCCTCATAGCTGAAGTTCTGATTAGTACAAGAATCCTATGAACAGATTTCTACGGCCTCAGCTCAGCTCGTTAGATAGGTGGTTCGACTAGTACAAGCGTCAAGTGATGTAATTTGCTAAACTTCTAGCTAGCTTGCGGCTCTAACAAAGCTCGAGCTGGTAGATACACGATTCAGGTTCTAATTTTGGAGTGACATGCTCAGGATTCCGAATTCTAGGTAGCTTAACTCTCAGTATTCTGGAGAGCAAGTTTAGGCTCGGAGAATCCGAGCATCCTTGACGGAACAACGGTTCAGAATCAGAAGGGGCAATCTATCGTGTGGGATTCTTTCTAGAACAACACTTTTTCTTAGGATTCTCGAAAGAAAAATGCCACACAGATCACTTCCTAATACAGTATAGTATAGGAGTCTTGTGTAGCTTCCAAAAGTAGTTTAATTCTATTTAGGCAAGTACTCGGTTCGGATGGTCGGCATTCGAGAACATTTTGACGACTAGAATGTTTCGAACAGTGCTTCCAACGGTGTTCCGTTATGCTTGGCTGACGAAAGCCCGAATGCGAAGAATCCCATTCTCAGTTTCACGATGTTTAGAAATGACTACTGTGTGAAGATGCAGAATACACTTTAGGATACCCAAAATATGGGGTTTCTGATCGTGGTTGTGAGGTTAGTTCGTTCACCAAGCGATGCTAAAATAACTATAGCAATATGGTCGCTACCATCTGAATGGAATACACCTAGCGAACGTTCGAATTCTAGAATTTCTCAGTTGTTTGAGGTTAAGTTAGCGCTAGAATCCAGGGACGTCTAGACCTTAAACAGGTCTCCAGCTATCTAGGATTTATAATATTATAATTAATTCTTAGTATTTGGTTGAACGTAGAAATTTGGAGCTTAAGCTTATATTGTAAACTAGAATTATAATACTAATAGCAACTGTTCAAGGATTCAATTCCAGATCGTTGTTCTGACGTAAGTTACATATATACCTGAAGAGTGCACAATACAAGACTAGGGTCGAGCCCAGGCACTCTTGGGAATTATCTCGTAAACCAGAATTAATTGCTTGGGAAGGATTCATGTCCTTCGCCGATATGCACGCCAGAAGGGCCACGTAGGCGGTGAATCCAATCCATAATGTACATAACATTAGAGTAACCAAGTCCAACCTAAGTAAGGATTCATGAATACATCCAGATATCCTTGAGCTAGCTTCTAACCGACCTTCGTCTTTAACCTTTTACCGGTCCCGTATGATCTTCGGACTGAACTGAAATATTAGAGAGCATTTGGTGGATCTTAACTAGCGATATTATTAGTGAATGTATGAATTACTAACTAAGTTCGGCTAAGCATGTCGAAATAGAGTTTGTGGATTCCTGATATTGTGCATATGCATGCGTCCTACGAGCTTGAGTCTACTAGATCCTACTCAGTCTTTGGAATTAGTCTCGATCGAAGCTAGAGTTATACCCTTTCGAAAACGGTCTTAATACTACAATTAATGCCTGCACTGAGACTTACGAATAGGATCTCGACACTGTAACGTTACGAGGCTAAGCATTGTATTAGTCTAGCCTTGAGTTCTAATGTTTAGCTACATGCATCGCAACATCCTAGGGTTAATTACGACGTCTGATAGATATTATTAGTACTCCCAATACTCCGTCCGAAACTCTTTGGTATTTTTGTCGAATATCGGCTGGGGTCTTCCATTAATTTCTAAAATTACTTCTTTTCATTGTCTGGTGCCACTAGCTGCTCCTATTAATATATTGAAATCTTAGCAAGATTTTGCAAAATCCTAAGTCAACCAAGCTTTAGTAAAGACAAGGTGAATTAGTATCGGGCCAGCATAAGACATTGATACTCCATTGATGCGGATGATCTGAAAAGGCGAGATTGGTTTAAGAGTACCATAATACTGATATTAGAATTCCTCTAGGCCCGGTGTCTGAAGATATAATTATAATCGATTTTAGGATCTTGGATGTCGAGATATTCAAAATAGGCTGCAAGCCAATTAATCCCAATTGAATTTGGTGCGAGTCGCGTTGAAAGGTTCAAAAACTCATAATCCAAAAGCAAAACAGCTTATTTCTACTTTTTATGTCAACTTCGAGGCCGCGAGGGCGGGTGCCACGAATGATCGCTCAAAATGTAGTGTGGCTGTGTCTTGGCGTCCCGCCACACATCTGTGGCTGATTTCGCCAAAATTTCTGCGGCTTCAAATCCACCACTTGAAGACCTCACGGCCTCATGAACAAACTGGTGGACGGGTGTGAATACCGACAATGGACTCCGTATGATGTAAGTATCTCCAGCTTCACAACCTATTGACAGAACCTATACTAAAAATGTCACCCCACAGACCTCATCAGCTTCTTATCTACCGTCCACCTTGATCCAAGTCCTTCGAAGCCATAAGCTCTCACGAGCACATCAATCCAAATAACAGCCACCCCACCATACCCCCCACAAACACCATAAATACCACCACCACCACCATGTCCCTCGTAAACCTCGCCCACGTCTGTTCCCACCTCCAAAACGCCGCTCGTGCGCGCCTAGGCTTAACCTCAATACCCTACTCAAAACTCCACCTCGCTCTCTCCGTCGGTCTTCTAAAAGAAGGCTTCATCTCATCCGTCACCACCGGCTCCTCATCCCAACCAGACGCAGAATTCACCCCTCCCACACAAACCACAATCAGCACAAAACGGTTATGGTTAGGATTAAAATACTATGAAAACGAACCGGTTATGAGTAAACTTACGCTGGTGAGCAAACCGAAACAAAGGATTTGGCTGGGGTACGAGGATTTGAAACAGATCGGATTAGGGAAGGATGCTGGGTACGTTAAGGGGGCTGAGATGGGGGAGTGTATATTTGTGAGCACGGATAGAGGGATTATGGAGCTTAGAGAGGCGGTTAAGAAGATGACGGGAGGGCAGGTGCTTTGTAGAGTTCGTTGATGGAAAGGGGTTTATAGTGTCAGAGTCGAAGAGATGCTTTTGAAGCTTACTTTTCATGTATATATTAGCATGATGGAAAGTCATGTGTGTACCATATAATTAAGTACCTTCCATGAGGGACTACTTGGATGATTTGGAATGATTTCTAGGAATCGGTGTCATTGAGATAACGTATAACGGGTTGGGCCGGTGAGAAGGATTGTTCAAATCATGCTTGAATTTCATATGTACTCGAACAGAAGTCTATCTAAACGACAAAATCGACTAAAAATAATACATGATAGAAGGCCAGAATCCTTGGTCAATAGGATAGCATGTCCCATAACCGTCACTGTTACCTATTTCTCTCCGCCAGGCTGTACACCATGCATACCCTGCGAGGCATAGTGTCTAACCCAATCCTGTCGATAAGACTGAGTAGAGTAGATTCAACCTCTTGACCACTTCCAATAACCTCCTCTTATATCCAGGTAATATGTAAACCCAAAGGCAACCAAGAAGCACATTAAACAACCAAATATACGAGCCTCTCCGCAGATGAAACGCTTAAATATTCACTTTAGAACCCTATTGCCTCATCCACAGCATCAGCACTGACATTGCCGAATACTATATCACACATTCACACCCGCACCATCAGGGATTGTTTTTGGTTGTTAACCGGTGAACCTTGTTCTCCAGTTTTGAGACTCGAGGAAAAGAAGTGTGCGTACATGTACATAGAAATGGTGTAAAATCGGTTGGTAAAGGATACCCCCGTCAATCGGGACGGGTATCCAAAACAGAGGATTAAGAACGAGAAGAGAAAGCAGAAGACATACTCTTCCTCTCAAAGTATGCAGATGTACCCATGACCGCGATGCTCTGGTCCATCACCCACTCGCCGATGTCTAGGTACTTGTTGACCATGCCGCGCATGTCCTTGGATTCGATTTTCTCGGTCTTGAAGCTGTTTGGTTTTATAAACTGTTAGTATCCCGTTTAAAGTAGCTGCGACTAAGTCCCGAGCGGAATGGAAAAGTATGGAAGGGTATCGTCGGGTATGCATGCACGATATACGGGCGGGATGGAGCGGACGTACGATAAGCCGGTTGACCGTTTCACACCGGCGAGGAATGCGGAGACTATTTGAGGTCAGCATCATTCCCACATTCACAAGAAAAAAGAGCAGAAACTCACCGATAACAGCGTCAACGCTCAAGTGAATGATCTTTCCTAGCTATTTAATCCCACCCGAAGCGGTGATTCGTCAGCTCTGCTTTTCCTCCAAAATTGGCAACCGGGAGTTTATAGCCATACCAGGCCCATTTTTGCAGCGAGTAACGACGGTGTACTTGGATTTAGAGAGTCTTGATTGTCGAGAGCGGTTTTTGATAGTTGAAGTCCTTTCCTGGAGGGTTTTCTATGGCGGGTGGCGAGGTTTAAATGAAGGCGAGGTGAATTGTCAAGAAGATGAATCTGGGGAACTGTGAAGGTGATTGGGCCGCTATACATCCGGCGGCAACACACGTGGAACTCCACCACGTTTATAGCTAAGCAGCTCGGGTTCGCGACTTCACACGTCAACTTCATGATGGATTCGTAATATTGATAGTTATATAAAGGTACGGCTTCAAAAATGATCTTGAGTTGGATGATACTAATAGCTAACATGGAAATAGGCTATATCTATATGTTTTTACGGGAGTGACGGGAGCCTGGAACCGCGACAATGGCCCAGATATCGGTGACCTCCCTCCTGGTCCTCTCCTCCCTCCTCCGCCTCGTCTTCCTCTTATATGGCCTCTATCAAGACGTTACTTCCGTGTTTAAATACACCGACATCGACTATCTTGTCTTCACCGATGCTGCCCGTTATGTTGCCAATTTCTCGTCCCCTTATCTTCGAGCAACGTATCGTTACACCCCACTGTTATCATGGCTTCTGTTCCCAACCACATTCAACCCTCAATACCTTTGGTTTTCGTTCGGAAAACTCCTTTTCGCGGCTGGTGATATCCTAGCCGGTTACTTGATCATCCAGGTGTTACAGATATATGGGTTCACAGCCACCCGAGCTATGAAATACGCCTCATTGTGGCTGTTAAACCCTATGGTGGCAACAATCAGTACCCGTGGAAGCTCAGAAGGATTATTAGGCGTGATAGTAATCGCCTTGCTCTGGTCTGTTGAGAAACGACGGGTGGTGCTTAGTGGTGCTATACTCGGGTTTGCGGTACACTTCAAGATATATCCGTTTATATATGCTCCTTCGATACTGCTATGGATGCAACCACCCAATCAACCGGATTTAGTATCGAAAGTTAAAGGGTTTATAACAAAGGACTGTTTGATATTTTCTATCACTGCTCTTACAAGCTTCATGGGTCTCAATGTTGCGATGTATGCCATCTACGGCCACCCTTTTGTCGTCCATACCTTCCTTCATCACCTTACTCGTCTCGACCACCGCCATAACTTTTCACCATACAATACCCTCTTATACCTAAAATCCTCACCATTCACTCCGGATCCACTATACCCAGCAGTCATGCTTTCAGATCTAACAGTTGAACGTCTAGCATTTGTCCCTCAACTCCTAATCTCCTCTATTCTTCTTCCATTGTTCGCAAAAAAGGATTTGCCGTCGACAATGTTCGCACAAACCTTCGCATTTGTGACGTTTAACAAAGTGGTTACAAGTCAGTACTTCATGTGGTACTTGGTTTTATTACCATTTTATTTAGGGAGGAGTAGATTTATGGGGAAACCAGTGATTGGGATGGTGGCATTGGTTGCTTGGGTGCTCACGCAGGGACTATGGTTGGGCCAGGCTTATCAACTCGAGTTCGAAGGAGAGAATACATTTTGGCCGGGGCTGTGGGGTGCGGCGGCAGCGTTCTTTCTAGTGAATTGCTGGATTTTGGGAGTTGTGGTGGGAGATATCGCGCGGACGAGGAGGGTTGAAAGTCTTATCTCGGAGAAGGGGGTGATATCAATGTGAGATTTAGGGGGTATATTACGCATTCGACTACCTACTACCTACTTAAGTACTTACTTAAGTAAGTAGGTAGGTATACGTAAGTCCATAGTGTTTGGAATTGTGTAGAATATAATTTAGGGTAATGATTCCTCGCTTGGTTCGTACTCAGACCTGGAGTTGGTCTCATCTCCGTTTTCAGAGGCTGCCCCTGACCGTTCGTCGGCCTTGAGCCCATCAACTCCCAAGTATTCACAAATTCTTTGGATTCTTTTGCGTAATTCAGTGTGGTCCTTGAGAATTTCCTCCAGTTCCTCTACCCCCAGAATAATTTGCAGCATCGCTTCTGCCTCCGAATCTCTGCCTTGTGCCAACAACGCACAGATGACCCCCGAGATTGAACGCAAGGTTCGGTGATCTGCTGTTCCAACCATCTTCTGCCATCCTTCCATAGCATTTCTGAACCTCAGTTCCGCTTCTGGGTACCTTTTCTGTTTATATAGCGCAAGCCCAAGCATATACACACTCTCAAGCGTTTTCAAGTTCTCGTGTCCGAGCACTTCTTGACTACTTTCTGCAGCGATCAGAAACATCGCTTCTGCCTTGGAATATTTTTCTTGGCCGTAAAGATGTTCTCCAAGGTCGTGTATCTCATCAAGTTTCCGTAGAATCATAGCATTGCGATTTTTTTCTCGTACCTTCAGATGCATCCCATATTTATAGTCGGCTAGCCAGGCTTTTGTGTTGCAGCCCCGTTTATATGCTTCCGCCGCCTCTAAGTACTTACCCTGTATATAAAGTGTACTCGCTAGGTAGCACACACTTCGGAGTGTATCTGGGTGCTCGGGCCCGAGTAGTTTCTGTCGTTCTTCCACTGCTCCTCGGTCCATCTCTTCTGCTTGCGGATATTCTCCAATACCGCAAAAAACACCCCCAAGATTGCTTTTAAGGATGCATAACATCTCAGCATGTTGGTATCCAAGATGTGGTCCGTGTGTTTCTAATTTCCGTTAACATTTACCTTCTTCTGGATGGCATCGCTAGTTCTGCATAGAGTTGATGTATACGTATATCATTCGAGTATGGGTATTGCTAGAGCCTAACAGCAGTTATTACATACCTTGATATTGTTCCAACTCGTGTAGTGCCTGCATATAGTAATCTAGCCTGACTTTTACGTCCCCGTTTAGATATCCCAGACTGACACCCGCCTGGTTTAGCAAACTCATCTTTGTAAGCCCATGCACATGCCCCTTCTTTGATAGGGCCGCTTTGTAAACTCTAAGTGCTTGATCGAACTTTTCAAGATCGTAATAAAAGTCTCCTATAACTAGGAGCACAGAAGCAGGTATTTTTTCGGCCATGCCCAATATAGTCTCGAAGAGCAACCTGAGAGGATCGCATAAGACTTTGACCCGGCTTAGGTGTGTCTGCAACCCTAAGAACAGATGCAACCCCGCAGGAAGAGGCGCCAGCGTGTTACTTTTGATGAGATTAATAGTTTGCGAGATTGCGGAAGAGGTGTCTCTCGGAGTTGGACTACTTTCGGCCACGAATTCAAAGCCGACATCTCTACTGCCTTCAAGGTCGACATCTCTGCTGCCTTCGAGGTCGACATCTTTGCTGTCTTCTAGCTCGCTTGATATCTGCACCTGGACGTAATCGTACATGAGCCGCAGTCTCTCAGCCCGTAGGTTGGCTTTCGTAGCAACGTTAACATCCTCTTTCGTTCTAGCGAGGCTAGCTTCTTGTGTTCGCCGTTCGAGATTTTGCTCAAAAGCGGCGCTCAGCTTCTGTAGATATGCCTCAAAGCTAGCGTCACTTTCGAGCTCCTCTAGCCAGTGCTCCAAGTCTTGGATATCGTCTAAAATAAGAGCAGATAGATTGCTATCCTCCACCAGGATCATCGATAAGTATTCTACCCAAGGAATGAACATCTGGGACTCGACGAAGACATCAAAATTTGTTGAGAGTTCCGGACGAAGGAGGTCTCCGGACCGTACTGAGTGAAAAATGGTGTACTGAGAAGAGTATTCCAAGAATGGGTAGTCGCTTTGCTGATTTGATGCATCTCCAGGCTCGTCTATCGGAAACTGGTAATCGCCTGAGCTCAAATAGTCGATACAAACAGAAGCTAAAGATAGGTGTGCTTTTTCCTCCTCTATTCTGAATGATGATTCGATCTTTTGATCGCCATCACAAGACCATTCTTCCCTTGGCCTAGTTAAGAATTCTTGGACGGAGAAGTGGATAAGTTGAACGCGACCGTTTGTGATGTTGACCAGGTCGGCGCAAGCCTCCAGTATTGTTCGTTCTAGTGGGATAAGTAGTTTTTCCCCTAAGTGAAATTCGGTCTCCTTGTCGAGAGCGATAGAGTACCATAGTTCGTCAATGGTCATACTACGACAAGAAGTGATGATAAATTCTAGGACCTTTCTTGCGAGTATCAACCCTTGGCGGTCTAATTTATTTAATAGCCTTAGGAAGCGGTCTCGATAGAGCTCCTCCAGCCCCTTTGGAATATTGCGCAATTGGTCCATAATGCCTGCAGCTGTAATAGGCTTGCGCAACTCGGCACACATCAGCTCTATCCAAAGGAACATTCCGCCTGACCCGTCAAGTAGGACTTTGAAGACATGGTCCCGCAAACTTCCATCCTCCAAGTTCTTGCATCCTTCCACTTGAGAACGTGTAAATAAACTGATATCTTCTTTAATGAAATCGAAGTTCATTTCAACGTTGAGAACGAGAGGGGGGCGGATAGCATTCTGGAGGGCACATGGCCGGCCGAATAAAGCTACATGAAAGTTTGGGAGTTCGACCATTTGGTAGGCGTAGTTGATTAATAGACTAGAGTCTGGATTGTTATCTTTATCCATGCATTCGTCCACGCCATCGATGATGCAATAAACAATTTCTTTTATAGACTTGACTAAATCTAGCAAATCTTCGAATAGCGCTGGTGTTCCGGGGGAAATTTTGCGTGACAGACCTTCGATGTACTCGGACGCCTTCTTGTCTGAAACCTTTTCTAGCAGTTGGCAGATAAAAGTGCGAAACAGCGAGTCCAGGGTGCGTCGATCGCTGTCCGTTCCGCGCAAGGAAAAGAATAAAACCCGAACTCCCTTTTTTTGAAAAGACTCAGCGATAGATGTAGCAAGGACTGATTTTCCGCAACCGCTGATCCCTTGCACGAATAAAAGTCTTTTTGTGTCCGGAGATTGCTCCATCCATTGAATAAAATTTGGTTGGTTCCAAATCCATTTACACGTTCCGGGCAGACTGGATACGCTATTGAAGCACATGTTAGGCTTCAAAAGTTGGACACTGGTACTTCTTGTTTGCTGCCGTCGCACTTTGGCCATTTCATCTGGGTAGAACCATTAGCTGGCTGAACTGGCAGCGATAGAAAGAGTGCATGGAAATGAGATCTTGAGATTTAGATTTTTCTTACCTTCTTGCCTTGAATTCGATTCAGCTATATCGTGCATCTGGGTTCTTGCGACCTCTTGTAGATGGAAAGCAAGGGTAGACTTATACCCTTCTAGGGCGCTTAAATAGGAACCAACGGTCTTGGTTTTGAAGGGCCGTAAGACCAACTTTCTTATGCGACTCAATTTGGAGTCGTTCGGCGTTGGAAATATCTCTTGAATCAGTTTCCCTAGAGCGCTGACTCTCTTGAGGCATCCATTTACCACAGGTAGGAGGGAAGTTTGGTCCTCTAGCTTAATTGAACCATTTTTGCAACCGGCCGCTATCTTTTCTAGGCTTTCGGTAATCAGGGGAAGCTGAACTGCGACATCTTTAAGAACACCTAGTGATACCTTAGGGCTAGAGTGGGTGCTGATGCCAGCTAATATACTACCACTGATACTAAGAAATCCCACAATAGACGCTGTAAGAGTCATCACGACCATTGAGAAAGTCTCGATATCCCTAATCCTTGATATTCCCAGAACGCGATGTGACGACACCACCTGAAGAAGCTCTTTTGCATAAGCCGCTGCCGTAGCCGCTGCATATCCTTGCCATTGCTTGTTTTTGTGTGAATCTGAGTAATCGCAGATTCCGCGGATTACTAGACAGGGCACCTGGTCCATCAGGCCAGCTGCTTCCATTTCGAAGCAAAGGACGGCTGGGTTTTCAGAGCGAGAGAGTTTATCTCTTGTTGCTGCATGTTTCATAACTTGGTTGCCGGATGCTATCAAGCCATAATGAATTTGAGGGTCAGTTGAACTTCTTGCTCCCCGACTTGTCACCAAATTGGTCTTATCGCAATTTTCGCACGTGTCCTGGCCGATATGATCATATGTCGCTTCGTATAAATGATCAGAGTTCTGGCTACAGTATTTGAAGCGAGAGGATTTTGAGCACTGCTTATGTAGATTTAGGAGATAAGTCGGAACTTGACTCTGTCCAGTCAAATGATGAGCTTCCAACTCCGAAACCGCAGTCAGAAGAACTTGTGGCGGTTTGTTTAAGCATCCGACCCGTTGAAATCTTCCTTCTGCCAAAGTCCTGCCGAAGTCATACTGTATAACACCTCCAGAAGTTCCTGAAGGCTTGCTAACGACGACGTCTCCGAGTCGAATATCGGCAGTAGAACTTGGTACGCCTCCCCCAATCCCTACCATCAAAACGAAACGTATGGCCCGGAATGTAGTTAACATGTGCGCTACTACAATGGTTGCAGAAGTTGTGCCATATACACCGGATGGTAAACATGCCATGGCAATATTATGCCCATGGATTTCTCCAAGAATGTAGGTGTTCTGATCGCTCGATTCCTGAGGCAGTTTGGTATGGATTAGGTCCAACATCATTTTTGCCGCGGCCAGCTCGAGGGGTAGAGCGGCTATCCACCCTATGGTGTAGTCCTCGTGTACGAGAGTTTTTTTTGGGTGCCTCATGGTGTACTATCGTTTTTCGTCGGCAGGCTTTTGAATAGACACCTATGTACTGTGATGTCGGGCCCCAAATGTCCGATTAGTTCGCGAATCACCCTCACTACATCATTTATTGATTCTTCTTGTATTATAATACACTATAAGTATACACTTACACAATTAATTAAATATTGTATTCGTGGATAGATCCTTACACCAGCTTTGACAGAGAACCAAAAAAGGGTCCGGCCCCCAGGCCAACAAGATAATATCGATAGCCTGATATAAAGTGTATATATTCGAAAAGATTCAAGCGTTGAGCTTGAGCTCGACCCAGTAGGTTGTTAATCCGCGACGCTGCAATGCAATTAGAAGTATATATTTTTCTTGCCGTTTAACGTTATAATTAACGACTAGCCAGGATGCTCCTAGACTAAACCTATGCGCGCGCGCAAAGCGTTCATATAGGGTCAAATAAATCGAAAATTGTAGGGTAGAAAACGGAAATATGATACCAGAAGATCATTTCTCAGAGAAGATCGGAAACTGGACTAGCTTTCAACATTTGTATTTAAAGCGGGGTTTATTTTGATAACAAGGTCCATACATCTAGCATATTACAGCTGGGATTAGGGGCTGAGCGTGCGCGAGGCTGTCCGAAATCTCGAAAGCAGATGCAAAGCAAGCCACGTCAGGACGCAGAAAAAGGACCAATAAAACTTTGTTGTTATCCGTCCGCATCAGCCGATGGGCAAAATTGCCGAACGAAGTACCAGGCTGATAGATTACAGGATGTCGTTGGATTCATTTTCAGTTTAAGGATGCTCGTATTCCAATCTCCTGCAGCTAGCTGCATCTGAAAAAGAACCGCTGCTCAGCCTATTCTTCTGTTCGTAAGTTCTTCCATATGTTGAATCCTTAACTATAAGCTCTAAGTGTTCTATGGATTCCTTTGATAACATATATCGATACACTGATTCTGTGGTATGCTATATAATTTTCAACGATCGGAAGACTTTAAAACAAAATTATATTGAAATCGAATATTATGTGTAGCAGAGTGGTTCGCTAATGGAATGCTAAGCCTCCTTGTCTATCTGCAGCTAGCTAGCCTACGCTTACCACTCGCTGTCTCATAAATTTATATTACAATAAGACGTCGAATCAACTCCATAAAAATTATAGTTAACGCTAGTTTATGATTTCAGTTAATACTGGTCCTAGAAATGCTATATTCCAGACATCAAATCCTTAAGGATGTTATATCAGAGCGTGGGGCCGAAGCAAACAATCCCTATTGATTGGATAGTGTACCAGAGATCCCAACAAAGTATCCGAGGCCATCTAATATCACAATTTTTATTTTGAATCTCAGGATCTCTTTCAAACCGCACTCCAGATTAATAGGTTTTTTTACTGCCTTTAAAGCTCTAAAAATGTGTCCATTGAACCTACTATACGGACTACACTCGAGTTATGTGCCGCTGACAAAGTTGATACAGTATACCCTCTAGAGAGTAGCGACCTAACAACGTTGCACTGTTACTACTAACTGGTCCACAATTCGGTACAAAAGAAAAACTTTAGAGAATAAAGAGCAAGTAGTAAGTCATCATTCAAAATCAACATCAAAGTTTCAAAATAAAATCAAGCAAATATGTTGAATATAACCGACTTTCCTCTACCGTATTGCATCAGCTCTAGCTAAATCTTCGTCGGTTCCAGACTTAACCTTCTGCAAATAATTTTCAAATTTCAGGGATACCTCTATCACACTCTCTAGGTGGCTCATATTCATCTGCTCCTTCTTGTATAACGCTAACTGTCGCGCAGTTGTGATATTATTGCGAATTTGCCGGCCGTTGAGGTTGTGTTTCGCTAGCTTTTTGATATTTTTGTCGAGGCTGAGTTCATCTATATCGATGTCATCGTAAGCGACGTCCTCGAGTCTTTTGATAAACCCTTGCCAGATTTTTATTCTCTGTTGGTGAGTCAAATTGTCGTAGTGGAGGGCGAGCTGGATTCTGGATTTGAAGGCAGAGTCAAAAGTTCCGACTCGATTACTCGTCAATATCAAAATTCCTATTGTCCAATATTGCATTTAGTGAGCTCTTCTGTAGCTGGTTGTCTCAAATATGGCGCCTTACCATCATAGTACTCTAGCACTCGAAGGAATACTAGAGAGGCGAGTTAGTAAAGTCATTCTACTGTCGTCTCAAGTTCTATACATGTACGTCTTTATCAAGAACTATAGACATACCAGACACCAAGGCGTTTCGTGTAAGGTCTGATAGGGTCCGTTCTTCCAAGAACACATCCGCTTCATCTAGAAGGACAACTAAAGAGCGTTATTAGAAACTCGTGGGAAGGAAGGCATGAGCTTCGCGATTTCTTACCGCACCCCCAAACCTTTCCCAGGTAGAATACAGATGTTAGATACTGGAAATGCATTAGTTATAGTTTGCTAATTATGCTAGAACTACAGAGTTATGGATGTGAGCCGACCTTTTCAACCGCTTCTGGATCTGTTCCCACATCTCCCGTTGTTACTCGATATAATGGCTTCTCAGCGTGTTCAGCAACACTTGGCACGCCTTAGTGTTAGCAGGTATCTTGGTAAAATAACAATTTTTTCAGGATCGAACCTTTCTATTCCAGCCGATATTACTATTAGGGTTAGTCAAGACTGCGAAAGGCAATATAGACTAAAGAAAAAGCTAAAAGCTTGAACTTGCCTGCCGTGAGAGTTTTCCCAGTACCGGGGGCACTAAACCACTAGTCAGTAAGCTCTCCAGTGATCTTGGGTATACCCCACCACATATGCATTAGAATTCAAATACCCATGTAGGAGGATTATTAAGCCGTTTCCCTTATTGCTCATCATGTCCGTACCCGCCTCTGCCGCGATTTTGTTTTCTACCAGCGCGGAAACCAATTCCTTTGTGCCATTATCTATTACCAAACTTTCAAATGCCATTTTATTCCATAATATATCTTGAATAAACTCAACCTTCAGATTAACTAAATAGAAGGTTTGTCAGCATGTAGTAAAGGGTTTATTTTGAATCCAATTATACGTAAATCACTTACACCATTTCTTTTCTTGGATATGAAAACCGTATATTGTCGACGGAAGGATAAGAATTTGGTCACCTTCCAAGGGCAAGTCATCCTTCATGCGCTCTCCAAGGCCGTCTACTTGCGCTTCTCTCGCCACGGGAGATAGGGGATGCATTTTACGATATGTCATGGTATCGATCATGAACCTGACATTAACCTAGTATGAAGACAAGGTCAGAGAGAGGTAATGATTAGAGTGTGACTTTTGGGAACTTACAAATTGGTCATCATTGTCTGCATTCCATCCGGAATAGTTAATAAAACGTCTACAGCGACAACTCCAAAACTGAAACCCTCGCCTCTCAAGGAAGTCTCTAGTATTCGAGTCTCCATATTTGAGAGGGTAGTATTCTAACTGGTTGATCTGAACGTTATATGTGTCTTCGAATATATTATTCAAATCCAATTTGATATTGATCTCACTCTTCCAAAATAGACCGTTGAACTCCCATGACCATGCCTTAAAGGTTACCTTGCCATTGTGGTCTAATTGTGGCCAGGTTCGCACGATATAGGCTTGGAGACTATGCGTATTGTCTTTTCCGACAATGACATCCTCAGGACCTATCAAATAGCAAATCGTATCTGCTGAGGCGTAACCGTGGCTGAATAGTTTCGTGGCTTGACAAAACTCATCCCCAAAAGTATCTTGAATAAAATCAAATAGAAGATTGAGTAGATGTTGTTGTCGCGGGTTGAAAGTGAGAATTGTGGCCCTAATGCGTTCAATGTATCGTAGTATACAGTTGTGAGGCCCAACGATATGCTCATAAAGTTTAAATCCGCGGTCCCAGTCCCTAATATTGGCCCTCACTTGAAGCAACGAAATTAATTCCGCAAACTCCCTCGAGATAATAGAAAACGGATGTTGTGCCATTCTAGGGTCATCGTCATCGTCTGAACTTGTGGAAGAAACAGAACTCTCGTATCCTGATTCTTTGATACCGGTCATTGAATCGCCGCAACATTGGAAATCCTGGTACACCACAAAGTGGATGTGCTTGTTTCTTTTGAAATAAGCCCTTTCGTCTGGTATAGGGATGTTTGCCTCGTAATGTTGACACTTCCGCCGCGTATTTCTAGCTCGAGGATGATCAAGCCATACGGTTGGCTTTCCACCACTACAGAATATACGATGTAGCGTCTGTCTCTCGGAAAACTCTGGCTCCTGAAGTTCAGCCACCTGCCTTTCAAGTTCCCTTACCTTTTGTCGAAGACTATCAACATCAACTTTTTCAACTAGTTCATCTATCGGCGCCGCCAGATGCAATGATCTGGCTGGAGAATTAGTTCCAGCGTTGGTTTCAATATAGCCACAATTCGGGTCAATTCGAATGCCTGTATATCCATTAGCTGGAATTGGAGACCCTAGAAGGCAGGATTCCGTTTTACTGGTATTCGTATAGTCAGTTTTCGTCCATGTTTGAATCTTATTCTGCATCTGTTTTGTAGGAGTCTCTTACTTCTGAGTGGGGTCGAATATGACGGAATCCAAGGTCATCATGGTGCACGTAGGGGTTGTGTAGTTTGTGTCAGAGACGCTGGCATTTAGTTCAGTCGCCTGACGGTTTGTTCGGGAAATTCGTATTCCCAGTTGCGATTGTGGATATGGAGAGCCAAAGCACAAGTCGTTTAGTGCCGAGGTTGATTCCTCTTCCTGTGATCTTTCAACTCTTTCCATACTCGCGGCATTTTTAGCAGTGAGTTTGTATTCAATATTATCAGAAGCGGACTGCGGTTGCGTTGGGGTGTGCTTCAAGATCTTGTGCGACAGCAGGGCAGCCCCCGCGTGTCGCTTCGTTTTATAGCTAGGTGGGGCACTCCTTCATTCCCCCGACGTGATATATCAGCGTGATGTTAGTTGAATTTCCGGAAGCGGAGTCTCTAGACATAAATTGCGAGACTAGCTACATGGACCGATTATTCTCACATGTATCCCTCAGTAATTGGAGTGCCAAAATCTTCCCTTTGCAATTGGCCCCGACGCGGGAGAGGAGATTCAGGAGTACTAATTATCCCCAAATCGCTACCCGCGCTTGATTGGTTTTGCTGCGAAGCTAGTGTTGTGAGTAAGCCCGATAGGACAGTTTCCTTATTGGTATTATCTTTAGATATTGTTGCTGGAACCGTAGTCTTGTATTCGGCAGGCAATGACGACGGGGATGGTGAGATGCTATTTACTAGTAGATCCGTTAGGCCCATAAAACTCAATATACAACATGCAACAGCATGTGAAGAGAATGACGCATTCGTACGTAAATCCGCGGCCTCTTTTACTCCGATCTTCCCTCGGGCCAAATCTTGCTGTATTTCATATTGTGCTGCAATTTTCAAGTAGTAGGCCTGTTTCCGGGTCCGGGTCCCGGCTTGGGCAGGAATTTCGTACGTGTCCATAGTACACCGAACAGCTCCTAACCCAAATCAAAAATCGATGTTAACGTTAACATGCTGCAAGTTAAACGTTGGGGATAGATATAATGCCAAGAAACTTCTTGATATATGCCTAGGTATATGTTAATGCATGCCAAGTAGCTCCTTAAGTACCTAGCCCGATAAGAGATCAGCCTTTTATAAACTTGAGATCTCGAGAAGTTAACACCTGAGTAGGCCAGGTACTATGCAAACCTCGCAGGCATATAGAAGCCACAAGTTAAGGGACTGATCCATCGATTTACAGGGTAGTTGGTTTAGTAAGAGGATAATGTGACGAGGCTGCGACAAGGCTGCCTCAGGGGTATGGGTGGTCGGCGCGAGAGGAACACGTGCGGGACGAACCTCCCCTTCCGGTTCCTTGGAATATTTTAATAGAAGAAGAAGAAGAAGAAGAATTGAACATAAATCTTTCGAGCGGTCTTCAAGTAAACAGAGAAATTAAACGCTGGTTACTACCTGTCAGTTGTGCATGTGGAGGTAGCTCGCAGCGAAATGTCTGCCCATCATTTATGTGTGGGGTCATCGAGCTTCCCAGAATGGTACTCAAGGACCCCAGCAGCTGTCCAGTCTTATAGCTGGAACAATAATTCCGAGTAAGTGCAAATTCACGGCCTATCAACATCCTCCAATATTCATATTTTGTCTTATCTGTATATACACACGCATATATACTAGATATTATATGCCTTCCAGGTCCGTGTACGAGACAGAATACTATGCTGCGTGGAGTGATATCGAGGACCTAGGCCCTCAGGTGCTCATCACAGTTTGGTTACAATACTGAGTGCTCACACTGCATGCAGCCAAGCCTAAAAACAACACCCGTTCTGATTAGCCTCGAGACTGCTAAGACTTCTGTATGCTTTGAAATCTAGCCCCGCAAAAGATGCATATGATGAAGCAGTTCGCATATTTTCAACTACTTTTAGCAAAGTCGACGAGAAGATTCTTCTTCAGAATCACACTACGTTATCCGATGTTATCACTACCGTCGAGTCGCTCAAAGCGGCACACGAGTCTAAAACTCTGAAATCGGAAAAACTACAACAATACCTACGAATTTTTTCCTCCCGTATAATGTACTACGGTACAGTCTTAGATGTCATGGTTCAGCACCATCCCGAATATGCCTCGCTCGCTTGGGGCACTATGAAGTTCTTGTTCCAGGTTAGTATCGCACTCTATATGTCGACATTGCAGAATATCAGATGTATTTACATATCTGTTCCGGATTCAGTCTCGTAAACAGTTTGGTTACGAGACTTTTTTGAATTATTGATTCTAACTTTATTTAATTATTCGACACAGGGAGTCATGAACCACGAGGAGCTTGTTGTACAATTAGCTAAAGGTATAACAAAAATTGCCGTTGCACTGCCACGAATGGAGCTACGGGCCATACTTTACCCAACAGCTCAGATGAGGCACTTGATCCAGACTTTATACGCCCATATCATTAAATTTCTCATGAGAGCGGTGAAATGGTACCAACAGCCAACATGGAAACGGGCGGTATCGTCGATAACTGAACCGTTTGCGCTGCATTTCAAAGATATCCTTGAGGATATATCGGAGCAGTCCCGGCAAATTGACCAACTCGCGGTAGCGGCATCTCAGGCGGAGTTAAGAGATATGCATATCATGATAGCTAGCATGAAAACCCTTCTCGTCGGTGCGTCCTCCTCGACTTTTTTTTTCGGCTCGCGAACGCTTAACGCTAACAATAGCTTGGCCAGACGAGATATCACCTGGAATCCGGGATTTACAACTCTCCTCAGCACTAGATTTTGTCAGCCGGACTAGATATATCGATCCAGAGGCTAGCTTACGGTATTGTAAACTGCTGAGTAACCGACGCAGCGAACCACGCCGCTATCTTGTGGACGCACAGCTTCTATGTACGCTCAGAGGATGGGTGACAGTGGACACCAGTTCAACAATGGTAATTAAGGGAGCTGGCATAAGAGTTCCTGCGCAATGCCGAGACTTTGGCGCGGACTTGATTCATTGCGCTAAGCGGCCCACGATCCCGTTAATATGGGCTCTGGAAGCCGCGCCTGGAAACGACGATAGGGATCGAATTTTGTCAGCTGTTGATCTTCTCAAATACTTGGTTTTCCAGATCCTCAAGCTCAACTCAAATACAATGCCCCGGAACGTAAACGCATCGATATTTAGGACTGCTAGCACAGAAGCTGAGTGGTTTAACTTGCTTACCGCATTATTATCGACGCTCCCTCGGGTAATAATTGTGGTGGACGCATCTCTCATTGGAGAACGCCTCTCGGACGATATTTCATGGATCGATGCCTTTTTTAGGGTCTTCGAAGATCTTAGAATCCTAAGGAATTCAGCAACGATTGTTAAAGTTGTTCTCTTGAACTTCGATACGACTGACGCTCGCGCTTCTGACTTTACTTTGCTTAATTTGCGAACTGCTAAGGGTAGAGGGAGCTCGCGAGGAAATGCGGCAGTGAATAGGAGAAGGGCACAGAGGGGTCTTCGTACTACATTGAGAGGAATCAATTAAATTTACTCGCTGACCATGCTTCCCTTACGTGTCACGATCGAGGGACTACTCTTTTTCTTCTTTCCCTTCATTTTTTTTTGAGACGATATTATATCAATGTTAATTAGTTTTAATATTTATACACAGTATCTGTGACCTGACGTACTATGTGTAAACAAGAACTAAAATGCTCACATACATGTTGACATGATATCTCTCTAGACTCGATAACTTTAACTCACAAACCCGTCTCCCGTGTTGTTGCCGTCGTTAGAATAGACTCTTAGGAACCGTGGTAACAAGGTTTATAATTGCTTATGTAATGTGAGAGACTCCTTAGTACTAGCTCGAGTGGCACACGTGTATAGCTTCATCATGGATCATGCCATGGATTATTAACCTTCTATATAATTAAGTTTGATTCGAGTTATGATATAAATGCAGACCAAGTTACAGATATGCAAAACAAAGAACAAACGAAATCTCTGACAAGATTAATGCTTAATGCGATGCTATGAACAAATACCAAAGCAAAATATTACCCACAAACGCCATCTAATGATAGTGTAGCCGTGAGACCAAAATGAATCTTGCCTTATCGTACAGTTATGCAAATGAATCTTTAATCCATACTCTCCAGATCCTCTTCTTCACCACCCGCGCCGCTATCTACTGTGACCTCTTTCTTTAGCATCTCATTCTCACTTACTAAGATTCCAACTTCACAACCTCTCAACATATTATCCCAATTAACCCACGGGTGCGTTAAATTAAACAGCTTTGTGCCATCTTTCCCAGCCACCCTCAATAGCTCCTTCTCGCCTCCAGGGTGGTATGGTAGGTATGGTGTCATATCATACACTTTGCCTTCTAATACTGTCCAGTATGTCTTCGTTTCGTTCTTTCGAGCACCGTGAGTTGCTAGCTCAGAAGGCGCGATGCGACGAAGTGGGACGAATGGCAGATTTCGTTGATGGTTTGCCCAATCTAGGGGTGAGTGACCGGGTGTGAGGATCACCTTTTGACGAGGCTTTGGCGGAGGTTGGGAGTGTGTGGGTGGTAGTTGGAGAGAAGATGTTTTAGGAACTCCTAATGAAGAGGATGCAGAAGGTGGGACAGCAAGAGAAGAAGCCGACGGTGGTACACCAAGCGAGGAAGATGAAGATCCGCCTGGCCGAGCGTACTGAGCGTTTCTAGCACTCGCAGCACTCGAACCGGCGGGTTTCCGCATGGGTATTGGGGGTGGCGGCATAAGGCCTGGTGCAGCAAATGACGGTAGAGCCAATGAGGGTGGTCCTGTCGCCAACTTTGGGACTGGTAGAGGTGGTGGGCCCATGCTCCCGGGGACTACCAACGATGGCGCCTGTGGTACCGAAGCCGGTTTGCTTGCTCTTTGTGCCGAGTTCAGCGCCGGGAACATCGGTACACTAAGGTCTTCATCCGAGTCGTCGTCTGGCATTCGTCTAGCCTTGCCCTTCCTCGACCGTACTCCCTTAGACTCCACCTCAACATCGGGTATCGAGAGTTCTATCTTCACAGGAGCAGTCGGTGTCGTCGGATCCTCCTCCTCATCTTCTACAACCACCATATCAACCTTATCCCTCCGGCTAGGCAGACCAGCTATATACCCTCCATCGGCAGTTCCATTCCCACCCCCTTTAACCTTCTCCAAATTTATCGACGCTTTACTATCGGATCCATCCGTAATAGTCCTCTGAGGACCGGTGGCCCCCCAAAACGCAAATGAGCCTGCAAGGCGTGTGAGGATTTCATGAGGACGGAGACCTTCTTTGTAGATGTACGCGCCGACCGCGAGGACTAGCGCCGCGATTCCGATGAACATTTGCGCAGTAGGGATTTATAACGTAGACGCTTGATTTATTATTAGGAGGAGGTATCGTTAGGGGAAGTTAGTCGACATCTTGGGGGTTTTGAAGTGGTGTGGGGGAGGAATGGATGAGGGTCTGGTGAGTGAACAGGGGATGGAAATCTAGAACGGCTGCTGACTATTATTTTATGCGGCATTGGTTCTTGGTGAGCGGCAACACAAATTTTGCAACGAACTGGTGCCCTGTCATCCTTGTCTGGTTGTTCAGAAAGCATATGCATGTGCGCATACCGTCCGCCTACCATCCGCCTTCGAGACCAGTTCGAATTCAGCATACAACACTTGTACTATTACTATGTCTTGCCGCCAGACTATTTATAACGATCAAAATTTATCTAAGCAAGGCCTCAGCCCATCAGAGCTCGATACTATGAATTCCGTATCAAGCAAAAGGTTCGCCGCCATAAGACCCTTGCTCTGCATGTTTGCTTAAGCGCTTCGCAAATGCAAAGATGTGGCGGCGAGCGGCAAAACCCATTCCTTCCTACCCCGTCAACGAGTCTCGAGGGCGTCCAGAATCTATTTAATGATGCCTGCTTTCCCGCCTCTGAAAGGAATTGCGACCAACTATCCTCGAAGACACTGATAATAGAATTAGTAGTGCCAAAAAACAAGCCCCTGAATATATATCTCCTTCAATAATTCATCTTCATTTTGAGTACTATTGCAAATATTACACCAGCGTTGCCTAAACGAAAACAGATTTGTCCGAGTCGCCCCGAGATTCCGTTCTTTGGTATTTACTAGTGGGTACTACAAAATGGCTATCTTGCGCCGACCATACTATCGCGACGACTTTGAGATCGCTATTATATGCGCTCTGAAGGTAGAATTTGATGCAGTCGAGGCATTGCTCGATGAGGTCTGGGAGGGAAATGGTAGCCATGCATATGGAAAAGCGCCGGGCGATCCTAATGCCTATACCACTGGTCTAATTGGCAAACACCCAGTGGTTTTGACATACATGCCTGGTGTAGGCAAAACGATAGCAGGCAACGTAGCGGCAAGCCTCCGTTCAAGCTTCTTAGGAATTAAGCTTTGCTTAGTGGTTGGTATCTGCGGAGGCGTACCCGAGAATAAATCTGACGAGGACGACGAGGAAGACGACGAAATCCTGCTCGGCGATATAATAATCAGTACAGGAATCGTTGAATACGATTTTGGACACCAGTATTCGGATCAAGTTGTTAGAAACGACAATCACAAAGAAATTCTGAGCCGACCGAATCACGAAATTCGAGCGTTCTTAGCAAAGATGGGGGGATACCGCTGCCGTACAAGGTTAATAGAGAACATCCCCCTTTACCTTGCGGATATTTCTGCGAAGGAAGGTTTTGGGACATTGAGATATCCAGGCGCAGATCAAGACAAGCTCTTCGAACCAACTTATATCCACAAGCACCATACCAGTAAAAGCCAGCCTGTTTGCGTTGATTGCAAAGATAGGTATGATGCAACTTGTGATACCGCGCTTGGGCTGAGCTGCACTGAAAACGGCTGCGATGATTCGAAACAGGTCACTCGTAAGCGATTGGAAAAGATCAAACATGCGGTTGGAGGCTCAGGTGCATCTTTGAGGGCGCTTGAGGGGGAAATGGGAATACAAAGTCCTCAGATACATTTTGGAGCCGTTGCATCAGGAGACTTATCCATGATGTCCGCCTATCATAGAGACAAAATTGCTGCGCAGGATAATGTTATCGCCTTTGAGATGACAGCTGCTGGAATATGGGACGCCTTTCCCACCGTTATCATCAAAGGTGTTTGTAATTATTCAGATAGCCATAAAAATGGAGTATGGGAACGGTACGCGGCGGCAACGGCAGCTGCATGTATGAAGGGATTCTTGAGAGAGTGGATAACTGCCGACAAGCCGGTCCGAAGAGATGCGGTAGAAGTCAGTAATGACTACCTACATTTCATGAACCTTTGGTCTAGTACATTGGCCATGATCACACAAGCTAGATTTAGCGGTAAAAGGCCGTGAAAAAGGAGTGGTTTTGACGTATTTGCATATACGCCAGGGGAGTAGCATATATTAATTAAGTTCTGAAGCATACATACAATTGCCACCTTGACATTTCTCTCTACCATATTGATATTAGATAGGCAATTAAACTAGTTGTTGTATAGTAGATATAAAATAAGTACTATTGTGATTAATATCCTAAGAGCAGCAGAATTGTTATGTTGATAATGCTTTGTTCTCACTGGCCCTGGGAAGGCGCATCTAGTCTATATATCAGTATATAGGGCTTCAGACAGAATGGTTTTATATTTTTAAGAAATCTGTGCATTTGCTTAACAGTAAACCACTTTGATGATAACTACTCGATGTAAAGTTAACTTCCGCATACCATGAGCATATCGAATGTTCGGAGTGTGAAATTCCCTGTCGCATGTTGCAATGTTGTACCGATTGGCACAAGTGGTGAGTGCGGCACATGCGGCACATGCGGCAGTCATTACCAAACACAAGACACGTAACCCAAATCCACCACAACCCGCAACCACCACCACTAACGTCACCGCATCCCGAACGCCCATTCATCCCTCATCATCCTCCTCCTCCCAACAGAAAATAGCCATGAAGCTCCTACCGACCTCCAATCTGCTAGCAGCAGGCCTGCTATTATGCCAATGGGTGTCTGCTGCTACTCCATCCGCCTGGACGTTCGCCGATGCCACTCTTCAGATCTCGCAGAAGGGTGCCGAAGCAGGTCCCAAGCAGAAGTATGTTACATAGCTTCTTTATATCGGCAATTGAGGTTAAATGAAACAGAGAACGTGCATCTAACATTCATTTGGGGGAATAATTATAGGTTTACATCGACATCCCCGATATCCGATGCTTTGACTCTGAAAAATACCGATTCTTTAAAGATACTGCTTACGACAAAGGAAGGCGATACAGCCAAGCGACCCCACCAACTCTTCCTCTTTGTTAAGGATACCGAGTCTGAATTGGAATCATTCTTTTCTTTTGATGTTAAGGAGTCAGGAAAGGCTCGATTGGACCTCGTAAGAGCTTGAATAGTCATTTACTCACTTCGGAGAGGCCTGGTATCTAATGGTATACTCGAATTACAGACCCAGAAGGATATCCCCGTCGCGCTTTTGAGCGCCCCATCTCTTAGCTTTACATTAGTTTTGGGCTCCTTCGGCCAATCGACACCACTTTCTATCGAAATCGCCAAAATTACCCCGGTCCTTGACGCGGCTGCCAAGAAGGCCCTCCCAGAGCCGCCACTGAAGTACCAGAAGCTCAATGAGATTCACCATATCTTCCGTGCCGAACCAAGGTCCCCACCAAAGGTTATTTCGTTGGTATTCTTGGCCGCCGTTGCGGCTTGTTTGCCGGGATTGTTCGGTACTGTATGTTCTCCAACGACTTGAAATCTACTACGCCAAGAAGTAAAGCATTTAACTAACTATACACGTAAACAGTGGTTCGGACTTTCGGCCAATCTATCCCATCTCCCAAAGTCTCTTGCGGCAAGCCCCGTCGCTCATCCAATCTTCTTTGCCAGTTTGTTGGCGTTTGAGGCGGTGTTTTTCGCGTATTATACTCAGATCAATATTTTCCAGACACTTGCTGCTGTCACTGTCATCTCGCCGGTTGCTCTTCTCAGTGGAAGCAGGGCATTGAGGGAGGTCCGTGCTAGGAGATTGAATGGAGAAAGATAAAGCAAAGGCTTTATGAGAGTTGGGGTGGTGGTGATACCCGGACAAAGCGACGGCTCGCCCCGGAGAATTGGTTATTATTCAAAGATTGGGCAGCATTCGAGTAGCATTTAATTGAAGAATCTTAATGCGGGCTGGAGGGTTTGACGTTAGCGCAGTGGTATATAATCGAAAATTAACGGTAAAACAGCTAGTTAGTATTAATTATATCAGACCAATTGATAAAAAGTAATCTTTTTTTTTCTTTAAAGTATTTATCAGTCAGAACTTTTGTTAGAGAGACGCCGTTTCCGGATCCATAAAACGCCATACTAATGCTATTAAAAAGTAAACTCGGAAAACTTCCCGATACAATTACTCGTTATCACCGCCGCCGCCACCGCTACCTCCGGCGTCAAAATCAGCGACCCATCCTTCGGGCCTCTCACTACCTCTGACAACCATGCCATAAAACGCGTATTCGACCTTCTTGACAGAATCCTGCATAACCCTTAACTTCTTATCCGCATCTTTCCCGAATGCTGTAAAGCCCACATCCAATCCTTCGAATGCCGACTGTAGCGTCCGAAGATCTTGCAACAAGCATTGTGGCGTACTCACGGCCTTCCCATCGGCAGAATCCTTGGCAGCACCTAGCAGCTGGGCTAACGGCGTAGTAGCAACGCTTGTGATAGCAAAACGCATCATTTCGCCGGTCATGTCGTATAATCCAAGGACATAATCTTCCTTTGTTAACTGAATACCCTTGAGATCCTTCTTTTCTTCTTCTTTCTTTTCACTTCCACCTTCCGCTGTGGAAGAAGTCTCAATTGGCTGCGTCGAAACAACATCAATCATCTCCACATCTTCCTTCACTTCCTCACTCTTTTTCTTCCTTCCCAGAATTTCATCGCCGTGTAGCCCGCTGACATACCAATCCGCCTCCTCCCATTCCATAACCTTTCTTTTAAGAAGATAATGACGGAATCCGATGGCTTCAATGTATTCTTGTAATCCCGGCGAGATCTGTCGTTGCCACCTGGGACCGTCCAGACCCTGAAGATCGGGAATTATCGATGCCAGAAGATCTTGGATTTTAGATTCGTATTGTAAGATCTCATTGTTGATGTTTTGGGGGAGTGAAGTGGTGAGTGGTAATGTTGTAGGGCGGAGACGCTGGAGGGAGAAGATACTACCACCAAGAATATATATACATTAAACAACCATCCCCACTTACTAGAAGCGAATGGCAATGGATAGAGAACATACATCTTCTTACTAGCAGCTGTAATGTCACGACTAGCTTTTATGATCCGTTCTCGACGGTCTTGGTGTTCGTCTAGTTCGTTACGGAATTCTGTAAACATCGAGATGTAGGGACCTGTTGGAGCTGGTTGTTGCAGCTGTTGGGGATTGTGGGATTGAGGCCTTGGGCCGGTACGATGGGGCCCGGAACCGGAGCCGGAGAACGGTCGTTTACTTCCTGTTGGTGGCATCTTCTTTTGATAATGATGGTTGTGATAGTGATATTGAGCTAGCACAGTGAGCGAGCGGAGGGACTGGAACTGAAGCTTTGGCGAAGCGAGAAACTCACAGGCATGGTAGCGGTCACGTGACATATACTATCACCAGCATGGTCACCTCGCGACAAAATCACGAGTCGACCACAAGAGTCGACCACAGCCAGTTCGTTAGCTTCTAACTAACCGGCAGAGGGTACAGAGTAGTTAATGTACGTTTACCAAGAAACTACTTGTTTTTCGGTCGTTTTCGCCACTCGGACTCGAGCTTGCCCACGATACCAGCACAGCCCAGCGAGAGCGCAATACATAAAGCTCTTAATTCAAGACCTTTATACATTCACATGTACAATGGCGCAATAGGGATATTACACCAGATTTGCAATAGCCAGCCGGCAGACAGCATTAATATATTAGCATAAAATTAAGGTCTAGAACTACTCAAGTTGCCACTAAAGTGCTGCCTGTATACCTAAATTAACACAGCTAGCTTTTACCCGATACTAGTAGACTTTGAGCGTAGATTTGAGGTTTACAAGTATTTGCTGCAGAATGAATGATATTGGCGCCAAGCACCTGTGATGTGACCCAACAGTAACAACACATAACGGCTGCCTATATCGAGGTGGGCGGGTCCGTAGATGTAGCGAGGATCTGGTAATATAATCTCGGTACCTCGCCCTTCCTAATTTTGTTGGTAGAATCCTCACAACTAGGATTTGAGATGTCTTTAATTTCGTTTGCGCTGCTCCACACAAAGTGTGGACCGCGTCTGCAATACGAGACTATTTATGGCTATGGGGTTAGTATGACTTTAGATAGCCCTTTCCAAACATTCATAGCTTGTACTGGCTGTATAGCTGTGGCTGTCACATCCTGAGAGTACAGTTTCAACTCTGGAAAACCAACTGCGGTTCATGCCTAATTATTTACATATTTTTTGGTTCAAAAATGATTGTATCTAACTTATTACTATGAATTTGGAAGACGCATAGTCTAGTTTCCCGCATATGTACAGTTTTCATAATCATGCATGGTAATTCGCTAATGCCAGGGCTGATAAGCTGACGAAAGGATACATAACGCACAGTGGTTCGGAGAACCTTTAGACCTCTTGAATTCTCTGAAGATTTGGACTTGGTGTAAGGCACATTTACGTTTCAGAAAGTCTTTGCGGTATATGTATCTAGATATCTTTGCCGCAGGAATTTGGATATTACTTATTTTATTGGTTTATAAATGTATGCGTCTTTGTCTCCCATCCTGCCGAAGTTTACATAATCCCTCCGCCAAATTTTCAGCCTCATCTTTTAGTATCAAAACCTCACCCGTGTCTGCATGCATTTTACACCATCCCGCCAGAAACTAACGAGACTTAACCATTTTCTTGCCTTAAGCCTTCGGCACCTCCGCTGTGCGACAACATACTTCTATAGCAGCTGCTTTTGCCGGAGGATTCCGGATTCTCCAAGACCCTTCTTGTACCACGTCATCCAGGCCTTCCACACTAACCCTTCATTACACAAGAAACCATTAAGCTTTCAAGCATTCCTCAGATACGCCACTAAACAAGAACGCTGACAATTCATTGGCTTGGCAAACTCCGTGACCACGAGTTGGTATCGACAGCGCAAAAACATGGCACTCAAGGATTTTATTGGCTGACCGATTCGCCAACTCGCGGGAAAATGCAAATACCTTTTGGGGATCCGTGCCGAATTTTGCGGGCTTGCATGGCCATATGGTCCTAGGCATGTTTATTGGCATAATACTACAAAGTATTGAGAAACCAGAGCTTTCCAGCCGCATGCATGCATATGTCTTGATCAACCAGGGTTGAGACTTTGAGAATAACGTTTTGACTCTTATCACGGCCAAAACGACTCTAGATCCTCGAGGGTGAATTCTTTTTGGGATGTGTCACTCGAGAAGGCTGTCTATTCTCTATTTCCTGTCGGTTTGAGATTTCTTATAACTTTGTACCACCGAAACCACTACGGAGGAGATCCTGTGTATTTACATATACATCTCTATAATACCCAAGAATGCTAGCGAGGGAGCGCCAGCTTGTAGAATTGAATACAAAGAATCACGTACACGCATATGTGAAAGTCGCCCCCTCCTTTCGCCGACTGTCAACGGCTGCCTCCCGTCCAGCTGGAACAATCGTGTTACACTTTTGGATGAGACATATATATAATAGTATTGTGCTGCCACTTATTCGAAATCTTTGTGCGCAATCCAACTTTTTCTTTTGTCAAACTTTAGCCCTAAAATAATCTTTATACCTTCCTTTGATACGTATAGCCATAGAATGGCTGGGCCAAATATTCTATAGTACAAAAGTTCAACCGTTAACCCCACTCTATTACAATTCATGCTTGGTTTGATTATATGATACTCCTTCGATAACTCAATACTCCTTCGAAACCTTTAATACTATTGCAAATACCGTATACCATGGAACTATTACAAGCCTCGTCGACTCGTCCACGCCTATCCGACTTTTTCGCCAGCCTTCTTTTAAGTTTATTGATATACTCCCCGACAGCGCAGGCGATAAGTACTCTCAACGCCTTCACCGATGCGAACTGTGTTTTCCGGCCGCGCAGTCCACAGCCGGGACATACAGATGGAGAATGTCAGAGTATAACAACGCCAAATACTATTTCCGTCAGTATTGATTCGTTGGATCCAGGATGTGAGGGTGTGTTTATCCTTCATTAATTTCTTACAGCAAAAAGATGCTTTGTTTGGGATTAGGAAATTTAGCTAATATGGAAATTGGAGTTTAAGTCACAATCTACGCAGATCTATACTGTTCCCAAGAACCTGCCACAAAGGAAATCAATGTTGGCGACTGCGCGAACCTCAATGGAATGCTCGTTAGAAGTTTTTCAGTCGATGGATGTCCCCCCGGAACACCGGATTACACAGATCTTTTGGGGAACTATACAACCACAACATCTTCCAGTAGTATTCCTTCGGCTACATCCAGCAGTATACCATCTTCAACTGCCACACAAACTTCCGCACCATCTACGAGTTCAGGAAATTCGAATAGAGCAGCAATTATTGGAGGCGCTGTAGGCGGCGGTATCGGGTTATTTATGGCGGTTGTTTCGTTACTGGGGTGGCTGCTATATAAAAGGAATTTTAAGAATCAAGGACGCATAGAAACGGGATGGCCTAATGCGGATGGTGTAGGATATGGCCGATACACTGGCGACGGGGGACCAGGTCCTAACGGCTACGACACAAGCGGAAACTACCTAGGAATTAATACTTCACAAGATATTGGAGAATTGGAGGCAAATAGTAATAGTAGGAGTAATATTAATATTGGAAATACATATTTCAAAGGTCAGGGCAATCCAAAGATGGGGCGGAAAAGGACAGGAGGAGCGACGAGAAGTGCTAGTGGCAGTGGAATATTTGAGAACCAGGTTGCAGATGATGTGCCGCTGAGGGAAATCCCAAGACAGGAGTTAGAAGCACCGGTGCCGATACAGTCAAACAGGAGAGAGCAGCAGCAGCATGGCAGGACGTTTAGTCTAGGGAGAGAGAGATTACCGGATATGCCGAGGGTTCCAGGGGTAGGAGAGTAAACGCAATTTATAAATTAAACTAAATTGATGACATTTGATCTGGATTTGTATCATTTCTCGAGGAACTTTGCAAGGACATCTCTAGAAATGATTCCTCCATGAGAACTTGTTCCATGCATTTGTAAGGAGTTCGCACCACCATCATGACACCAGAAGCAGTTCCAAGAAAACAGAGGTCTCGGTAACTCGTTACAACGCTTACTCTGTCGGCTTTAAATGGGAGGTGCAGAATCCGTTCTCCTTCATACCACAACCAGTCATCCAGTTGTAAGATAGGAGTCATGGAAGGGAATTGAAACCAACCCCCTGTTGATATTAAAGATAAGGGGTCAGTTGTCAATGATAGCTGCGGTGCTACCAAGTTTTGCGGCAGTAGAAGATCTGATGACCAGATTTGGGTATGGGATAATCCCATTACGGGTTCAGGTTTTAATGGCTCCAAACTGTAGATGGTAAACCGTAGGCTTCTTTCTGTATGGAGGGCGACAATAAGCTTTTGACCATTAGAAGAGAAGTTTGTCAGCGTGCGATCGGGAATGGAGCCAGTCACTCCACAGTTTTCGCCACCAAAAGTACAAAGCTTTTGACCAGATGCTGTATCCCACAGCGTAACAACACCGCAGCTTTCCGTCACTAGCAGTGACCCATCAGGCGAAAATTTTATATCTGTACAAAACGTATAGTTCATAAACGGATCCGGATTCGAGCGGTCGTACTGGGTTCTAAAACTGACTAAAAGGCAAGTTGTTTTAACCGTTAAACTAGGATCGAACGTCCTAAGTTGAACTCGAGCATCATTGTCCCAGCTGGACATGAACGCCAGCTTCCCAGTAAACGAAAACCCTTTGCACCACACTCTATCAGTCTCATAAGGATGATCGTAGAAGTCAGATCTAATATCTGGGCTATTGGTCCCTGCCTCTTGATCAAGGTGCTTTACCCTTAGCTCTGCAACCCGCTCTCTGTATAAACAATCATACCAATCATCCAGAGTGCCTAGCAGTGATCCGGATTGTACATCCCAAATTTTGATAATTCGGTTCGTACGAAATACCAGGAGGTTGTTATCCGGGGAAAACTCTAGCTCAGTAACTCCATTGTCGTCACGACCACCTAGCGCCAGCGAGAAATTTTCTCGATTCTGGAGTTCACGCCCAGACTCATCTCCAATAGCATCCCATGTCTGCGGCGGAGAAATCGATTCAGAATCCCAAAGTGTTATAAATCCACGCTGGCAAATAGCCAGGTACCTTCCATTTGGGGATGCTGCCATACTACTAGGAGACGCCAGCTGTACTTCATGTGGCGCATCTTCCGAGGGGATCTCAAAAATCCCAATTGCCCCTTCATGCGCAGTAAAATATTGCGTTGCGTTAGAATTTAGAATTAACGGACGTGGGAAATCTGCCATCCCCTCCAGGGTCCGGATGTCGAATCTTAACTGTCTGAGGAGTTTCCCAGAATATGCATCATATATTTCAAATAGTTCCAACTCCGGGAATGGATTAATATTTCGGGAAGGGTTGAAAGCTAGCCACATTCCATCTCGCAAGAGCTGAGGCTGACGCGTAGAGGCGTAAACCTCAACTATTCCCTCGATACAACCTGAATCTAGGTTCAATATACAAAACCCGCTGGGCGTTGCCACAAGGAGTTGATGACTCGTAGCAAAGTGTATTAGAGAAATTTCCTGCATGCCTTGATGAACCTGAGAACTAGGTTCACATGGCAAGTCAAACTCCCGCGAAAGAGTCTTAGAACCTATATTCCATAGCAGAATAGAACGATAGCCTTGAGCCCCAGACACCAATCGATCGCCAAAGGTATTGCAGGCTAATTTTGTTCTACGCCAGCCATACTCGTCATAGTTTTTGGATATCGCTTGGTAGAATTGATCCGAAACCGATCCAGATGCTCTATCAACGTGCAGCAGCCATAGATCCTTCAGCGTACTCGCAAAAACTAGTTTTGGAGCGTTACCGGGAATCCAGATGATGGATGTCCGCCAAGGGTGTGGCACTTCCTGGATTTCCCAAGCGTGCGTACGCTCTCCAGACGCCACATTCCATATTCCAATACTAACTCTTGAATTCCTAGGACTCGCCGCTGGATCCCCCTGCTCTTGCATTGGTCGCAATTCGGCTGTTACCGCAATCATTTGATTGTTTGGCGAAAATTCCAACGATAGCCAATTAATCACATCTCCGTTAGAGGTTAATAGATGCTGTAGGATTGCTCCTGAGGATACGTCCCATAATATCAAGTTATGCGTACCAGGTTTCAATCCAACTGCAAGGGTTTTATCATCGTTCGATAAGGCTATCATACCAATATCAAAGAGAGTACCCTTGTTTGGGGGCTGGAAAATTTGGACCAAAGATCCCCACTCTTTCTTTAGAGAGTGCGTTTGTCGGATACACTTAGGCACCATGGGGCGAAAAAGCGATTTTATAATGCTGTGCTCGGGGGAGAACACGAGGCACGATGAGTAGAGTTGCAATGGCGTGTTGCATACCACAGCTTTGTGATATTGGGAAAATCTTCGAAAATCGTAAAGAAGGGTTTCAAGATATTTATTGGACGCTCCCTAAGTTTAAAATTTAAGCAGTTAGATATCAGTAAGCTACGGAACACTCGTGGGGGTATAGCTAGAAGGGACGGGAAAAGGTTATTGACATACTTCCATGGTGGTCCCCAACCACTTTGCCATAGTGACAATGTCGAACGTATGATCCAGAAGTATCATCAATTCCATCCAATGTAATAAGTGTTCTTCAAGAAACTTTAATACCAACTCCGCCTTGGCCATTCGTGGCTCCGCTAAAGCCAGGTGGTCTACCCAGTAATAGCAGGCATATCAAAGGTGATCAATTACATCCCTGTGCTCCGCTTTAAGATCTTTAACAGCAAAGTCCAAGCGCTTTAGGCTACAAATGTCCGTCCTCAATTCCTTTTCAAGTTGCCGCATGGACCGGGTAAAAATTTCTTGATGTTGATATCCGAGACCATTGGGTATAATGAGACGTGAACCGATGTTGTTATCAAGAAAATCCTTAGCCGATTGGTGGACAAAAGATACAATGCGCTTGTGGATAGTCAGGAAAGATCCGCAGCTTTTGACTTGGACCTCGACATCGATTTCGTTCATTTCAGAAGGCAGCTCGGCGATTGTTACCATCTCCTGCAAGCTAAGAGGCCGAAATGCTGCTACCATAGCCGACAATATCTTGGAGCATAGCTCAACGTCGTTATTATAGCCGGAACGGTCCAGATATTTTAGCATCTCACCGTAAAATCCATTTAGCCCAGACGGCAGCCCGTTTAAAGTGGCCACGGCATTATAGGAATATACCTTTTCCAATTCTTTGCAAGCAAGGTGTACCCATAGGAATGTGCCACCGGCTTTTTCTCGCAAAAGCTGACCAACCTGTTCTTGGATATCCACACGATACCTCTTTTTTATACATAATTCTTGGAGTTTGGAGTGAATATAGGCTTCGACCGTCGTATTGATTTGCTCACCGTGCTCTTCTAGGCTGATTTGGAGTTGAAGTCCAGCGTATTCAAATTGGGCTTCAATCTCCGGGCGATTTCGACTGGTAACTAGCCAACGAATTCTACTTGCTTTCGCGCAAGTTGAGCAAATTAACTTCAACAGTCTATCGAGGTCTCCTATGCACTCGTCTAAAGCGTCTACTAAAAAGTAGAAAGTATTGTATTGCGGGTCAGCGCAGACATTTAATAGTATCCGCTCTAGAGCATAAAATGCATTCGGATCCTCGAAATAGTTTTTGCCTCGTATATCAATCTCCGACTTAAGATACCGAACAAGGCTTGGGTATCGTGGATTCGAGATGAGTTGGGACAGTAAACCCTTCACTACAGCCAATGCGTTATTCAGACGGCTGTCGGTAGCTTGGCAGAAAAAGTAAGATATAGCGATCTTGCTACCGGTATCTCGATCAAACATCTCCGTCATGTGGTCAATCAGGCTAATCATGATCATTGTTTTCCCTTTACCAGGATCTCCAGAAATCCGCAGAATGGGCTTATCTTTGATTGCAAGCCATTGCTTAAAGTTTTGGCCATTCAAGATCCACGATATAGAATCACCAATAGGCTTGTCTTTCGAGCTCTCTATTCTGTTTTTATCATCTGTAGGGTTCGTCCCACCAAGAGCTTCCAAGCACTCGAATATATCTTTTGTTTCTATAGTGTCATCTTCACGGTTCTTTCGCTTCTTAGAAGTCTGCGGAGGTCCTAGCTGAAGTAGTAATTCTTTCGCATATCCTGCAGCTACTAGCGCAGCGTAGTGCTGCCACGCTTTGTTCTTGTGGCTATCTGAATAGTCGCAGATGCCCCGGATTATTAAGGATGGAATCTGATCCATAACGCCAGCTGCTTCCATTTCAAAGCATAGGATGTTTCTCTCTTCACTGAGGCGGCTACGGGTAGCCCCATGTTTCATGACCTGGTTGGCAGACGCGATAAGGCCGTAGTGAATTTCAGGTTGGTTTGACGAGCGGGGAGGTCTTTCTACAACCATATCCAGATCACAATGATAACAGGTTTCATCACCTGAAAAATGTTCGTAGGACTCTTTGAAAAGCCTGTCGCAGTGACTTTCGGGGGATGGGCGAGAGAACATTTTTGAGTCAACTGAGCCGCTGTTCAGCACCCTTGAGACAAATTCTTCTATTTCTTTGCCAGGCGGCGGGTATGCCGATTTGAACTTTGTGATTGCCGAAAGAAATATATCCGGCGGTTTGTTTAACACGCCTGTCTGCTCGAATTTCCCAGTGTTCACAAGCTTCCCATAGTCGTATTGCAATACACCCCCACAACCCGGGATGGGGTGGCTTACGACAACATCTCCCAAACGGATATCGTTCTTTGGTAAAATCGGGGCGCCTCCCCCGATTCCAACAACCAAGCAATATTTTACCGACGGAAAGCTTCGTCGCAAATTTGTTGCAACCCTTGCTGCAGACGTCAGTCCGTAGACTCCAGAGGGTAAACCCGCAACAATAACATTTTGCTGACCCACTTGACCGAACCTGTACGCGTTGGTGTCGTTTTCATCGTGGGGAAGGTCCGGGTGGACCGCATCGAGGACTGCGACAGCAGCTGTAAATTCCAGAGGTAGTGCGCAAATCCATCCAATTCTATAGTCGCTCGGGTCACGCTGTTCCATCGTCGATAAGACCAAGATACTCGGTTATGTAATAGGTTTTGGATTGTGCTGTAGTGGACCGTGTCTGTCATACGAGACTACGTTGAATCTCAAGCGGGATTCTTGCCGGTATGCCCGTTGTTGTCAAGTTAGAGACTATATTATTGGCCGCATATCGTATTCACGAGTAGCAAACTGTGCAGCCGCGCATCTCTGTCGCCAAAATATCTCGTATTGGATATCGATACCGTGAGGACACCGCATTCGAAGGCTCAAAGGACTATAAGGTTTCCATTATTCAAACCCATCATGGGCGGTGGTACGTGCAGCCGAGAGCTCTAGATACGGATAGCTAGGAGAACCGACCGTAACTTAAAGCTATAAAGACGATATATCGATAGCATTTTGAATCTAATTTGGACAGCCTCATGTAACCCAAAAATATACCACATTCTCAACACATTAACGCTGAAGATTATGTCCACATATAGCGTACTTGTTGGGAGTTGGGTGCATCTGGGCTCGGCGCTGTATTGAAAGTCGACTATCAAATAATACCTATGTCGTTGAATTAATCCCATTTCAGTGTTACACATACCTTGGATTCTATTTTCTCGTCGCCAGATCCTCAACTATGGGATTCTATCATCTCCATTACAACCACCTTGCGAAAAAAAGACACCGAACCTACTACCATCTCCCACGTTTTAGTGAGACCTAAAACTTCACGCCCACACGATCAACCACTATTCAAGCCATGGAACTCTACAAATCCTTTCTTCTCTTCTGCTTCCTAGCCCTCGTAGCCCTCCAGCAGCCGGTCACTGCTCTTCCAATCCCTCGACCTCGACTAGCTGCGCCTGCTCCAAAATTAGAGCTCCCACAGAGATGTCCTATTCACGGCAGCAGTGAACTCTATGGACTTGGAGTTCGTCTCGGCCTCTACCTTCAATGGCTTTCAACCATGCTCCTTCGTTACCGTAGGAGCTGGGGACGTAAAAGCACCGTACGCGGCATAACAAACCTTACCTGCGTCTCTCTGTTCGTAAGCCTTGTCACAAACCTCGCCAATGGTACTAGCCTATCGATCGACCACCTCATTGTGTACTACCTCACAGTCGTCATGTTCTACGCGGAATCATACACCTGGGATCGAATATTTTCTGAAGAAAATGTTTACGTTTCCGCCGTTGACAGAGCACGGCTCTATCGTGAGCACGGTTGTAAGAGTATACTGGTGCCCGGCGACCTCGGAATCGAAGAGGAGAAGGAGATGGGACTACGTTTGAGGGCAGACTTTCCCCTCGTCTTTCAGAACGGTCTGTCGGTCGCGCAATCGGTATTGGCAACTTGGTTTTGGGTAACCGGCCTCAATTCCATTCCCGGCTTTCCTTGCATGACTCTGGAAGCCGCCGCCATCCTAGGGGTATTTCCCCTTCGCGCCTACCATTGGCAACGATTTGCAACATTTGCTGCCGTTGCATCCTCGGCTATCTTCTCGCTCCTCCTCTACATCCACGTACAAGATATAGTACGTGGATACAAAAGCACCCCGGCGGCAACAGTCGTTACGCTGCGAATCGGAGAGCATAGGGGCTCGATAAACCCTACGCGATTCTCCATTCTAAAGGCCGTATTCCGGCCAGAACCTCCCAAGCCCAACGCTTCTGCCGCCTACGACCTCAATTGGGCATTTAGGTCGCTGTACCAATCCGCCCACTACTTACTGGTTTACTTCAGCGGGCCATTGGTGGCCCTGCTGTCCGTCGAACGGATGATTGCCAACAATGGCATCATAACAACACCGATTCTGGCCAGTACGGCCCAAATACTAATTCTCTCAAGTGGACTGCTCGCCGTTATGATAACGGCGTGGGACGTTCTAGCGCAAAAGTTGCGCTATGAACATGGAACGAATGTCCTAAAGGGAAGGGCCACGGCATGTGGCCCTCCCTTCCCTGTATTACAGATGCAGGGCGTGTAGCCCTGCACATATCTCCATGTACATACATACATCTAAGCCTAGAGGGTAGGCGGATTTAAATGCAACTTTTAATATCGACATACTTCATACATTTTGTAGAACTCATTTAAATCCATACTCTCTACCTATCTAAGCTAAGGGTTATCGTAAAACGCCTTTACAATATTTCATAAGCATAGATAGTAGTCATAGTTCATATCCCTGCCTCTACACCTACTTTTAGTGCGACATAAATTCCCTTGGCTATCCATTCAGTCATAGTATAAATCAACCTCAGAACCAATTAACTGTGCAAGCTTTTTTAATCACCATGTAAACCGCGATCCCAGGTGGTACCAACGAGACCAGATCCTAGCCTTGAGGCCAAGCCATCAAATGATAGCCAAACACAATGCTGCCTCAACATGTGTTGTAGACGTGGTATTCCCATCTTTATTAATCGTCTGTGGTCTCGTTGGTACCAGATAACACGAAGTACACATCGTCTGAAGATTTTCTTAACCAGAACGGGATAATTTCCTATTACGGTAAGTTTATATTGTCAAACATCCTCAAGCTCAAACTCCAACAGTTCAGCATACAGTATGCGTTGGCATGGCTCAGAGACACAAGTCACCAGTTTCATAAGCTTAAGACCGACCACACCTATTATTTGTTGGTTGTTATACCAATCTATCTACCATCGACCATCTGCCCCTCGTCGTAAGATTATTCATCACCACAAAATCGGAAGACACTATCGAAAAATGCTAGGTCCACGCCTTGTAAATCCCACTCGTTACCGAGATCCAAGCTAGGGACAAACCATTGTGCGTCCGTAAACGTAGAGCCATCAGAATTAAAGCCTGGCTGGCGAGAGTCGGACAGAAAATTATCCCCAAGTACTTGGTTTTGTTCGTAATTTGTCAGTAAGACCTCAGATTGGGGTGGGTCAAAGTTGGAAATTGCTGTCGGCGGCAACGCCGTGTCAGACCTAGAGATTCTATCTCTCTCAATCTTAATTGTACCTAGATATGGGATGTATATTCTCAAAACTGTTCCACCGTCACTGATCTTTCCGTTGTAGTCTATCTCTTCCCCATCGTTAGTATAGGAAGAATTGGTAGTATAACTGCCGCCAGAGGCAGCATCGGCCTCGATATAGAGTAGGTGACGGGTGATACTGGCAATCTTTGTAGCAGCTATATCATTTCGAGTTCGAGCTACATCCGTCATATTCTCAAGTACTTGCTCAAGCATACCGCGATCGCTGGGCCGTTGGTGGGTCAAAAAGCTAAGGAGTGCACCTCCGCCATCAAGCTGCGTCGTTCTTTGGTGGTGGGAATTGATATGTGCTAGACACAGCGCGGTACTGGCAGTGAAGGCGAGGAAATCGAGGCCACGACAAAAAGACCCAACAGTCCGAGAACCTTGAAACGGCACAAAACGTGATAGTAACTCCCGGCTGGCAATAATAGCTGTAATTCTGCTATAGTCGTATTTAGGATCCGTAGATGAATGGAGGAGATATGGAAGATGAAGACGCTCTAGTAGATGGTAGTGTGTAGTCTGATTTATTAGCCGGATCGTATCTTGAATAGCATCCTTGTCGTCAATAGCCCTCGACGTAAGATCCGGCGCTAGCCACCATTTTGGCGGCATCAAAGCTGCAGCGTCTTGTAGCAATTTGTCGATTTCTTGGGTCACCTTTAAATCCTGCATATCAGCAGAGTTTCGCTGTATTATTCGTCCGGCAGCTAAGCAATCAATCCGTTCCATGCGCTCCATAGGAGTTCGACCCTCCAAAGCCGCAGGGGTAGCAAAATTGGTGTCCGCCGTTCCTTGTGGCAACCCCAACATCAATGAGAGGTATCGGTCGGATTGAAGAAGCCGAAACCACATTTGTTGCGGGTCAATGCATACACGGGTCTCTGGATCGATGAACTTCAACAATGGCGAGTTGTTGCATTCCGCTTTGTCGAGACCAATCATTTGAGCAAGCACTAATGCGCGGCGCATAGATAGATATGCACGACGAAGATTTCCCTCGCTATATTGAAACATGCTCTCTATCATTATGCTCTCAATACCTTCCACTGATACGACAAGGTCCTCGTTGCTAGTTACTAGCCGAACCGCGGTTTCAACAGCTCGATGCATGATATCGTGATGAGAAATACTCAACCCCGTGAGCTGCTGGACTGTTTTGGGAGCGAACCCTTGTAGATACGCGGCCACCTTGATGAGTTTCCGGGCAATTAAGACCGGGTGAGTTTTTTGTGATGGGGGTCGAAGTATGTCTTCTGGAGAAGGCTTTTGAAACCCGACGACGCCGGAGTACGGCGTACAAACCACACCGCAGAACCCTGTGCTTCCAACAATAGCACCTAATAAAAAATTCCGGTCGTTTGAACAAGGCCAAGCCTCCAGAAGAGCCTGAGAGATTTTAGCGTATTTATCTCCTGATCGTTGTTCCCCATGAATATCGAGAGTGTCGGATATCAAAGTAGACCAACGGCAGCGCCCGGCGTCCGGGAGTTCAGAAGCTGTAATCAAACCCTCAGAGTAGGGAGATGTACTTGAGTGCTGGTAATCTGCTTGGGCTTCCAGGGATACACCTGGAGCGGTTGCCCCTAGTGAAGTTTCCTGCAGGATGGGATTTCTGGAATCGTTGATTAATTGTCCAACAAGCTCCTCGACTACGCCAATTCTATCACCAAGTTGTCTTCGATTATCCCCAGGACCTTCAGGGAATTCCTGGCCGATGTAGGAGCTTCCCCGGCGTTTACAGCCGTCGCAGGTATTGATAGTCGGTATTGAAAATGTACATTTGATCTTTTTCCGCTTGCACTCCCAACAGCTCCGTGTGCCCTTACGGGTTCTTCGTCTTCTTTCCATAGCTTCTTAGACTGCACAGGCGTCTTAGTAAATCCGTAGCCGGGTTTCCGTTCCTGTCCGTGGGCTTGAGAATGGTGCGGGCGAAAATTTCCGTATCCGATGAAGAAAAGCCGAAGGCTGGGAAGTTCAGACTGCGCAATGGTATTACCTAAGTAGTTATGATTGTGATAATCGTGTCGGATGAAAGGCTACGTACCTTTGTCGAGACCAGGTCTTTTGCTCCGCCGCGTTCGGCGGAAGTAGAACAACACAACTTCGCCATACAAACCATTCAACCAGTGCAATAACACTGCAGTACCGCTAGAAACCCGGGGCCGACCTACATTGGACTGTCCTATCGTTAATACTACACTAGCCAGGTCACAAGATTTTGGATGTCTTGCCCCCAGGCCGGGTCTGGGTACGGGACAATACTTCTTGCTAAAATACTCTTCTTGGCTGTATATTTTTTTGTTCAACTAAAAGAATTGCATTAATCGCTATATTATTATCTACTTCAAACATGCAGTAGGTATACATATATGAATTACGCTTTACTACTATAGATTCTGAACGCCAATCCGAAACTTCAAAGTACTTGCGCGCTGCGCATGCGCATATGCTTAGCGAATTTAATGTCCTGAAATTAGAGTTCGTAAAGCCATGCAATGGAACTATTATATTGAAACACTTGTGGCCAGCTAGCCGGCGTCTAGGAACGAGACTAACTTATGCATATGCTTTAGTTAGCATAATACCTTATTTCAGTATTTTAACGATGCAAACTTTGTTGGGACTACGTTGCTAAATTCTAGCTAAATCGTGTTTACACATATATACTGAAAGTTGAGATAGAACCCGAATCCAACGAATAATATACATTAAACAAATTGATACCTATCCATGTTTATTTAGCTATACATAAACTTCACGTTCCTCTAATCTCTAAGCCTTGCCAACCCACACGCCAGCTAGGAACTCCTCAGCACGAGTTATTTTGTATTCGGGTAAAAGACGCTTCCACGCATCGTTAACCCTATACGCCCCATTATTAATAGCCAATAATATGCCCGAGAAAAAAACCTTAGATACTGGTTCGACTTGATCGGCCGGGAGGGATGGGTGGTTGATTTTAGGTATCCAGGTGCTTTTCACATCCCCAGCTTTGATGTCATCCTCTTTCAATTTCTCGACAGCGAATGGGCCTGTTCATTATACCAAGTTAGGAACTTTTCGATCGATTAGGAGATATATTCTATTGAAAGGTCATATTCGGTATGCTTGCCTCGAAGTTTCTCTCCAAGAGCAATTAGCTGTCCCACGGTAACTTCATCACCCTTAATTCCACCCACAAGTGGCCAGGTACCTTCATACCCAACAGCTAGAGCCACAATATTGGCGAAGTCTTCGACCGTGATAAGATTGATGGGAGCATCCTCGCTGCCCTCGAGTATGATGGCTCGACGATTGTCGAAGTCGATTTGCAGCGGGTGGGCGAATATGTGCTTCGCGGTTTGGTGTGGCGCGGCAAGATAATTAGTGAAGAGTCCGGGTTGGAAGAGACTGTATTCCAAAACCTATAGTGATAGACCGTTAGTAGTATGCACAAGCACATATTGAGTGGGTACTGGGTGGGTTATGTAATATAACCTGTTTATCCTTATTCAAGTCTTCGAGATACTTGCGGATATTGCCTTTGCCTTCATACCAAAAGAGATAATCAAGACTCGACCTGTAATCAACCATTCAAGTCAACGACAGTAAACAAAACAAAGTGGGTTTCTCGGTACGTCAATCAATATTGCCTATGGCACTTACGTAGCCCACTCACTAGGCGCATATCGCTTCACACCAGCCTTGACCGAGGCATCGATAAGGTTTCTCTGAGAAACACTTCCTGGATCCATATCTGAAAGAATGAAGCAGAGTACCGTATTAACGCCTTGAAGGATCTGTACGAGTTCTTCTACATTCTCGTAGGTTGTTTTAACTTGGGTCACCCCCTGTGGAAGTGGGTTGGAAGGAACATCCTGTTGAGATTTTTGGTCAACAAAAGGAGGTGTGTAGGCAGCGAAGGAATTCGTATACAAGTACGTACCTTCCGGGATAAAATGATGATCTCGTGTTTTCTCGTTGCAACGAGGGCGTCCAAGACCTCTTGAGCGACATCTATCGATATATACCGTAGCAAATTGTTATCAAGTATTCTACTTTAACGTCTATCACCTGCGCAAAGGACATACCGCCTGTTCCTCCAGAAATTGCAATTTTGACCATTTTGTAGGAAGGACTTCAAGGATAGCTTAAAGGCAATATTTCTAGGTGAAATCGACTTTGAGTATTAAATTAATAAAGGAGAAGAGTAGTTTGGAATGTAAAAAAAGGTATAATCAAAGCGAGGACACGGGATACTTATAGACCCCAAATTGAAGGTATGCACGGTTTATTTAGAGGAAGCACAAGTTAACAGCCCAGCCACATAAGGTACCATAATCAGCTGCAAGAACACCATATTCATATACCGGTCTGACCACAAGTCCGAAGCTTGTTCCGCCGAAACGCGGACATTTTTCACATAGCTGTTTACCGAGGAAGCGTTGAAGTGTTGTATTTCCGCTTTAGTCCAACCAACCCAATTGGTCCGTGCTTTCTCTTGGCGTCAGGGAGCCAACCGGAACAGGCTCTCCTTTCGCTTTCGCGCCTCAAACCAATTCCAACCCACCTGCAATATCAAAATACAGAAATCTGCGAAATCATCAAAATGACAAGATCCTCTTCCTCCGATACTTCGGAGAAATACGCGGGCTCGCCAGACTACCCAGTCTTCCCGAATCCCATATTCCTCTCCAAATTCGCGTTAGTTAGTTCCGACAAATCCGGCAGAACGAATCTCGACACGGACCTCTACAACAGCTGTATCCTCCCTTACAACCCACTTTCCTACCCAAACAACCAGAAACTAAAAAGTCGAGAAACAATAACCATCACAAACGATGATAACAACAAAGAAGTCCCTGTTCCGAAGGATACGAATCCTAAATCTCCACGTCCTACATATCAACTCGATAGGCCTCCTTGCAAACGCGCCGCGGCAATAAACGCAAATTGCTATTTTCAAAATACAAATGGAACCTTTTCGGGGTTACAACCATATGACAGTGATTTTGAGGTGCAGCAGAAGTGCTTTTGTGAGATTTATCCGTACTTTGATTCGATATTTGGATGTAACGAGTGTTTTCGGTTACATGGTGGGATTGAAGGTAAGTAATTTTTGCCTTAACTACTTTAAAATCATAAAGTAGGTATAAGTTATGGTTTGAGATGTTGAATTCAATGTTTTGGTGTATAGGATATCATTACTTCCCCCAAAGTTACATGGAAGCAGTATCAAGCACATACTGTAACGCAAACCCAATCACGACAGCATTCTACCCCTTCGTATCATCATGGTCGAAAACGAACGAGTTAGCAAAGGTTCCGACGACAACAGCGCCAAATGTTTTGGGCACGCAGACAGAACAGAGTCTTTATTGGACATATGCCGCTGCGATGACCGGCTCTTCGAATCCTAGTTCGGGATGGAAGCCGAAACAGCTCACTTGGATGTCGGCTTTAGCGACAGTAGCGCTTACGGTGGTAACATCTAGTTCAATATGAAATGAAATTATTTATTTTGATCCATATAGAGACAATCCATATAGTTGGATTTTCGGCTTTACTTCGCTTCGGCTATATACGCTATATACTATATACGCATCATTAATCATTATCTGCAACAACGACTGTCGGGAGTACTTCAAAGTCCAAAAGAAAGAGATACAAAGAACCTCGTCGACATCGCTGGAGATCAAAAAACAAATATGCAGGCTAAATGGGTATCAGAAAGGAGAAAAATTCAAAAACAGAGGTATCGAACAGAAATCAAAAAATAGTATTCGGGAATTTCCTCCCAGCAGAAGACCATATCAGGCGTAATCCCGATATCGGGAATAGTCTGTAAAGTCCTCAATGTAAGGCGACGCAGGTCGCTTGATGCTATGTGCTGCGGCAAATGTGTATGTTCCGTTTGAAGCCCCCGAAGGCTTGTTCAGACGGGTAGGTGGTCTGCCCGGCTTCAATTTCAAGTCAGGCTCATATTCATCTGGCCGGGTACTATTCTTTGTACCGTCCCAGCAATACCTCTGCATGCATTTCTTGCATTGCTCAGTAATAGTTCCTCGTCTCTCCATCTCTCTGTGGATGACGGCGCAACCGACACAGGCTGGCCATTCAGGATCGAGCTCTCCGTCGCCTTGTGTTGCAACCATGTAACCGTTGTCGATGAGCATATCTCTTTCGAAGTCCTTATAGGCCATTCTGAAGGTCGAAGTGTTGGAGAATGCGGTATATGGGGCGTTGGGGATGTAGACAACTAGTGGGCTAGGAGTTCTAGAGACCTTTTTGGCGTCGCAACCAAACCATGTCGGACGACTGTTGAGGCCTTTGTTGATGAATGTGTGGATATCTGGGACTTCAGGGAATGAGGTTCCTCTAGCCATGAGACCTCGTTTGAAGCGGTCATACGTAGCAACCATGGAAGTTCCATTTGGCCAGTTTGATGGAAGACCATTGTCGTGTCGGACAACATCGGCGCTGTTGTCGTTGGCGAAGATAACATCAACGCCTCGGTGGGGTACGAGGAGTGGGTTGAATGGGATGTTTTCAAGATCCAAGCCGCCGTCGACCAGAGTCAAGTTTTTGGTTATGGCGGTGGGATTGTGGTCAGGGTTAAAACCATAGAAAGGATTTGGAGCCCAATCTGCAATATCGAATTCGATTTTCGAAAGATATTCCAATGCTCTGATCACAAGATTCTTCAGAAACCCTCCTCCAAAAATGTTGGCGTCATTTCTCTTGATATCAATAAGAACCTGGTTGAACAATGATGACGAAGTTCCCATGACGAAAGCGGCATTATCGAAGCCGTTGATTAACTTCCCGCCTTCTTCTGGTATTCCCTCGTGATAGTCGGAGCCAAGCATTCTAGTCTGAGAGAATGCGTTTACTGTGGGGTCGTGGGAGCCGAATTCGAGTGGATTAATTTCAAAAACTGTGGCGTTAAGGTGGATCAATGTATCACCATCAGCGCGACCATTGGCGAGGAACATTGGGAAAGGCATCTGGAAGTTTCGGAACTTCTTGCAATTCGCAATACTTGAGAGGGTGGTATTTGGACCTCCATCTGGCTTGTCGATGAAGACTCGGGAAAGCATCAAACTCCTATATTCAATTGTATTAGTATTTAAGCCAATGCATCCAAAACCCGAAGGCTACTTACCATATGTCCGTCAGGGTTATATCAAACCCTGCATCGAGCTTCTCTTTGGCTTGTGCTAAGATACTTGGATAGTATTTGTACGACTTCCCCAATGGACTGAAGATCGAATCCTCAAGTTTCCACATCCTCTCCGATTGTTGAATCTCCCCGATAGAGGGGAACTCATTAACCGCCATCGACCCAACCAACCATCCACCTCCACTGAGACCAGACAAATAAGTCGTTCCCTGAAGTAGTCCACCAAGTCCACCAGGCCCCATAGCCTTCGGATTCCTCGAATCGAATGCAGAAATGACGCCAGCACCGTTCAGCATTGCTCTATACCCACCACCTGAAAAGGCCAATCCAACGGTTGGAGTATACCCCTTCATAAAACCCTTATGATCAAACCCTTTCATCCCAACTCTTCCCAAATAATCCGTCAAAGCCGTGTTTACAACCTTCATCCTTCCATTAATCCATGAAGCCTCTTCCTTTGCAAATTTCCCCCCTCTACGAACGGAGACAATATCCGCTGGACTCATAACCTGGAATGGTCCATATCCGGTAGTTGGGCTAAACCCAAAGATGCTCTTGATGCTATCGATGAGATCTCTGGTTTCTAGGTTACGCTTGGTTGGTTGCTTTCCTGTTGTCGTTCGATCTCTTGGAGCCGGAACAGCATGGACAAAGGTTGTAAAGAAGAAGAGGAATGTTGTCAGTGTCACCAGGAGCAAGGACGATGAAGAGGTAACATCACAACCAAGGCGTGACACACGCATGATGACGATGTATGTCTCAAAGAGACGGAATAAAGCGCCGAAATAAAATGAATAGATAGAGGGAGAGAGAAAGTAAGAGAGAAGAGCCCGACGTCAGAAGGGGAGGAAAAGTGGGGTGCCGGGTGGTTTATCCAAAGGGTAGAATTCCTGCCTGCCGCGCGGGAAACGAAAGAAGAATCTGGGGAACCAGCCCGATCTTATGTATCCAGGTCACAGGAAAAGAAAGATACAAAAAAAATCACTTGAGAAGATTATAGTAGGTTGACAAATAACCGTCCATTGTTTCCCAACAAGTGACTTAACAAAAATCAAGAAGTTAGTAAGAGAAAATAGAAAGGGTCGAAGTGGAACCCCCGGGCGATAGAAACCGAAAGAGACATATTGGGGTATAAGAGAGGTTGACGACATATTGAACAATGGAGCCCACTAGGTAGCTCGCTGGGCCTAAGGATAGTTGGTGAGAGGTTCATTTTCACTATACTAGAACAAGGCGGTGCATAAGTTCCCGGTCACACGCGCATGAAAAAGTGAAATTAATGCGAAACAAGGTAGGAGGGTGCTACGCTGCTACGGGCGTTGTGTTGGATTCTGTCGTCTCCGCTGTTAATCCGAATCGGGGAGATTCGCTGGATGAGGAAAGCCAATGCATTCGGTTAGTGAGCTGCGACCAGGATCCAGCATCGAGGATGGCAGCTGTATAACTGCGTGGGTGTCGTTTCGACAACAAAGCTTTGCTAGTGGTTGGATAAACCCGGGTGAGGATTTCGCAGTATGTAACAGTTATTAGAGCTCTGAGGTTCAATTCGAATTGAATACCCAAGATAACGGTTCCTTCGGCAGGGTCTAGTGTCTAGTCTAGAATACTTCAGGCCTCCAAGTTTTCTCTCGTTGAAATTGATATGCAGCGTATATGGCATTGCATACTTTCATATCCGGGTTAATGGAGATAAAATATGCATATGGTGTATAATGCACGGCATATTTGACATATGCATGCAGTTACATGGCAGATGCACCAGTTACCTCCGAGCCGTGCGCGTGCCACCTACGATCGTATACCCATACTTGAACTGATCGATTGTCAGTCATTGTAGGCAGCCTACTTGCTTACCCCAGCACGAATACAACTATCTCACGATTGCATGGCTATGCATGGTCTGTCTTATCAGTCTAGGCGGACGTGGCATCGGAAAGCTGTGAGCCATGGCCATCTCTTGTCACCACCAGAGGTGTAAGAATAAAGACGCATCTATACCCAAATTAGTATCTGACAAGACTGACAAGCCGGGTTGGAGCTAGCTAGCGAGCAATGTGCATCGACGTACCTTTAGCGGAAACCGGAACAGTCTGTGAATTCTGAGGAGGCTGGTAAAGAAGTATTTTGGAATTACTCGCGTGAACTTTTTTAGCTTTCGTAAAAACCTGGTCAGGTAGCCTCGAGATCTTCACTACATGGAAGATCCCCCACTTGGCTCTCGCCTTTCATAAGCCCCTCTAGCTCTCATTGCCCTAGTAACATCGCTAGGTAGCTTCCTGGGGGGCGAGCTCAGTGTATGACCATATGGCCATCTATGGGTGCACGTGGCCAGATGTATCAACAAATCATTACGCAGCCATCGATCATGAAAGAGACAGTGACCACCAGAAGATATCCAGGGACCCCAGCGTCGAGCCATATTTCCCTCCACACGGTGTGTCTTATCTGTTGGCTAGGATGAAATCATACGTGGAGTATTCGACTAGAATGGCAGGTACCCATAATTTGCGATTCTCCCCAACGAGACAATTCGTTTACGGCCCCACAAAGTACTGGCATCAGGGTTTTATTTCATGGCGTGACTATGCTTGAACCCAGGCGGGGTAGTCGAATGCTTGGTATTCTCTTTTTATTTTTCTTTGTTTTTGTAGCGGTGGTATTTTGAAGTTGGGATCCTGGAGAGATTTGTAGGGCCATGATAATTTTCTTGGGGTTGCATCCGGATATCTGGCACCGGAAAAGCTCCCGAGCTAGTGAGCCAGTATGATTAAGTGAGGCTGTTAAATCGAGAAAACTATCATTCTTAGGAACGTCTAAGGAGAACCAGAAAATATGCTCTTTTTTTACTTCATTAGGGCTATATACTTGGGTATAGTAACCATTCCGAAGAACGAAGGAGTTGGAACCGTTTCAACGCCCAGAGATAAGATTATCTCCGAAGAAGAAGGTAGCGAATGGATGGTATACTCCGAAGGACCCACTTTCTGGTAGGCAACTATAATGTTACGATCTAGATTCCGTCTGATCTTCTGTGACGTACACATTTTATTGAACTAGAAGCATCTAGTATCTGGTCGGAAAACGGCGGGTGGAGTTCTTGGTGTTCTTTGGGGTGCGACCATTACTCTGGAAAAAAGAAAATCCAGGCACCAAGTTGACCGAACTCCGAAGTCAAATATATATTTGGCCACTTTTACTAATGGAAAGACACTTTTAAATATTAAATTTTGGATTTTGATTTCGAAGATTTTATCTTCCTGCAATATCTGGAATGTCCAGCAGAAGTGCAGCCAAGATTTGCGAGAGGTGGGAGAAGGGGTTGTTGATTGATCGAGATCCCTTGGGTGGGCGTTTTGTGTTTTGCGTTCGTTTAGACCAGGGGTAAGCGAAGCTAAACCAATCTCTAAAAATTTCCGAAACCTCAAACCGGTTTCTCCTCCTCGCCCTTTATTCTACGCCGTGCGCGTGCAGGGAAGAAGATTCTGTCGGCAAGGTGTTTATGTATGTGGATGTTTGGTGAACATGAACAGGGGAGAGGGATGTCAAGAGAAAATAATTGAGCCGTATTTTCTTTTTCTTTTCGAAGCCTCTATTTCTCATTTTTGCTTCTAGGTTAACGACATGGGTTTGTATGCAACCATAGTATAGAGTACGGTCATACGATCGATCTCCAGGTTTCTATACTTACTTGAGTAGCTGCGATTTTGATTGCCTCGCTTCGATAGCTCTCAGAATAGAGAGAGAAAGAAGGTCCTGAATGTATCTAGCAAACCATTCCGGAATTTTAATATTATCCGTGGTATACTTTGCGGATGCTTAGGAGAATCGGCAGAGGTGGACCTGAGTCATCTTCCCTCGGAAGGGAAAGAATAAATTCTCGTGTTTGCACATTGTCATAACTCAACTGTGGCGAGAATGGTTTTCGCATCGGTTTTGGTTCAGGGTCCCCATTTGCTTCTCGGATCCTTTGGATAATTGAAACTTGAGTCGAAGGTGCTGGTGGCTGCACAGGTGGCAAGACACCGGCAGTCTGCATGTTTACTCCTCCAGGCCAAGGTTGGGCCTTACAAACCATGTACGGGGTCGGAAGCTTCCGTTGAACTTAACTACAGGCTGTTTGCACTAGCCAGTACTATGTCACAACAGATTGTAAGCGTGATGGCGGGAGCTCCAGCTACGGCCGATATAATATAATGCAGGCTGGCGTGGACGTACTGAAAAGCTTCGAAGAAGCGTGAAAGAGTTAGATGACGTTGTCAATTCCGTTTGGTTAGATTCCAAGAGTGGCTGATTTGGGATGTTTGTAAGTTGTTGGTGGATGGGTATCGTGAACTCCGTAGACAGGTTGGTGTTGGTATTTCCCAGACAGTGTGTTGCGGGGCTGGGCTGTGTGGAGGTTTGTGTCGATGTTTGACACTGCCGTCTACGCGCTGAACGCCGACAAGCTATGATCACACAAACTCGACCTCTATTCTATATGGTAACTACCTCCACAACACATTCGTTTTGGTAGCTCTCGAGCTCTCGGCCACCCGTCTAAACCAGACTAGCAGGTACTTAGGTACCTAGGTACCTACTTAGTACTTAATTACTAGCTTAGTGTTATATTCGGATCATTCGGCAAGCGGCTGTGAATTACTATTTTACCTCAGCTATTTCAGTACCATACTAGTCAATCCAAGCCTTTACTAATTAAGGTACCATCTATAGACGGGATGTTTGACTTTCTATCCTGCCTAACTAGAAGTTTTGCTCTAGCTCCAACGTCCAACTGGCGAGCTTCTATATTGGCAATAGGGTACTTTATTCAGCTCAGTCTAACGGTCGGTAGGAGCTGGTCACTGAGGACAAAAATGGGTCACTCGGTTGACTTTGGCTGGTTCTTCGAGACATCGAGAGCTGTTGTTTACCTAGGTATACGGTCAACTTGCCGAATTCACAGAAGCGATAGGCTGGATAACGAGTTCCCTGTTATGGGTTCGATTAAAAAAACGGTTATATACAAAATCCATGAACCAATTCATCAATTGAGCAATTGAGCAGTTTAATTAATCCACCTTCTTCCCGGATGATAACGGAGCCCGCATAATAAATTCAATTTATTAAGAGGCCTCCGGCCGAATGGGATCCATTAGCGCATTAAGACCTCAAGGTTCCTACTCTTATGGATATACAAATCGAAACTGTTCCATAATAAAACATAGAAACAACGGCATTCGGGACAAATGCATTCTGCAAGTCCCCAGGATGTGTTTTTAACCACCAAGGTACAAAGAAAATTATGGGTACCAGATTCACAATAAATGCCCAAATCAATATCTTGAATAGAGCAAATCCTTCAACACTGTATATTCCCCATGCGGACTCTTTCAGTTTTGTGTCAGCATTTGATCCTACCCATTTTGGCATTGCTGTTCGAAGACATTCGTTACAATTTTCTGAGTCTTTAGGAGCCTCGTAGAGTTCCATTATATGTTGACGACTAATCGGTCGTATCATAGGCTTGGGAGGTTCGCGGGTGTCTATTTGGTAATCGCGATCTGCTCTGTCTGGTAGACTTTCAAAGATATTGTCGCAGAGTCCGTCGCTTTTGGAGATGGGCTTGGTGCTATATCGTTTAAACTAGCCGGTAGTAACCCAATTAGCGTTAACGGATCTAAATTATATATTTAACTAGTTGCCCTTCAAGCTTCAGCCTCGCGCTGCACTCACCCGAACCCACTGAATGTCGCAAATAGTGGTAAACGAAAATAATCGACGCCAACCTCGAATGAGATTGTAATTTTCGCGGATACTTTGAAACAGGTCGCTGTCTCTGTGAATACCAAGCATCCTGATTATTTTCATGACTGCTCGGTTGTCTGTGCAGTGAACCACAAAGAATATATCGAACTGGCTGAGGAGAATATTAGGGTTGATTGAAGCGGCCTGGTTCTGGCCTTGACCTTGTAAAGCCACGTTGCTATTTGTGACCCCAATTGGAGAATTTCCAGTTCCATTGCCCCTACTCCCCAAACCTACGGTCCTTGTATTGTCTAGCTTATTTGCATTATTCGTAACGATGCTGGGCGATGGGTCTCCGGCCGAACCTAGCTGGGAAGCCTGACCCCGTTTTTGCATGGAGGGACAAGAGCCAGCTTCGGTTCGACCGAATCCAGAGAAACCGGAGCTATATCCACTGGTCTCATTCCCACGTAGTTGGGTCGAATTATTGGTAGCGTTCTCCTCCGTCTCTAATATCAACGGAGTGCGCTTAATTTTATCCTGTTTGGACAGAATGTCGAGCAATGGTAACAGAGAGTTTGGAATATCTATGGATAATTCTTTCCTGTGGTGCTGAGCCAGGCCTCGGATAGATTAGTATGGATAAAATGGATTTAAGAAGTTCAATCTGAAAAGATATCAGCAGCTCTATAGAAACTCACACAGTCGAACCATAGCCTGCTGAAACCATCCTTACATCTCCTTTGCGGTTGGGACAACGGCCAGAAAGATATGGGTTGTCGAAGTTTGTCCTCGAGAAATACTTTCCAGTCATTCAAATGAAAAGGGAATACTGTATCGATATCGGGGGGACCTTTTGGCCGCCTGCGAAGTTTGTGAACTAGATCCAGAGAGCCGTTCCATAAAAGAGTTCTGCTTATTCTCCTCCTAACTTGCTCAAACATGAGACGGCCTATAAAGGCTTTGAGATTCTCGACGCCGAGATTGTCGGGGTTGAGATGACTCCATAGCGAACTATTAAAGTAATCTCTCTCCAATGCGTAGCCCTCCTGAATAGTGGCCCCTTCCTCAGTTTCTTCTGTGGTTCGGTTTCTCACAACGAACCAGCCATGGTGGGATCTCCTAACCCTGTACGAGGATATCTCGGTTCGTTGGAAATTGCTAGTTTTGAGTTAAAAAAATTTGTATATATTCTTGATATTCGTATCTCACTTCGGGTCAGAGCATACCTGAGCCCCGATATATTACCAAGTCCAACACGTCCCTTGATGGCCCCTATGGTGCGGGTTCGTTCTGGATCGACCTCTAAGGCCGTATTGGACACTTCTTCTATTTCTGAGTCTTTCTGTCCTTCAACGATCATCAGTAGAATAGCATGGGGGTTGGTTAGATACCTGTAAGATAGGGTTGATTTAACATCTAGATCTTTCGGAAATATGCATGTATGGAGATAGTCTATAAAAGTAGTAGCCCAGTCAGCAAATCAATCAAAACGGGGTTAATCTGAGTACTAAAGGAGGGTAGAGAGCTTGAAAATGGAACCTACTGTGGATCCCAGGATCGAAGTCGAAGATAGAGAGGTTCGGGAGACGGCGACCGGATATTTCAATTTTCAGAACATGGGGCGAGTACAAATCGCCTATCGCCAACCATTCAAACATAGAATGAGGGTACTGCTGGCTATCTTTACGTGACTGCTCCATGAAAACTGCTGCCTGTGCAAGCCGATAGTAAGTTAAGTTGAAGATAAATATGCATACCTTTCTTTTATTGTAATGCATATGACGACAGACTGTTACCTGATTGTAAATATCTGAAAATCCTTTAGGCCCTAGTTCCTTTCCCGTCAACGAAATTTTGAACGTTGAGAGTTTATCTTTGAACTCTTTGGAAATCGGCCCGGTATTGGGAACGATGGACGCGTTGAGATGCCGGTCGTCGTCTGTCCGCCGGAGAAGAATTTCCGTATTGAAGTGAACATTGTAGATGGTTACTCTAGATGAGGTCATCATAAATTTTAACCCGGTAAGGCTTTTGAGTAGTTCCGATTTTGCCCTCGCATCACTACAAATTATGACTAGCTATTTTTTTTTTTGTTAAATACTATAGATTGCGGTAATATCCTTTGTAGCGTTGGTGATATTGTATTACCCGTGATTCAAACTCATCTTTATTTATGCCAAATTGACTACATTGTTCGACAAGGTCGCAAGGTCCGTTCCACTCCTTCGAATCTAAAACCTCAAGGTCGATGGCGGACATAGTCCTCTGTCCTCGTTAATCACTGTGGCAGAATATATAACTTAGGCACACAAGCTCACAGTTGAAGAGTCCGGCGACGAGACGAGCTCAAACTGCGAGTTGTTTATGTCCGATAATGTTGCAAATCAAAAAGTGGGGTCGCATGAACTGATACGTACGTACCTACTAGACATAGGTCTTTAGAATTTTGGTACTTTAATGTTCCGATGCTTTCGTTCTACTTTGATCGTCTAGCCCAGTGCTAACCAGGGATCTCCAGACGCTCATTAGCTTAGGTGTAACAGGTAGGATCCAACATTGCGCGCTTGTATTCTCGGAAGGATATTGGGAAAACATCGCCAAGACGTTTGGATCCGGCGGTGAATGGCGGCTGATGTCGTCGTCCGTTGGCTCCTAGTTAGAATCACGGGAGCTATTCTAATCAATTACTTTTATATACATTTTGGCAATCTCGTATCAAAAATTCCAGACGCTAGCCTCCCAAACAAAAAAAAAAAGATTATGTCACACATTGAATGCTCAATGAAATAAAACAGTATGCAAAATATCTACAGTAACTCCTTTAAGGTTTTTCGCTAGACGTAATAGATTCATTCGTTATTCCCTTTGTTTTCCAAGGATGGCAATATTTTTGTGGCAAGTTTGTACCCGTCAAGCAACCTTCTTTGGAACCTTTGGTACTCGTTTCGACTGATATCCGTGTTATTGGTCCGTCGACACCAGCCTCTTTCTTTGATAACCCTTGCGAGTCCTTCCTTATCATCGGCAAACGGCCAGAATACGTGAAACGCCTTGCAGACCATTTTTGGAAGTTTGTCGCTTGGAAAATGAGGTATTTCCGGTGGTATCAGATCATCTGAAGTTTTTTTTTTGCTTGTCCACGTGGTCTAGGACTCTTTTCGTGGGGGTACAAGATTTGAACGGGGAAAGTGCTTGATGATCAAACCCTGTTCTGGCACGGATATGGGTGTTTAAAGAAGGACGACTATTGTTCCACTAAGGATAGCTTTGGATTCAATGTATTTGTAATTTATTTGTTGAGGCTTGAATTGCTGGAGTTATATTGGGTATCGTGGGGTATTTTGAGATCAAGAGAAATTATTGGTAGTATGTAAGACTTTGGAAGGCGAACATCGGGTAAGACGGCCTAGAATATTGGCATCCGACGCCGATTTATAATACGGAAGAGCCAGCCCAGGTCTGTTTGCGTCTGATTACTGACTTCCGAGAGAACCAGAGGCAGACGACTCGTTATTGGAATCCTGTGCAACACGCACAGCTGTTTGCTGTCGTCCTTGGCCTTGAACGTTCGCAGTGTCGGTCAAGCGGACCTTGTATCCAAAGTACGAGGAAACCCACTTTCTCTTCCTCCCTTTCTTCGTATGTTGATCCTGAATAAACCGTTCCCAGAGGCGGAAGTAGATTTGGTCGGTTGGGTGGTTTAACCAGAGCTCAAATCTTCCGTGGGGATAGACGTGAGCTTTACAGGGCATCCTGACAGCAGGCCGGGGGGAAGTATGTACTCTCGAAGACGGAAGGAAAAGAGAAGGGAGGGGACGGAGTGTATGCGATGTGTGTATATATAAAACCCTCTACGAACGATATCGTCCGGAGAAACGTTACGTCGTTGGTTGGTTGGATGTAAGGGAAAAAAAGGGTGGCAAGTTAAGCAGCACCTACGACGAGGAGGTTGTTTTGAAGTGGATGCAATGTCAGGCCTGCTCCACCTTATAACGACCTAAGCTTCTTTGAGGCCAAGCTCAAATGGCGACATCAACAACACATCTTGGGTATGTCTCGGCGACGCAGTAGATTCTGACACCATCGCGGTCTGGCGGGTTATTGATAACGGTCCGAGAGGTTATTTGATGGAGGGTGAGTCGTATTTGCATGTGGAGATATGTGTGTGAGTGTGCGAGAGAAAAAAGGTATGGGAGTTTTTAGGTACGGCACAAAGTGGCTGGGCCATTTCGCTTTCACACATTATGCATGTTATCTGAGACTAATATTCAAAGGGGAAATACACTGCATTGGAACGCGAAGGAGGTTAAGGCTGGTGCAAGGGTAGCCCGGGAATAGTACGCATGATATCTCTATTCTATCGTGAAACTATGTATCCCCGGACTGTATTATTTTTATATAATACTTAGTTGGGGAAAACCGACAATTCGAACGATGAGCTTCAATGCAATGAGGTCTATGCATGGCCGGTATGGAAGTATATATACTTCTTACAAGTACATTACGTTGGTAGTCGCTTCAAAAGAAAGAATTATAAACTAACTAAGAACGGAGAGGGACATCATTGGCTGACCAATCCCTGGCCTTATGCAGGAACTTGCGAAATTTACCCCGCAAATGCCGCCATGATTGCTTGTTCGGTAACAGTACCGACAGCTGATTCCACAACAATCTCCCCAAGCCCGCTGCCCGTTAATCCAACCTGCTGGATGATGGCCAAAGCGGATGTGAGAACGGCTGTTTCGAAAGCCGGGCCATATCTCTGACAGTCTTCACCGTTGATCGTGAACACCCCTTGCTTTGTCAATTCGACCCTTTCGTTCACAAATATGGCAATCGCCCTATTCGTGTCCATATCGAGTAGTTTTAATGCCCGTCTTGAAATACTATGCTTCCCGTGGGGGTCTAAATCTAGGTCTTTGGTATACACCCAAATCATATTCTTGCTGGGACCCACACCATTCGGTAGGGTCCATGTCCATTTAAAGTCTTTCTTTTCCGATTTATTTTCGACAAGGTGTTCTTCTGGGCCTTGACCCACTCGGAAACGGAACTCCCTTTTTGTGTCATTGGTGCTAATATTGGCGACCACTGGCCCTTTCTTATCTCTGCCTGCCCGAATCCTGACGAAACGATCCCGTGATCTTTTGTCGGTATCTATGAAATAAATTGGATTGTCGTGCATATCTGTTAATCGTTTATTGAGGTGCAAGCTGTAGGTATAGTTGAGTATAAATTGTTTCGGTTTGATGGCATTTCGCCCAGATCGACTGAAGAGACCCATCGTGGCGGAAAATAAAATTGAACAAAAGTGTAAGATGGCAATACTCTAATAAAGCTTCTTCTTGTTTTTTTCGTGTAGACTTTTTGGTGGATCCACTCTTTCCGTTTTGTTTCCCCAATAACTTCAAATCCAGGCATTCTCCCTTAATTTATATTTTCATAGACAGTAAGTAGTTAGACATTTTTTATCTAGCATTAAAATAAACTACTACTAGAAAAGCTTGTTTTCTACTAAAAGCTTCAAATTAAAATAGCATATTTTTGCCACGGGGCTGTTCGAAGAGGCAGTCAAACTGCCGACGTTAGTGACGACTGAGATCGACAGTGCATTCAAAGGTAGCCATGAGATGTTCGCTAACGCATGCTTTAATCGTGGACCCTGATTCGTGGCAATACTATATTGATAGCCTCGGAAATAAATTCAGTTCCTATACGAGTATCCAAAATCTAGGCTAGGTAGCAAGGTAGCCCCGAGCTAACATGGCTTTGCGAGGCGTTTTCGTGCGGAAAATGGGAGGCTTTTGGATGGCAATTGCGCAAACGATTATTTTTCAGCCGGGTGCTACATGTTGAAACGCACCGACTCCTTGCTTCTGCAGGTTGTGTTTGCAGTGGTGTCATTTCGGAATTTCGATTCGGTTTTGAAGAGTATCGTGATAGTAAGAGTATTACTCCTCGGTCGATTTTCTGGAATTCCAAGATTTCGATTTGAAGTATACAAGTCGACCCGAAGAATGTAAAGAATCATGGGAATATCGAGATACAAGAGAATGTATTTGGTTTTGGTGAGGTACCCCGACAGTTTAAATCCTCCCCCCTTTTGAGGCCCCATCTCAGTCTCCTCTTTAATTCTTTGGATTCTGATTCGCGCAGTCGCTCATTTCCTGATCACATCATCGACAGGTCGATCTGTGCAACAATGGCGTCATTTGGTAGCATCCCTAAAACAATTATCCAACAAAATCAACACCTCGATAATTGAATGCCCGTTTGACGATGTGTTGGTCGGCTCAAGCATAGGTCACAGCGGTATGCGAGTGCCCGTAACACAATCACTCTAGCTCAACGGGCTCGCGCTTGACGACCACTGATTTTGCTTGTTAGACGGGTCAAAGACAACCAAACCTACAAAGAAGAGTGCCTTCGCTTAAAAAAATCTATTGATGATGGTTTCAAGCTCAATCACACACTGCCACATCACACGCACCGGCGTTCCACAAACGCAATCTCGTGGTGGCACAACGAATATCTCTAACAAAATTCGTTGTCTTGTAACACAAACTCGGCACACCACAGTCTCAGACGTCTCGCAACAATGGGATATTGCCTTTTTGTTTTTGGCAAACTCGCGTACTTGTTATCTCGTAAATCAGAATTACTGCTGCTGCGAAGCAGTAGCCGTACTTAGGGTCGTAACTATCTAGGTAGACGCATGGTCTAATTTTTTTGAGCATTTAAATCTGGTCTTGATCATGAACAAAGATTTATCAATACGATACGTCGTATTAACACCCTAAACTTCCTAGACATACCGGGGGTCAAAATCCTGCCATACTGGATTCAAGAAGAGAGGGAACCAGGACGCCTTAATCGAAAATTCAAGCATCGCCAAGTTGGCCGTTCCTAAAAATGACATCTACATATACTTATGAAAGGTACGAGAGACCAGGGCATATCGATACTACTAGGTGACAAAGTATTCCATAAAGTCAGTATCGCGCTAACAAGGGTCGATAACCCGTTCTAGCTCTCAATATTTCAAATACTCAACCCCGGATGTTGAATTAATCGTCGGACAGGGAGAAGATAAGGTTACTGTCCAAGTTCACGAATCTGTCATTGGCCCTCCTTCAGAATTCTTCAGAGCTGCCCTCAATGTCGGGCTCAAGGAGACAAATGAAAGGAAAATCCACCTTCTTACAATTACATGGGTCGGCATGGAAGAAGTTCTGAACTGGCTATACCGGAGAGAGGTCTGGAGACCGAAACGTCATAAGAGGTTTTCTGCAGAGGCCACGGCAAAATTTGTCGCTATCCTGGATGCAGTCGACTTCCTTCAAATCCCGCAGCTAAAGGATGAATACCAGAAGATGTTGGAAGAATTCATTGCTACAATAGATATAAACTCCCCTTTATTGGAAAGCCAGGAAGAAGGCGGGTGCCTCGCGATCGTACTCCATGAGTTATACAAGATTGGAAGGGAAATTGATGGCAATCGATTTTACTTGTTCATGAAAAATCTCAAAAAGCATGGGTCACGATTCCCTGATAGCATGAACGGATTCCAGGGTTTCCGGGAGGTCACAAATGAGTTGAAGGAGCCCAATACGAGATTTTTGCATGATCTTTGCAAAGCTTATAGTTACTTGTGAGGAGGGTAAACCCTAGCCTCGAATTCAGGGAAACCCGTGGGTTGCTCGTTTCAATCCAAGACCCAATAACTAGTAAATGTAAGCTAGAGGTATGTGAGATTAAGGGTGCCAGATAGACTGCACTAGCCTAGGGGCAATAGAGAACCCGCTTTTTGAATCTCAGTGTCTTGATATCGAATTAAATTTACCTCCAAGACGGGAACGGGACTACTCCAAGACTAAATAATCATCTTAGTGGCTTTGACACATGAGCGTACCAAATTGCAATCAGTATTAATATTGCTGTCAAATCTGTTACGAGGAAATAATCCTTCTAGTAACAAGTATATTCAACTATTCACCCATTCTGCGTGATTAGTGATAGGTTCTATGTATAGCAATGAAAACAGTGGGTATCTAGGAGAATCTTCCGCGAGATATGGCAAGGTGGGGTTGAGTGGGGACAAGATACCTGTTTACGGTTTTCTCAGGATCCTAGGAGTTTGTGGCCTTTAGGAGATGCTCTGCTCCTATGCTATCCCGCCTAGGTAGGTACTTAATCACAAGGCAGGCAGATGCTCAAACTCAGAGCAGCGTCATAATGCCATCTTCAATGTCTTTTTAAACGGTAGATGTGGTATAATCGCTAGCTAAGTTAGATAGATACCAAAGACAGGTGTTTTCTCGTAATGTCTGCGATCATGTCTGTGATCTAGAACCAGATTTTGTAACCATCTGCCCCTGCAACTCACCAATCGAATCCCTCCATCAACCCTAGTCTTCTGTTGCGACACACCAACCTTATCCTCACAACCAAAACACCTACTGAATAACATCAAATATCCTAGAAGCATTGCCAAAATGGAAGGCTTCCTAGAGTCTGGAAAATACTCTGACTTCACGGTCATATGTGGTCCGAAGGAGTGGAAGGTCCATCGAGCCATCATCTGTCCTCAGTCCGAGTACTTTTCGACAGTCTGCGACAGTAGCTTCAAGGTTAGAATATCCTATCTTGCCCCATATTTGAGTACGAGAAGGGTATCCTAGATGGAATTTCCGGGAGCTAGCTAACTAACGATCGAAACTTCTGGATTATTAGGAAGCAAAAAATGCCGAAATTGACTTGTCAAATGAGCTTCCTCTCGATATCGAGACAATGCTCAAATTCTTGTACACTGGAGACTACACAGTTGTCCAGACGGAAGAAGATCTACCAATTAACAATCTGGACGGCGATGCTATATCAGCACTATCCTCATTAAAAATGGCCGGCGGGGGAGATGCCGGTTGGGTGGATCCGGAAGACCAGCTATTCCCAAGTAGCTCGGAACTCTCCACGACGCAACTCAACGCGGTTACGTCCGAAGATATCCATCGGCAGCATCGCCATATTGTCATGTACGCCCTTGGAGACCAGTACATGATCGAGAAGCTCAAGGCTTATGCAGCCAAGAAGTTTCAAGATAACATGCCAGATAAATGGGTACCCGCTCATTGGCAACTGTTAGATGACATCGAAGCGAGGACTTTGCCAACAGACCAGGCCCTCAGAGCTCCCATAATGGATTTGTGGCTCAAGGACGGACTCCAGCTTTTTGGAAGCGAAGAGTTTCGCGAGAATATTTCTCGATTTCCGGCAATGGAACTTGAATTCCTCCGTCAACACGCTACGAATATCTCCGCTGAAGTTTCGGCCCTTCAAGGTATGTTGAGAATCCGCGTGATAGACCTCGAGGATCGAGAAACCACTTTAAGAGAGCTCAATACTCGAAGAGATACCGTCAAGGGCTCCCTAAGAGATATGGCTTCATCTCTCAATAAGTCGACAAAATGCCGTCACTGCGGCGAACGGTTTGGTGGCCTTTTGGAGGAACAGTCAGCAGCAAACAACCACCATGTGTGGTATCTAATGAGATGCAGGGTCTGCCGGACAAAGCATCCACCAGGAGGCGTTGGGTTTGGGTTTTAAAGATGGATATGGTAACATCGATATTAGTGTTATAGCAAAGCTCCCTTTTATCTCCATATTTGTGGAAATGCCTAACTTTGGTATCGGCAAGCCGCTACGCCCGCGACTTTCGCCTTAGATATGCCGATCTTTCCAATAATCCATATCTTAATATAAAGCTTCTGTACTTAGCACAAAAACGATCAATCAAATTTATTAACATTAACTGGATTACTATGCGGACCAAAGGCGTGCTAATCATTTCAATATTTTGATGTAATGGCTAGGCACATAATTTCAGACCAAGAGTGTATTTTGTAGTATAATCTAGTTATAATACATTCTTAGATGCCACGAGGTTGTTCTAGAAGAAATGTTATGCGGATACATAAAAGGCTGCTCCTTATGGAGCTTCTGGCTATGGAATGGGCCATGACGACAATTATTGATAGAGAGTATAATTAAATTAATAATTTCTCGATTACTATTCAGCGGGCCGGAAGGAGTTGAGATTGCGGAGCTGGCGCAAGATTATGATGTTTGAATTCTCGAACCCTCCCAATCTTGAACTATAAGTTTATGGGAAAGGGTGTACCCTAGCAAGAATAGAGTTGCGAGTTGTCGAAACTGTGATAGCGTGAATACAGGGTATACTGAAGATGTTTGCCCGGGGATCGGCTCGAAATGGAGCTGGAAAGAAGGATAGTAGTCCCATGTTGATTTTATTTAACATTGGGCCCGTTTCTCGTTTGTAAGGCATTCTGACGAGAAAGTTCTGCGAACTCTAACCGTGGATGTGCTCGTTGCAATGGGCGTCTCTCGCTAGCTTCCCGAAGTACTCTTTTCCTTCGCATTAGAAAGTCCCATATCGATGATGGCGTGTCGTCTTCAACTGTTTCGGACGGTAGTAGGCTTGACTTGCATGGCATGTTTTATTGTGATAGCCGATAACTTGGCAAATGGATATTAAATGGCGGTTTCACAAATTTTCCGAAGAAAAGAAGAGGAAAAAGGAGGGTCGAGAAATAAAGGAGATAAAAATATATAAAAAAATATGAATTATCGTAGTTCCCAAAGTGCCATTCGGTGGTGGTAAGATCTTCGTTCCCTGAGTTTAACCGCAGCCGATGTGAGTTGGCGCTGCCCACAAAAGTCGCGAGTTACTCTTCGGTTTCGCATCAACCAATCCCAAATCTCGCGCGGGGTCTCGTCTGTTGCAACTTCCGGGGGGGAAAGCGTTGCCTTGCAGGGCATCTGGTGACTGCCGCCCTTCAAAGCAAAGCCGGCCAATCCGGATATTATACTCGTAATTTCAGGGAACAGAAAGGGTTTCTGGCGTTTCTAGCTGTGAAAGCCGCCTTCGTTCGAGCTCTATCCTTGCTTCTTCTAATTCTTCTTGCTGGTCTTCCCACCGATTCATCCGCGTTTCGTAACCGATGCTTTCGAATACCCCAGCGCCCCACGGATTGAATGATTGCGGGCGCAATTCGGATTCGTCGCGGACCTCCTTTCGTTTTCGCAATAACCAGTCCCAGATTTCTCGTGGAGTGTCGTCTCTGGCTATTTCAACGGGTGGAATGGTTGCTTTGCAAGGCATCGCAGGCGATTTTGAAGGTTTAAGGAAGCGGGGTAGCATATTCTAGCAAGAAGGTTTCGCATGGGGACTCTCGAAAGGGGAAAACGCGTTGTTAGTTCGTCGGCGGCCTCGGACCTTTTGAAAGTGTCACAATGCAATGGAATGTCATCTGGAATAAGTATGTAGGCCAGTCCCATGGAGTCTGGGGTGGCTCGATGCTCTGTGCATGCAGTACTTACATATGTAACTACATAATTCAAGTATGTACTGTACATGTACATGTATGTAAGTATGCACGGGGGCTGCATAATCCTGTATGGTACAGGTACGTATATCTCTTTGGAAAATGATACATTTTTGAGTACAGTTGGCGGACAGATGGATCCTGCGGTCGATGACGAGTAGGACAGTCGAAAGTAAATGCATTGTATAACGTACAACTATGTATTATAATAGGAAAGCCCTTCGATGAAGCAAACATGTATACGTCTCCATCTCAACTCTGGAAGATTCTTCGTGAACTTTCGAACATAGCCATCCATGTCGTATAGAGTGAAATCTCTTCGCCTTTCGTCAACGGCGGTTCGAAGCCAGGCTTTGCACGAAAGCGCTGTGTTCGCATGAGGGAATCCCAAGGGTTCTGTGGTTGAAAAAACGGGAGGTGAAGAATTAGCTTTGCAGGGTATCTCTCGTATTCGCTTTTCAAGGCTGAGTGGGTGATGGAACTTGCCGGTCCCCTTATCGTGAACCAGGCTTCGTATATTAGATAGGGTAGTTATGGGGAAAGGGTAATGTCTCTAACAGTGATCCAATGTAGGATCAATCTATCTTTGATTCGGACGGATGGTGTCTCAATTGGCCGTACTGGATCCTTCCGCTTTCGTCGTCGTCTTATTCGTTGGAACAAAGTAAATGCGGCCCGCAGGGAATTGTTAGACCGATGATCTAACTACATCGACAATTATCAAAACTAGTGCGGGGCGGCAGGCGCCGGCCTCGAGCGTGAGCGCGAACCCCCTATATAATTTTCCAGCTGTCTTGATTTCGGATCGTCAGCTGGAGTGCCTTGTTTTCCCGCCGTTTTTGACCCTGATTCTGTCGATTAAAGGCGTCCCGGTCGGCATGATCATGTCCTCCAATTCCATCATGTTTTCTTGCCGCATTCGCCTGCCCCGAATATAGAACAGCAGATATTCAACCTTGCGCGTCAACTGAACTTTTGAAAGACCATTAGGGTAATTCGATATCCCGTCCATATCAAGGAAATTCAGGATAATTGAGGTATCGTCTTTGCAAGGCATTTTGGCGAGATTGTTGACAGTGAAGTTGTGAAGGTAGGTATGGCAGCGATCGATCGGGTGTTCAGGCAGGGTTTAATTAGTGTGAGTTTGCAAGATTAGGAAATGTTGGTTGAGCACATGCGGAACAACATCTAGCGATGAGAAAAAGGAACTTGTACTGCATATACAGACATTGATAAGCCAACCAAAATAACCCTAAAAGAGTCAATTTATCGTTTCTAGCTGTGTGAAACAGAATTATGGGCAGGTAAATACATTTCGGCCATGTGTTCATACTCGATCCGGTGACAATTATTGTATGATCATGTATTTCGTGTAATTTTGCAGTAAAGAATATATATGCGAAACACACAAGGAGATTCGTGGTAAAGGGAAGACTGACGCTATAGAATATTTGAAGCGCACTTGAGGCTTCATGCAAAATATAGAAGAATGCAGGAACAAGTATAAAAAAGCATTTGAATCTGATGCTGGTAATTTTATCGCTAGAACGCCAATCAGAGCAACAATCAATCCCCAAATCTAAGTCCTGCCGGACGCGGTCGTTTTATACATGTGTGCTTTATAAACGGATGTCAAGTTGTATCTGATGACGTTTCAATTGTAGTTTAAGCCGCTGAATAATCCTATACCATCCCGAGTCGACGCATTATCTGTTTGCTGAAGGCTAGGAGGATGATCGTTGCGACAGTTAGTGGTACCGCAAACGCCCAGTAAATCCAGAACTTATCTGAAAGTGACCAGCCCTCGTCACCACCCGCACCGTCGGCGCCACCAGCGCTCGTGCCGTTGTCTCCTCCATTGTTGAAGAAGCTCATACTGAAGATTGCCTGAAGTAAAGGTTATTCATTAGCAAAATACCTCTACCGATAGGTAGCTGGAAACTATAACATACCGAAACAAACGTGGCTGGCAAGAAAGCTGCTGTTAGTGCAGCAATGACCTTCATGGCGGCGGAGTCGATAGCGGCAACGTGACTGTGATATTGCGCGACGGTATTGAATGCCTGTAGCCCCTCGTTAGACGTTTCCGTCTTTGTAGGTCCTGACTGTTCGTTAAGAAACGTACTAATTGTATTTCGTTCTGATGACGAGCTTGCATGGACTCGGAGCGGCATTTGAATGCATGTATCATTCCATAGTAGAACATGAGGTTATCCCCAACCTGTCTCATGCAAACCTTTTCTTCTTCTGGTATATTTCCCAAACAATTCAAGCGTTCTTTGTGTCTTAGTATAATCTGCTCTAAAAGCTGAGTGGATACTTGAAGAGTTTCGGTGCTGTGAATAACGTGTCTAGCAGCTTCATGGAGATGGTCGTAGTCAACTTCTGGTTTGCGTGCTTTCGGTCGGGTCTGTAACGAGGCTCCGATGTTATTAGAAAGGCCTGAATTGATTCTCTCTATGGAACCTGCCTTTTCCACTGTTCTAACAACATCCCGTATTCTCCAAATAGACTTGTCATACAGATTAACAATACCTCGGATGGCAACTTGGTGAAATGCATATGGGTCGACGATGAAGTGGTCAGGAGATGCCGTCTCCAGAGATTTCCTCATGCCTTTAACAAGATCATCAGGACAGTCTAAGCACAGCATACATTTACGGCCAGACTTTTTCCAGGTAGTAAAGAATCCTAGTTTATCCCAACTATAATCATAATCTTGGGGGAAATCTTTCCCAGGCTTTTCGAATAGCTGCTTCACCAGGAATCGGAACCAGGTATCTAAGTGAAGCGAGAGTAAGATCTTAGCGCCTATTAAACTCCTTCGAGAAGCAAAAGTATGAATAATTATATAAGCTTACAGCCCAAACTTACCGTGTCGGTCTATATCCTCATCACGACCATCGCTACAACCATAATAACCGTTTGATTCCCAGTGAACCTTAGTCCATATATCATTAGGCATACTATAGAAACCCTCAAGCATATAGTGAAGGGATGTTGACTCCGGTTGGTTGCCCTTCAAGATTTTAGAATCTACAAATCTGATCTCATTAGGTAAGTTGTAGACTTAAACTTTGTAGATCGACAGCATTATATAATTACTGCATGGATGCATTGGCATACATGAAGGAAGGTGTGGTCGACACTGAGTAAATTCGGCCAAGTCTAGGTTAGCCACACATATTATCTTTCGGCTCCGAGCCCAAGAATGGATGAGATTTTGAGAATTGCTGCAACAAAAAGGGTTGTACGTACTTGAGCGAAGATAGCTTTCAAGGTCCTCATCTTTAGCTGCCCATCCATCCTTTCCTGTAAAATCCCCTTCTATCAGAAATATACTCAAGATATTATGTAGCAGATAGTTTTATTCCGTACGTTGTTCGTAGATTTTGGCCTTGATGGACATTTTGTTGCATAAAACGCGTTGTGACTTCAAATTCCTTCGGAGTTCCCCTATTCCTAGCTCAAACGTCGAGGCCACTTGAGCCCCAGCCCCCCAAGAGCTTTTGTCGACCAACCGCGGGGCCTAATCGCGGGCCGATGCGAACCTTTTTATAGGGTTATTGATAACTACCTTGACCTATAGCTGCAAGAACGGAAAGAAAGGAATGGAATGGATGCCGATTACGACGGTGACGAGGCTTATATTCAAACCGCGACATGCACAGGCTGACAACGTTGACCCGATTCAATTGCCATTAGAAATCCAGAAGCCTTGGGCTAACTGTGGCCATGGACATGGCGCTTCAGGCGACATGGGGCTCGACGAAAATAGCTTTGACCTATTCGTCACACAGAGCGGGTCCTTAGCCGTCCAATCATATGGAACTATTAAAATCGATATCGATATATCAGGACTGCGCGCGCGAGGCTGCCAGTATGTCCGGCGGGGTTCACTAATTCAATTTGTTACATCAATCCGACTCATCTACGAATGATCAGTTTAAAGAATCCTAGTTTTTCAAGCATATGGAAAGCTTCTACCCGGGCGCACACGCACGCCTGTTTAAATTCGAAGGATCTATCGATATCAACAGGATCAATACAACCTTACAAGAAGCCGTGAGTGTTATAGCAACACACGACATCCAACACCCCAACTCCAACTCTATATGATAGTGAAAGCCTCTTCAGAGATAGCGGGCCAGGTATCTTCAAAAATCTTGGAAATCTCTTCAGTCTTAACTACGATCAGCACGGTCTGCAGAGTGTATGTAAGACTATCAATGGCTTCAGCGTCCATCAAGTCTACGGTTTTGCCCTTAAATGGAAGATCCGGCTTCGCGACTCAATGATCCATATAATATTATTACCCCCGTATGAACGACGAAATGGAAGGCCCGCTTCTTTCTAGTTTCAGTATTCTTGGCACCCTTAAGGCCGAATGCTTTGGATTTGACGCTCCTCATGAGCCCAACACGGTTTTTCTTGCTTTTTATAGCCTTCCCAGATGCAGGCTTCTTAGAAGCTTTTGTCGCAGTTTTCACTGCACGAGGCTCTATATGCGGGTGTGTCTGAGTTCGGAATTCCGTATCTAATGGACCGAGATGTATATCATGAGATATCTATTCTCTGAAGGTAAAATATGTATATATAGGCATAAGGGAAATAGGCTTCGGAAAACGTGTCCGTGAAAAGGACGAAATATATAAATAATGATATCGATGTATTGATGTTACCCCGAAGGAGTGACTATAGGCTAGCTAGTAGTTCGGATGAAATGCTGAAGTCAGGAAATTTACAACTGGCTTACGTATTCATCAGTAAATTTATAAAAGCAAGTCTATATACTATAGCGGCGTGTGCAACGTGGAAAGACAAAATTATTTTTCTATCGATTATTCTCCATAGTTTAGCTCTTGATAGCTTGAAAAGAACATTTGAGATCAATAATCATGTTAAAATCAACCAACACTATCTACACCGTTGCAGCCAAGGTGGTCTGCATGATAATATTCACTCCAAAGCCGTAAAACTGAGTCCTATCACCGGTACACCGTATATCTAAACTGCCATATGTCCATAGCTAAGGCAGGAATAAAGTTTTTCACTGAGTTCGGATACTGCCTTAAAAAGGAGGCCTAGTGGAGGATGGATTGACTTTCAGATTACTGAATACGAGTGTTCGAATTCGAGGGTCTAGGAGCTCCTATTCGGAGTATTTCCATATGAAGAAATCACCTAAAATAGATCATACCATGCGCATGCGGCATGCATGCTAGGAGGTAGAGTTTCACAAAATTTCGGAAAAGATCTCGACAAAATACAGTTTTTCATGCCGATGACCATATCGATATCAGGATCCGGGTCTCAAAGCAAGCTTTTCCATGTTCGCTACAATCACAATTACAAGTATACCAGGGTTCCATTTAAATGAACCTCTGGAACATCGCCATGCAAGTTCTACAAAGTTCATCCAGGCTTCCGTTGGTTACTATTGAGGCAGGCTAGGGGATAAACACGCTGTCAATTGATATTGAAGATTGTACCGACGTCATGCATGATATATATCTAGATACCTCGATATCATTTTTAAACGCTATAAGCCGGCCTATATGCATCACCAATTGACAATTAAAGGCTGCAACAAAGATATTTAGCGCTATATCTGACACGCGACGAAGTCCATGCAAGGGAGCAAGAACTTCGCGTAGCCTCATACATGGCCCTACAATGACACTTATGCTTGGATCGTACCAAAATTTAGTTTCACTATGGTCAGAATTGCACTGAAGACGGATTTGCAGACCACGGCAATGGTTTCCTTGACTAACTATACACAGTATTCAGTACCATACCTATCCCATTTTAAGTTATCTCATATCCCAAATTTGCAAACTTGATTACAGGACCGCGATTATTGAACCATCCCTATATTCCCCAACCCAGACGCAGAAATAGTTTAACGCAGCTTTAAGTAGTTCTAGAAGCTGCTCATATTAGCTGTATAAGGCATAATCAACTAGCTTCCCCTTCGTGGCACCTCCAGCCGAATTTCCGCAATGATCGTGAAGATTCTAATCCTGTTCCGAAGGCCAATTGGTAGCCGATCATCATTATAACGGCCTGGCATTCTTAAAGCCCGTACCAAGGCACCCCAGTCGTTCGCAAGGCTGAAATTCTTAACCTGCCGTGCATCAATATCCCACAGCCAGGGCACAGCCTCGCCGTTGAGCAACCTGTCTCTCCAGAACCTAGGGGTGAGCACTATCGATTTACGCACTTTTGAGGAGCACATGCGCAGAGATTGCACCGAATGGATATCCAAATTGTCGCGGAGCCCGTCGTAAACCGTTACTGGCAAGTTTTCAAATTTTGAATGGCCAAAGGTATAGTTTTTTTCTCCCGTGTAGGACTCCGTGATGCCGAACTCCGGGGCGGCTGGCTGTTCGAAGAGAGGTCTAAGTAATGATAATATCGTTGCAGTCCAGCCGGTAGAATCAAGTATGAAGACTGGGTCTGCAGATAACCACTAATTTTTGTGAAAAAAATAATCAAAATGGGATATGGATAGGGAGGCTTTAACAAAATTTTGATACTGGGGAAATACCTCTTTGCCTAACTCAGGTAGCCATGCCGCAGACCATTGACTTCTCGCACCGTGGTACAAATTTGGCCATTCGATGTTTACCAGAATATTTGATTGTCTTCTTTTCGCTTCCCTGAGAGCGTCATAGAGCTGTTGAATGTTGGTAGGTACTCTCAAGTCCCTAGAATACTCGGAATCTAGGTAGGGCTTCCGCCAGTTCATCACTCGAGCGACAATAGCGAGACATGCGCTATGAACTGGTACCCTAAAAGCAGCGCCAACTGCAGGTGCGTGGATATCAGGGCCTTTAAAAACAAAGTAGATGCCACTCGTCATAGATCGCGGGAATTTGATTTTATTTCGTTCCTGCCATTCTGCAAGGATTGAAACTCCTATTTCTTGGGATGGTAGGAAGTCGTAGCTGATCGGTCTGTGCATGTGTTTAATGCGTTTTATTAGATTTAATTAGTATTAAAGATCCAAAATGGATAAATTCGATGCAGCAGCTTCATATCAGACGTACATGACATCGGGTAGCTTTGTGACCACTTGAAAGTGCCCTAACCACTGCATCATATGCATATCATATCGGAGTCAGATATTCTTTATACCGCATACCCGTATATATAGATAGGCGGATTATTCTGAGATTCTAGTGAGTTCTTACCGTAGTTTGGTGCACGTTCAAAACTGCACTGCTGTAGACAAACGGGTGGACTATTCTACCATACTCGGTGCTCGAATACGGCCCTAGATCTGTGATATATAAGCGGAAAGGCTCGCCGCCGATAGGAAGCCCACAAAAGGGACAGTAAAGAAAATTATTATTGTTTATACTGCTAGCCATTCTTCTCTGATTGGGGCTGCAGAAAAAAGACAACAGGTTTGGCGAAATATAAAAGACTCCAGCTCTGAAGCGTTGAGTTCCGTCTAGGTCGACGGCGGTGTAGTATAGATGCTAGGCAACTTTCGAATATTGGGGAGCTAGCTACCTAGTTCAGAGAACTATAATAATGAACCCCTATCCATACCTAAATAGTTTATAGGTCAATATGAATATATATTTCTTGACTAAGTGACCGGCCGTAAATCCTGAAGATGAGGGTTGATCCATTTTAAAGGAATGCAGATATGAATACAGAAGTCAATCAGCATATGCCAAACAGACCTTTGAGATCTAGACCGATCAACTGGCTACACAGCCATATAACAATAAATATCTAGGTAGATATGGACTTGATACAAGATTAAAAGCAAAAGGACTTGTTCTCTTTAAATTTACTCAGTGATATGTAGCGCTTCTAGATGAATAAGACCGGTATCAGTCGTCTACGTTTGTTCATGAAGGTATGACATTGTGAGAATACAGATATAGATATTATAGTACACTTACTAGCTTACAGTACTTGGCCAATACATCGTAGAGCCTAGGTGAGAAGTGAACATATGTATCCAAATGTTAACATATGTTACGTTAATTACGCAGCTGCGCAGTGAAGTTTATATACGTATATTAATTAATAATTAACACAAATTGGCCAATTGCCAACTGGAAGTTAGACTAACGCAAAAACGGGATTTGATTCCTATAGGGATTTCCTTAATATTAATAAGACGTAATTACGGCATCTATTTTATATAACTACCCGCTCCTCCAGCCCCTAGTTGATGGTGGTCCAAATCTAGGGCTACCTGGGTTGTGGTATATTATGCCAGTGACCGAATTGATTGCAATATTAATATTGATACAACCCTAAACATTTAAGCATCTCCCATAATGAACCCGATTGTTTTAACACTAATTATACAACATTTGACAGCAGCCCGAAGATGGACAGCCCGCGATCTGCTATGACACTAACGTTCATCAAACCTCTCCCAGATATACCTATTTCCCCACATCTACACTATGTTCATTTTTCGAGACTTGTAATCTAAATCAACCGATATAGTTAAAGCACGCCAGAAAGGCAGTCCGCAAGTTTATTTCAAATTATGCATGTCGATGTCGGCGTGAAATTTACCTATTAACTTAATTAATTACGATACACATATGCACATCTGAGGATCGCGTTTTCACTACATCCGTTCTATATGCACTGTTACCACTGAAGTTCTTGCGAGGGATAAATAGATATGCTAGTACCGTTTATGAATGATATTATGAAGATATAGATACACGTTATGCAGGAAACTTATTTCTGTCCCTGAAAAGTATTCGTACAAGAAATTCTAATGATTATTTCGTTACCCAGCTCATGCAAGGGACATGCAAATGGATATCTGTGGCAGATATCTTACAACTTGACTCTGCCAGCCTTTATCTCGCTCCAATCGTTATTAGTAAACAATTGATACTTCCCATCTTTCAACCACCAAACCCCACCAGCCTGCCCAGCAGTCTTCTCAGGATCAACACCTTGTTTTCTCAGTCCTCCCTTGACAACCTTGTTATTTCCTGTCCTCTCAACTTCCCCAATGACTCTGATAAACAGAGGTAATGCGTATCTTGGCAGACTCTTCTGGAGGTATGTGAGTAACTCGTCGAAGGTTGCTTGATCTTCTTTCACTTCTGGGTGTAAAACTACACAGGCAACGCCGGCGTTTCCATCAAGGTTGGGAAGTGGGACGCCGAAGACGGCGGAATCAAGAACAACTTTTCTTGGGTGGGAGTTGATGGCATTGGAGACTTCCATCGTGGATACATTCTCTGATTTCCAGCGGTAGGTGTCACCAATCCTGTCGTTCTGTAGAGACATGGGTGTTAGGCACAAGTTGCAATGTGTGAAGAGAGGATAGTTAGGAGGGAACTTACAAAATAGATAAGGCCATCATTAGTAACGGTCAGAACATCACCGGTTCTAAACCAAACATCTCCCTTCTTGAAAACATCTCTGAGCAATTTGCTCATGCTGGCCTTTTCATTCTTATAATACCCTTTGTAGCTCGCAGAAATATCATTCTCATCGAGTTTAAAAATCATCTCTCCTCTCTCACCATTAGGCACCTTCTTGCAGAAGCCAGTGGCTGGGTCCCTCCAGATTTCCTCGGTCTCATAATCAATATCCACAATTGCTGTCTTGCTGCCTTGCATCAGGTTCACCAGTGCACCTGCAACGCCTACGGCACCAATACCCCAGTCACCAGTATTCATATTCCAGGTAGCACTCATACCCTCAGTCGCGGCATAGAACTCTCCAATAGTCTGGATCCCAAATCTGTCCCGGAATTCCTTCCATACGTCGCCTCTAAGTCCGTTTCCGAACGCTTTGGTGACATTGTGGTTCCTGTCATCGGGGCTTGGGGGTGCAGTAAGAAGGTATCGACAGGTTTCTCCAACATATTGGAGAACCGTTGATCCACTGGCGCGAACTTCGGGCCAGAATGTTCGGTTTGAGAATTTCTCGCCGATGCAGGAGGTTGCACCGACTTGAAGGCAAGCCATGATGTTGAAGAGGGCGGCTGAGGAATGGTAAATTGGCATAGCGGTGTAGTATCTGTCCTTGCCCGGGTTAAGTTTGAGCCAGAGAGCGACAAATTTGGAGGCACCGGTGTTCTTCCACCAAGTTACAATAGCTGGTTTTGGTAAGCCAGTAGTTCCACTACAGCATTAAGACTCGTATTAGTGCTCATCTTATATATGTATATACGTCTAGGGAATTTAAGTTGTATGTGGAGAATACGAACCTTGTATATACGAGAGCAGCCATATCTGCTAATTTCGCACCACTCAAAAGCTCATCCTCCGGTCTATCCATTCTCCAATTGGCCACTGTATTCTCCAAAGCCTCATCAAAGATGACGACGTTGACCTCTGGCAGAGCCTCATTGATTTGCTTTTTAACCCCAACCGTCTCCTCAACCCTGTGTCCCACAATCGCAAGTTTCGCAGTGCTGACCTTCACCACGTGCACCAAAGCGTCTCCCGTCAAATTATAGTTATAAAACGCAGGGATACCACCAACAGCCCACAATCCCATCCAGATGAATATCATCTCCGGACAATTCATGAAATCGATGGCAATGATATCCCCTTTTTTAACCCCACACTCATCTCTAAACCAGTTTCCATGACGGATTACAGCTTCGTATCCCTGTTTATAGGAATATTCTTTTCCCTGAAACCATAGCCAAGTTCTCTCTGGGAATTTTTGTGCATGTTCCTCAAGGACGTAAAATGGGTGTAGACGATCTCGTTTCTCGCGAATAGCACATTGGATACGGCAGAAGGCGAGGGAGGATATAAGGTGTAAATCGGTCAAAAGATGGTACTTGGCATCCAGATATCCGGCAATGGCGGGAACGGTAAGAGCGATAGCTATAAGCCATTCATTAGCAACCTAACAATAGAAATACAAATATTCATATTCAAGAATATAGAAAATACCTGCAGCTGCGGCGGCCATTGTGTTGAGTCCTTTGTTGGAGTTTTTCAAGCGTTTTCGTCTTTGGCGTTTATGCGAGGGGTGAATGTAATGCTGGCCAGAAATGGTATGACCAGGCTCCTTGTGACCGGGACGGGATTCGATTCGCGAAACTTTAAAACTATCAGCGAAGGAGGTGCGTCTCTTTTAAAACGTGGGTGAAGATCGGAATGGTTATATCTTGTTCTTGAGATTCTGGACTACAAGCTATAGCTACAACAGAGCTACATAAGGAGGAGAAGAAAGGGAAAGGGAGTACAAAGGAAAAAGGGAAACAAAAGTAGCAGGTGGCCGGTTAGTAAAATAAGGAAACTCAGTGGCTCACCCGAGACCATTTGGGTCTTGGAGACGAGCTAAAGGCATTTCCCCAGCTTTCCTGGCCTGCAATCTGGGGGCCTTTCCGGATTCCGTCCTTAAGATGCATTGCGCCGACCCCGACTTTACCTTCCCCCGCCTTTCACTCAAAGCCACGGCAGTGCGTCTTTTTTTCATGGTCAATTAATTCTGACCGAGTTCGGCAATTGTTACAATCCAAAGGTCTTAAATCTTCAACTGCCATGCCTGAATTGGGGGGTTGCCCCACAGAAACCATCTTTAGAGAGGTCGTCTAGACGGTTGTTTTGGTTGGCGAGGCCTCGGTTCGGCTGAAAACGGGGGGGTGTCTTGTTTTTGGCATCTGAATGATATCACTTCATCCACGTACAATGCGTGTGCACTGTACCACGTGGGGACGAGCTGTTCATTGGATCAAAGCTATTTGGACCCAGTTCCCGGCTTGTTGGATTTAAAGTTAAAATGCCCTTTGTAAGCTTTGTGTCACTAACTATCACCAACAAGTAGGCGGTCGGGGAAGCTGGATTGTACTATTATGGGCATTTGGGTTCCTCAAATTCTCGGATATGGCGTCTTCTCAAGCTGTGAAACTGCAACCACCATAATATTCGAAGTCTGGATTTCCTGGTTCGGATTTGGCTAGAATCTTAATTCCAATACTTATATATATCAGTAGACATGCGCACGCCATTATAATATAAATTTGTCATCCATGAATCCGCGCGATATCCGCAAATGCAAATGTCGTGACCCGATGTTGGAAATGGATTCGTGCTTTGAGTTTAATTATAATTAGGCACTTGGAAGTTAACCTACAAAGGCAGCAAGGACGTTTCCGACTGTACCCATCCAAGTCCTATTAATGCTGATATCTTGCTTTTCGCTGTCCCGCTTGTCGCCTGGATGATATATCTTCTTTTTCTTCATCCGCTCTATATCTTTTCTCGCCCAAAACTCGTCAATGGGGAATCTATATTTTACGCCAGCCGCCTCAGGGTCAAGTTTCATGTCCTCCCCGAAAACCTGCTCGCTCTCGAACGGATGCATAGAATCCATGAATAGCCACTCGTCGTCATCGGGAAGTTTAGGGATGGGCATATCTTGAGGCTGGGTTTCTTCTTTTTCTTCTTCCATGCCCTTTTGCCCTGCCTCTTTCCACCAGTCTCCTTTCATGTATAAGTGCTTTGCCACATGGCCTTTCAAATCACGTTCAGCCAGTTTTCCACGTTTGAACATTTCGACCCCAAACCACCTCCACGCCTTCAATTTCACTCTATCATATTTCACAGCCAGCTCCCATGCGGTTCGCCCATCTTGATCTTCAATATCGACATCAACGCCGCAGCCAACTAGAACCATAAGCATCGTCGCAGAACGGTCCGAGTGCAGCACAATGCAAAACTGTCCACCCATGCGGGTCAATAGCATCGATGTCCGCGCCATTTGCTACCAAATACTCAAAATTTTCCTTCCAGACCTCATGTTTCTTTTGGAACTGCGAAACCCTCGAGTTTGATGATTTTCTTGGCGTGTTATATTTGACAGAACGGCGGATGTTGTTATGAAGGATCGTACGGCCGTAGTCAGTTCGAAGGTTTGGATCGCCGGGTATCTTAGATTCAATAAGGCGACGCATAGAAGCTATATAGCCCGCTCTAGCTGTCGCGTAAAAAGCAGGGTATGCTGATGTTACAGAGGCCGGTATCTTCCCCAGCGGTACCGATTTTGGGACATGTTTCTCCGGCAGAACATCCCTTGCCGCACCATTCTGTAATAAAAAGTCAATAACCACAGGGTTATCATGCCCATATGTACAAGCTGAAACCAACGGCGAGTTTCCAGCGATATCTGCGTCGTCAATTGAGGTCAGACCTGATACAGATGAGTACACAGTCTTCAGCACCTTCTGTGTTGAGCTTGGATCGAGGTTTACATATTGAGTCGTCACCGCGGAATGCATGACAGTTGCTTTGCCGCGGAAAAGATCGGCTCGTGTGTTGATTAGAAGAGAAAATATCTTGAGACAGGTATTGATTTGGTAGGATTTTACGTTGAGGTTGAAGAGTAAATTGAAAAGGGTGCTTCCGCGGTGGTCTTCGGCTTCCGGGTCTGCGCCTAGGTCCAAAAGATATTTACAGGCATCGTAGCGGCGGCACCGAACTGCTTCCTACTTCCGATTAGTCTGGAGTTTTTACGGAATATGTATAAAATGCATCTTACCGCTAACAGTGTTCGCCCACTTGTTTCATGCACAGCATTTAGTAAAAAGGCATTTGCACCCAAAGTATTTCTCAACTTTTCGAATTCTCCTCGCCTTAGGTATTTCAATGCCGGTTCATCGGATTTAAAGATAGCAGGAGTAGTGAATTGTATTCCAAAGCCATCCACCCGCTTTATGAACGCAAATGTCGCAGCTTGATTGTATAACCATGGAGCCGGCGTGAACATCATCTTGTATCGACTAGCAGATCTATCTTTCGAAACTATTATGCTTGAGTTGGCTTCATCTCGTTGATGGTGGGTTGAGAATACCGATATCCGACCAAATGGCGTTTCCCAGGACCAATCTTTTGTTTTCGTGTTATAGACTTCTTGTGGGTTCTGGTCTGTAGCAGAGTAGGCCGGAGGAGGGTCCCTAATGGCCCCCGAAACATCGGCGTAGGCATTCTTAGTCGAAAAGTCACGGTTGAGTGTCTTTTGCATAATCTGCCTCGCCAATGGATCCACAGCATGTATAATTTCTGAGCCCCCAATCGTCGTTAGGGACCCTGAGGATTCAATCCGATCCAGAAGTTGAAGTAATAGCTTTTTTGTTTCTTGCTCTCTCTCTTTATGAGTATCTTCCAACTGCTGCAGTCGTACTTCTATTGCATTAGATGTCCTTTGACTATGGCTTTCCAAATTCTTCAGCGTGTCAGAGTTACTCCTAACAATAGCTTCAATCTCTACTGTATGCGACTCAATTGTCGTTGCAACAGCGTGAGTATCTTTCAAAGCTTGCTTTTGGTATTCTGCGAGTGTTAAAACCTTCAACGAAGTTTTACTATTCCAATTTCACAAAAAGGATGGTCTGTTAGCACAGCTGGAAGACCTCTAAAACCAACGTAATCCAAACTCACTAAGTAAAGCGTACGAGTGTACCGTGTCCAACGCCAACCCCAAGTGCTGTATTGTCCTATCGATAATTTCTAGTAGTTCCTTCGTCTCTTTTTCTCGAAACGGCCAGCCAATTTTTCTAAGTTTTAAGCGGAGTTTGCTTTTTGTATCATCGATATCCAGACTTTTTGGTGTGGGTTTTAAAGCCCGGTCCATAGCAGCACCTTCACTATCTTCTTCCTTCACATCGATCTTTGACACCGGTTCCACCACATCCTTCATAAACGGCCGAACCAGCTTCTCAATCCTTTCAAAGTTCCCTTTACAGTTATTGACACACATCTCGATCACTTCCTTCTCGTGCGAACTAACAGAAGGATCACTCAAGACCGGCGAAAGGTCCGTGAGCATATGCGACAATATATCAGTATTCGTCCGAATCTGAAGAAGTGTTTCAGACGACGTTTTGATAGACGTCGAGAATTGGTGGAGCGACTTGGTGAGGCCTGCAGCCATCCCGATAATGCCTAGCACCCCTGTGGCGATTGAGAAGGGGTCTGCCATCGTGAAGTGTTATCGCGTGCTGTTATGGGTTGAGTAGGAGGCGGTGAAGGTCATGATCTAGATTTGAAAAGAATTTTAAGGATTAATGTTTGAGGTGAGATTTGAGGAGGGGATTGTCGAAAGCGTCATAGCTTCATGGTGTCTCGAGATGCTCTGATCCCTGTAGGACTTGGCGGGCTAGCCCGATATAGTGAATCAACACGGGTGCTTTGTTGCATTTTCGTAGCTGCTCTGCGAATTTATGAAAGCTCAAGAATCAGGTCATCACTGAATTATACAACTCCCTATGTTCCCTGCTTTTAAGACTTCTCTTACAAGATAAGGCTAGAAAGTGATTTTTTTTTTTCAAAAAAAATAAAAAAATATTGGCCTCGGTATGATTCGAACATACTTCTCTCCCACTGAATGGTACAGGGAGCTCACCCCATCGAAACCCACAACCCCTGTTGGCTAGACAGAGGCGCACCGTGGACCATACCCGGAAGCAGGTCACACACGATACGGGGACGCGGAGTCTGTACTCAATAACCTGCGAGTGTTCTACCGATTGAACTACAAGACCTTGTTACGTATTTATAGTTGGTGCAGATCAGACGCTATATAAGTGTCAATTTAAATTGTGTGTTGAGGAAGATTATATTCGAGCTACAAAGAGTAGCTAGTAGCACAGTCTTGTAACTAAGCTGTGCTAAAGTTGGCACTAGTCCCAGGCCCTTCTTCTTTTATGAGTGATTGGGGCTATACTAAGTGTCCAAAAGCTAAGATGAAGAGCATCTCTGGAATGTCACATAACTATACTAAACCAATAAAGATAGTTTAGTATAGTCACAACTAAACCGAGAGCACTACAACCTCCACCAGCCGCGTTCATATTCATTTTTGACATCTCCTCTTCATGTAACTTTCATACACAAATAATATATACTATACGAATGTATCAACATCGTAATCCGTGAGCAACAACCGTGCATGCAACGTACAACGAACCGACATGCAGGAGCCAGGAGTCTATTAGCGGGCCTCGAGGCTAACGAGATCAATGCTTCTAGCACTCAGAGTTCGGGTCTATCGATATATCAGCCACAGAAAATAAAGTGCACCCTGATTTCAAATATCATCTCACATACCAGGACCAGTCATGGCGCCAGCCTCCTCGAATCTCCAAAATACAGCAAGGACCCTGACTATTTGCGTTGTGCGTCGTCACGCCGATCTAGCCCTAAACAATCAATTAACAGAGCGTGCTGAGAATGCAATGTCACGCCTGGACGCCCAAGACAGTCGATATCAAAAATTTCAGTCAATAATAACCCTCATCCAGAGGTCATGTGATTTAAAATGGAAATAAGACTCTTTCAAGGAGCAATCCGCAATTGGATTCGTCTCCATGCACTAAACAAACCTTCATCGATCGAACCCGGCCATCGATATCCTCTTCGATCTTCAGCTTCGATTCTGACGTCGAGAAACTATATACATTTTATATCACAAACCTCTTCCTTCCTACATCCACAATGAATATTAACGGCAAATCAAGCCGTATTACTCTCTCTGTTAGAGATATTCCTCTTCGGAAGCATGACAAAGAGAATCCTCGGGATTTCTCTCAAAGAACACCCAGCGGAACTGTCATAAAGGGCACCCACGATGATCCGTTCCTTCCACCGCTTCCCTATCCGATCCAAACCTATAGAACATGTGTTATGAAAGATTATGAAAAGGTTATCTTTGGAATGACCTGGGCCCCGGATGGTCAAAATGGATTGGATTCTATGAAACGGTACTCCCTTTATTTCTCTCGATATCACGTTGAAATTGGCGTTTAATTGAAAAATCTAATTTCTTTTTTTTTTCCATCCATAAGCATGAACATTCCGTCACCAACAAAATCGACCCCCATGAGGGCAATCTTCTCTGATATTACTTGCGCCTCTCTCATTCGTGAATCAGCTTTCATCAAACATTTCACGGGCCCAATCGATCCGGGTTCTCCTTCCGTTGCCCAAGGAAATGATCTATACATCCCAACTACATATGGTTGGTTCAAGTACAACCAAACTTCTATTTTGCCTTATCAGATCGACAAGGATTATCCGGCCGACTACTTCTATTTCACTCCAGAACTCAAGAGATGTCAAGATAATCAATCATACGAAGATCTTGAAAACTCTTTGCTTCCTCTGCCCATCGTGGTAATTGGAGTCTGTTTACTCCCCATCGTTCTGCCAACGGATCACAACGCTGTCTATACGCAGCAATTTCTCATTGTTGAGGATCCTTTCCCACTTAGCGGCTCTTTGTCGGAGGATATTGACCTTGTTATTGACATCGAAGGATTTGCGACTGGTGCTTTCTGGCCACACCCCTGGGGTTCCCTGCCAGTTGTTGAGAAGGGAAGACATCGAGTTCATCTCAACAGCCGAGGAATGGTCGAAGCAATTGCCATCAGCGTTATGAAGGCATACAACGAAGAGACTCACATTGGAACAGTTGGAACTGCAGTTTGGTTTGGCAGAGGCAGTGTTTTCAACCATGGAACGACTGTCGAGGTCAACTTTCAGGACCAGCAGTATCATATGCTCAACACGAAAGACGATATCCTCCAAATGGTTGCCTTGACCTTTGGGTTGGAGAAAGTTGCAGCAATGTTCACGGAGATGGGTGTTGTCCTCACCGGCGTTAATATGGCTATACCCTCGCAAGAAGTCATTAAGATTGTCACAAAGCTTGGAGCACGGAAAATAATCCCAGCAAAGAACGGGTGGAGCTGGTTGGCAGTTATCGAGTTTCTGAGAAAATTGCGATACACTATTGAAACGGAATTCTTGGATGTATCGAAATGGGGACAGTTGGCAGAGGTCATTGCATTTGCTACTCTTGGAGAGAAGAAGTTGAATAAGGACATGGTTTACAATGCTGTAGAGGTTTGGCATCGTTGTCGATTGGCAGAGAAAAAAGGAATGAAGTGGGCCAACCATGGGCAAGATTCAGGAAAACAGTTGTTGAAGGACCTAGAGGAAATTCCTAGATGGGAGGAGAGCAAGAAGTCAGTCCATGAGGTCCATGAAGCCGATTGGAGACTTAGGGGCTGGCCGACATTTATTGAGATTGGGAAGATGAGAAAGAGGTTGGACGAAGCTGTTCCGAGAATCTGCGAAAACACTGCTTTCTGATCCGAGCGGTGAATCTACGACTATAGCAGACATCTATTCGGTTTAGTTACAACAATAGGAGGATTAATACGCGGTATGTATCTAATACTCAGGGATCAGAGGTACTACGGGATCCAAAATTAGTTCTTCTTTTCATGCAAATGGCATGGAAAATTTTTCATTTTCTTATTGATAACGGTTCCTTGTCCTTCATCGATTCCTTTCTCTTATACCCCCCTCCAATTAACACACAATTCCCTGATCCTCCACTATCCCTGGTTTTCTCATTCTTCTTTTTCTCCCCCTTTAAACAATTTGGACACAGCTTTGTTTCAACATCAGCTGCCGATATCAAAAGTTGCCTCTCAAACGCCGCCTGTAACCCATCATCTGCAAAGACGATGGGATACTGCCGTGAAATCTGTTTATTAGCATTCCCACCCCATTCTTCTAGTATATTAACCTCAAAATCAGATACTTGTTTTAATGGAGGCAATTCCAACAAAGGCTTAATCTCAACTTTTAAGTCGGGGTATAGGGGCAGTTGTAAATGCAGTGGATATATAGGATTGGGAGTAACGAAGCCACCGCCAACAGCACTCGTACCCTTCGTAGGGATCCGAGACGCAAGAACAGTAGGAGTAAAGTAGGTATCCGCAAGCTCTAAAATATCGAATTTGATGGAGTGGTGAAGGCAAGGTGTGTGAATACTGGAGATTATTTTGAGGGGTATCATGTTTTTCTATACTGCAACTCCCTAACTCTAAATTCCTAGCTAATTTCGTTCAGTTTATTATAAGTTGGGGTCAGTTCAGCTATGAGTTAAGATTGATAGGCGTCGGCGATCGATTCATAGGACCCGGTATATCGATGCAACTAAAAAATTCTTGATGGATAATTTGTAGTGATTCCTACATTCCCTTGTTCCTTTCTAATAAAATATTAAATTTTGGAATTTATAGTTCTAAAATTACGCTCGGTGGAGAATAGATCTATAGCGCACAACTTTGCAACTTAAAACAATTATAATTACTACGAGTAGCTAGTACGAGACGTTTCAATATATTTTATTCCATTGCTTCATAGAAGTACTAACATCCCAATCTCGATTACTTATACACTTACCTTCGAATTCGAACCTGCTGATACATTCTTGCTGGTCGCAGATTCGAAGGAAGTGCGTTTCAGTATTCAAGAGCGGTGGGCGAATACTGTTTCAGCACTCAAAACACCCACCTTGAGATCAAAAATCATATAACATGCAGTCGTAAGAAGGAATAAACCCTCCCTAAACAAGAGAGAGAAAACCTGGCCGTAAAAAAAAAATGATTTAAACGCGTGAGGATACATAGAGCAGAATGAAAGGTATGAAATCCCAGCATCAGTACACCCATGCTTAGAAGAAACAGAAAGAAAAAAATGTAGGCAAAAAAGGCGGGGACGAATAAACATCATCTAACCAGGATAATTGGCTGGATTGAAGATATCTTCCTCAGGGGTTGCCTCGTTGTTATAGTGTGGATCATGTTCAGCTTCAGCAATCTCCAACTGTCGCATGAGAGAGTGGAAAGGTTCTTCATAACGAATGGAAAGGAAAGGTGGCCCCCTCATATTCTCCCAGCCAGCATCATGAACCCTGGTGATCGGCGTATTCTCATCGTGTTCAATTCCCTTAACATCGAACGTCCCAACGCGAGCGAGTTCATCGCAGGCAGCTTCGATCGTTTCATAATTGCTGTATTGGATGGTGTAAGGAATATCCTGCGTGGCCATAATAGCTAGCTCCTTTGCTTTCCCATTTTTCTGAGCTTCAACCCACTTCAATCGAGCTGGCCATCCGATGGCTTCGAATTCCTTGAAGAACTTCTTCAAAACGCGAGACCAAAGTTCTTGGAACTCGGGACGGTTGACGCCGCTATTTTGACGAACGGCTTCTAATAGCCCGAGCGCAACAGTATGAGTGAGATGGATGGTGATTCCCTTGACTTTGCGCATGATTCCCCTCAACTCTGTCATAGCTTTCAACTCACGGAAAAGCGTGATGACAGCGATAAGGTCCCCGAGGGGTTCATTCCGCAAGCAAGAGCCACTATCCCAGTACCAATGCTTGCTGACATTAAAGGCACTGTTTTCACTGAAGTAGACACCACATCCGAAGTGTATTTTCTGTGGGGAGTCTTTGGCTCCAGTTGTCTTGGTGCTCTCTTCTGGTGGAGTGTAGTATTGCGATGAGACCCAGACTTGGAGCGATCCCTCTTGAAGAAACAATCCGATGGGACTCTCGTGGAGCATAGGGATGGGCCTGGTACCACCAGCATAAGTAATACCAGCAGCGAAGTCACGAGGTGCGAAGACGGCCATGACGTTTTCTTGAACTCCTTTGTTCCATGGAAATAATTCCTTGACGACAAGAGCTTGGATCCAATGAGTTTTTTTGGCGTCATGTGGGAGGCAGAAGGGAATCATCGTAATGCCGATTGCTTGCATACTCCCTTCTTGGTTGATATTGAAAAGCTGGTTCTTGGTGAACTTCTCAAGAACATAGAGAGGGGAATCTTTGTTGAACCTGACGATTGAGCGAGCATCGTAATCGAGAATTCCCCGCTCAGTGGGGATACTACGACGAGTGGACTTGCCAGTTGGAGCGAAGTACTCTTGGTAGAAAGACTCTTTGATGAGCGAGATATTGAGATCTTCACAGAAGATGGCAAGGAATGGCTTTGGATTGCCAGGGATAGCAACCATCAGCCTAGGGAGAAAATACTAACATTAGTATACATGTCTTTTTTGGTGACCGCCTCGGTGCGTCTGGCTTCGAGACTAATGCATGTCCAACGACACCGAAAAAGAGCAATGCAAGAGAAATGTCTACTTACGGTTCTTGGTCTGCCAAAATGTTCGAAGAGGACTTAGGAGGAGCGAACAAAGAACCAAGCTCAAGATTCAAGTCACTATCATTCATAACATATGGGATTCCCTGCATAACTCGAGCACCAATTTCCGATACCCCAAGGTAAGGACGTGAATGCTTTGAGCAAGATTTGCCCTCACAGCTCTCACACTCCGGGTCTTTATCAGGCATTGGAATTGGACCTAATCGTGGTTGGAGTGGGTACCGCATGGGCTCGGATATGCACCTACGGAATTCAAGCTGGTCCTTTATTTCTTGAGCCATAGCTGCGAATAGAAAGGAAGCAAAAGAGAAAGATTAGGAGAATATTGTTTGAGAGAAGGGATAGTGAAAGGGTTTCAGGGCAGCTACCAATGTGGAGAAGGAGCACTATCAGCTGCTAGCTTGCAGGTCAATGGATGGGATATGGTAGATTGGTGATGGTAGATGAAAAGAGGTTGGTGATGGAGAAGGCAGGAAGGAGCTTCGAGATGGTCTTCAGCCTCAGGAGGTCCTCTTCAAGGTAGCTGGAGCCAATTGGTCTTAGGAACGGTTCTTCCGCTGGAATTGTCGTCCCAGACTACTACGAACGGAGCAGGGCGTGTTGGCTCTGTTGCATCGTTATGGCGCCGAGGGAAGGGCTCGACAACCTCGTCTTCTTTAATTTTATAAGGGAACCGCTTTCAGAAAATATAAAGTACCTACTTTGGTGCATAGGGTATTGGTATGATACATACTACGACACATGGTTTGGTTTGACGAGTTATATACAGTATCACAAAAGCACTTGGGAGGAAGATATCATTATATCGAGAAGGTCATGGTAGAGACAAGTGCAAGGAAGAAGAGTCCAGCCCCAGTGAGCACCGGTTGAAGAGTCTGTGAGCTCCCAGACATTTTCCACTGAGGGAGAGCATCCGCAGATTCGTTATATCCTGTGATTGGCTTGCTGGCACTGACATTGAGTACCCCTCGAAAAGTGACCTCGAAGTCGCCGCTGGCGTTCCAGTATGAGTCCCTCGTAAAGCTCGACCTCCCCTTTATAAACGGCTCCCAGCCAGCGGGTGGGTCGTTGAAGATAATACCGCCGCTCGAATAGCAGGGCCACTCTGGTTGTGCACCGCCAACTAAATTTTGGAACCTCCCATTCGATAAGCTGAAGTTGACGGTATCCGTTCCCACTCCGGTGACATTTGCACTCATATCCGACACATTCGGTTGGAGCCAGACAGTCAAGAGTGCACCACTAGCTGTCTCATTCCGGCCTCTGGGGTAGAATACCGCGCTATCGTATTGAGAGTTCTCGAATTGATAGCCAATCGTGCAGACATCCTCTAGTGGGACCCAATTATTGGTCGCAGACGCTCCATAGTCGCTTAGGGGCGTGTATACGAAGTCCGTACTGAAGTTCACACTTGTGATATTCCCCGTCGAGTTTCGAACTGGGGTGATGTCAGTTATCCAAGATATCTTTCGGCTTGTCGCATGACTTTTGACCGTGCCGTTAGGATATGTGATCTGAAGATCAGGATACCCCAAGCTTGCAAGGCGGAAAACTTCTCGAAGTGGTGCAATATTTCCAGAGTATCCTCGATCCCAAGGTGCAAAGGCCCGAAGTTCCCAGAAGAGAAAATCGAGAATCCCGTTTGCAGTGGTTGCTCCAATATTCATAACCGCATCATAGGTAAACGTATGATACCGGTTGTCTGCGCTGATGCAGTTGGAGGGTTGCGTCGTCTCAGACGAACTTTCCGTGAGACGGTACTTAAAAGTGAGTTTGCCGTCATAATACCCAGAGAATGTCGGGCCGTCATAAATTTCTTTTTGCTGGTTCGCCCGACTATCGAGGCATTTGGTGGTGTCGCTACTGCCACCACCGCCACCGCCAGAAGTATCCCCACCATCCCCTCCGCCGCCTCCATCACTACCACCACCTCCTCGGCGGGCGTCAACAATCGGCGTGAGAAATAGCAGTGTTAGTGGAGCAAATCTTGCCACCCGCATATTTGCAGATTTTAGCGAATAATCCCCCAAATGAAAACTAACCCAGATTTAAGCAAAAAGCGAAAAGCCAAATGCGGTCGCGTGCGCGGAGTCCTAATGTTGGCAAAGCCGTCCGCAACGGCAACGTCGCATCATGCGACTGGTCATGATATGGAAGGGGGAAGCCGAAGACATATTGTGATCGGCCGTTGGTTGTTCATAACGTTAAGCTATTAAGCCCAGTTGTATGGAAATTTAAGGGGCCCGATGTGCGTTTGAGGGTTCAAGTATCTATATTAACTAGCAGCAATATCATCACGCGATCACGCGGGAAACCCTAGTTGTTCCTAAGCGCATATACCATTCGTGCAGGGAGCAGCGGGATCCCAAATATTCGAAATTTGACTAGCACAAATATTGAAACATCTATGCTAGCTAGCGTACTCCCTGAATTATTCATTTAGCTATGTTACAAGACTGATCAATCCTAGCTAGAATTGGACACCGTGGTCGACTATGTAAGTTTGTACAGGTCGGATTCTCATCGTCTAGCGATCCATGATTGTGCGTGGTATGCATTCTTCGTCAATGCTCTCGGTGAGTAGCCATAAGCCGCTTCCCTATTCCTTACTTTCTTATCTGGGAACGTAAGAGAACCGCAACTCTCCGGCCCGTCCACGAATTGAAATCCCATGTCTTCCGTCACAGTCAAGATTTCATCAAGTGTAAGTTGAACCCAAGGCCCGGTCCCATATAACAAAGGACCAAAATTGATCCAATAACCACCTGGTGCAAGTAAAGACGAGATGGTCTCGAAGTAACTCATTAGGTTCCTTGCAGTGTCGATAAAGAAGTGTGTAATGATAACATCAAACTTATCCTTAGAATCTTTGAAAACAGTTGTAAAATCGCCTTCGACCAAGATAACATTTGAGTTGTTCATGGTCATTGAAGGGAATGAAAGTTGATAAAACATGTCATCCTGAGTAACATGATGCGACCAGCCATCCACGAAGGGATAAACTTGAAAGGCATCTCTTTTGCCTTGGGTTCCAATGAACCGGTACATGATATTCATGTATGCCGACACCTCATTGTTTGTGACTTCGAATCCTAGGATAACAGTTAGCTATAGTCAGCGAGCACTGTAGTAATATGCAGAGAATGGAAATTGGAACTACCCCCGAGCGCGGCCACCTCATAACCCAATCTACCCAACCCAGAGCCCGGTAATAAAACTTTATACCTCGAGCTCTGTCGGTCAGGAAATAAACTTTTTATCGAATCCAAAATGCAAGGGAATGCACCATCCCTCTCGTTAACACCATCATCGGTCCAGTCGCGACCGATGTGCTTTAGAGATTGAGAAACACTCATTTTATCGGCTACGATTCCAGCTTTCTCAGCATCCGCGATGTGTTTCCGTAATTCCTCCCGTCCGATCTCGTAGTAACTGAGTGCTTCATTCACAACGTCTTCGCAAAGAAAGTGGTTCTGTCGTAAGAGGCTTTCAGCCCTGTCGAACTTTTTGCTGTATGATACCGTTCGGTCTAATAGCTGCAACGAGGGAGCACAAAGATTAGTATTCATTTTCATCACCGAACAGTTATACAGGCTCAGTTGTCTCCTACCCGCTTATGCTTCGAAGATACGTGGTTGTATAATTGTCGCCATCGATTCACATCAGGAACGTTCCTCTCAAAGTACCGACTATACGAGAACAAAGCATCCAGCAGCTTCTTTCGCGGGTGTTGATCTCCCCATTTTCCGTGGGCACGGGATAGTTCTTTAAGGAGTCGTCTTTTTTCATCCTTCGCTCGTGGGGTGTTCGTGGAATTCAGTTCGTCTACTTGTACTGTTAAATATGTCTGTTGAATCTTGAAAATTTGATCCTATCAAGGTGTTAGTTATACCATTGAAGGGCCAAATTTACAAAACAAAGCTATCATTGATCCTTACAAAGCTTCCACCCCCCTCCAGACTATAATCTTCGTTACCATGTTCTTCGTGGTCCTTGACATCGGATTGTGCAGGTACCTCCGACTCCAAGGAAGCCAGGATGATATTAAAGTTGAGAACCCATAGAAGAAAGAAACAGCGAAGTTTTGAAGTCCAAGTCATTGTCACTGAATCATAAAGAGGATGAGTACACCAAGTAAGAGTAGGAAAGGCAGATCCAAAGCTTTGAAGAGGGAATTTCTGCACCTCTGCTTAGCCTCGCCTGCCCCAGCCCTAGTTTCGCTGAATATTCGATAGTGCATATTTCTCCCATTACCTGTGCAATATCTTGAATCACGACTCCTCCACCTCCATTAGGTTGCATCGCTTCATATCAGAATCAATAACGTAAAGCACGAATAGACACTAATAACAGAATTAATGCAGCCAAGATGCTTGGAATTAGCTCATGATGGGGATTTGTCAAGCTTCCTCTCGTCTTTGGATGTGGTCTGACGGGTATCCCTAGCTCAACAGTTCCGAAGCGCTGCCGGAGAAATCCGATCCGCTGCCCAGAGCCAGTCTCGAAAGCACTTCGAAAAATAATTTTAGCAGAAGCTAGCTAGGCGGAGGAGCTCGCCATGATGTCGACGAGCGAATACGGTGACCGTACGTTACCTTTCTCCGCAGCTCCGTAGAATCATGCAATGCCTCTTTCGAATTTTAATTCTGCTAGCAGGGTTGTTCATCAGCTTCTCGCTAAAGGTCTTTAGACCGCGGCATCGTCAATTGCAACTGCAATCGAGGACAGTCCGACCCCCACGCATGCCAATTTTCACTCATGAATTCTAATTTCTGATAGTTCTACTTGTCACATTTTATCTCGACGGCTGATAGTACATATTATTGCTGCATGTCATGTCGGCGAAATAAATTCCAAATGTGTGAGGATCCGAAGTCAAGCTTGTCTCAAGCTCGGGAGCTAGCATAATTATAAGCACGGTTTATTAAAAAAATATCAGATGCAGTTTCAAAATCTTGGCAGCGCTTCGGAACTGTGCTGGGACAGAGTATTCGAATTAAATGCTGCAGCAAGGTCTTAAGGAGCAAACAGCCAAGCTGGCATGATATGGATGCCTTGATATCCATATATTAGCCGGGTGAATAAATGCTAATAATAACGATGCTTACAGACTGCAACCCATAGTTCGTCAGTGGGCCCTCGCTGATTAAAAATCAACATTTCATGACCGGATAGTCCTTCAAGTCTACAACGTTTAACGACAGCAGCTACTGCTTGTATTTTTTGTCGTCTTAAGTTTATTAATAGTATTTAAATTGCTGCTGTATTGTATCAAATGACCAGCTTACACATTGCCAATATTACAATTGTCTGAAGAAAACAACGAGAATAGAAAGAAAACCTGTGTCTCGTCGAAAGCCGGAATTCCTACACCCGCAAACTCGGTAGAGGAGCTTACAAAATCTCGGCGTGGGTGTCTTGATAGAAAAGTATGTAATAGAAACCTCCAATTAACCTCAGTATATGCGCAGCATATAAAACGAATGCCGTCCTTGTTCGCTTGGCAGCTGTTGCAGGTTTGGGCCTCCGCGCATATGCATATATGCTACATTTCTTCTGAAAAATTTAAAGCCCAATAACCCTCTAACACAATGATTATGGTTCAGGAACCTGTATCACAAGGTATGAAGCACTAGCTAGACTAGGTAAATATGGAGGAGGAGGAGGAGGGGTAAACGTGAGGAGATCCGGAGAAAAGGATGGGGGTGTCGCGCGCGTTCACAATTTCTGAGATTTTGCCAAGGTAATACTGCATGGTCCGAAGTGCTATCTCTCGGCTACGATAACTGGGACCTATATAAGCCTATATTATTTGAACAAAAAAGTATAACAGGAGCTTTGCGAAAGACAATGGGTTCAATAGGGTGTATTATTGGTCTACATGGTAGAAGTACAAACTACGGTTCCTCCGCTTTTCTTATCCATATCCAAAATGGCATATCTATGCAATATTTCGCCTGATGTTCGATATTCCCGCAGGTTAACGTTGACAAATTGATAAACATAAGTCGAAGTGAATGGCCATGCATATGCATCACAATTGCAAGAGGCTGGGCCTAAACCTTCCTTCGAATATTTTAGCGCTTTGAATATATGATAAACCAAGTGCCAAGTTGTATTATCTTCAGAAGTCCTACCGTTAGAGCTCTCATATGATCATGTGTAAGGCATGACTGGCTTCATCTTGGCGGTAATATTATGCAATCTGACTTTGTATTCGGATATTCGTGCTTTGCAAAGGTATATTTCAACCGCTTCCATAGAATGGTTGAAAAGACGAGAACAAGTATCAAAATTCTATTTAAGGGGCGCTGTTTTCCTTTCTGGTGTTTCTTTTCTATATACTCATCCGACAAATTTTCAGAGCGCAATTAATTAAAGCTTTATTAATTTGACCTCAGGATCTATCGTCATCATCGATTTCAAATACCAACTCTTTGCTGAAATTTAAGCAACTTATAAACATTACATATTTGACTTGGAATAATATTTACATCCTTTTACAATGAAGATCTTCCACGTTCTCCTTGCTACCATTATCGCCGGCGTCATCGCTGCCCCTTCCCCTCGGATCTCGAAGAGGACAAATCTCCTTGCCAGACACGAATGCGAAGAGACGCCTACCAACTGTGACTCTCACACTGATCCAGAGAATCCAGAAGAAGAATGTCTTTTCTGCTGCGCTGATGCTGTTGCGCCCTTGGGAGCGGATTGTCACCTTGACGGTGTTGTCTCTTGCGATACGCAAAACGACGGACCCGGTCTTGTATGGCACTGTGATGATCCTCACAGACGCATGCGCAGTTAAACGGGTTCCCTGTGTGAGTCATGAAATGTGGACTCGGTCCTCGAGTGTATGTAAGAGACCTTTCGCCCTTTACCCCGAACTATAGCGCTATGATATAGCTATTGCGCTAACGCTGTAACTATCTGAGATTTACTCGGTCTACAGTACGACAAAATATCCCTAGATACGGCACCGTGGTTTTGAGGAACTAACACGTGCGCAAATTTAAGAAAAGTATGTCTTTTATTTAAATATTCCAACGAGTCTACGCAGGGTATATGCCTCTTTTGGGCTTGATTGTAAGGTCTTCTGGTGGAACACTCTTTTAGTTGGATTTAACCGGACTTGATGGGCAAGTTGCTACTGTATACGAATACACGCAAGTGCTATTTACTAGGAATTATTGCTGGGGACACTCTTTTGTGTATATAAATTTTGCCGAAAACATTCTTTGACAGCCTAATATCTAACCAATTTTCATTTCCGTCCTTCTTGAAGTTCAAGCATCACCTAGATTATATATAAAGTCCGAGGTGGCGTGATACTAGGAGCTCCGGCGACCACTAGCAATGCTGGGGGTGATGATCTCGCATCAATGCACAGACACTCTTGATGAAACCGATTTGGAAGTATTTTGAGGTCAAGTAGGTATATATATATATATATCAAGACAATACACTACGGAATTACGATCAAATGATCAAATGTGTGCTCTCTGAAATTCAGATTTATTCAACCCAATAACTAGATCACCGTTGCCCTTCCCTAAGCCCGGCCTTAAGGCTAAAAGCTTGTGTTTTGCATGTTGTTTTTGTGGTATTTTCTCGCCCGCTCTCCCAGAAACTGAAGGAGAAGCAGCCAGGAATCCCTTGCGAAACTTTATGAGTAGCAGGTGAACGACCCTTAGACTTGGCGCTATTTCAATATGTTAACATGTTAATCCACACTTATAATCCAGTCACCCCACTTTACTACTGGCCGCCCCATAATATATATTAAAAAGGCCTAAGAAAAGAAGTTAATTTTGGAATACGAAGGCCCCGAAACTTAACTTCCATCCCATATATATATTCTAAAGTTGAATTCTGGTTTCTCATCAAATTCCCTGCCCATTTAGATCTTCGGGCTAGAAATTGGGGGCTAGGCTTCAGGTGAACCAGGTTACGGGGCCAACAGAAACCGGGTTTTCGAAATTTCTTGCCTAGAGGTATTCTCTTCTCGGGACAATATAAAATATATTAAATCTAGCTTCGTCGATAGAAAACCTCATTTCTTGATATTATATAATATCCGATTGTATCCATCGGGTTTGTATTAGGCTGTCAACTTCTAAATACTATTATACGATACTTAATATTCTGCACATGCTTAGTAAACCAGTAGAAGGACCTTTATCCTATCAAAAGTTAGATTGCTTCTATCAGCATGAATTCATGCTATATTTGGTATATTATACTATGTATCAAGCTAGATTGTAAGGAACCAGACTGCATTGATCATGATGTCCGCTCCTTCGCTCTGTGGATCGAGTGGTGAGTGAACCCCCAAATACACAGCACACGGACGAACACGAGACCCATACACAGTAGGAACATCTCGGAGATCAAAGCGCCCCAAGCGCTATTGGCTTCACAATTGCAACACCCACAAACCCGCACTCCTTAACAGAATGTTTTATGAATTATGTTTATATAATAGCATCGGATATTGATAAAGGGGTGAAACATGTGAAATGCAAGATTTCCGTGGATATCGACTCAGAATATGGAGAGACAAAGACAAACGTTAATGTCGCGTCGGGGTGTTCCATGGCAATCAACCGGCCTTGGACCACAAACCTGGGGTTGGCGTTATTACCAACAGGAAATACTTTTATTATGATTTCAACAAAGTGGCGCTGAAGGATCAAACTGTGACATCACTTCGACTCCTAGAAGTCGGTCAAAGAACAAACTCTGAAATGATCCTGACTGGCTAGAAACGTCAGAGGTAGGATCACCAACCGCCGCGCCGATAACATGTCACCTCGAGATCATGAATTCAGATGTATGATACAGATGTCATACAGAACCGGCTCTAATCTGCCTATTCGTCCTTCTTTTACAATTCCACGTGGGAACTCAGCGGGCAAGTAAAAGTAAAAGGTATTTTGCCTCATGTCGTTGAAACCTTTGAATTGAGGCTGAAACCCTTCAGCAGTGGAGCCAATCGGCTCGAGAGCGCAGTGACATTGGCGAGAGTGTTCTACGCCAGTTTTCTAGACCTAACCCAAAGCAAAAAAAAATCGCAATATCAATCATGTCATCGACCCTCGAGCTCGTCGCCGCATTATCAATAGTCTTTTTTGAAAATATTTAAACGGCAAAGTTTTTTTTTGTCCTTAGACCAATCTCTCAAAGACAAAGCTGAGCTCATGAGGGGAACTCCGTAATTAGGTCCGAGCCTAGACCATCGGAGCTTTTAGAGATAATGACCCGCCCGTTGCGAACAGCGCGCAGCTGACGAGGGTCTGAGAAACTCTGATGCTTCTCAGGGGAGGCAAACAATAACAAAAATAGTCAACTCGGGTCCGTCGACTGCCAACGCTCCCCTTTTTTGGAAGCATCTGAAGCATCACACGGGCACAGTGCGCCTTCCCTACCCTTGCCGCGACCGCAAAAATCCTGCCCAAACCTTTTGGCAGTGCGCAGGGAACCCAATCTTGTTCACTTGATATCATGCAGGGGCCATTGAAAGATTGCAAAAGGATGGCCAGCACACTTGGGCACTGCGCACTTATGGAAACAGGCAGACCTTCAGCTTCCTTAGCAAAGGGCCTCTATTGCTCGTTAGCTCAGATCGCTCACCAAAAGCCGCTTCAGGCCCAACGTATAGACATATCGAATGGGGAAACAACGGGATGATTGCTTGTGATTCTGTGGTTAGTCTTCTGTTATATTAGCACGGCGTTTTATTGCAATTTCTCGATAGTGTTTAACACTAACCTGATTGTTTAGTGCGGAGGAGGTGACAGTTAGTTAGCGTGCGTAGACCATGATGGCTCGCCAAAGCTCCACAATAGCTCGCCGCTAGGCCTGTTCCTGGACGGTGCATATCCTTGACAAGCGGAACCTGGTTGATATGGCGTGGCCAGTGGCCGCGACGGCGCACAGGCAGCAATTGGCAAAGGCACAATTACTATAGTAAGGACTTCGATTTTTTTTTCTTCAGTCAAGATATTAATCCAGGCCGCCTCATGCTCTCATGCCTTTTACTTCTCCTTACTTTGCATGCGAAGCACTTACATATGCAAGAGGTCACCCCACCCTTACTCTTTCCTTTTTATTTTGTCGTTTTCAATGCTCGCATCAGTTGACATGTTCGATGGTTGATTCTCACTATTGTCGCTGGCTGTGCTTGCCTGTGTAACTTGAACCTGCTTCAGCTGCGGCTCCTCACTTGGCTTACCTTAGTTATCCCACTGCCTTTCGACCCTGCCCTGGCGATTCATCCTTTTTTTGTCTACTATTGCTCCTCTATAACCTTTGATCCTTCCCTCAGGAGCGTCGTAGTACCGATCGCAAGCATATTGGCTTTCTTTTTTACTATACCCAAATTCAATAATTGCCGGTTCCGACGTATTAATAGCGATATCGAGTCAGTGAGATAGATGCTATAGATGGTGGATGAAATAATCCAATTGGAATCTTTCCCAGACCGATCCGGATCCCACCTTTAAAGTTAACGTCGACTCGACTCTAACAACATCTATTAAGTACCGCACAGTAGCTCTGAAGGACGCCTGTGGCCATCTATTCATTACGAAAGACAACCAACATTCAAGATCCAAAGGAGGCACTCGATCCCCCCATTCGGTGGACCGGTTGGGGAACTACATAGCGACGACGACGACTTGAACGACTGGACTATAACGATAACGTACACCAACAGCTAGTACCCCAGAAAACGGTTGTCGAATCCAACAATATAAACGTCGTAGTGGTCATCCTGGCCTTTTTCTTTTGCTTCCTTGGAAGATCCAATAAATCGGACTGCGAAGACCCCAGCCTTGATTTCTTCTTGAAACAAACGACGAGAGGTTTTGGTCATCTTGAAGCCAGGACCCCAGACCAACAACAGCTTCCCAAGCTCCCCTTCATTAGAACAATCCGGGAAAAATAATATTTCACTCAAGTCTGGGGTAGAACTATCGATATCTGGCAAACTCATGAATGACGACTGCCTGGGAAGGTGCAGGCAAATGGCGGCGGTCGAAGAGTCCCAAATCATGGATCCAGCTTTATGACACAAAAGCATCCGCGGGTCGTCTTGCTAAGGGTTTAGCAAGAAGGCTCTGCGACTATCTCACTTTCCTTTTCCTCTATATCTCCAACATTACCTTCCGCCCACATCATAAACGCCAAACTTCTTTTACGACAAGTCTTAAAATTTTCGCGACAATTTTCTTAATATTTAATATACAAGTTTGTCGCAGCGAAGTCATTGATATACTCGTGGGTCTGCGGGACGGGAGTTCACAGCTCGTCTTTACACCTGAAGTTGTATATCAGAAAGTCGGAGAGCAAGTTCGATTTCAATTCTATCCGCAGAACCATTCGGTCGCGCAGTCTTCTCTCGACAGCCCTTGCTCCCCGCTTGGAGGAGAATCATCCACAGCCGGATTTTTCTCGGGTTTCAATTTTGTTAAAAGCGTCGACCAGCAAATTCCGACATTTACTATCAATATCTCTTCTGCAGAACCTATCTATTTTTACTGCGCGCAAGGAAGGCATTGTCAGAGCGGCATGGTGGGAATAATCAACCCGTAAGTCGCACACCCTCCGAATTCCATTTTTTGCGCCAGTTCCCCCCCTGCCCGTCGTACATGCATCTTCGCCTACAATTGCAAATATGGCAGCCGGAAGAATATAGCTCGCCATTGGGACCCCTTTTGTTTTCCCCAGCATTATATGAGCTTAGGCGAATAAAAAAAGGGTTGGGTCGCTATCAAGGAAACTCTGCCTTGGTATATGTACCTGGCATATATTGTTATCCTTTTTGGCTAAAGTTCGAATTGCAACAAGCCCTGCTGACCTTCGGACAATTGTCTGAATTGATTATAGTCCGAACTCTGACACCATCAGTACTTTTAAAGCAACGGCGTCAAAGGTACCTTTTACGCAGGTACCTCTTACCCCGCCTACGCAAGACCTGCCGTCTCCGAAGTTTTCCACAACGGCTGCTGTACTTCCTGGAGCGACCAATGGAGCCGACCCGCAGTATATCCCTAACACCCCTGTCCCAAATTCAGCATCCCAGAGTCCCAGTGGGTTGTCTACAAGTGGGTACATAGCGGTCGCAGGTGTAGGGGTTCTTCTTATCGGTGTCGCAGCAATTGTCGCATGGTGTGTGGTTCTCCGTAAACGTCAACGGAAAGAACGGGCGGAGAGAAGGACAGCCCATCTGGAGCGGGAACGTAGAAGACAGAACCAGCGCCAGCATCAGCACCGGGGCAAGGAAGTTTCCCCCCGATCGGACCGCCATGTGTACCGTAACGTCGACGGGGACGCGCAGATGATTGATTTGGAAGCCCTGCGGGTGGATTCCAGTCCTCAGATAGCATATGCATACAGCTTCACAAGGCCATCCGTGACCTCTGGCCAATCGAGTGGGGGTGGGGGTCTCCAACGCCACTCATCCATGCTTGTGCAACGGCCTATATCACACGTTTCACCAACTACCACCGTTCCAAACAGGCGCTTCTCAGCGAACGTTAATACGATGCCGGTACCTCATAGATCCCGGTCGTCGACCATGTCGTCTTATCAGCATCATCGTTTGTCGATGCCGAATTCGCAGTATTCGCATCATCAGTCCGTAAGAACGTCGTACCAAGCGGCACCTTCAACTTCTCACTCGAGGCATGCGCCATCAAGACGACACTCTACAATGTCAATACCTGTTCAACAAAACAACCGTCAGTCGATCCTACGAAAGCCTAGTCCTAGCAAGCAAGCGCGGTACGAAGAACTACAGAAGGCAAAGGCGGAGAAGAAAAAGGCGGAAAGCAGAAACTCGATCCAACCCACGCCCAGTCCTGTACCTTCGAGTCGGTCAACGCCCTCACCGCACACGATGCCAAAGGGGAAGTGGAAAATCTTCAAGAAATCGACATACCGACGACGTATGGAAGTTAGAGAAATAGATATCCACGACGAAAATCGCCATAAGGGATCTATATCTGGGGCTAGTAGCAAACCAACTCCCAGCATGATTATAAAAGCCGCATCAGAGAGGACGGGTAGTGTTAGCGCCAATGGTGGTGAAGGGTCTGCAGGTGTAAGTATGAGAACCGGGACCGCTACAACAACTGCGGACACTCAAACGAGTGCACGGGGGACAACTAGCCATACGGTTGATAGTAGGGAAATGCGAGGTGGTGGATCGATTGCTTAAGTTCATGTCACTCATTTGGCGTACGGGTTTTGCATAACGGCGTTTGTTCTCCAGAAAAGAAAGTTATATGAGCCGATTCGATCTTTAAATTTTCCTTGTGTTTGATGAGATTTTCTCTTTTATTTCCTAGTTTTGCTTTACAACTTCAAAAGATACCCTCATTAACTTGGTTGGCCAGATTCAGCCTTATGCCTCCTGGGACTTTTTAGTACTATCCCATTATTTATCTAATTCTGTGTATATATAAGAGTCATACCTAATAGTCGTTCACAATAGCCTTTCATTACTATAATTAAGTAGTCAATTGGAATATTTACAATTGTGCTCAGTTAACGTTATAACTTCTAAGTCAACTAGAGAATTCTCCTAAACTCAACATTCTGATACTCGAACCGCTCACGTCCACATTCGGTCGATCATAGATGGTATAACCAGTAGCCCATGAATGACTATGACGGTCTTACACTCGGAGGGTCCGCTGTGAACGATGGCGGCTGCTCCTGCCCCGCTGCCCGTTCAGCCTTTTTCTTTTGGTATTTGGATACCTCGCAAGTACAATAGAACCTGATAGCCTTCTGCGCTTCAGGACTCAGATTACAAAGCCCACTTGTGCATTCCTTCTTCTTCGGTGTGCCAAAGGCCTTGTCAACGAATCTAGAGAATCTCCTTCCCACATGGTAAGAGTAGCTTGGATCGATTAACTTGAAAATGAGCAAATGGAATTCACCATTTGGGATGTCGATTTTTGCTGCCTTTGCTTCTTTCGGTAGCCTATATTAGAACCGTCAGCAGGTTGGAGCTTCGATTAATTTAGCACTTTGGGGCCCTTACGGAGTAAATTCTGGATTTGTTAGCATTTTGGCTAGCTGTAGCCACAACTTTAGATAGCTAGCCCGACAAACTTGGATGGTCTGCCAGTTCCCCTCGCTATCTCTAAAGTATTCCGGGTTTTTCTTTAAAATCGCATATCGAACCAACATCTGACATCCAAGATACTCCGCAGCCGTCTGGAGGTATATGTAAGTATCCTCGGTGAGCCTTAGCTCCACCAATATAACTCTAATAACTGCCAAAATCTTCACCACATTCAAAGCCTGCTCCATGAAATAGTTAATGGGGAGATGAGCACCCCTGGACTTATACTCGTTGAATTGCTTGATCGCGACCTCGCCGCAAAACTTGGCGAGTTGAATGTCGACACTGATGTAATTAAGGTTGACGAGGCCATCATCAGGGTTACGGACTTCGCCAGTACGGACTAGGTCTGTGTATGAGGGCAGTTCCTCTGATTTTTCAAAAGCGGCAGCAATTTGGGCGTCGGATTCTTTGAACGGGGAGACCTTTTCTTCTTTTGGAGCTTCTAGGTCGACGCCACCGCCGCCCTCTATTTCCGTCGGCGGTAGGGCGCTAGATGCTGACGGCCCAGCTTCAGCCTGGGGCGGGACGAATTCATTAAACTTTTGATTGCCCGATGACATGGTGCTAATATCAATATTTTCGTCTAAAGCCTTAAACCTCGAGGACTTTGAATATATTAATAGCTCAATCTTATGGTAAAATGTGTTGTAGATGTTGAAGAATTGAAGCTTCAGAAACCCAGCCCGGAACATGGCTAGCAACCTTTCTACATGCCAGGTCTTTATAACATTTCCAAACCAAGACATCACGAAGCTCAAATATCTTGGCTCTCGCACGACTTAACAGTCATGCTATTCATACTTTCTCTATAACCAAGGCTTAGGGAAAACGAAGGGAAAGTTTAGTTCCGAAGCGAACGCACAATCGATAGCGCCGCTATAACCAGCATCTAGTACCTTTCGGCACACGAATTGAGCGCATCGAAATGGGAAAAACCTGCGTTAAAGTTACCCACATTTCTGCACAGAGATCGCACTTGAGCGACCCCAAGGCTCCCCGCCAAGTGCTGCATTGCCTTCCTTGGAGTGTCTATATATGGGCATCCCAACTAGAGCCGCTAGGCTTCGACTGAAAGACCTGTTGACCGTTCGATCCATCCACGTGGAGACGAATTTCGAATTGTAGATCAGACTACACACTAAACAAGTTCGTTCTTTCGGAATGGCTTTCTTCCCCTCTCGGTTGGCGGTCCGGTTGAAATCGCTGGTATCCGGCTGAACCTGCGGAGGACCGGAGAACTCGGGGTTTGCAACGCTCGAAACTACGGAAAAACCATTCTATCACGGGAATTTCCCAGGTTTTCCATACATTGCAGCAGGTTTTGAGACGCGGGAATGACAAATATCGTGCATCGTACTTACATATGCACCTAATACAGGCCGGTTAACGTCGAGTAGCCTAAATGATGTTCGAATGTAAATGGGCATATGTGGGAACCGTCGAGAGCCTACTGAAGATCGTTCTTTATATTGACTTCGAGTTCATACAGAATACCAAATCAAGTACCTGGATTGCTGGCTACGTTATACGGAGCTAGTGTATCTTTAAGCTAGGCAGGCACGTGGATCTATATATCCATACGTATACATGCAGACTTAGCTAGTGTCGCCTGATCTGATCTTCGATTTGGCCAGAACCCAAACAAAGTCCAATTGAAATCGATGTACATCGCCAGTTAGCCACTAGTATCCAGCAATTGGATGCATTTGTTAAATGTGGCTTTATAGCTCTATGGTATATGTTTTGACTCCTATCTAATTATAATGTAAACTCTCGCCTCAAAACTTGGATACTTATTATAAGCTTTAATTAGCTTAGGAGCAAGCTTGCCACCTGACTAATATTGTCTAATCGGAAGAGGAAAAAAGCGAGATCTTATGAGAAAGTCGAAGATGTCTGTAAACATATTTGTCTGCTTAGCTAAGCTTATAAGGTTTGAGATGCTAGTCTAGCGGCTACCACAAGCAGGAATAACCAGATATACGAGAATCGATCTCGACTAATCAGTCATATGGCCATAGGTATCTAAGCTGCATAATATCAGCAGCTAGTACGTGCAGTAACTTCAGACGCTGAACTGGATTGCGGCGGGAGAGTCAGATTGTAGCCATAGTGGATATCATATATCACAAATGGGACTCAGAATCCGAACGTCGAGGGCTTTAAATTTGACATTTCTGCAGTCCCAAAAATTGCGAGGAACGGAGCGCTCTAGCTATAACCATATACCTCCGTAATTTATCCTTGAGACCTAGCTGTATCGATCGGGAACTTTAAATACATTGATGCTACCAATTGCGATTCCTATCCAGCTCCGGGATAAACGTCCAGGTGGTTAATTTTAAAATTCATTAAATGATAGGTTCAGCCCGTCGATTTTGGAGCCATAGTACTGGGTCATACGGTGGCTAGCCATAGGTGGCCAATGGGCAGGCAAGATACCTGGAATTTAATATTTGCGTCATACCAAGAGAGGTTTAAAGCTAGGAGGTTCGCGAGACATGCATATACCGGTCCTACTTAGATAAGTACTTGGGTACTTAGTACTTACTGACTTAGACAATAATATATGTATGTCGCATGCCATACTGCATGATGCATCGTGTCGGTACGTCGAGCTAGGATTCTAATCTTCTTTCTGATAACAGCTAACATACAGAGTATAACAGAACAGTTATTATTGGGTTTGGAACGGTTGAGATTCTGTGGATGCATGGTGGGCCGTTGGATGCTCCAGAACAAATGGACGCCAAGAAGGAACAACGGCCTGGAATGGAACTTGAACTTCCTTTTTTCGCAATTTTGTAATTGCATATTGACATCTCCACGCTCTCAAATCTGTCGCACAGCACCACCCCAACAACTACGTACAGAGTAGAGCCAACAGGAGTGAGTACAACCCATCTATTCTTTTCTCCCCCCTCGGTAGTTCATTGCACAATTTGAAACGGGGACATACCCCGCTCGGTATATCTTATTCGGGACGGGTTGTGTTACATGGAAGTCGGATGCTTGTTCGAATCTTCTCCCGATTTGATTTACTTCCATGCTTAAGCTTCGGTTCCCACCTTTCGTCTACAGGCCAGTACAGTATTGGCCCGAAATATCCCACTTACGCCTCGTGTTCTCTCGTATTAGAGGCATTTTGGGATATATGAAGGCCCGAGTGCGAAGGTGCGATATGCCGCTTAAAGACTACTTTCCTAGAATGGTAGACGCAATTCTTGCTAATTAATCACCTTAATCTCGACATAGCAAATATACGAAAACAGTCGTATGTTGACAGTCTTGAAAGGGACTAGATGCCATGCTTGAAATGAGCAGTGCAGCGGCATAACGCTATAGCCTTGAGCCTGGTCCGTTCTGTAGCTGTGGCGTGAACACTACTTTTTGCAATCGGGCTAAATTTTTCGCATTTCACGCCAGCTCGGATGGAGCTGCGACACATAAACCCCGGGTTTCCCAGAAGAAAGAAAAAAAATTGCGAAGAGCCTAGGAGCTAAACCCCAGCGGCCACCCGAGGCCTGTCAACTAAAACAATTTCGTCGAGAATTGAATATTAATCCGTGTGATTGATTCACAACTTCAAATACTCCGTGGTATCTGGGGCTTAAAGATTGCGATAGTGTAGAGTTTTAGTCCAACTAAGAACTCCCACGTACGTTGAGGGCCCTTAAAGTTGTTCCTGTCAGAGCTCTTTCGCAGGTGTACACGGCGGCCGTGCACAGTAGTCGAAAATCTGGCAGCCGGGCTTGGATTTTGACCGACATACATATATCAACGGGCTACCAAGGACCGTTTGTCCCCTCAATATTAACTTTTTAGCTTCTTGTCCTCCTCTTCGCTCACCATTTAAGGTTTTGAACCAGTGGTTAGAATCAGACCCAAAACAACTCCTCGAATCCGCTATCCTCCAACTGAACCTAGGGTTCCGGGACTGGGTTAACCGAACTTATCACCATAACCCAGTGACCTCATGAGCATATGAACAAGGTTGCCCCAGGCGATAATTAATAATTCATTCATACATATCTCCTACTCACCCCTCAGAGAAGCACGAGCATGGCAGTTTTGCTCCCATATATGAACTTTACGGACCACGAGGCGTTCAATTGCATCCTTTCCTGCACTATATTGTCTACTGCCGTCTTGATCACCAGCTTAATATCCATCTGTCGCTTGCGATGGCTCAGTAGAGCCCGAGTGTCAGATTTAACACCCCCTGCGACCCCGACAACCACACCCGCTGCAACACAGTGCTTCTTTCGGACCTGGAGGCTTCGAATGGTATCAGTGGAGATGGTTCTTAATTATTTACGGTTCAAATCGAGGGTTTCGCCCATAATACCATCACCAGAGAAGACACTACTTCCCAATCTCTCTCAAAATGAACAGGCGAGCTTAGCCTACCACCCGGATTCGTTACCGGGTGGGAGATGGCTACAAACTCCTACTGGGCGGCTCAGAGTATACGAATTCGGACCCGAGGATGGGAAGAGAGTTTTATTCGTCCACGGCATATCGACACCTAGCATAGTTGCTCGAGACCTGCTTTTGAATCTCGCTGCGAGGGGCTGTCGTGTAATGGTTTTTGGTAGGTCATCCCGGATTACATAGCCTCACCTAAGGTTACTTGTGTTCAGGCCTAACTTTCTTGATTCCTTAGACTTACCAGGAAGAGGTTATTCCGAATGCTGCAAGGTAACGCCTCAGGACATGAGGCTCTACTCTGCTCTCATTGTCATGGTTACAACATCTTCAACGGCTGCGGGTGGTTTCTTACCCTTTAACATTATCGGGTACTCTCTTGGTGGTGGCATTACTGTTTCCTTCGCATCACAGTTCCCGCACTTAGTATCTTCAATCGCAGTTGTTTCGTCAGCTGGTCTTTTACCTTACGCATTTGCACCCTTGGGTATGAAGTGCAGCCTGATCCCCTGGATTCCAGTATGGCTCGCAGACAAACTTCTCACCACAAAGCTTAAGGGAGAGGAGGAATCTCCGGACGACCTCTCACTTGATGAAACTGCTAACACCATCGCACCTACGCAATCCGTAAACGTAGGGCCTGTTGATGTTTTCTCGGTCATTCGCTGGCAGAACCGTCATCAAAAGGGCTTCATGAGCGGGTATGTCAGCAGTATGAGGAACGGACCTATCTTCGACCGTGTTGAGGAGTGGACAGAGGTTGGAAGACTACTTAAGGGTAATCGATTTGCCAATCCACGATGGGATGAGAAGAAGCCCGCCCAAATGCTGGTGGTTTATGGAGAGAAGGATGATTTGACACCTCCGATGCTGCTGGACAGGATCAAGGGGTGTGTTGGAGACGAACATGTCAAGGGAGTTGTTGTAGAAGGGGGTGGACATGAGATTGTGGTTTATCAGTGGGATCGTGTTTTCCAAGAAATAATTGACTTTTGGGAGTTGTAGTTAACTTGTGGAACAATTTCCTTGTCCATGCGGGGATGCATAAGCGCTAACGAGATGGATTACGATCGAATATGCGTTTTATGATTTTACGAATCTTGATTTGCAATTGTTGTGCATACACATACGTTTTTGTATCTACTTTTCTTTGTTTTTGATACCCTAGTACATAGCTCTGGATTTCGAATACTGTTCATTTCATATAGTAGTATAATTTCTTCGAGGTTTTTAACCATCACAAAATTATGATAAATTCGGCTCTGCGGATGTCCCTGAATACTACTATCTCGCCCCTCGGATTGGTTTATTATTAAGAGAGAGCGCAAGCTTAGTTTCTGAATACGTGGCACCAAGTAATCTGGACTAGGGTTTGCCTTTGCATAACAATGATGGAATGGCTCCCATGTGTTATGCTGCTGTACCAATTGTAAACTATGGTTTTTTAATGATCTGGCGTGATTGAGGTTACATATAGTTGATTAATCTAATTTATATGCCTAGACATAATATATAATAAAGTGGGGAGTCGTTTGTTACTCGAGCCTTAAGGCCTTGTGAACGACGGGACTGAACTGTTCGGGCGCTTTTGCATACCTCTCTATATTTAGATCTTTATACGTCTGAAAGTACTTCGACTAAACTCGGCCTCCTTGATGTTTAAGACTTCTTTCAGTTTATACCATAGGCTCCTATTGAAGCGAACACTAGCTGAAGCTGAATACTAAAAAGTGCTTCTAGCTAGCGGGTTTGTACACAATGCCGCTACTGTCTGTATCCAACTGTCTTAATGAAATTAGTTTAAAAGTCATGCTCAATTAAATTTTATTAATTATGCCTAGTAGTCTCATTTTTTATCCGTATTAGGGTAGGGTACTGGGCCTGGGTAAATGTGTATATCAATACATCATGGCCGTGTGGATGTGGCTTAAGGAAGGGTTAGTGTTGTTATTGTTGCATTTCAGCAGTCTTGAGACTTCGCCGCCAGCGTATTTTTGAGACTTGGATATCTCATGTGGCTGGTGTGCAGCTAGCTCCTCCAGTCAGCCCCGATTTGTGGCGTCAGCCAGTGCTAATGAGCTTGCCTTACCAACCCACGAGAATTCACTGTGGTTACGCATCACCACTCTCCTCTATCATCACCATCTATCTACCTCTATCCGAACGCCCTCTTTCACTATCTCCTTCATCCCTATCTTGTTTCTTTGCGTCTGCCCACTATCTTCATATCACTACTTGGCTTCTTCTTCCCTTACCTTTAGAAGCCCCACCTTCAACTCATACGGAAAGGGACGACACGCGAGGTGACGTTCACTTTCTAGTTCTAGAAACACCTCGGACAGCTCCATCACTCTCGTCGCCAGCATCCATCGACAATCATGCTGGGTCCCGTCCACAATGCCGCTGGCTTACTGGGCCTGCTGGAGGAAGATGACATCCATCTCCAGAGCTCTGCGTTGGAGCAGCTTGATATCCTAGTCGACGAGTTCTGGTCCGAGATTGCCGATTCCATATCAAAAATGTACGTGGATAAGAGGATAGAATCATCATCTTCAGCTCTGAGAATAGCTTGGGACGCGTATAAGGATTCTTTTTTGAACGATAACTGATGGATTTTATTGATTACTGGCAGTGAATCCTTATACGAGGACCCGAAGTTCCCACATCGACAGCTTGCCGCGTTGGTGGCGTCTAAGGTTTACTACCATTTAGGAGCCTTCGAGGACTCTATGATGTATGCTTTGGGAGCTGGAGATCTCTTTGATATCTCTGGGAAATCGGAGTTTATCGATACAATAATATGTACGGGCAGATATAAGAATCACTGCTCTCTCTATCCCTAGTTCCGTGCTAATTAATCCCCCGCTTTATATAGCCAAATGCATCGACAAATACATATCTATCAACAACCCTCCTCCTCCTCCGAAAGATCTGCCACCTTCCCTTCCCGAGAAGGCTGATCCGCGGTTAACAGAAGTCGTGGAGCGCATGTTTCAAAAATGCTATGACAAGGAAGACTACAAGCCTGCTCTAGGTATTGCTATCGAAAGTCAACGGCTGGACATTGTTGAGCAAGGGGTTAGACTCGCTGGGGAGAGGCAACGGGGGAGCAAGGCTAAGCAGGCTGCGAATGGCGATGCAGTTGACAAATCCGCAGAGCTTATGGAATTCGTCTTCGAACTTGCAATGAACACTGTTCAGGAAATTGACCTACGGGAGAAGGTAACTTTCCATATATAGGAATTACTATTGCCGTGCGGCTCTAATCGCTTGTTTCCTTCAGCTACTCCGACTTTTGGTCGATTTACACCTCGAACAGCCTTCTCCCGATTATTTCTCAGTTAGCAAGTGCGTCGTCCAGCTAAATGACTATGGTCTAGCCGCCAAACTTCTCCGTGACCTTGTTTCGAAAGGAGACAACGGATCGCTCCTCATCGCCTACCAGATCGCTTTCGATCTTGATTCTTCCGCCACCCAGGAATTCCTTAAACATGTTACTAGCAACCTTCCAGACGGGGAAATCCCGGTTGGGGAGAAGACAGAAACTCCGGAGGATGATGATGATGATATTGTGGAAGAGACGGCGAAGCTATTACCTAGGACTTCATCGGAATTGATATCGAAGGCTGCCGCTGAGATGAACGAGAAGTCTTCGAAGCACTACAAGTCTATCCGCACCATTCTCAAAGGAACCAAAACAATCGAACTCAACCTAGAATTCCTTTTCAGAAACAACCACACCGAGATGTCTATCCTCAACAAGATCAGAGACTGCTTGGAGGCTAGGACCAGCTTGCTTCATAACGCCCTTACTTTTGCTAATGGATTTATGAACGCTGGAACACTCGCAGACGGTTTCCTACGCGCTAATTTGGATTGGTTGGGCAAGGCTGTCAACTGGTCAAAATTCACAGCAACCGCAGCTCTTGGCGTTATCCATCGTGGAAATTTAAGCCAGGGTATGAAGCTCTTGCAGCCTTACCTACCCAACCCATCATCTGGTACGGGTAGCCCATATTCGCAGGGTGGAAGTTTGTATGGTCTCGGCCTTATCTACGCAAATCACGGTGAAGATGTTCTTCCTTACCTCCTATCGCAGTTCAAGGATACACAGGATGAAATCGTTCAGCATGGTGGTGCTCTCGGGCTTGGCGTAGCGGGTATGGCCACTGGTAAAACAGAAATCTATCAGGAATTGAGGACTGTTCTGTGGACGGAATCTGCAATCTCTGGTGAAGCTGTTGGATTAGCTATGGGTCTCATTATGTTGGGCACCGCTAATCCCCAGGCTATCGAGGAGATGAGGTCCTATGCCCATGAAACACAACGTGAGAAGGTGAAGCGAGGTCTTGCTCTTGGTATGGCCTTGGTATACTACAGCAAGCAGGAGCTAGCCGATGAACTCATCGACAACCTCCTCGCTGACATGGATCCCATCCTAAGATATGGTGGTGTCCTAACAATTGCTTTGGCCTACTGTGGAACCGGATCTAACAGCGCCATCCGAAAAGTTCTTCACGTCGCAGTTTCAGATGTCAATGATGATGTTCGAAGAGTCGCTGTTTTCAGCTTAGGCTTCATCCTTTTCCGAAAATACGAGTCGGTCCCAAGAATGGTGGAACTGCTAGCGGAATCTTACAACCCCCATGTCCGATATGGCTCTGCATTGGCTCTTGGCATTGCTTGTGCCGGTACGGGTCTTGATGAGGCTCTTGACCTTTTACAGCCTATGCTCAAGGATACGGTTGAATTCGTCAAACAGGGTGCCTTGATCTCGATAGGCATGATCCTTGTCCAACACAACGAGGCAATGAACCCCAAGGTCGCCGAGTTCCGAAAGACATTTGAGAGAATCCTGAGCGATAAGACCGAAGATGTGCTTTCAAAATTCGGTGCTGCCGTCGCTTTGGGTCTCCTTGATGCTGGTGGCAGGAACTGTACTATTGGCCTTCAGACCGCCACTGGTAGTATTGATATGGCCGCTGTTGTTGGTATGGCGTGTTTCACACAGTACTGGTACTGGTTCCCACTTGCCCATTTCCTCTCCTTGGGGTTCCGACCCACAGGCATTATTGGCTTGAATGTGGACCTTGAAGTTCCAGATTTCCAGATGTGGAGTAAAACAAAGCCGTCCCAGTTTGACTATCCACCAAAGGCGGAAGAGTCCGCAGAGAAGACGGTAGAAAAGATTGCAACTGCGGTCCTATCGACTACTGCGAAGGCTAGACAGCGTGCGAAGAGAACGGAGAAGGAGAGACGGGAGCGTGAGGGATCAGTGACCGACTCTATGATTATTGACCCACCACCAGAAACACCAATCGCTACCACAGCCGGGGAAGCGAACGGAGAAGGCAAGGAAGAGGAGACTGGCAAAAAGAAGTCGACTAAAAAGTCGCAACCAAAGGAAACTGTTGGCTACAAGATTGACAACATGAGCAGAGTCCTCCCTGCCCAGCTCAAGCACATTGATTTCCTTGAAGGCAAATACCAGCCTGTCAAGAAGGTTAGTACTAGTTCCACATAATTTATCTTGAGAATTGAACTAACAATAAGCTTACTAGGTCACTGGTGGTGTTCTGCTTCTCGTGGATACTCAGCCGGAGGAACCAGCCAAGCTATTGGAATACAAGTCCGTGAAGCCGACAGTACCATCGGGCGCCGCTGGGACAAGTACATCTGCACAGGCGCCTAGTGAACCCGTCGGAGGTGGTGGAGCTGCTGCCGCCGCCGCTGTTCTTACGCAAGAGGACGACGAGGAAGATGCACCCGTTCCCTCGGCCTTCGACTATTATTCTGACGGGGAAGGCCAGTAAATTATAAGTTTTTCTTTATTTAGCTTTTGAACTTAGAAAGGACCTTATGCGTATGGAAGAAGCATCATTATGGACAACTCCAGTGTAACGGAGCATGTGTATAGGCCGTATTAGAATAATAATATTTGGCTTCTGCATTTTAATCGCCTCCTTGACTTGATAATATTCTCTAAACCTAATACTTTAAATCCGACGGGGGATGCCTAAGTAATACGAGTCCTGTAGTTGGATTCTGAGTAATAATAGCTAATACAGCCGGCGCTAGCAGAGGATGCGCTGCTCTTATGACGAGGTCAGCTTGAAGGGACGACACGCAACACCAAATGTTCGCTCCGAGTTGGCCCAGCTAACTGCCTACCCAAGTCCCTAGCTAACACAGCAAGGGCATGCGCAACCACTCTCCCCCACGTCGTGTGACATCTAACCTCCTCCATCCACCAGACATACCCATCCGAAAACGATTACAGTCTAGGGGGGAAGGGCTTAAGGAGAAGCCTTTCCAGCTAGAGTTGCTTAGATGATGTCGCCTGCATCTCCACAACCGGTACCACCGCCTTTAATCCGTAACCATTCGACACTATCATCGTCTCCGAGTTCTACATTCGATAACGCGCCTGGGAAACACTACCTACAACAGGTTGAACCGGAGGCACTAGAAGAGTTGCTGGTAACGGATGAACCATTAGATGGTTCACGGGTGGCACAACGATCTACGGCAAAAACGGCGAATAGCGTTTTTAAACAACGATACCCATCGTCAAATCCCGGTCGTCGTCAACAACAAGCATCATCAGCATCATCTATTACACCAGCAACAACAAGTATGCAATACGGAGTACCGAGTTTTCACCATTCGGCGGGAACCGCGGGGAATCCTTATTTTAATTATAACCCTTCAGATGTGGAGTTATCCACTATAGGAATGGGGATGAGTATGTACGAGACTTTGAACCCACTTGCGGCGACTACTATGCTAGTATCTCCTGGTGGAGGATCAGTTGGTTCACCAGTATCTGGGAGTGGAAGAGCTGGGAAGAGGGGTGTATATGCACCTATTGATTCGAGTTACTATTCGGCGTATACGCAACCTACAGCTAGTGGGAGTGTGTTTGGAGGAAATGCTGGAGGAGTAGAAAGTGTTTACGGGGGCATGTCTACGGTATTTGGGAATGGGATTATGAATGGGCAAAGTGTTAATCCGCGGTACATCTCTGGAAAGTCGGAAGGGGCTGTCGATGCTGGCGGCAGAGGGAGAGAAGCGATTTTGAGAAGGGTTAAGAGGGATGCTGGGGTTTTTGAGGAAGAGTTAAAGAAGTTGGTGTCGGCACAGGAGGTGGCGTTAGGGATAGTGGGAGAAAATACTGGCCCTGGTGGCGCTAAGGGTACCAGGGCGGGAAATGGGAAGAAGAAGATGAGAATTCAAGAAGTTAGAAGGGGTATTTTGGATGCCATGGTTGGGTTGGCGGATGTTAAGGCTGTCGAGGAGGATTGGTACGGTGGAGAAGTCTTTGCTCGCGATGAACTAGTAGGAATAGCTGAGAAATGGATGAGAAAGAGGGGGAGATTGGAGAAAGAAGTCGAGAAAGTTGAGGCAGGGAGTGAAGGGAAGGAGATGGAGATAGTCAGGGAGAGGTTGGAAGGTGTTGAAGTGAGTATTTGAAGATCTCGATACAAACTGACTTGACGGAGTTTCACTTATTTACGGCTCTGAGGTAAACAGGAACAAATACGGGTTCACGAGGCAGAGCTGAAGCGACTAAAGGCAGAGCAATCGAGTATGCTGGCCAAAATCTCTGATTTACAATCTACGCTTTCATCAAGGCTATCGTCGTATACGAGTTCGATACAGAAGATGTCGAAGGATATGACAGAGTTTTTAAAGTCGCCTAATGCGCTTTTGCCTACACCTGACACGAAAGCCACATTACCATTTACTCCGGAGCAAGCTGTTGAATACTGGCAGGATGAGAAGGGGGTTTTAAATGAGAAAAAGCAAGAAACAAGTCGTGAGCTTGATGCGTTAAAGGATGGCGTACTCATATGGCAGGAGACTGTGGGCCTTATCGCTGATTTTGAGGATATGATGGCGAGGGAGCTTATAGAAGCTCAAAGAGAGGCCCAAAAGGAAGCTAAACGACAAGCTGAGATAATAGAAGCTGAGAGGAGGAAGCTGAACCGCTCTAGATCTCCGCAGATTCGAACTTCAGTGTTTGGGAAACTTGAGGACGGAAGACCAGGCTCTTCGAGTACGAGCAGTGCCAGCGGGAGGAATACACCGGTCTCGGCCTTTGCAAATAGAAACAGGAATAGAGCCGGGCTGGTGCATGGTGGAAATGGAAGTATGTCGAGCTCTACAGAAACATTTAAAGCCGCTAGTGGTAGTGGTGGTACAACCACGAATACAGGGGCAACGGCAGCCAATATGGAAGTTCAACCAAAGATACCAGAAGTTACGGCTGCAAAGCTTGTTGCGGGGATTGATAATGTCATCTCACAGCTAAATAGTCGTCTGACACTTGCAGAACAGAAGGGATGGACATTACTTGTTTGCGTGTTGGGCGCGGAGATGGAGAGTTATAAGGAAGCGAGGGCGACGTTGATGCCTCTGGTTGGCGGGCTGGTTGACACGAGTACGACAACCGAGACGGTTTCAAGAGTAAAAGGGAAGGGAAAGGGAAAGATGGGCAGTCCTAGTAATGGGCTAATGAGTCCTAGCGATGATGCCTTGAATGAGAGTTTGAATGGATTGGGAATTGGAGGAGGAGCCAATGGATTCGATGGACAGGCCAATACCGATATCTCAGCGGAAAATCACCATAACAATCACTGGAACTCTGAGAGTGAAAGCGAGATAGACGATCCAGCGGCTCTTTTTGGAGCTGAGAATGGAGGGGATAGCAGTCCTGAGTTGAGAGCTAGAGCTAGCCCAAGGGTGAGGAGGATTAGGGCTATGAGTGAGGAAGAGGATGAACTGGAGTATGCTGCCTTTGCGAGTCTAAATCTACGGGATGACAATACGACTACACCGACCACGACTACGAGTGGAGCAGCAGCAGCAGGAGGAACTGGGAACGGGAGGGGAAGTGGGGGGAGCGGGAGGAGTACCGTTGTCGGAGAGGGTGTGAAGAAGGTGCAGAAGTCTGATATGGCTAGAGGTGGTGAGGAGGACGATATTCACGGAGCGTTCTTGGAGCGACGGGATAGTGGAGAGAAGCCACCACTGATATGATTCCGTTTAAGATTCACATCGACTAATATAACATGCATTGGATAAGAAGTTTCTTGTGGTTGGTTCCTTCAGCGAGCGTTTGGTTTTCTTATTATTCAATATCAATATCATTCATTCATCGGCTCTTGCGATCCCGTGCATGCATGCATGCATACATTCAAACGGTCTCCATGCTTCATCATCCTTCCCAGCTCTCACGTTAACGGCTGATATGATAACTAACATATGACTCCAATTACGATCATGATCAATATATGCACTGCAGGTCCACGTCGCACCACATCGAATCCCCACAATATTATAAACTATAATATGGCGGGCCTTGGGTATAATCGAGAGAAGTCAGCCAACTCATACAGCAAAAGTGCAGGGATGTGCTGGAGCCTTAGCTTCGCCAGCCCGAGCTTCAGCCAATGAACAAATGTCACGACTTCCACATCCACACGCCGGCCGGGTCTCATGCTCACCAAGTCTGATGTCCATTCTAGCTCAATTGTAGCCAGTACTTCCGATAACCTCGACATCGGCCGTGAGTATAAGAGAGCGGCGCACCTGGAACACCAGAATGCATTGATACAAAATTTTCCCTTTTGAAATTCGCGGGTGGTCGGCCGGTCACCCGTCAATACTTGCTTTGCTTTGCTTTGCCTTTCGATCCCTCCCTTACAATGCATTGAACTAGTTAGCATTGGCATTCCCTGTCATTGTCCATGTCCAATTGCGAGACAATGTGCGAGACCAGTGCATACTGTATGTCCATACATACATGAAGTATGTCTGAGCTCTCTCTCTTTCTTCTCTCTTCCTCTCCGGATCTCCCTGCACAGTCATGAGCAAGTACAGAGATATGATATGATATAAGAAGCCCATCTCATCTTGTCTTGCTTCTTAATCCAATTAACTTTTAAATGCAAATCCGTTGGATATATCATATCATATCGTCTCGTCACTGCTCGAACTCGACGTTCTTGGTTGTTAAAGTTCCGTTGTGCACCCAACCGAAGCTATGCAGCACCGCACGCGTAACACCCAAGCCCCTGCTTCTGGCGCTGCTCAAAGGCGGGAAATCTCGATTGTAAGTAAGCTCATCTCATCTCATCTCATCTTTATTACCAGCCGATATTGGGTGGTATGTATGTATGGGTTTCGGTTACATCATTGAAATATGAGTATGAATATCTAACTGGCTGTAACTGAATGATAGCTCCTGTGGAACACCTGGCTCCTCCCAGGGCCCCTTTCAGACAACAACACCTACAACCGAGCCTCCCAAATACCTTCCCACATTGTCTCCCACGATATAATCCTCCTGAACGAGGCCTTCACCCACAAATCCTTAATTATTGATGCCCTACGATCTACCCACCCTTACGTAGCAACTTTACCCCGACGATGCTGGTTCTGGCCAATATTCGATTCGGGACTGGTAGTCCTATCACGCTATGCCATTCTTGAAGTTCGAAGAACCAGGTTTGGAAAGCGTCGAAGGTGGGATCTATTCGCCGGGAAAGGTGGTATAGGCGTCAGGATCGATTTAAGTAGACGGTATAAACCCGAACGATCGGATGTCCAACGGCAACAACGGGAGTCTGTTACTGCTAGACCGATGTTGACTGGGAATCCCGAGTACGACGATACCGAAGATTCGTATAGCGATACTGAATCCCAAACCGACGATGATAGCGACAACGATGACGATGACGAAGAGGAGCAGTTCCCACCAAAGACGATAGATATCTACAATACACACATGCAGGCCGGCAACAGTCGTGGAGAACACGCTGCCCGCCATCACCAATCCGTCCAACTCGGACAGTTTATCGCACAAAACTCGTTCAGAGCTTCGGCTGTCATTTTAGGAGGAGATCTCGGTATGGGACCGATATTAGAGAGTGTGCATTACGCGGATGATCAGGACGCTAAAGAAAGAGTCAAGGCTTATGGAATGTTGAAGGAGGAGAGCGGACTGGATGATGTTAAAGTACTCGTTGAAGGGAAAGGAGGGGATATTAATAGGTTTTTGACAAGAGGAGTGAGAGTCGTCAAGGTTGAGTATCCCGACGTACCTGTCGTGAAGCAGGGGAAGGGTAAGGGGAAGAAGTTGAGTCATTCGGATATGGTTGTGTTGAAAGTGAGGGTTTGAGGGTTTGTACAGGTAGTAATAACTACTACCTATGTTCCTTTGTTTACGATTCACGACCATGCATAACTGCTTATATTTATATTGCATACGGGCGGCTGGCTTTCTTTTTTCTCCCGTCTTTTTTCTTCTTCTCTTTCTTCCGTTTTTAATCTCCCCTTCAAGTTTTAATATGGAAGTCCCGGCGTTTGGAGTTTCTGGCATAGAGGTGGTGCCCTTTTCTATGGTTTTTTTGCTTATAACTCTTTCGTTTGGCTATAGACCTGAAAAAAAAAGGCGTGCATCGAGTGCAGGCAACTTCTCATCTAATTGTTATTATCTCTAACTAATATCTTTCGTTTTCCTCTTATGTTTTCTTGGTTGTAATGAAGGTTCCATTGGTGGGCTTCTGTTGCAATTGTATCTATTGGGAGGGTCTTTTGCTAATTTTGTTAACTTAGCTTAACATTCGGTAGCTTGGGAATGAATAGAATGTATGATTATTTGGTATCCTTTGGTCTTTATACACCGTGATAAGTTAGATCTAGATACTTATATATATACTGGGTCAAGTAAGTACTAATTATTTTAATATATATAATGATGGCTTCGATATTCACTGCGGGGTGAAATACATATGTATCGCGATCACTCGAGTTAGTAGACTTAAAGCGGTAATTGCTTTAATTCCTATAGATACATACGTATATACTGTTAGAAATGAAACATCTAGTTGTTAATTAATACGTGCCGATGTGCCTTTCAACATTCTAATAGAGATGCTGAAGCCGAGGAGGATATCAACATAAACGTGTGTATGTGCATGCATGCATGTACCTTGTGCAGAAGCCTGACATATCGGGATACCTACGTAGTGGGCCGACATGGAAGTTTTAGTAGTACCCAACCCGATTGTTAAAATATTATTGAGATTAAAGTAGATAACTCTTCTGAGGGGTTTCTTTCATGACCGGGTAACTGGCATATACGTATACTAGCAACAGGGGCATGTATTTTTGATAGTGGAGACAGCTTCGAATCGGTAGCGATTGTGTCAAAGGGACAGTTTTCCTACAAAAAGGTAGCTTAGTTCTATGCCAGTTTCGCTGTTTGGCCGGTTTGAGTTTTGAGTTTTGAGTTTTGAGTTTTGAGCTTTGATTACTTGAAGCGGTCACCGCCGATACAAGTTTTATGAACAACTCGATGTTGGACCGACGGTTAACTCGGCTTTTAAATTTTGGTAGTTCGACGTCCGAGTTTAGTTTCAATTGTGCAGAACGTTACTAGTATGGTAACCTAGTCCTCGACGCTTGGAAATGTGGCTTGTACGATAAATCGACATCCGAACATCAAGCAACTCTAGGCAAGCTTTGCTCGCCAAGCGTAGAAAACTCAGGAAGACTACAACAGTTAAAAGGGGAATCTTATGCGGAGTCGTATAGCCGCCTACTGGTTTGACTTGTCCAAGGCAGAGGTGAGCGTCCTCCAGACTATTGACTTGTTATCTACTTGGTTATCCGATGGAGAAGAGCCTTTAAATTTTGACCCTTGCAGTTTAAGATGAGGACGGGGCGACTTCCAGACTAGCTGCTGCCTGTAAACGTTAAACAACTGGAACAGATTAACTTGGCAGAAGCTTTGGCTATTTTTTTGGAGATATATCTATCCGGACGCGACATCAATGAATTATTCTACTATGCTGTAGTGAAGTATGAAATTGACTTGATCTTAGACTTCAGTAGTTCGATGCAATTGGTCTTTCGACTGGAGAAACTTGTGCTTAATTGATTTGTATACGTAGTGAATGTTTTTTTCTTTTGAATTCGAATGCCTTGTTAACTAGATTTACTAGCTGTGGGAACAGTTAGGAATACTCAATGCAATGTAATATCCTTACATACCTTTCGATGAGAAATTGCGGTATCATGTCGAGATATAAATAGACCCCCAGGAAGATATATATTTTCACTTGCTTTCTCCTTCATACCATCGACATGGCTTCCAGCAGTGAGTCTTTCCTTCATCTTTTTCAGCTTCAAACCTAGTCTTTCATTTTCTTTTGATATATCCAAACCGGCCTCTACGGCACTCTTGATACATTATTATCACCACAATCATTCTATAAAAATGCACATCAAATACGCCGCCGCCCTTGCCATAGTAGCTTTGGTACCAGAAATCAGTGGCCACACCGTCTGGAACAATGCAATCGGTGACACCGACCCTACCATCCGCGGCTACGTAATCGGTAAACAATATAAACTCGAAAACCGCAAGGGAACGGGTCAAATCCCCTTCCAACAGGACATCCCCGTCCTAAAAAAAACACTATCGTCCCACCCACCGCAAAAAGTAAATGGTAGAAGAACCCCGCGTCTACTGGGCCAACGGATGCGGAGCTACCATTTAGACCAAAATACTTGGTGGTATACCCATAAAGACAAGAAGATGATCGATGCATATGCCAAATTATCGGCCAACCAACCAACGGAAAGTGATTTTCTACTAGATTCCGGTGAAGAAGATGTTCGATTGGGCGGCGATTACGAAGACTATGGCTAAGACTAATCAGATTTTTAAGGTTAGTCCTGGCGGATGGATTAGAATCATGCATTATTAGGTTAATGCGGATGGTGCGGGACCATTGAGGTGTAAGATTAGCTCTACGGGTCAATCGAGTAATTGGAATCCTGGGTGGTTCTATCCACCGGTTAAAGATCAGGTACCGGGTTCGGCGAAGGATAAACCGTTTAAAGCTGCCGGTACGATGCAATTGTTCCCGTTTACGGTTACTATTCCGAAGAATATCAAGTGTAATGGGCCGTACGAGGGGAAGAGGAGCATTTGCATGCTACGCTGTGAGAATTACGCCTTGTAAGTTTATTTCCCTTGATATTCTATGTTTTGCTCCGCGCGCGGTTGTGAAGTATGTTTGCTAACCCTTGAGTGTTATTATATAGGAACGGTCCATTTGGAGGATGTCTTCCATTCCAGCTCATACCACCAGAACCGCAAGCTCCACCTCCACCTCCACCTCCACCTCCAGTCCCAGACAACATTCAAAACATTGGAAACACCACTGAAGCAGATAAAGTTAAATTCACAGACAAAGAAGCAAAAGAGGTCGTCGCCGCCGCCGGCCTAGAAGAAGTTGACGAAGCTGGAGACTCAGCTGAGAATGTTGAATCTGAAGCCGCAGTTGCGAATACAAATGATGTTAATGAAGATAAGGCTGCTGCTGATAAGGCGGATGATGATGACGACGAAGACAGAACCGATGGCAAGGATACTCCTGCTGAAGATGCAGCTGCTGAAAAAAGGGTTGTGAAGAGGGTCGTAAAGAGAGATGCTGATGATGATGCTGTCAAGATGGCATTGGGAGGAGAGGATGCCCCACCTGCTATGATTAAGATTGTGAAACAGCAGTTGAAGAAGGTTCCTGCAACTCAGAAGGCACAGTTGAGGCGGAAGTTGAACGCTGGGAAGACGGCGAATAAGGCGGGTGCCAAGGAGAGTATCTAAATTTACCTCTCTTTGGTAGATCTGGCTATATTATGTGTGTCTCGATCCTTAGAAGTTTATTATTTCGAGTATATATGATGTTATGAAATTAATATTATGGATTGTGAATAACGAGATACTGAACTTAATTCTTTGTCCGAATAGTTTGGAATTTGAAGCTTATGTGATACATAGGTACCAAGGTATATAAATAAGTAATTCTAAGACCGTCTTGTAATCCTCCATGTAGGATTTCGAGTTTCGTGTTGTAGTCACACTTCAAGCCTAAACAGCTGTTGTATTTTGTGATTTAAAATATATTAAAATCGATGTCGTCGAAATACTCAGGCATGAACCTTGCTTCTGGGAAATTCGGAACCTTTTACACCAATTTAGAAGTTAAAGCGGTTGCATAAATCTCTTCAGGGCGGTTTCTTTGGCATGGCGATACATGTATACATATCCAGCGCTGCAGCGTTAGCCGTGGTAGATCAAGTATACAAACTAGCTGGATTGGTAGATTTACAGGAAGAATCTCGATCCGAACATATCTATATTATATTATAAAAGGTATATGGATCAGGGGGGGATTTCCTGCCAAGGTTAGTGTGACGTCGGGCAGGTATCATGGCCATATGGCATCGATGCATTATATCGTGGACATAGCGTGGAGGTCTGATCTGATCGGCGCATCCGTGGTGAACATCCTTGGCGTGGTGTATTACATACCAACGGTTTTTTTAATGATTATCCTTCAGGAAAAAACGGTTAAATTTGGGGGGAAGGGTATCAAAATCGAAAACTCAAGTGCATTTGTATAGAATAGTGGATATTCAAGAAATTTGCATTTTCTTTCGCTAGAATACGAGTGTGGTCTTGAGGGAGGAAGAAGGGAAATCCTGCTTTTCTGGGGGGGAAATGCGTTGCGTGGTATATTTTGGCAGGGATGTTTTGGTATGACGTCGGGCCTTAATGGTTTTTGCGCTGTGCATTTTACCCCTGTTGGTGGTCATATCGAGACTTTGGACTTCACTAATTCATTGGCTCCATTTGCCCTGCATGAAGGAAAGTTCCTGGTAACTCTAAGTACTTGTCTTGGTTTCCTAGGATTGCTTCACTCACACACGGAGTACCAAGCGCTTCGGACCCTATTCCCATTTGACGTAACCCCCTGGGACCTGCAAGTATAGTGCAAATGCAAATGCAAGTTTGCGAGCAGAGCGAAGCAGGTTATGTAAGTAGCAAAGCACATTTCATGGATTCGCATACACACATACTTACTTAATTATTACACGAAAGACAAGTGGGAAACTCTTCAAAGGACCAACTATGTACTAACGTGTCATAAGACCCAAAATTTTCTTTTTCTAGCTTTTTCTTTCTTTCTTTTTGCAATGTTGTTTTTCTCTTGTCGGTTCTTGTCCTTATGTCAGCTAAGCTTTAACTATCCTTCGAAAGGGTTTATATTGGCTGCTTACGTCACAGAAATCAATGCTTGGGCTTGAGAGGTCTAGTCGGATGGTGGATGTTTTCGAATGTGCTATGTCATGCAGCTGCGATTCGACCTGCGCAACAGCGTCATGTTTACGCGACACCTTTGACTGGCTGGTGGTTTAGAGATGGCTGGTTTTTTTTTATCGCTCAGCCATGTTTGAGGCCTGGCTCTCTCTAAGCTCTTGTTAATTGTTCTGGCACTAATGCAGAGAGCTTGTACTGTGCGAAGGAGATTTGTATAGTGCATTCTTGCAGGAAGGCGCTGATATGGATGCATATGTACTTCCTAGTGTACAATGCGAGGATATCAAGGATGCCCGGGCTTTGATTCAAAGTATATATAAAGACACAAGCCTCTCTCCAATATCACCAACATTCTAATTGCACTTCCTCTCGCTATCCTGCACTATCGATATCGGCTTTCGGCTCAAAGAATCAAAAAAGGGACTATCTAGTATCTACATCCCCACCTACCCACATTCGCTGGAAGTGTATATATACAAATACATATACGTACCATACATATCAACACTTCAAAATGCTCTCCTCAGCACTCTTCACCGGGGTTCGAATCCTCGAAGTCATCATCGCCATACCAATTATTGGTATGCTAGGATGGTTCATCGATCCATACGTCGATAACAATGAAACACCGCCAGATGGTCTTCTTACGCTCTTCATCGTCTCAATTCTCGCCTGTGCTTGGGCCTTGGTGACACTCTTCCAATTCCATAGATACCGTAGCATGTCCGGTCCTTTCATCGCCGTTGTCGATATTGGCTTTGTTGGGGCTTGGATTGCAGGTATTTATCTGAACAGAGGCATTTCGGATGCGGATTGTTCGAGTTTCAGCGCACCTCTAGGACTTAGGGTTGGAGATAATAATTATTCTGCTGGAGACAGCTGGAGCGCTTCAGTTAATAGGCCTTGCGCTATGTTCAAGGCTAGCTGGGTAGGTTCTCCTCCTGATATACACTGATTTGATATAATATATCAATGATATAATATACTGGAACCTGATGCTAATTTGGACGAAATTTAAATAGATTCTATCGATTATCGAATGCGTTCTCTTCTTTGTCACTTGCTTGCTGAGCTGGACCCTCTACCGCTCCTACAGGTACGATACTAGACACGTCCATAAAGACTATACCGGAGGACGCAGGAGCGGTAGCACCAGCACTTACTCCTCTCACCGTCGTCACCACAGACACGCTCGTGTCTAAATATCTTATTTAACAATCCCTAAACCCTCTTTTTTCCTTCTTCTCTTTTTTTTCGGAAAAGGAGAGATCTAGAGGTGCAGATGGAATTGTGGCTTCGGTCTGGTGCACGGTTTTTCTTACTTAATATCCTCTTATGAATTTCTTTCATTTTTTCATTTTTTTTTTTTAATATTCTTTATGATATCATATCATCTTCTGGGAAGAGAGATAGAAAGCTAATATGTTTGTTGTTTTGCGTCCTTGCTGTCGTTTTTTGGAGAGGTTTATAGTCGCGGATATAAGTATTAAGCAGACTAGTTCATGATACATGCGAAAGCGAGTGCGAGTGCGAACACGAGTCTATGAAGACGATACCAATCTTTTATTTTTGATTTCCTCACGATGCAATCGAAAGATAATTAATACCCCCTTGTCTCTCTCTCTCTCTCTCTCTCTCTCTCTCTCTCTCTCTTATCGTTCTCTTTGAGTTCGTCATTTCCTTTGTTCTTCAATTTCTTTTATATTAATACGCCGGGGGATGATGGCACTGGCGGTCATGTTTCCTCCTAAAATATGATACGATACTTTATTTCTCGAATTCTCGTTTGATACCGTATCATATGGCATAGTTTAATGATGCGGATTAATATTAGCTACTTAGTTAGTTAGCGTTTTGGTATAATGAATGAATGGATGATTGTAACGAGACTCCTCTCACTCTCTTCTTCCTTATGAGATTGAACCCCAAATTGTAGATAGTCTCGAGGGACAGATAGTCTCGAGAGGATCAATATAAAGAAGAGTGAATGCAATGCGGATGCGACTGTGTTGTCGACGTGTGCAACCTCTGACGGCGGTGACAAAACGTCGGCAGCCAACAACGCAGCACGACGATTGGACTGCTTCAATTGCTGCGAAGAACTCCCCCAAACCAACCAACCAAATCATCGTCGACCATCCCCATCAACTTACATCGCCACTTCTGTCCGGCTTCAAAACTTCACTTCCATCTTGCAAGGTACCGCCAGACCGTCAGCGACCAGGGCTGTTTGTTCCCGTCGTCTCTCTGGGAGGATTCACCTACTTCTACCCAAAGAAAAACCTAGCTCATTCCCTCTCGCTAGATGCCGTTCGGTCACCATCGCTCTCACTCAAGACAAGACCGCGACAGCTCCTCGCAAGGTCCCGAACAGCTTCATACTTCTGGAGCTCTTCTTCAGGCTGCTCAGACGCTTTCGTCTATCGGGAAGCCTTCGACTTACCATCCGGCCGCTCCAGGCCCAAATATTGTCCCTCAGCAGCAACAACAGCAACAACAGCAACAACAGCTCCAGATACAGCAGCACCAGCACCAGCAGGCGCAACTTCACTACCAGCAACAACACCCCACTTCCCCGCCTAAACCTCCGTCTGGGGCCCCTAGCGCCCAATCTCCAATGTCTTATCACCAGAATCCCCAGTTGAACCCGGGAGGGTACGGTGGATACGGTGGTGGAAACTATTCCTCCACGAGCCCTCATCCAGGTTCTGCAATGCAGGGTCAACCGCCTTACAACGATCCACAACAGCAACAGCAACAGGATTTCCAAAGACAGAATTCCTTCAGGACACACGAAGGCCATGGCCCACCACCACCATCATTACAACCCCAGCAACATTCCCAGAGAGCACCTCCCCAGCCCCAGTATAATGAGTATGCTTCGCCGATTCACATACACCAACCCCAACAACCTCCGCCTCCTCAGCAACAGCAAGGGTATCAAGCATACCCTGGTGGCAGCGGTGCTGGTGGTGGTGCTGGAGTGTCTAGATCACATACCACAAGCACAAATCTGTCGAGATCAAACACTTTAGCTGCTGCTCACCCTCCTGCAGGAGAACCAGATGCCAATGCTCTTTACGGCGATGCCAATACCAAGTACTTACCAATCACTCATATGCAGTCATCTTCTGCTTCCAATCTACCGGATCCTTCGCAATCTTCAAACTACAGGAAATACGCACCGAGTGGAAGTATGGGAGGACAGGATCTTGGTATCTCAGGCGGGTTCGGGCTCGATGTTCAGTCAAGGCAAGGCTCGATAACAGAGGCTCCGCCTAAGGAGTTACAGAAGGGAAGTCACTACTACACACAGTGGCCTAGTTATGCTATCGATTGGTGTAAATGGCCTATCTATGGAAGTCCTGGCGCTAGTGGCTACGCTGGACAGAGCGGGGTAGGAAGGATTGCCTTGGGAAGTTACAGCGAAGATGGACACAACTACGTATGTGCTTCTCTTTCTTTCTTTATCTCGTTCGTTCGTTTGTTCGTTCGTTCATTCTTTCTTTCTTTCGTTCTTTTTTTTTTTTTTTTTTTTTTTTTTGGTTTTCGCGTACGACCTGGGGCCTGAGGCTCAAGCTAATCTGGGGTTGTACAGATATCCATTTTGAACACTGCCAACAAGGTCGTCAATACGGACAACCACCCACGAGGAGAATCGACCCTTGAGATCACGAAATTCGCCGAAGCTACTTTGACATATCCAATAACAAGGATTCTTTGGGAACCTCCAACACAGTCTAAACCGCTCACAGATCTAATCGCAACAGCTGGCGACCACCTAAGGCTGTGGTCTCTGCCAAATGCTGCACCAGCAGCTATCTCCACCCCTACTAGTTCCATTACTTCACGATCAAACCAGTCGAGTTCCGACCTCCCTACCAAAAAGTTATCGCAGCTTGCCCTCCTCTCCAACTCTAAAAGCACAGATTTCACAGCTCCGTTGACCAGTCTTGACTGGAATCCGATCAGTCCTTCTCTTATAATTACTAGCTCGATAGATACAACTTGTACCATCTGGGATATCCCTAGTTTGACCGCGAAGACCCAATTGATCGCACACGACAAAGAAGTCTTCGATGTACGGTTTATGAGTGGATCGGTGGATGTATTTGCAAGTTGTGGAGCTGATGGCAGCGTTCGTATGTTTGATTTAAGAAGTTTGGACCATAGTACGATTATCTACGAGCCTACGGTGAAGGCCGATGGAGGTGTTACTCCTAGCCCTGGTGGTGTTAATCCTATTGGAGGGACTGGTGGAGTCGGTAGTACGCTCCAAGGTCCGCCTCCTTTGTTGAAACTTGCAGGTAAGCTATATTTGTTAACTGATAGCTCTTACTCGATACTAATTTTATATTCTCGAAAGCGTCGCCTCATGAGGGCCATCTTCTTGCGACATTCGCGGACCAATCCAACATCATCCGGATCCTTGATGTCCGTCAACCCGGACAGGCTTTGGTGGAATTACGTGGAGCGGGTGGAAATATCAATTGCATAGATTGGTGTCCTTACCGCCGTGGGATGGTTGCTGGCGGTACCGATGATTCATTGATTTTGATCTGGGATATGATGAATGACGGATCAGTCGGCAACCCACACCGCCAAACAAGAGATGAAAGGCATGGTCATAATCAGGAGCCGACATGGAGAACCCCGGTTGCCCATTGGAAGAGCGAGTACGAAGTTAACAACTTGAGCTGGGCTCCAAGTTTGGGCAATGGGATGGCACTGATGGGCGGTGAGCCTGGAAAGAATGCCGGCGAATGGATCGGTTGCTGCGGAGGGAAGGGTGTCTATGGAGTCAAGTTTTAGGCGAGCTCGACGGAATGGAAAGGCGGTAGGAACTGGCGAAGGCAGACAAGGTCTCGTCGCCGCCACCAGCCCTCGGGACAATCGGAGAATGGGTGATGACTCCCAATGGATACCTGCAACCGTTCGTATCTCCACATATATCGAACTCCTCTGTGCTGCTATTCGATGCTTTACGAGAGGGCTATAAGCGCAGGGTCGCTACCACTAGCTACCACGGGTGGGGGGGTGAGCCGATTCGCGCGTATGATACACTAGTTAAGACCTTTCAAAACACACCCCGATCTGATGACTTCCTTCATCGTCTTCCTATTTGATTCTTTTACTTTTATCTCCTACTCCTACTTCTACTCCTCCTATCATATCAGATGGCCTCGTCTTGTGTTTTCTTCTCTCGTTCCGCTTTTACCACCACCAGCTTCACCCTTGTTAGCAGCATTGTTCGTTAATACATTTCATTTGCAAGCGTCGGGTTTCCTTAATTTTCCTTCGATACTTATTCTGTGGCTTCTTCGTATACATATATTTGCTCGATTCGCTCGAACTAAAATGAAGATATACTATTAGTCCATTCGTATTGGTACTTGATCAATAGAATCCTTTAAGTAGTAATTGTAGTCTCTCGCGAGGTGGGCATATGCAGCACATATGGATGCTTGGTGGAATTGAGGGACCATGAATGTGCCAAGCCTTCAGCATCTGCCCAATTTCCAACTCTGCAGCTCGGATTGGCCTCAACTTCAACCTTCAACCCAACACCAGCCTGCCCCACCATGGAAATCCCGACGTCGGAATCCACCATCACAGCCATATAAACGGTATGTAGGCGGCCAATCGACGAAATTCGAACGATGTCCATTCCTTTCATCGTCTCCAAACCATCGGGTTTGGTTGTTCAGGGCCTCTTTCGTGGCCTGAGCCATCGGTCAACCGCAACCCGGTTCGGGATTGCTATCCAACGGTCTCGTGTCGCGGCACGACTCACGACACCAATTGTCACCCGAAGAAATGTCTCCGGGTCAGCTGTAAATGTTCCGGTGGAGGGGAAGACGGTCGGGAAGGGGATTGTAAATGATATTCGATACTTCCTGAACAATGAGGCTCTTTCCAGATTCGATTCGACGTCACCACGACGGTTTAAACTTCCAAGGCTACTGGGACGGAGTCAATCCGCCTCATCACTATCTTCGCTCTCTGCTCCTCCGTCCCAATCTGTTAATGCACTTGGGAAGACTGTATCCCGACGTACTGCTCAACGACGAGCGTTTAAAGCCTACCTGACTCTTACGAAACCACACCTCACCTTCCTCGTCGTCTTGACCTCTATGGCTTCGTATTCACTATACCCGGCCTCAAGTCTCATAACATCTTCCGAAATAACACCAAGTACTACACTAAGTGCGATTACCTTATTATTCCTGACGGTTGGAACGGCACTATGTTCCGCCTCCGCGAACACTCTCAACATGTTAGCCGAGCCTCACCTCGACGCTCAGATGACTCGGACTCGTAACCGCCCGCTCGTCCGGGGGACCATACCACCTCGAAATGCCTTACTATTTGCAATCTTTGCCGGAGTATCCGGTGTTACCTGTCTCTTATACGGCACGAACCCCACGGTTGCTGCACTTGGATTGTCGAATATTATACTCTATGCTGGAGTTTATACGCCGTTGAAGCAGAGACATGTTATTAACACCTGGGTTGGAGCTGTTGTCGGTGCTATACCACCGCTAATGGGGTGGGCTGCCGCGGCAGGAGAGTTTGCGACTACGGATAGTGTTTATGAGGTTTTATCACACCCCGGTGGATGGTTAATCGCTGGACTACTATATTGCTGGCAATTCCCACATTTCAACAGTCTTAGTCACGGTATAAGACATGAATATGCAGCAGCCGGATATAAAATGCTTGCATCTGTGAACCCTGCGATGAATGGTCGTGTGGCAGTGAGGTATAGTATAGCATGTTTCCCCGTTTGTATAGGATTAAGTATTTGCGGGGTTACGGACTGGGGGTTTGCGGTTGACAGTAGTTTGTTGAATGGGTGGATAACGTACGAGGCGATAAGGTTTTGGAGGAATGTTGGGGAGTATGGAACCGGAAAGAGGTTGTTTTGGGCGAGCGTGTGGCATTTACCGGGGTTATTGGTGCTGGCGATGGCGCATAAGAAGGGACTGTGGAAGGGGGTTTGGAGGTGGGTCAGTGGCGGTGGAGAGGAAGATGAGGAGGATGAGGATGAAGGGTATGATTACTACGAGGTTGCACCGAAGAGTGTAGGTGGGGATTATGGGGAAGGAGAAGGAGAGGTATCGTTAGTCGCTGGGACAGCGAGGTAGGACTTTGGGGGGATATAATCTCTACGGAATATTATATTAATCTTCTTGGATCGATGATGTATATTGAAGTGAAGGTTTGGCGAGCAGGTATTTGGAAATACGAGATCTTGTACATATGGACGTGGGTGTATATAAGCAGTACTGGTAGTTTTAAAAGCGTCGAATGTCGATACGTATATTACCCATTATCGGGAGGTTGAGTCGACAATGTTTTAGGTTCGGTCTTTCCGCGAAATCCGGTAAGGAATCCGCGAACGGTAGAAGGTATAGATCAAACTGCAGCTCTATGCTATTCTCTTGGGAATATTTATCGATATATCTTTAGATTGTCAATTGTCTTCGTCATCAGCGACCGCGGAAGATCTTTCAACCTTGTGACTGGCTGTATGTAATTTGCTCAACGATTTTCGGAATAGATATTAATTCAAGGATCAACACAAAAGTTGTTCCAAAATACAACGAAGTGTGTATTTTTGGCGAAAATATTGAATATTTTGAAGATCAACAGAGTTGACTTTGCTGAGGATGGTATGAATTTGGGAGAACGGAACGGATCTGGTGAGTCTTTAAAGTTATTCTTTGTAGATTGAGGATCTTTTAGGAGGGAGGGATATTGGAGGAGAATATTAATATAAATTTTAGTCTTTGAGTGTTTAATTTAATTTCTTTTGTATCTGTTAACTATTTCTTCATTCTTGATTCCTGTTCACGCCACCGACATCTCAAACATATGCATATTATAATATTAGTATCAAAACTGCTAGTAGGTGGTGTATATATTCTTCATGAAGTATACATATATATATCACTATCCATCTTCCATACGCTTATAATTACATATATATTCAAAATAATAACCTACATCCATGAAAAGTTTCCTTCGCAGCTGCCCCGTCAATCCCGTCCCCCAAACTTCGAAAATACTATATATTTACCCAAAAGATGCATGATTACACGATAAAAGTATACGAGTTTTTCTCAAACCTTCCTGAAAATATTCGAAGAACTCGTCGATCTCGATCTTCGTCTCAGTCAAACGGTAACGGTACCCCCGTTACTCCACATTTAAGTGGTTCACGAGCGTCCGGTGCTGAGACTGTTTCTCCGCCCCCAGCGTCACCAGTACCACAGACATTATCACCCTTAGACTCTATGGATCCGAGTGTAGGGGTTGATGCATTAGATTTGGAGATGAGGTTGTTGAGGATAAGAGATGGGTGTTTGGAAGGGTGGAGGAGAAGGGGACGAGATTGTATTTGTGGACATGGGTGTTTGGATCAAGAAGTTGATCAGGGGAGGGTATTTTGGGGGACTGAGTTGGCTGATGTTGAGGAGAGTAGTTCTGAGCTGGTTACGAGACCGGCTGGTTCTGAGGAGGGGGAGGATGAGGATGAGGATGAGTGGGCAGAAGCTTTGGAAATATTAGCGGTGGAGGTAGAAGAAGATGTAGAGGGCATTGAAGATACAGGAGTCGTTGAAGACATTGGAGTTACTCAATATAGTGGATTTTTTCAGCATACAGAACCTGACCAAAATACCGCACCTGATCGAAATATGGGAACTGTTCAGGATACAGGCCCTGGTCGAAAGATAGGAACCGTTCAACATGCAGGGCTTGTTCAACATACAGGAGCTCTCCAAGATATGGGAGTCGCTCCAGACGTTGAAGTTGCGGGGGTGATGGAAGATGCCGAGGCTGTAGAAGATATGGAAAATGCAGAGGAGGAACAAATGGAAGCCGAGCCTTATAATCGCCCATATCTAGAGCTAGAGACTGGGACTGAGGCCAAGATTTATGAGGATGAGGACGACGACGAGGAGCTGGAGGAGGAGGTTAGGATGGAAGAGGAGGATGGAATGGAAGAGCCGAATAGAGTGGAGTTGAGGAGGATTAGTTGGTATGTTAATTATGGAGGGAATGATTTTGCAGTTGAGTCTAACCGGGATGATGAATTGATTTGATGAATTGGTTATTGAGTGTATGATCGTTGGAGTCTCATAATTTGGATTGGTCGATTTATCGATATTACAGACGGAACTTCGTTTAAGCTGCATGCTTATATATACACTCTGGTATGTTTATGTTCTTTAGACTATAATAGCCCACACTAGAAAATGTAGAGAAGAGAATGAAAAGTCATAAAGAATGGTCTTAAATTGCCATATATTGAACGAAGATCCATAGCTAGCTTGCTCAAATAAGTTTTATGGTCTATAAATTGATAAACCAGGCTGATGGCAGTGGCGAGGCTGTAATGCTAATGAGATAAGACAAAAATGGGTAGCATATATCTTCCGTAGTATATCGCTGAAAACACCAAAAACTCCAGGCTCAATATCCAAGAAAGAAAATGATATAAAGAAATGTGGCTATTTGAGTGAGGCGCTGACGGTTCTGATCAGATGAGTTTTTTTTGAACACTTTCAAAGAAAAATCAAAAAGGTATCCGTGTCGAAATAGTCGTCTTGTATGTGAGGTGTATCGATAAAATCGCTGGTTGCTATAAAGATTTTTTATTAACCTCCCACTTTCTCTCATAATTTCGATTCTCCTCATTGTCAAATTTCAAAGCCTACCTTTTTACAAGCTAACCTCTAGGCATAAAGAAAACGCGGTAATCCAAAAAGTTTAGACCAACCACAACTGAGCCTTCGGCCGCTCCTCCTTCGGACTTTTTGACCTCAATCCGGAAACTTGGAGTGTCAACATGTTCATTTCGCTGCTGAGCGTCATGAATTCGTTGTATAAGGTGTTTAGCTCCGTTTCGTTCAGTACTCCAGCCGCTTTGGCGACCTTGTACCGGTTGAAGGCATCGAGGCATAGCGTGCTCACGCTAGCCTGAATTTCGGCGGTTGGGAGTTTGTTGCAGCGAGGCATTATGAGATTGTATTTTGTCGAAGGGGAAAAAAAAAGCCGGTATATCGATCTTATGAAATCCGCAGTGAAGGATCCGATCTCCAGAGCTCCAAGTCTATGCAATGTAAACAGCAGGACTGTGTATGAGACAAAAACGGTTTACGTAAGAGCTCGCAAGGTAAAAGTTTTAGTTGTAGCGGTAGCAACAACAGTAGTAGCAGTGGTGAAAAATGTAAAGGAGAGCATCGTGGGCTTTGGTTCTTTCCGAGAGGAAACGTCTCAACGGCTCTTTAACGTTTCTAGCTATTCTCTTTGCAGGGTGTGGTTTACTTTTTTTTTTTCCCGTTTACATGGCCATGGTGTGAAGATGTGGAAGAAAAAAGTGGAGGTGGTTTTTTTGGTTGCCAAAGGGGAAGTCCAGGGCACTCGGGCGGCTTTATATGTGCTAGCCGGGTGACTGGACTGGGGCCATCAAAGCTTGACTCAAAAAAAATCGTGAGAGCTCAGAGTCATAGAATTCGACCCGGATTGGGTTGTGTGGTATTTTCCGAATGGCAACGCGGTTATCAGGGTTAAGTTTAGGTTGTTGTGTGACAGGATTGATTGTCTGAGTTAATTTGGATATCGATCGTCCACGCGGAGATCCATATGGATGGAGACTGAAACATGAACATTGCACCGTTTATTCTTGTATTCTTGATTTTTATTTGTTTTAGGATATCAATTAGCCTGAGAATCTGACCTTCATCGTTTCATCAATCGGGCCTTAAATATTAATCAAAAATAAATAATATAGTATTAATAGGTACGTACACATACCGTTATGTATCTTGGGGAAATGACCATGGCACGACTGACTTCGAACCTGTCGATTCTCTCATACCCGCCTACCTCGAGAAGTACTATTATACGGATCCCTCAGCTGATCAGGCCATATACTCTTTGATTCTATACACTTTTTACTAATAACAAACTCCCTCCTTCGTCTTTCTATTTTGATAATTACTATTCCTGCTTTCCTATTGCTACACTAATTATCACCACTACATTCCCACTGCTACGACAATATATACCCTCGAGGCTTTATGGGCAGAGTCATACAAAGCACACGGACAACATACAACCCCTTCGTCTCCATGTACATGACCACAACTACAGCAAATTTTGATTTTGACCGACCTTCTACTCAAAAAATCAGTTTTTCTGCTCAGAAAGCACTACACTCAATGACAGCATTCAACATGACTCAGGAACCTACTTTCAATGAGTTGTGTCTCTATCACTTTAGGCAATTCATACCCTATTTGATAATATTTCTATACCCCATTGTCATACTATACAAGTTCAGAAGGGTCGAAGACTTGGCGGCATATGAATCTGAACCAGAATCAGAATCAACCGAATCAATGGATGAAGAGCAGTGGGTTGATGACGACGACCAGTTTCAATATGTGCATAACGAGCGTGTTAGACAGGAGACGGTTGATAAACTGGCGGATATGAAGAGAGTTTCAGATTTATACTATAAATCTCCTGAGCAAAAGAGAGCCGAGGAACAGCAGGAAGAACTTGAGCGGTTGATAACGGAGGAGCCTGATTCAGAAGATGGCGGTATTGGAGATAGAGTTAGACAGAGACGGAGTCCTTCTGCGAAGAGTCATGAAAATGTTGAAGGGGCGCCGGGGGCTAGGAAGAGGGGGAGGCCTGCTAAGAATTAAAAATTGGTTATTGGATTGGATTTGGCTTAGAATTCATTGGTGTTTTGGGAGTTTCTGTGAGTATATTCTGTATCCTTTTGGCTTTCCGATTTGTCGAAGCCGACTTCGGCATGTTATTACAAACCCTCGTTCAACTTTTCTTTACTTCTAGGCATTTCTTGGATTTTAAACCCAAAAGGCGTTTATTTTCTCAAGCGTTTACTCGAAATGCAGATAGCTAACGTCGTGTAAGCCAGCGTATAACTATCAGAACTGCAACTCCAACTATCAACCTCTTTAGTCACAGATGAGTAGTTGGCTTTACTATCCTTTTCGTTTATTCAGAGTACGCGGAACGATACCCTTTGATCGATTTCTATTTCTTTCTCGGCGCTCTTTGAATTCATGGGGCGGCGGGCACCTGTTGAACAGTTTCATTTGGATTGTGTTCCTTTCGACCTTCAATTGGCCCTGTTGATAATTATGCGCATATGCGGCGCCGTTTACTCGAGCTTTGGGATATAATGGATCCTTGATAATGTATTTTAGAATTGAAACAGCGCAACCGTGCGTCCCTTTGATGAGTCTGTTAAGCTCTTGGGATGTACGGTACACCGATTGTCGGCGAATGCTAGCTGCAGCTGAAGTGTTATTCTATCCTGAACTTCTGTCCTCGTCTTGGGCTTCCGGCCGTGCTGTTAAATGTTGTGCATACGCATGCATAATACTTACATGAAGCTAGTGAAAATAACCGGTACCTAAGAATCGATAAATCGGGATTCCCCGATATTTAATCATGATGATACATCTTTATACGGCTTGTCCGCCCGTCTTATCCTTGATCTCGAAACGGGACTATCCCCTTTTCGAAGGCTTCTGGAATTCCTAAACTGTAAAAGCCAAGCCATGATTCATGATCACGCTTCCGACCCAAGACGGATTTTGATGTCATCTGCATCTAAATCATTCGATAGTTAAACCTGCTTTGAAGCCCTATGGTAGCCATGTTCCGGAACATTTTCGACACGGTCTTCTCTCCGTTTATTAATACTCCTGCTGAGGTCAGTTTTTTGTTTCTCGATGCGATTCGCTGATTCCCCAAGCCCACAACCCGTTTCTCTAGCGCTCATACCAATTGCCCCTGATCTTTGATCAGCAAAACAAAAGGCTTCTGAGCAGTAAGATTGAGCCGTTGCATTTTTCAGAGCACAACGCAACTTTAATTGCAACCAACCTCCCTCCCTCTACCTTAGTTGAGGCTCTTTCCTGCGGGGGTTTTTTTTTGAAAAAAAAAGCTTTTGGATTCTTCCATCAATTCATAGTTAACAATGCTTCAGCCAGTTGCTCCCGAACCTATCTTTGAAATGAATGAAAGCGAATATCTAGACGACTTTGCCCTAGATATCTTTGGTCAACAGGGTACGCCGGTCTACACCCAGATATGCATGATCTATTCCCTTCCAGACGAATCACCAATATGGTACTCCAGTACAGATATCATAGATGTCTTGCACGCAGGGCTTGAACGGCTTTCTGCCAGTTTCCCTTGGGTCGCTGGACAAGTTTGCAATGACTATGTTGCGACTGGGAACTCTGGTATCTATAAGATCAAGTACCTGGACGAGGTGCCCAGGTTGACAGTCAAAGACCTTCGCGGCAATTCAGGGTTCCCGACCATGGAGGAATTGAGGAAAGGGGGATATCCGTTCAGGTTCTTGGATGAATCGGTGATTTGTCCACATAATACTCTGATATTACCCCGGACCGAGCTGCTCCCCGTGTGCCTTGTTCAAGTGTCGTTTATCGAAGGAGGCTTGATATTTACATTTTTGGGACACCATGCGGTTATGGACGGGATTGGCCAAGGCGTTATTATGAAGCTTTTGGATAAAGCTTGTCGGAAGGAACAGTTTACGGATGATGAAATTATGATTGGAAATGCACCGAGGAAAGATATTATCCCGTTGTTAGACGATGCCATTGAAGTTGGACCGGAGTTAAGTCATCAACTGTTCTCATCTTTGGCGTCTGCACCACCCCCACCGCCTCCACCAGTCGCCAAGGGTGCGAAGCCATCGGGGCCACCTAAGGTGTTTTGGGCGTACTTTGTTTTCAGCGGAAAGGCGTTGGAGGAGTTGAAGAGCTTGGCGTCGGAATCGCTTACTGGAGGTTATACCTCAACCGACGATTGTTTGACGGCTTTCATCTGGCGGTCAGTTACACGAGCAAGACTTCATCGGTTAAGGCCTTCCGATAAGGTCACTCTCGCTAGAGCTATCAATGTTCGATCGTTTCTTAGTCTTCCGCTCAACTACCCCGGCCTGGCGACGAACATGACATACCACAATTCCACAACCGAACAACTCACGGGTCACGACTTAGGCAGCATCGCCACCAACCTTCGTGCTGAGATTGACCCAAAGACATCGAATTTGACGCATATGACTAAAGCGTTTGCTACGTATCTCGATAGAGCGGAAGATAAGACCTCTATAAACTTAACCGCGACGCTGGATTTTTCGAAGGACATCGCGTTAAGCTCTTGGGCGAAGTTGGACACTTATGATTTGGATTTTGGGTTCGGAGTTGGGAAACCGAAGGCCGTGAGGAGGCCGCAATTTACACCAATGGAAGGGTTGATGTACTTGATGCCCAGAAGCAGCGATGGGGAAATTGCATTGGCATTATGTTTGAGAGAGGAGGATATGGAGAGGTTGAAGAGTGATGAAGAATTTGTGAGATATGGAAAGTATGTGGTGTAATTTCTCATATATTCCGTATGCCTCCGTGTACGGGAGGGGGGATTCGTAAGCCTTTTTGTCAGGCGGGACTGGATTCGAGTCCAGGGCTCAAGGTTAACTATAAGTCCCTAGCTAGCCCAGGCCTTTGAAAACATGTTAGGTGCATTGCTTGCATGGGAGGGGTTCGATTTTGGGGTTTGTCTGGTGCATTGTTGGTTGGGGTTGGTTGTTTAGGTCTGGTTGTAATTTCTTTAGATTTCCTTTGTGAGAAGCGTTCGATCGTTCACTCTTAATTATTGCTCGCCTCTGTAGATTATATGTAAATTCTTATATACTTTGATTTCTCCGAGCATTACACATATTCATATGCAATATTATTAGTTTTTACCTTATTTTAATCTTTTTAGATATTGATTTCAGCTGCGCCTGGTCTCGATGTTAAGGTTTCCAGTGAGCACAGTTAGAGGAGAGGTGCATGCACGCGATCACATTCAATAGGGCCAAAAAGAGACGACTAGCCCTGTGCGCCCCTGATTAAATGATACTGCTAGCTTGAGGCCATGATGATGATGATGATAGATAACTAATTTCTGTTCCGCACTGTAAAAACATACTTCGGAATACCCCTCTCGTCAAACCCTTCTTCAACATCCCCCTCATATGCATCTTCATCGATATCATTGACCTCCCCTTGGACCTCCTGCTCCCCATCTTCAAAACAACTCCATTCAAGCCCCACAGTCGGACAATCTGGCAACCTTGTTTTCGTAACGATTAACCATGCCATTTGAGTGTTTACATGGCTCCGCGGTTGCTCCGAGTCTTTAATTATGACTGTCCATTGTGCTGACTCGGAGGGGTAAATGTCGCCAATTGAAGAAGGGCTGCATTGGCCGTTCCCGCGTACTCCCGGTCCTGCGGTCAGGCTCTGGAGCTTGTGGTCGGTTTGGTTCAGGATTATGAAGGTTGCGAGGGGTTGGAGGGCATCGGATATGGGGGTTTGGGGCTCTGAAATTGGTTCTTGGGATTCTATATGGAGTGTAGTGTTAGTCATAGTCGACCGAGCTTATTTTACAAGCCAAATCATAGTATCAAGGTGGTTTTCTGGTAGAAAACCGGATTGCGATATAGGCGCATGGTTAGGCCCGCGCGGGCGTACATCTGGAGGGGTAGACGCGGGCTGAGATTCGACTTACCGACTCCATGATCCGGGTTTTCTTGGTACATTTTTGGGCACAATAGCTTAACGCACTGGCCGACGGTGGAGCGGCATTATATTACTGTCGGTCGCATGTCAAGGTCAAGGTAAAGTAAGAAGCAGGTAATGCGGGTTTTGTGCTTTTTCAACCCCCCTGGTCTCTTTTTTTTCCTTCGGGGTTTTGGTTTTAGTTCTCCTGCAAGCATTGTTTTTTCTTTCTATTTCCAACCAACTGGGACAAGGCGGAAAAAAGTAAGCAGCACTACTTAATTACTCCCATGTAATATGGTGCTACCACGAGGTAAGGTTCGGAACTAGAAGCTGTACCCTTGGAGCTCTTTTGGCATGCAGATACCTTACAGCGTGCTCTATACATAATTGTTGGTCGGGTATAAGCTCGATAGGGAACGCCGATTTTCGAAAAGAATGATCGCCAGACTAGAGGAATGACCGCCTGCCGCCGCATTAATCCTAGATCACAAGATCAGTGAACTACTTTATGCCTTATGCTATAGAAACCCCCGTTTGGTTCGCCTCAAACCTTTTTCAAAAAATAAAAAATGAAAAAGGGGAGAGAAACAACTTTGAATTTTGGGGGTTTTTCCATAAGCTATATAAGCTCTGGAAGTCTAAATACTATTAATAGCTGTTAGAATCAATATATCAACGATCAGACCACGGTACCTATACTTCCTCGAAAATAAAGAAAGAAAGATTGAAAGAACAATTAAACGGCCTAGGCAAGAGTGACCTTTCGAAAAAGGGTAACAAGATGCCGTGCGCAGGCCCCTACCTCCCCGAATACATCTACCTCTCCAAAAACCCCTCTGATGCAAATTTGCGAACGCAATATTTCCTCCGCCATGGTTGGCCGCCCCGAATTGCCTCACGCCTGGCCAGAAACCCAGCGAATTATCAAAACTGGCTTCGAGCTTATGAGAAACGACCATTCGTTTGCCGTGAACGCGAGTTTCTCGGTAGGTCTGATTTATTGGAACTCAGAGCGAAGATTAAGATGTTGAGCGCGAGGGCGGAGGGGTTTTGATACCATTGACTTTACACGGAGGGATTGATCCGGGTTGGGAACTGTTAGAGTATGATCGTACTTGTTAGGATATTTCTAATTAGTCAGGAAGGAGTTTTTATGTAAATAAAAAGATACACGATTAATTGATTATATAGTGACGCTACAACGCCGTCTGAGGAATATGTGTACTTGGGCTAATAATACCGACGCATTATATCCATATGAACTCATATAGTACATGTACAATCAGGAGATTTGACCCAGACCAAGTTTTGGTGTTTATTTAGCATCTTCAAGAAATATTCCATGATACAAACAAATCCTAATTACCTCCAGAAACTTCCCAAATTCAAGCGCTGTATAGGCTCCTGGGGTTTAGAGATTAGGACTCGGTTCTCACCTTTGTGGTCAATCCAGTTCCTAGGTATTGTCGTGGTCCTGGTGTCCAACGGTCAATATAGCTTGATCCTGTTCCTCACTGCTGTGTAGCTCCACAGCCTTGCAATGTCGTGCTTACTTCTTGTGTGATCATGGCGTGCTGTATTCTATTAGGCTCCGACGACCTAAGGTCCCGCAGTACATCCTCCATTCCTCGCATTACCGCTCCCCTAGCAGCGGCAATGACACTACCCCAGGGTCAATAGTTTCGTTAGGTATTCATCGAAGGCTAGGCGTTTACATCAGTTAGGCTTACAAGTTCCGTGCTGGAACACCTCAGTACCATGGGCCTGCCGAATTAGCAATTTTCTGACAAGTGTAACTTAAGGCGAGCCTTTAACCTATGGCTAGCTAGTAAGATCTTAAGATAACATTTATTCTAAACAACTTATCATTTGATTAATTTATTATACCAGCATTTTCGGAGAAGGCCTTTATTTAACGATAGAGCAAAGTGATGACTTCCGTCGCCACAGGATCACAGAGAGCTTAGACCTCTCCCCTCGTGACGATAAACTCCCCCGTTTTAATTCTTGCTTCAGCAATATAGTCCGTTCCTGGGATAGAGATTTGTAGAGTAAAAATAGTATAAGTTAATATCTACTCAACCTTTTCATTCCACGATGTTGTTTAAGGATACGGTGTAGATAACTTCATCCCGTAGCATTATATCTCCGAATCGGCGCCTGATTGCTTCAAATTGCTTAAAAACCATCTACTTATCTTCTAGCCTCAAAGTCAGGCTTTAAAGTGATGACCCATCCGGGATTTAAATAATCTTGCAAAATGTCGGTCAATTATTGAGGCTTCGCAGAATGCGTCCCATTGACTCCAGTCGTCCATGCATGGGCCCTAAACCTCTGTCCATGTTTAACTCTGAGGCATTATGAACTAGACTTTGTAAAACTGTAGATTCTATCGTGCTAGACCCAAGGCTGCGCAAATTATACGTGCCGAAGATTCTGACTTGGAGTTATTTTGGAAAGGAGACAAGCTGATCTCTTGTCGAAAATATTGTTGTTTTTGTGATATTTCTGCCATGCCTGGCTCTGAGCGAACCTCGACCTCTATGTGATTCCTGGGCTAACCCGGGTTTCCGGAATCGATTTGGTCACTTTTGCAGCATTTTCGAAGCATGGTTGTTGCCGTAAATGGCTATTCTAGTATCGCTTTTAGATTTCTCGAAATCCACCGGTAGATTCCATATAGCGAGGCTGATAGTATACTATCATAGAGTGGTGATAATGGTATACATCCCAAAATCAATAGTATCAGCCTCAAGCATGTGCAGGTTTACTACTGCATCCAAGAGTGCCAAGGAAAGAAACTCGATCAAACAACCATTCGATATCTACAAAGGTAAAAAAACCCACCAATATTAATAGCTAGGTAGAAGATTGCTTATTTTGTCTCAATTAGCATTCGGCTGTCGACATCGTACGTTGCCCTCATAAATTTATAAAGCGAAAAGCGGGAAACGAGTAGACCAGAAAATCGACCGGTCTAAAGCCAAGTGAATATAAGGGAAATTTCCGGATTTCGTATTTGCATAATCCACTCACGAGGTATACGGTAGCACGACGTTCTGCGTCTGCAAAATTTCAATACTCTCCAACTATCAGTGTTTGATACAGTTATAATGCCTCTTTTCGTTTTTGTCGCTTGCGATATTGGTCCACGGGCCGGACCCTATTCCTCTGAGCAGCCTGCTTCCTTCCTCCTTTTTTGCCATCCCACGCGCTCCTAAATTAATGCTACTCTTATCAGGCGATTTGGAATTCAGGAATCTGACCAAATAGCCCTTGAGGCCGACTAAGAATACTGACGGTCCCATGGCGACGAGTAAACCCACATCTCTGCCTCATCCAGATAGCATTTCCATCCCATGTAGATCGCCTTAGGATGAAGACTGATTCTATCGCCTATGCTTAAATTCGACAGAAAATCGACTAATTCTGGATCGCTAGTCGTTGCTATATCCCATTGATTGATATGCTCGGTGCTCGTCCAGCAGGCATGAATATTGCGCTGGAGTTCACGAGTATTTATGGTCGATATTTTCTTATCACCACTATCGGCTTTTTTGGTACCGGATTCGCTGAAATTGTGGTCCTTGGGGGTTCTCCGGACTTCAATCCATGTGCAACTCCCTCCGTATGTTCCGTGATTCTGTGTGTCGTCACTCCATCCTTATAAATTTAACGCGTACGAAGGGAATAATCAGCGTGTAAACTCATATCGTGCTGGAATAGAATCTGTCTTACCTTGGTCGTGCGACATAGTTCTAAAAATGATTCTTCGAACAAACGGGCCGCAAATGTTTAGGTGTAGATAAGGAATGGGTAGCCATGTCTCGTCAACTACGACTGTTCCCGACTTCTTAACGTATTGTTCGACCCAGTATTCTGCATAGTCCATTATTTTTCTAGCAGCTGTAGTAGGTAGATTTAGTTTTTGTATGAGTATTTCGTACACTGTGGCAATGTCGGGTGGTGAAATCTTCGATATTCCATCTGCTAGATCAGCTATTGTGGAGGGTTCTGAAGTAGTGTTTGAGTTTTGTAAGGTTGTAGCATTATCTAACTCCAGAATATCCCAGCTACTTGCCAGTAGAGCGCTGCGGAGGTACCGTTCGACTGAACTGTACCCGAACTCGATCGCGAGGTCCAGAGCCGTCTTATTATCTTTATTCTTCTTCTCTATGTCGATACCGTTCTCAACAAGTAATTGCACAACAGAGAGTAAACCTGTATTAACAGCGTTATGCAAAGCTGTATTTCCTCTCGAGTCGGGTAGGGAGATATTAAAACTCTGTGGATTAATAGCTCCAAGCTCCAAAATCTCCTTCACAACTTCTTGGTAACCGTAACCTGCAGCAACATGAAGCGGTGTTCCGGAGTTGCAAAGTCCTCTGGATACAGGCTTTTTAAGGCTGAACCCTCTCTTTAGAAATAACGAAAAGATATTTGTTCGTCCTTGTTCGAGAGATATAAAACCAGCCGTTCTTCTATCGTATGTTTCAAGCAGCCAGTCCGCACCGGAATCCAGGAGGAGGCATGCAACGTCCTCATGCCCGTAGAAAGCGCATTCGCGAAGCGGCGATGAGCCATCGTTCTGTTGTATATTAACTATCTTGCGGTCTATTTCCAACAAGTATTTGACCGCAGCGTAATCTCCTCGAGCTGAGGCAAAATGTATCAGTTGTCGCCCATGACCCCACGTGGTTCGTGGGGAAGAACCGTTTTCGATGAGTAGTTTCATCGCCTCGATCCTGCCGTAAGCAAGTGCTTCCCATACTGGCTGATGCCCACCATTGTGTTTGATATCGATATCAATCCCTTTTGAAAGGAAGTATTTGATAGCGCCTAAATGTCCAACTCGGGCTGCTATGTGTAGAGGCGACTCATCTGTACCGATACAATAAAACCAGTGCCACCGATTAGAGGTTGATTGTTCATCATCTGTTATAGTCAGTTTTCGCGCATGGCAGTAACTAATAATTGACGGATTGTGATTCAAAAAAGCAACCAGGTCTTCCTCTATAGCGCCTTGGTTACACTCGGGTATTTGAGTTTCCCAGTTTCGGAGAGCGTATAGATAAAATGGCATCTCCTTTAAGTTATCCAGCCCGGTACCTTCGTTATTCCCCAAAGAGTCAACAAATTTTGGATTTGCAAACTGATGGAAGCGCAGATAATTAAGGCAAGCCTTTGTGAGAGAAGTTAAAGCGTCCGCAGTATCTATAGGTTTTCTCAAAAGATATCCCTGAACAGTTTGGTGAGCGAGTTTTACAATGCCGCTAGATTCATCCACGACGATGAAACCGGCACAGACATCCAGGACAGTGGTTTGTTGTAATTTTTGGTATTCAGCTATCTCAAAGGCCCCTGGTTCGATTGCTAGAGCAACAAGAAGATCTTGTATTCGAAGCGGGTATTTCGTGACCAGAATCCATGATAAAGCTCTATCGGCGATGTCTCTATTGCACTCATCGATACTCTCTAACATCAAATTGAAGGTCTCATCAATAGGCAAAAAGCCTTTGGATGCCGACATCTTGAGGATTTGGTCTAGTGTCGCTTCGATTCGACCAACAGTTGCTTGCCTGAGGAGAAACTTCAGTTGAAGTTTAGGGAGTAAAAACCTGACGTGATGAAATATTAATAAAATGATAGTCCCCTTCCTCTTTTGCAGTGAGGTCTGACTTACATTCCATTTGAAACCCTAGTTAGTCCATCGGTAATACGGTCTCTCAGGCCATCATGAAGATGCCTTGCCTTAGGTGTTCTTATTTCATACCTCCCAATCTCTGCTTTGATGTATTTCCTTATATCATCTGCTTTCGCACCCAGCTCGATTTTGTTCACTTCTTTAAAGACTTCATTAATATCCTCTGGATGAGGTCGGCTAGTTGCAAAAACCCTTGCTCCACCAGGGCCAGCTAGTCTTTGGATTATATTCAGAACATTAAAGCGTTGCCCTGGAGCACATTCGTCTAATGCATCAACTACAATGTAAGTGTGCTTGAAGTTTGATGCGGATTCTATAAGTAGATCTTCGATCCTTTGATCCTCTGCTTCCGTCTTGCCTGAACCAGAGTAGGTTTTGAATAATTCTGCGAGACCCTGCGGGAAATTTGGGGACTGGAAGGATAACTGTTTGAGCAGGTTTCGTGTGAACCTGCGAGCATCGATCTCTTTGTTGGAAAAGTCGAAGTAAAAGTACGCGACAGCGGTTCGTGTCGTTGGGTCTTGTGTTCGCTGCTCTTCGAGATAATCAATGACCACGGAGCTATATTAATCTAAAGATTAGCCGATTTCCATCGACTATTCTTCAATACTCTGGAACTTGAGAGGAATATACCTTATGGTACTCTTACCCGCACCAGCTAGACAACAGTATTAGAAAAGGAAGTGTTCGTTAGAAAAAATAAGAACACAATAAAAATGTTAGCCATAACCATGACTTACGAATTCCATAACACCAGAGTATCTCCGTGGAGTTTTTTGATTGTGTTAACCATCTAGAGAATGTATTTTGGGTCATAAACCATTTACCGGTGCCTGCTTGTCTTGCTGAAACAATGGTACTGTGACGCGCTGACAGTGCGGCTCCGGGGCAGACCCATTCCAGAATTTCAGTATGCTTTGTCTCTGTGGCCTACGGTTAGTTTCTTTCTTTCTTTCTTGTCAAAAATGCTTCTGCGTACCTCTATGGTTGTTATAAACTTCCCGCTGCAAATCATTGAGGTTTTGATTTATTATATCCACTTTTGTTTCAACTATGAACTTTTGGTTAGAAACCGTAACATACGCCTCCAGTTACATATACAATTACGATCGAGATAATATAATACACTTACTTTGGGCCATCGCTTCTTTTATCGTTATCATCTCTTCGACGTCCTCACCATATATCCTGCAAAGAATAGCTTTACCATAAGCCGCAGCCGCAGCCGCAGCATAGCAATGCCATGCATCTTGTTTATGAGTATCAGCGTAATCGCTGATTCCTCGAACGACTAAGCAAGGTATTTCGTCCATGATTCCCGCGGCTTCCATTTCGTAGCAGATTGCATCGTCATGGCCTTGACATAGTAAATCCCTATCTTTAGGGTTCTTAACCACAATGCTCCCCGAAAGTATCAGGCCCCGATGAACGACAGGTTCATTTGGCCATGGGGACCGAGGAATGCGGTCTATGACTATTTTTTGACTTGATGCTTCACACCCACTACAGTCACTTCCTTCATTAACATGGTGGAAAGACGGGTCGAAGAGAACGTCAGCAGTATTCGGTCTTTCGTAGCCAGGTTGCTTAATAATATTTCGCAACATCTTCCTGAACGGGCGTTTATTCATTCTTTCATCATCATCCAACTGCCCATCTGCACTGAGTAAGATTGAGGGGGGTTTGTTAAGGCACCCCTTTAGCGTAAACCCATCTTTTTTAAGTTTGCCGAAATCATACTCTATAACACCGGGGTGGTTTTCTCGAGGGATGCTAACGGCAATATCGCCGAGACGAATATCTCGTTTATTGGGAATGCCAGCACCGATACCTATCATCAAAGCGAACCGAATGTTTGGAAATTGCTGGCTGATAGTTGCGGATAGCCCAGCCGCGTTGACTTTACCCATTTGATTTGGTCTAGCTATTAGGACTTTGTGTGATCCGATTTGACCAAACGAATATATATATTTTCGAGCGTTGGGGTGAGATTTTGGCCGACATTGGAATTCTTCGTCGAGAGCGTATTTAACAGCAACGGATTCGCAAGACAGGGCGCAAAATATGGCTATAGTTATTTCTTCGGGACGGATGATTAGGAGCGGTTCTGGGTCAGATTCTTCATCATCTGTATCGACCTCCTTCCCTTGTCGCTGTGTCTGGTGCGGTGGCGCCCTTGGCCTTCTGTCACGGTTCATGTTTGCTGCTGTCAACAAGTTTGAATGGGAACAGTGGCCCAACAGCAGTCGATGTCTTGTCGATTGCGTGTCAACGTGTCTTGTGATATTCCCTGGGTATCTCCTCGGAGTTTAAATGAGGAATAAACTGTTTTATAGCTGGGTAGCCTGGTGGTTTGTTTGCTCTGTCAAGTTTTATATATACCTGGCGTCAAGACGCCGTACACCAATCCCCACCTAAGCCCATTTGCTTTGTTGGCTTTTGTCCCCAAATTATGAGCGGTGTTACACAGTCTCAGAACCAACCGTGTTACACGGCCTCGGCGTTCACCCAAACCTCTCCTCGGATCCTCCCAACGAGGCTAACAGACCTATCTCACGGTGAACGTACATATCTACTTCTATTCAGACCGTAGTCTCGAGGGCTTCATAAAAGCAGACTTCGAAAGATAAACAAAATGACATCAATCCACAACCTCCCTACAGAGCTCTTGACCTCTATCTTTACCTACCTCCCCTTCGAGTCCCAGATCTCTGCTATCCAAGTCAGCAGCTTGTGGCGTACGATCCTCAGTTCTCCAATCTGCCAGAAAACTCGATATACAGGCATCGAAGGTGCCAATCCCTCCCCCTCCTCCTCCTCCTCCTCCTCCTC